ACTTAGATTTACTTTAGATAGTACTTAGATTTGATTTTAGATAGTACTGAGATTTGATTTTAGATAGTACTTAGATTTGATTTTAGACTACTTAGATTTGACTTTAGATAGTACTTAGATTACTTTAGATAGTACTTAGATTTAGACTTTAGATACTTAGATAGATAGTACTTAGATTTACTTTAGATAGTACTTAGATTTGACTTTAGATAGTACTTAGATTTGACTTTAGATAGTACTTAGATTTGACTTTAGATAGTACTTAGATTTGACTTTAGATAGTACTTAGATTTACTTTAGATAGTACTTAGATTTACTTTAGATAGTACTTAGATTTGACTTTTAGATAGTACTTAGGTTTGACTTTAGATAGTACTTAGATTTACTTTAGATAGTACTTAGATTTACTTTAGATAGTACTTAGATTAGATTACTTAGATTTACTTAGATTTACTTTAGATAGTACTTAGATTTGACTTTAGATAGTACTTTGATTTGACTTTAGATAGTACTTAGATTTACTTTAGATAGTACTTAGATTTGACTTTAGATAGTACTTAGATTTGACTTTAGATAGTACTTAGATTTGACTTCAGATAGTACTTAGATTTGACTTTAGATAGTACTTAGATTTGACTTTCGGTAGTACTTAGATTTACTTTAGATAGTACTTAGATTTGACTTTACTAGTACTTTAGATAGTACTTTGATTTGACTTTAGATAGTACTTAGATTTACTTTAGATAGTACTTAGATTTACTTTAGGTAGTACTTAGATTTGACTTTAGGTAGTACTCAGACTTACTTTAGATAGTACTTTAAATTTAGATCGATTTAGTACTTTAGATTTTAGTCTTGGAAAAATTGTGTGTTTTTTTTTTTATATATTTAATATTTATTGTGATTTTAGCCCAGCCTGATGGATGAATTTAACTACCGTATTTTCCAGGCTATAGGGCGCACTCTTAAGCCTCCAACCCCATCAAAAAACTACCCACAATCCAGAGCGCCCTATACACGAATCCACTCAGGTGTCCCAGCACGACTTCAGTAAACTACAAAGCCGCACAAAGTCGCTGTATTTCTTTTCCCTTAAAAAATCCTCTATACAATCTTTAACTAAATAAAGGGTTGTTATTTAGTTTAATCATAACTACTGTAAAATTCTGACACCTTTTTGTATTATAGCTGCTGAAACATGCAACCGGGAAGTAAAATTACAAACTTATAAACCAAAATTAGAGTCAAGATTCTTCGTAAACATGTTGAAATGCGTAGTGTAAACCCGGCTGTCATATGCTCAAACTATTAACGCTCGCCTTTATGGAGTAACGTGACCCAGCCCATGCACTTTCTCATGCTATCTGCCCCGCTATCATGCTGAATCAATAGAATACATTGAGTTAACGCTGGTGTTTTGTGGAAAGATCCTCTCTGCACGCTTCAAGTTACAGCTGCGGCTTGTTCTGCTCCAGGTCAGGGTAAAACTAGACAGTGGGATTGCAAAAGTCATGTGGGAGGAAGAAGAGGAGAGAGAGATAGTGTAGGAAAAGAGGAGGGAGGGGGCTTGAGGGAGAGTGGGAGAGGAGGATTATGGCATATATAAAAAGTACACGACCCTGCCAAGGCCTGTGTACCTCAAACAGCAGCAGGATATGTACTGCAGGGGCGACTTAAGATGGCCGATATGAATTATTCAAGAAAAAAGTACATTATTGTGTACCTCAGACTTTAAAACAAATCACAAATGCATTGGCTCTGTCTTTTTTATAGCTGAAAGTAAACAGACGTTGTTAGTTTCTCAGCTTAAATTACCTAAATCAAGTCAGGTTTTTGGGTAAACACAGAAAATAAATTGCCAATGTTTTTTTTTTTGTGATAAAATTTTTCCAGGTTCCAGTTAGAAGTGCAATTTTCTTTTAAATTCCACTTTAACTCCCTGAAACTCACGTTACGTCACAAACCAGGAAGACTTTTGCAAACATACGACAACAACTTCAGGTGTAGTTCCCGACGCTGACCGACCGAGTAAATGTGATCGGCGGTAAAATGAAGACTGCATAACTGAATAATCTTGAATTTTTACGCCCTCATCTCTTCTAATCGCATGAACCCAGTGCTCTTTGAGTTGTGTGTCAGCGGGAAACTGATGAAAACTGAGGTGTTGTTGTAATTGTTGATTCGCCGAACATAACTGAAAGCTACGATGACATGGAGATGAAGAAAAGAAAAGAAAGGTCACGTGATGTTGCTGTGACGTGTCCACTCAGCTGATTTATACAGGTTTCGGCGCTGTTTTTCTACCGGTGGAGGCAGGACGACAGCGCCATCTGCAGTCCGATTCCCTCAAGACAGTATCCCAGGTGTGTGAGAGTAAAAAAGTCCCCTCATCCCGGTTTATTTCGGAGGAAGTCGGACTGCAGATGGCGCTGTCGTCCTGCCTCTACTGGTACAAAACCTGTTTAAATCAGCTGAGCGGACAAGTCACAGCAACATCACGTGACTGAAGAAGACTGCGAGTCCCGAAACTGTCACGTATGAAAAACAACCTCTTGGTCTGAAAAAAAGAACCCAATAACATAAAGTAGCTCATCTTGTTTAATGCAAAATGTCTGAAAAATGCAAAGGATAGCTCATGGTGTTAGATTAGAAGAGTGGGAGTGAGATTCAAGTTTTCTTCTTCCCTTTCCTTTTTGGGGTTATTTTCATTTCTATTATGATTTCACTTATGTTATATGTTCCATTGTGTAAGAATGTAAATCTCTACTTGTCCAAAATATTAATTAAAAAAGAAATAAAGAAAACATATATACATACACATAAATACATATAAGTACAAATATATAGAATACACACACACACTGTATATATAAAACATATATATATACAATATCTATATAAACACACACATATACATACACATACGTATACACACACACATATATTCATATATACATATATATATATAGTATACATTCACACACACACAAGCATATATACATTAAAGAAAAGAAAAAAAAGACGTCCAGGTTTAAATTCCCTTTATACAAAATGACTGCAAATTTCCTTCATCAAAAGACGTCAGCAGAAATTGCAGTATACACAGTTATTATTTACCATACATAAAAATTAATTAAGAGTATATATACTGTGTACATTCTGTGAACATGTACTATAATAAAAGTGTCCAAGTAACAACTGTACATTCAGATCTCAGTTTGGTCAGTAGATTGGAGCAGTGAGACGTGTTTCTGGTGTTTGCGTCGTGCGTTCGAGCAGCAGAAAGCTCCAGTTGAAAGATTTCTCTATAAACTGCCTCTGTTAATGAGTTTGGCGCGACAGTCGCTCAGCTGAGAGAGCGTTTGTTCACTGATCCCAAGGTTGGCAGTTTGAATCCCGCTCCTGACATAAACATCATTAGTGGAGCGGGCGGATCTGATGACCCACAGGCTGGCGGTGCGATTCCAGCCCCCACAGATGAACGCTGTCATTGTGTCCTTGGGCAAGACACTTAATGACCTTGCCCTTGGTGTTTGTGTACACTGGTGTATGAATGTGTGTGCGAATGGGTGTGTGGTTCCTTCATGTAAAACACTTAGAGCGTGTAAATGCACTGTATGCAAATATGACTATTTACAGTTTGGGCGGTTTGTGTAAAGAGATTTTCTGATTGGTCGAGGACGGTGCCAGCGACACGTTCAGACGCAGCAGGATCTGGACAGGAGACAGAAAGCACAGTTTGGTCAGAAAACGACTAATGACAATATTGTGCAGGTCTATAGTGTTATTTGATTAACCTCTTCACTTGTGACAAGACTGAACACACTGTTAACACGATTGGACCAGTGTTGAGGAGAAAAGTTTGAAAAAATATATGTAAAGTATTCTATTACATTGTACAACTATCCATCCATCCATTTTCTTTCGCTTATCCGGGGCCGGGTCACGGGGGCAACAGTCTAAACAGGGACTCCCAGACTTCCTTCACTCTGCACACTTCCTCCGGCTCCCCCTGAGGGACCCTGACACGTTCCCAGGCCAGACGAAAGACATAGTCCCTCCAGAGTGTTCTGGGTCTTCCCTGGGGCCTCCTCTTGGTGGAACATGCCTGGAACATACAGACGCCCGAGCCACCTCAGCTGACTCCTCTCGATGTGGAGGAGCAGCGACTCTACTTTGAGCTCCTCTCTAAGGGAGCGCCAAGTCACCCTGTGGAGGAAACTCATTTTGGCCGCTTCTATCCGCGATCTCGTCCTTTCAGTCATTACCCAAAGCACATGACCATAGGTGAGGGGAAGAACATAGACTGACCAGTAAATCGAGAACTTTGTTTTTCAGCCTGGCTCTTTTTTCCCTGTCTCAATTGGAGAAGTTCAAGCATCAAGTACAGTACAAGTAGACTACTGTATTCTGAAAACTTACAACACTAGTATTCCTTTCACATTAAAACATTATATTATATAAGAAAACAAAACAACATCATATTAAAACAACATTATGTTTGTGGCACTGTGCTCTTCATTTATTTATCTCTAATTAAAAAACACAATGCGCACACAGCAGGAGATGTGTTCTATTTGTGTCACTTGTGTTGTGCAGTTTGAAACACAAATTGCACGATCAAGAACTACAATGTGTGTCTTTGATTTGAGGAAGGCTCTAAATATCACCAAATTATAGAGGAACTTTACTGGAATACAAAATAAGTTCTCTAAATATGTATTTTTGGCACATGTATTGAGTTACTTCTCCACTTTGTTTTGATAATTTCAGCCCTGGAACTGCCAATCTGTACTGAACTAAAGGTTTTATTTGTGATTTTGTGATTGCAGAGTTAAGACATTTTGATTTTTTAACATGGTTTCATCATAGTTTTGTCTTGTACCTGAAATATTCTTGAGATTAAGTCACATTTTACAATTTATAACGCTATAGTGTTGAAGGTGCAGTTCATATCACGTGTTTTTAGATAAAATACAAATGAAAACAGAAACCAACACTGTAAGTTTATTGAAGAATTTATTGAAATCATCACCAGTGCTATTTTAAATTCACATATCGTCTAATACACACGTCTGTAACGATGCTATTTCATCTTTTAAAAGCAAACCTGTCACTCCTCCATCACCCCTGAGTTCTTACAGGTAGGTACAGTGGATTCACATTCACTACTTCAGTTCGTACTCATCCAAGCATCCCACAATAAGACAACCTACAGTATGTTTCAGTAGAAGTGGTTCATTCATGGTAAAAGCAGCTTAACCTGAAGAGAGTCCAAACTATACAGTACTGGAGAACTGACCGTGTAAGAAAAATAGTTAAAGTGCACTATAATTCAAACTTCTATAAGGTCCTGTAATACTGTGCAAGTGAATGCATATAAATAAAAATAATTATATGTTTAATAAGACAAGTAACATCCATATTATCACCTTCATCTGAGCTTTTTGTGAAAATACAGAATCAACATGTCAAGTCTAAAGTCCTACCACAGCCGACACAAACACGCACCAGCACACCACATGAAGTAATGGGCCAATAAGAACGAAGCGTCGTATCTGAGAGGAGCAGAGGAAACCACAGAACAGAAACAGTCAGAAAAACAAAAACCCTTTCCTCTTCATTTTAACAAAACGTTAAAGGGGCATAATGGAGCTTTTTGGTAGAGGCGAGGGGTCTGAAACCTGGTGTTCTACATGACGATGTTGTTGATTTGCCTGGAATGTTCTCGCCTGATTCATCAGACGGTTTCACTTCATGGAAACCGTCTGACCTCACAGTGTTAGAATTTGTTCACTCGACGGTAGGCGGGTACTTTTTTATTTAACCAATCGCTGCTATTTGGTCGTGACTTATGTAATGCGGCGCTGGTATATTAAGCTTTTTCCAAATCCCGTAGGAAGAAGGACAATAACATCTTTCCCCTTGATAAAATTCACCAAACATTCTCTGTGCTCCAGCTTTAAATCCTCGATCTCGGGAATCGTTGACAAAACAGAATTTATGTCTCTTCGCTGACTGGCTGGTGCCCGAACTCGTACTTCCGGAGTTTTTGCAAACCGTCTTGTGTATTCCGATTCCTGACCTAATCGCTAGGGAGAAATTAAATTGCACAGAGGCACTAAGTGGCGCCAGCCTGGGCAAGAATGTTCCACAGTATGGCATTAAATATCTATGGATCTGACCTGTAAATAGGCCTGTCACGATAACAGATTTCCAAGAGCGATATAGTGCTATGGAGAAATAATGCGATAAATAATAAAAATGAAACTATTTCATTCCACTGGCACAAACCAGCATAATCCCTTTTTTTTTTTTTTTTTTTTTACAAATATCATCATTAAAAAGCATGAGCTGCAACAAATTAACAGCAGAATAAACTAATAATAAGCCACAGAAGTTATTTATTCTACTCTCTACAGCTAAAATCTTACATTACATAAATACATAAAAATCTAAAATCCATCTGCTTATATATCTCCTATGTATTTTATATCTAATTCCCTCCTGTTTATACTGTCATATTTATTTATTTGTATATATTCACTTCAATCTACACTGTAATATACTGTATATTGTCGATACTGTATATACTCCACATTCTGTATATATCGTACTTGCACTTCTGATTTAATCGTCAATCCACATTTTGGTACCTTGTATTTATACATGTGTAATGACAATAAAGTTCAATCTAATCTAATCTAAAAAAAAACCAACAGATCGATATATTGGTTGGCCGATATATCAGGCCAATATTTGGGCTTTAAATCTCTATCACAGGCCAAATATTATTTTTTTTGGTTGAACTGCTGCCTAAAAAATACACACAAAGATACACACAAATTGACACACTGAAGAGAAAGCTGCGCAAAACGTGACTACACAACTTGTAATAAATTTAACTTGCATAATTTGGGAAAAGCATCAAAACTGGCCCAACATATCAGCCCCAAAAATATCGGCAGAGCTTTCTGACCATCGTTTGCTCGGGATTTTGAACAATCAGTATCAGCCGATCTCTAAAACTTTCCCCATTTTTGCGAGATGATAAATATTGAGTCCCAAAATATATTGTTCCATCTTTCGTATATTGAACTATTATCGTGACAGACTTGTAAACTGACCTAATGTTGTCATCTGTTTTGGCTCTATGGTGACAGACACTTTTAATAACATACTGTGGAACATTCCAGACAAGCAATAACATCTCCATGGAGACAAGCGTGGAGAAGCCTCCACCAGAAAAGTGATATATTATGACTAAATATACCTTGATAACCCCGAGTCTGTAGGGAAAATCCATAACTCACATTCTTTTGCAAATTTCATGGACAGTTTAGAAGCTCCTCTCAGGACGGATTGGAAAACGACCCCAGGGTCATTTTACGTATAAATTATGGCTTTAAAAGGGATGCCCTGTCAATCACACGAGTCTGTGCGCACTGTGGTAAAGTCTTTAAGTGAGTCCTGCAGATCAAATCACACTCTTCTGTTACATATTTAAGTTAAAAATGAACGATGTATTTACAAGGAACAGACTTCTTCCCCCTAAGGGTAAAAATATGCTACAGTATGTAACTTTTCTGGTGCTTGTCTCCATGGAGATGTTATTGCTTTGCCTGGAGTGTTTCACATTGTGGCATTAAACAATTTCACCTTGCATTTAGATTTTACGGGTGTTCATATTGCTTAAAAATACCTTGAAAAACACATGTTCTTTCTGTGAGCGGGGTCGCCTTTCCACTGATCTGACTCATAACTTAGCCTGGTAGCATCCTCTGCTGATAGATAGTTTAAAGCATTGTTTCCCAAAGACTGGATCATGAAACTCAGGTGGGTCGCAAGAGATATTTTTTGAGTCGCCTTGTCACGATCTGCATATAAATCTGCAACTATTACCGATCTGTGTGAATATGGATTTTCTGTGCTCACAAAAATGAAGACAAAGCACAGAAACAGACTGAATTCTGCATTTGATCTGCTGCTGCGCTCTCCTCCTGCCCACCTATCTCATTAGAAATGCTGAAATGTTAAGACATGTTTTGTATAATTTCAAATCTTTTTGTAATTATATGAGTAATACTAGTTGTTCAGAGCAAAGGTGGGACCAAGTCGTCGTTTTTCAAATCTAAATTAAGTCTCAAGTCTTTGACCTCAAGTCCAAGTCAGGTCCCGAGTCAAATACAGGCAAGTCCAAGTCGAGTCTCGAGTCACTGGCCCATAAGTCCAAGTCAAGTCCAAGTCGTCTGCTTTGAGCTTCAAGTCATTTCAAGTCTTTAAACCAAAGTGCCAAATAGAGCTTAGATTTTTGCAATTTATATGAATTTTAAACTTAATTGTACTTAAAAAGTCATAGTATATTTATATATGAGTATTTATACAAGAGTTGTAGAAATGCAAATTTTTTAAATGTCTTGACAAGATCTTAGAGTGAATCATTACGAACAAAACAGAAAGAATTCAGATTTAAAAGTGCTTTTCAAGTCTTCTCAAGTCACAGGTCACAAGTCAGAGTCAAGTCCCAAGTCACTGACCTTCAAGTCCAAGTTGAGTCCCAAGTCTTGATCTATTTTATCAAGTCAAGCCTCAAGTCCTAAAAATAGTCAACAATAAAATATCCTCATTAATGTTCAATAATGGTCAAATCCACCTTTATTTTGTGATTTATGAATAATGTCTATTGACTTGGGTCACGAAGGTTTGTGACTTTCAAAATATAGGTTTGGGTTTTAAATAAAATTTTGGGAAACACTGGTTTAAACGGCCTATAATATTACTCTATAAATAATGCAGGATTACTCGATATGTATCAGTGAAACAAAATACAACTCCGTTCACAAGAATCCATTTTGTGTAATATAGGATCTTGTACTATGTAAGACTCCAGACCAGGCAATAACATCTCCATGGAAACAAGCAGGCATCTGAAAAGCTACATAGTGCACCTTTAAATGGCAAAAAAAAAAAAAGAAGTCTGATTGAGAATCTAAGAGCGTTGCGTCAGGCTTGGAGCTTTTTGTGGTCCACCTAAGCAAATACAGTACTAGACAATGATAATATAGCGCTTGTAATAACTGCAGCATGGATACACTCATCATCTTTAAAGTCCAAAGACATAGGTTTAGTCTAGAAAAACAAACTATGACAGCAAACATGGCTTCTGAACAGCAGAGGAGGTCAAGTGGGCTCCTAAAAGTGCTTCACATTTTCTGATCGAGCTCCACAAGGCCACCGGAAGCCACCACGCTTCCTGTGCGCCACTTATAACACGACAGAAAGAGAGTTAGAAAAGTTCGTCGAAGGCTAACTTAGGTCAAACGATTAGCACGAGTAGATAAAGAGTGAGGGTGATTATAATTTAGGTCGCAGGAAGTGGAAGTGAAAGAGGAAGTATCGTGTGAAAACATGCTATAGCTGATTTAATGACATGACTAAAGGCTTACAAAGGAACATTCCCTTTCCAACACCTCAGCAGTGGTGGATTAAAGTAAAAGTGTGGACACATGTGCAGAAGTTTACTCAATTAAAAGTGTCAAACTATGAAATAATCTTGAAGTACCTGCATGTAGAAGTATTTTGCTGAGATTTTTAGATCATAAAACGCAGAGGTGGGATCAAGTCGTTGTTTTGCAAGTCTCAAGTCTTTGACCTCAAGTCCAAGTCAAGTCCCTAGTCAAAAACAGGCAAGTCCAAGTCGAGTCTTGAGTCACTGGCCCATAAGTCCAAGTCAAGTCCAAGTTGTCTAATTTGAGCTTCAAGTTATTTAAACCAAGGCACCAAATATACCTTAGATTTTTGCAATTTATATGATTTTTAAGCTCATTTCTACTTAAAAAGTCATGGTATTTTTATATGATTATTTATATAAGAGTAGTAGAAATGTAAATTGTTCCTTTTTAAATGCCTTGACAAGAGCTTAGTGTGAATCATTATGACCAGAATAGAAAGAATTCAGATTTAAAAGTGCTTAAGAAGAGTTGTTTTGTCACGAAGGATCATGTTCTATGTAGTTCCCTCTGTTTTACTGTATTGTTCTGTATATTACTGTATTGTACTTTATATTATTGTATATTACTGTAGTACATTTGTGGATACCACATCACAGTACTTCAGTTACATCCAAAGTAATAAACAGAAGTGGGAGGGACATGTTCCAGTTTGTTTCTGTAAACTTAAACGCCACATGAATTAACTGTAAAGAGAAAAGTATTTTCTAAAAACATATTTTTTTAGGAAAAGCATCAAGTCTTCTCAAGTCACAGGCCTCAAGTCCGAGTCAAGTCCCAAATCACTGACCTTCAAGTCCAAGTCGAGTCCTGAGTCTTAGTCCATTTTATCAAGTCAAGTCTCAAGTCGTAAAAATAGTGACTCAAGTCTGACTCGAGTCCACCTCTGATGAAAATGTAGTGATTCTGATTAAAAATGTAGCTGATTTTACGTGATTCAACTGATTTCTTCATTTTTCTACTTTACTTTTCTACTTTCTGCTCAAATTTTGGATGTTAACTCAAATTAAATGTCCTAAAAATAAGTCTCAGCCATTTCAGCAGGTCTCAAACCATAAAGAAAAGCATCCACTGTCAAATTTACTTAAGTACAAATACCTAAAAATTTTACTTAATGTTTTACTTTTACTTTTGTATTTCGTTACCTTCCACCACTGCACCTCAGGCATTAAAAGGCAGCTGTTATGACACTCTCCCTGTTCCAACATGCACGAGCAGAGTGGTATTCCAGTTTCTGCTCCGTCTAGTCTGATCTTTTAATCTCTCTCTAGGTCCACCTCTTTGATGTTACAGTTTGGTCTCAAGGGGCAGGAAGGAAGGGAGTAATATGTTCTGTGGCATGACATGCTTACACAACCCACGCAATATGTTTAAGGAGTTACCTTGATTACAGATTTTAGTGCGAAATCAAAGGAAATTATAGTTTTGGATGGAATTGTACGAGAAATTAGCTTCAAGATCAGTAATTTTCAAGACTTTAGTTTGAAGCAAATTAGTCTATAATTTCTAGTTACACAAGTATTTTTAAATAAATACTTAAATAAATGCTTCAGTTTCGATATTAATCTGATTTATGGGCGGGCGATATGCAAAAAAATAATAGAATCATTTGAGTAAATCCAAATCATGATTTCGATTCTATCACGATTCATGTTAATGTTTTTATTGCCTTAAATGTTCACACTTCACTCTGATTGGTTAATTCCACCTGTCACTCACTCAAAGCCTGACTAAAAGGAGGATTAGTTGGGAAAAGTGTCTTGTTTTTCAGCGTGCATTAAATTGGAAATTTCTGAATCACAATATGACGATAGTGACGACATAGCGCATCGTCAAAATCATCCTTTTCAATTGGATTTTTTATTGCCATATCGCCCAGCCTTTCGTTATAAAACACCAAAGAATTGAAGTACGTTTGCCAATCAGTGACACTTTGCGTGGTTCTTCATGTGTTCCTTTTCCAGCTGGTCCCGCTGAGGTCCGTAGATGCAGTTGGCCTTCCAGGAGAACCACACGATAATGGAGACGATGGTGGTCTGGAGCAGCAGCATCACCCCGTACGTCGAGGCTACGGTGGGACCGGGGAGCCGCGGCGAGACGCCAGGGGGAAGGAGCAAGGACGGGCTGAGCAGAATGGCCTTCACCTCCGCCTTGATCATGTGAAGCTCATCCAGGATCGACAGAAACGTAAAACAGTGGAACCATTGGTGACTGTGCCCCCAGATGTCAAACCGACCGGGGGCCAGACGCTCCGGGACTTTACTGATGTTGACCACGGCGGACAGCAACAACCAGAAGCAATGTCGGTAGAAGAAGATCGCCATGGTGCTGGACGACGCAAACGAGGAGGACTTCACCGGATATGGCGATCTGGTGAGAAGTCGGTAGAACACTGGCGCTGAGGAGATGAAGAACGGCAGAAGAAAAACCATGGTTCGGATAACGTAGCGGTGTTTTCTCCATCTTTGACGAGTGTTGCAGCAGGATAAGACGCAAACAATGGCGACCAAACACGCGCTGGGAATGTAGAAGGTCTCAAAGAAAATACTCAGATCTGGAGTTGCATAGGAAGACGTCGAAGTTTCTTGTTTCGAATCCACCAGTGAGCCGTTTTGTTCTCGCGTCTCGCCCAGTCCGGCTCTAGGATGGATGTAGAAGTAATAAGCAAGAGATGATCCGACAGTGTATGCGCTAATTGTCCCGTAGTCCACAAAGAAACAAACTTCTCTAACTACGATGGACATTGAATTCAGGAGATGCGCCAAGCTGCTCGCCATGAGGAGACAGAACACCCCGATGAAGTAGTTCCACAACGGGTAGAAGAACGGGTCGTCACCGTCGGGCGTGTTCTCCCAACCGAACACCTCGACGAAGTGGTAGAAGAAGACGAAAAGCGGGAGGAAGTGCGTCCAGAAGTTTCCGGTTTCGTTGGTGGGTCTGAAAGCGGACAGGAGGCAGTCCTTGAGGCTGTAGTTCGGGAAACGGTAGCCGGTCAGGATGAAGTTCTCGATGACCCGAGGTGGAACATCGGTGTGCCTCAGGAGGGGAAGGGGCTGGCCGCAGTTGAGAAGCATGGTGATGGACTGAAGCTAGAGCGCGACAGGCATTACACTGGATTTAAATGTTCTTATTTGCTTGTTGGCTTTATTGCTGACGACTGCACGTTCGTTCACGGATAAGGCATTTAGGCTCAGAGACAGAAAAAAAAATCAGACCTTTTATAGCTGGCTTTTAGCACATGTATTGAGTGCTGCAGGCTGTAATCCAAAGAGCTTAGTTGGTCTATAATCCAGTGGAGGAGATCACAGAATGGCTATTATGCGTTACATAAAGCAAAAAAAAAAAATCTAATAAAATTGGCTAAACTGTTTCATTTGGTTTCTTCTTTTACCCTGAAGTGTCCGTAAAGGTCAGCTGCCCTTCAGGTTTCAATTCTTGTCTTTGCATAGGACATAGGGAGCACAAATGAATGGTAGAGTCCTCAGCGCATTCTCACGGCTCGCTGTGCATAGTCCCGCAGCGCGAACTCCTCCGACTGAAGGTCACTTGTTCCCGTTACGAGGTTTGACAGCGCGGTGCTTGACAGGAATGTGTCCATGTCCCGGAGACGCGTCCAAGAGGCCCCGCGTGAAGTAGGTCATGCTGCTCCCGTGCCCATTTTGTGTCCACGCTGCAGCCGGTGTCTTTCTCGGGAGCCGCTGTCCCAGGTCCATACCCCGGGTCTACTTAATTCTCCCGGCTCTCATTGCGCCGTGCCGCAGGACGCAGCTCACGGGCGGAACAGCGGGTGCGCGCACTGATGTCCTCTCGCGCGCTGCCGTCTTCACCAAAAAGGAAAAAACACCAGGCGCATTTTGGTCTGAGTTTGGTGTCCGCTGTGCGCTGACAGAGCTGCGGCTGAAGCACTGACGAGCAGCGGACTGTTTGACAGGTACCACTGAAAAGCTCCGTGCGCATTAACAGCCGATTCCGGTCTCGTCTACAAAATAAAACAAGTAAACTGTGACGTAACACTGGGTCCTCTATTCTCAGCAGTGTTGGGGAGTAACGGATTACATGTACCGGGATTACGTAATCAGAGTACAAATTATGAGTAACTGTATTCAGTTACAGTTACTGTTTCAGTGAGTGGTAATTGGATTACAGTTACTTCGTTGAAATAAATGGATTACATGGCGGTATTTTCCGGTTTTCACATTTTGGGCTAAACCAGGACTAAAAGCAGGACTAAACCAAGACTAAACCAGGACTAAACCAGGTCTAAAACCAGGACTAAACCAGTATTAAACCAGGTCTAAAAGATGGACTAAACCAGGTCTAAAAGCAGGACTAATGCAGGACTAAAACCAGGTCTAAAACCAGGACTAAACCAGAACTTAATCAGGACTAAATCAGGACTAAACCAGGTCTAAACCAGGTATAAACAATATGACACCTAACAGTAGAGTGAACATAATTTAAAGCAGCAGTGATCTCATATAGAAATCATTTCTCTATTAATAATATTTTTTATATGCTTAAGTAAAGACTGGGATTTTTATTTTCTTTTAGAAGACAATTATGTTATGATTTCCTGGTCTTTGCTTCTCTACAGCAAACAGTTGCTAATTCATGGAGACTTGGGCTCAACAGAGAATTTGAAGAGAACAAGAATTTTCAGGACGTGGTTGGTACATTCATGTAGTTTTAAAAAGCATAACAATATCAAGTAATCCAAAGTAATCAGATTACGTTACTCACCTTAAGTAATTTAATGGATTACGTTACAAACTACATTTTTGGGTATGTAATCTGTAATCTGTAAGGGAATACATTTTAAAAGTCACCTTCCCAACACTGATTCTCAGGGTTATTTGTTAGGTCGGTAGGTCGGTAGGTAGGAAGATTTTATTGTCTGTGTAGAGAAATTTGTCTTCTATATTTGACCCATCCAATCTTAAGGTGACCAGATTTTCAAAATAAAAAACTGGGACATCCCTGGTTTGGGTTGGTTGGTACAACAGTGTAATTAAGAAAAAAAATGTATGCACTTGGCTCTAATGTGAGTCAGTATAGTCACATTTTCTTAGTTTTTTAATCATTTTTCTGTATTCTACTTAAACAAATGACAAATTATGCCTCTCTTTACTGTTGGCAGAGATGAAATTGGTCAAAAATAGGGACACCTGGGGCATTTCTTGTATAAAACTGAGACAAATCACTGGGTTTGGATAAATCTGCAGGGACAGGAACTGGAACGGTCCCAGGTAAACCGGGACGTCTGGTCACCCTATCTGATCTACAACAGAAACAGTGCTCTCATGTGGCTTTATAATAAGATGAGAGTCATTTTGTGTTTTCAGAATACAAATAACATCTTTGTATTATATCACAAACATAATTTACTCTTTAAACTTAATGTGCAATATGTAACTTTTCTGATGGATGTTTCGCGACCTGCTTGTCTCATGGTGAAGATGGTCGATTGCTCTACAGTATTGTTTGGTATTAAACTATTTTCATGTAGTGGGCTATCTATGTTGATTATTTATCCTTTGATTTGTTTGCATTGCGATTTTAATGTCTTTCTTATTCTGTGAAGCACTTTGAATGACTTTGTGAACAAATTGTGCTATACAAATAAACTTGCCCTGCCTACATGTGTGTTTATGGCTCAAAAATAGGTTACATTAAACTCCTCTCTGCATATTTGACCTGTCATGTGGCCTGGTGATGTCAACAGCTTGTCTGCATAGATAATTATACTTCCATGGCATAAATATATAGGCTAGATAGGATTAATGCCATACACAAAGTAATAAGATCTCAGGTGGTTCTTTAAGAAAAATGGCCAATAAACATGAACCTATCCCTCTCATGTGGGATGTTCATCTTCATCTTTCTGATTAAAACACGTTCATCAGCTGTACATTCTTCTGCAGCAAATGTGGAGTTAAACATTTTGTGTTTATCACAAATGAAGTTCATTTTCATACATCTGTTTGGATGATAAGGCCATGGGATGTTAAAGCCCAATTTCTTTTATTTGGGGATATCTGAAATATACAGAGCAATGTTTTTTGTGTGACGCTTTAATTTTTATATAGAACTGCAATAAACAGTGGAATAAACACACATACATTAATGCACATGACTCTGTCTATATACAGTTTATGGTTGCACATAATAATTAAACATGAGGTATAATATTCTTAAGGTTACATAATGGAGTGAAGAACTGCATTACATAATAATGTCTTGTTCTACAATCTCACACTTTTATTGTGAAGGGGTGTGACTGGACTTCCGCTGTGGCTGTCGGTCTCTGCGTGTCTCACGTGTCTCTTAAAGCCGCGGACTCTGTTCTCTTTTGAGAATGACCCCCGGTATGAAGTGCACTTTGTCCTGGCTGTAGAGCTCCGTCCTGACACATCACAAGTCAGAGCAGAGGACCCTCTCTGTCACGTGAACTGTTTAAGATGCGCGCGCGCACGCCCTGGGCTCTGTGTGCCGTTGTGCCGCTGGGCAGAGCTGCAGTCAGAGCTTTCGCCCACTGAGCCCTGGGCCAATTGTGTTACGTTTGAATTGTGAGGCGTTGAATAACAGCCTCTGCTCGGGCTGTGAGTGAACAGAGTGCACTCAGTGCTCTTTTCCACAGCAGAAATGGCCTCACAGTCCAACCACTAACAGCCCATCTCAGACACCACCTGCTAAAGGGTAAACCATGAACACGACCAGAGCTGTGACAATGAGGAACTTCAAAGTCTGCCTGTGCCAAAAATAAAAGTGTGCAAAATAACCCACAAGCTTGTTTGTTTCCTTCTGCAAACCAAACTTAACACTGCTGAAGCAAAAATAAACAGGACTGGGTCAGGGTTACCCAGGTTATTGAGTTTTACTGGGTTATAGGGTTACTGCAGGTTAAAGTGAATAGCCCAGTCTACACATATATTACTGCATCCAGGAATTCAGTACAAAAGTACAAAATGCAACACTGTTGTAAGTTAGGGGAAGTGACTGTGAAATATTTACCAACAAGCCTGCTGCTCATTTGTGGCTTTTTCACTTTGTACATGAGAGCGGAGCAGGCCTGGGGCAAGAGGTGACCCAGCCCTTCTATTGCGAGCATTTAGCCTCCAGTGATGGCTCTTGTGGCCAGATGTCAGGAAGTGTTTGAAGGGTGCGCTCCTCTTGGCAGGACAGGGCTGGTGGTGGCGGGGCACTTCTCATCTCTCCCTGAGGAATAACAAGCAGCCAGTAATGCTCGGAGCAGGAGAGAGAGCAACAGGCCTCTTTCATTAGCAACTGACAAGCTCTGAAGATTTAATGGATGTACAGTGGAGCACGCCATGTTATAATGACATAATGGACAGTGGTTAGAGTGCAAACAGGATGTGAAATTATCTAGTATTCAAACCGTGCTTTAGTGGAGAATCTAGGGTTAATATAGGCCTTCTGCAATTTTAGGCAGTAGTGAAATGTAACAAAAAGTATTCCCAGGTTTATAACCAAATAAAGTATTGTACAGTATAAATTTGAGGTATCTGTACTTTCTACATGACTAAATGAAAGTATGTTTATTGTTGTGTGAGACCTGCTGAAAAGGCTGAGGGTTTTATTTTTAACATATTCATAATTCGAGCAAACCAAAAAAAAAAAAAAAAAAGCTGCTAGAAAAAGAGACAGATTTGGTTATTTATACTGAACAAAATTCAGCACAATTCTTTATCAAAATTAATGCATTTGAAGTCATTTAAGATCTCAAAATATGTATGTATGTATGTATATTATAGCGGGTTTTTAAAGTATTATTTATCAAACAGTACAGTACAGTACTCGGAGCAGTACAAATTCCAGTAAAGAAAACACCTGCCATAAAGCTGCAGTATGTGACTTTTCAGGTGGAAGGTCCTGCACCTGCTTGTCTCCATGGAGGTGTTTCTTCATCTAAAATACTTCAAAGTATGATGTAAAATGTATCTATGATGCATTTATTACATTATAGTGTCTATTATGGCTAAAACATGCGTAATATCAGTGGCTCTGGTCCTGACATTTTAAATTCTCTCTAAAAAAAATACACACTAGGATGAAGCAGAACCACTTTTTAACTTTTATTTGTTCTTATTCTTCTTTCGCTTAATTGCACGTAGAGCTTCTTTTTCTACTTTCTCCTTGGTATGGATGAGGCAGAAGATAAAGGCATTGCTGTACCTAAAAGACAAACAAGTACTATGAATATGTGAAAACAAAACATTATGCAAATATATGAAGAACAAAAATAAACAATTGAAACAGGAAGTACACACACATGCTCAAGGCACAGCAAGTAATAAAAACATTTAACCAGTTATATACATTTCTGACATTCAACTCTTTTTTAGCTGGAGGATCTGAAACCTTCTTTTCTCCACTGACATGTTCTTCTGTCTGGAATGTCCCGTGAAAAGGCATAAAACTAAAACAGACACATTTAATGCCCTATTCTTGAACATTCCAGGCAAAGCAACGACATCTTCCATGGAGATAAGCAGACGGCTACACTTCCACCAATGCAGTTACACAGCGCACCCAACATATCTGGTATAGAATTAGGAATATAAATGGTATAAAATCCTTTTTTTAATGAAGCTGATTAATGATCATTTTGGATCATTTAGATTTTAATGTCTTTCTTTTTCTTAGTTAGGGATTGTAGTTGTCTTTTTAGTCATAATTTAAAGGGCCCATATTACGCTGTTTTATGTTTCCTAATCACAAACATACTTAGAGTTGTTTTTTGTTTCATTACCACACTTTTAACAAACAAATCCTGCATATTTACTGAGTTCTGAGTGCTCCACTGTGTTTTTAAATCTATACACATTCACTAGAATCATTTGGATCATTTCAACCCTGGAATTTCCGATCTCTACTGAACTAAAAGTGAAATGTAACTGTTCAACTTTTCAACAGCTTCATGACATCATAAGGTGGAACAGAGCATTTTGAGCTTTGGAGATGTATACAGACTAATAATAAAAGATTATTCAAACATGTGAATGAAACAAAACACAACTCCAGGTCTGTTTTTGAGAAGGTAACAACATCACAACATGGTTTAACCCTCACAAGAATCAATTTTGAGTAATATAGGCCCTGGAAAATTACTGCAATTTGTCTACTCGCAGTAACACAGACATTTACATCTCGTCATCCCTGTTTTCTCAGATTTGGTGAGATGTTGTGACAGTCCCTCACTTGGGCAGTTTGTTGTCTCCTCCTGTGATGCGCAGAGGGCAGTGGAACGGGTTGTACATGGGTTCAGACACGGCTCCTCCGACGGCGGTGCGTACCACCTCCACACTGTTGGCGCACCTGTACTCACTGATCTCACAGAAGAACGCCGGCGCGCCCACGCTCTGGACACAACACAACAGGGATAAGAGCTCAGGACACACATGAGCTGAGACAGCTGCTTAAAATAGTTCCTATTGCTTTAAAATACACACTATTTTATTATTATGGACGCACGGATTCAGCCTTTTCAGTTACAGATTATGATACGATGGATTTAAGCATCTTCCAATACCTGATATTGACTGATACGTATGTACTGATAGCAACTAAAAACAGCATTTATTAGATTAAAACAAAAATAAGAAAAGAATAAGAACTTCAAAATGTGCTATGTAGTTGTTACTTATATTTATCCCTCAACCAACTACAGAACAACTTTGTGTAACGATAGATATTCATCATTTACTGGGCCAAATATGACAAGAAAATAGTCATAAAACAGCTATATAATCCAACCAGGATATTGGATGAACTGAGCAATTTTTTCTGTATCGATGCCGACATTCAATACTAGTATCAGTTTGGTGCATCCCTATAAAATATTAACAAAAAGTGGGAAAAATACATTCCAGATTACACAAATAAACAGTTGTATAAAGCAGTGTTTCCGAAACTTATTTCTTGGGACACATATTTGGCCATTATTCAACAATTAGTATTACTCAAGTTTTAAACAATGAAAAACAGTCATTGAAGCAGCAGTAAAAAGATCCATAAGACGCCTATTTGGACATTTATTTTGACCCATTTCTTTTTCTTTTCAACATTCAATTGAAGCAGCAATATTGGAACAAAATAGTCTATAAAATAATTACAAAAAGATTAGAAATTATACAAAACATGTCTTAACATTTCAGCATGTGTCCGAACTGTATATATTAGACCTACATGCAGATCGTGACAAGGCGACCCAAAAAAATCTCTTGTGACCCAGTCTTTAAGAAACGCTGGTGTATAGGACCTGAGATGTCACCACATGTTGCTGTGTCTCAGATGACATCGTAACATTCTTTAGGCCAATCATATGTAATACAGATTTCTATGATTGTACCTTTTAGTTATTTCATGTCAAAATGCGATGTAATCAATAGAGAAAACTCAGCCCATCTGGGAGTATGACATCAGCCCATTTCAGGGTCTGATATGAGTCACCTTATTGTTACTAACTGCCAAAAGAAACATTTGGGACAGTTTACAGTTTAGAGATTATCTAAGTGTTTTCTGTTGCACACGTCTTATCAGCTCGCCTCTGCTTCTCAGAACCATTAAACTGACAAATTCACTACAGTGTAAATTCAAAAAGCTAAAAATCTTCAATAATTGTGTCATAAAAAATTGTAATATAGACGAGAAAAGAGTAACGAATTTTAAAAGGTCCTGTATTACGCTATTTTTTGATCTGTGTTGTAATGTTGTTTCCTCGCCAAGAACATCCCTGGAGCTGCGTTTTGTTTCATTCACACACATTCAACACACAAAACACAAAATTTAGGCGGAGTTCTTCTCTCAAACTCTGTACCACCTTGTGATGTCATGTGGTTATATAGGAAGTAGGGATGTAACGATATGAAAATCCCTCGATATGATGTTTTCGCGATATGCATCTCACGCGTCGATATTTATTACGATATTTTGTGGAGGCTTACAAAACTGTGAATAAGCTACTTTTTCCTCTTAAAATCCCTTGACAAGACTTAATCCAAAGAACTAAAACTTTAAAGTGCTTATTTCTTCATGTAGTTTGCATCAAAACGGAGCAAAGGATCATGGTCTATGTAGTTCCCTCTGTTTTTTTAGCTATTGCTGCACCATAACTCTTAATTTAAGCAAAGAAATTTGTCATTCGATATATTGTGACGGTCCACGATATTATTGTGAGACTTGGAGCTGTAATTATACAAAGAATTAAGATTGAAAAGTGCTTAATAACAGTTATTTCTTCATTTAGTCTGCACTGACAACAGCAAAGGATCATGGTCTATGTAGTTCCCTTTTTTTTTTTTAGCTATAGTTGCACCGTGGCAAGGCAAGTTTATTTCTATGTATGTAAGTAATTCAAAGTGCTTTACATAATAACAAAGACAATAAAATAACAGAGAAAGACATTAAAATAAAAAAATAAAACCATAACAACTAATTTAAGCAAAGAGACTTATTCGATAATTACTAATTCGATACTAATCAGATATATGTGATGGTCCACGATATTATTGTGAGACCTTTGACGATACGATATCACGATATTTTGGTTATTGTTACATCCCCAACAGAAAGTGCTCCACTGTGTTTTTAAACTCCATTCACATTCACGAGAATCATTTGTATGGCAATGGGGAGCTATTAACTTGAGAACTACCACTGCATGATATCACAAGGTGGAATAGAGCATTCAAAGCTTTGGAGATGTAGACAGACTAAAAATAAAGTTACTGAAACATGTGTGAATGAAACAAAACACAACTCTGGGTATGTTTTTGATGAAGTAACAACATTATAACACGTCTTAACGCTTACAAGAGTCTATTTGCGTAACACAGGACCTTTAAGGAATTTTCAAAACGTAACGTGACCTTAATTTGTACCTTGAGTTTGGGCAGAATCCTACGCCATGTCGAAGCTTTTCTCACAAAACTTGGCCTGAATCCTGTCAATGAACAAACACGCACAAACAATGAGGAAATGATTAAAGGTAAGGTCGCACAATGCACCGTTTGCTGGAAAGAGGAAATCCTGTTTCCTCTCAGTGTTTTTAGCCAGAGTTCGCACCAACGATGAGGTCAGGCTCGCGGTCCTGCAGAGACTCGTACTCCCCACAGTGAACTCTGACCCCGACCGTCCTCGTGTCGCTGGTCTCCGGCGGCTCTGTTGCTATGGTGACGCTGCCCTCTTCATCCTAAAACAGAAAACACTGGTCACACTGCAAAAAAAACTAAAATCTAGCCACGTTAAGAGGACTTGAATTAGGAAAGTTTTATCATGATCCGAGTAAATTTCACTTGACAAGTAAAATTACCTGCCAGTGGAATAAAACATTTTGTACTTAAAATATGAAAATACATGTGGCCACAGTTAAGACACAAAAAACAACAACTCTTTGCACTTAAAATAAGAAAGTAAATAAAATGTTGCTTGAATAAAGAAAAAAATACTTATTCTGTTGGTAGATAATTTTACTTGTCAAGTTGAATCTACTGAAATGATGTAAAATGTTCTTAATTTAAGTCATTTTAACTTACATAAATATGGCTTTTTGCAGTGCAACCTCACAGTAAACAGACCAGTCAATGTAAAAATCTTAGAAAATTTTAGGTTTTTGGTTGGGTACTCTTCTATGATATATTAGAAGAGTTTGAGTTTTGATGTTTTTGTTTTTCATGGATTTCATCGTCCTGTTATGAGTGACATTTTGAAGACTCTTGAAGACACCACTAAGTCTCCCCACAGCCATCACATCCATCGGTCGCCAATAAACATCTTTATCATATTCTATTGTTGTGACGTGGTCCTTGCTAGTGAAATAATATTTAGTTTAACATTCTTCATTGTTATGGCAATGGTCCTAATTTTCTGTAATTCTGAAACCACGGAGAGTAGGTCTGCAAAAGGAACGAAAATCAAAATCGATACTAAAACTAGTACTGAAACTAGATACTCATTTAAGCAAGTATCAATACTCAAAAAGTAACATTCACAGAACCTTTCCTGAATAGCTTTAGAATGATCTTGAGCTGATCAGGACAAGTATGGACCACATAATACCTCAAGTACATGCCCATGGATGATTATAGAACCTGGACGACTGAGGGATTACACAAATATAAGGCCACTTAGTAATACAAAAGAAAATTACATTCTATTGTGAAAACAGAGGGATTTTTATAATCATTGTGGTATTGGAATCAGTATTGAGTATCGAGTCTATTCCTTTATATTTCCTCTTTTCCTATTTTCTGTTTCCTTTATATTCCTTTTCCTGTAAATATGTATATGTAACTGTTTCTTCTGTTTTTGTTCACTTTTATGTGAAACACTTTGGTCGGCTGAAGTGGTTTTAAATGTGCGATTATATAAACTTGAACTGAATTGAATTCCTTAGTACCAAAACTGACAAATGCTGATAATGTGACAACACTAATGGATAGAATAAGATACAAGAGACAAATTTGTATTGGTTGTCGAGGATTAATTTGGACATTGTGTTAATTTGCAAGTTGGGGTCACATAAAACAGTAAAAAAAAGTCCCAAATATCTAAAAAAGCAATGCATTTCAGTTGAGGCATCCTATTCCCTTACCTTTTTATACATGTAGAGCTTCATGTTGTGGAACCATGACGGTAGATGTGCGCACGCAAACACCAGGTCAAAGGTCACATGTGGCAGGAGCACAGTCAGTTCCTTCTCGGCAAAACACAGGACACAAGGGTCGAGGGTCAAACAGCAGCGTTCTTAACTACTAGACTGTAAAAAACATTGTATACATGAATAATTAACGTACCCAGAGTGTGGCCAAGGTGTGCAGCTCCCTGTACGACTCGATGAGGTGGATCTTCAAGAACTTCTTAGATGAAAAATTTAAATCTGGAGCTAAGATACGGCGCATTAAACTACAAATACTAGATATATTTATAGTTAATTTTGAATAAAGTCTTTACAATGGATTGGCACCAGTGAAGTGATAATGTAGTAGATCGACAGGGCAGAGCTGAGAAGAGGAGCGACCACGGAAGAAGAACTGAGCTCTCTCCATCTGAAGTACATATGCCACGATACTGCAAAAAAAAACAACATTATCTTTATACTGTGTTATAATATTTTTGCATGGGAAATGTATAAATATTTTACCTAGTGGTCTGATGAGGCTTTTTAAATGGAGAGTTGACATTAAAATGGCTTCTTCTTCTTTTAGGGGTCCGTATCCTTCCTTATGACCTATACAATTTATAGTTTATACATTTATATTATATTATAAAATTACACCGTGTAATGTTTATGGTGAAGGGTCCGTCACCTGCTTTTCTCCATGCAGATTATCGTTATTATTATTATAATAGCTTTTTAATTTATGTTTTAATAATACGGTTCTGTGCAAAGTTCTCATTTCAAACACATCCAGAAGAATTGACAAAATGATAATCACATTTCAGAACATGTTCCTACTAGTAGAGTAACGATATCCAAGTCTCACGATACGATATTGTCACAGTATGAACCTCACAGTACGATATTTATTGCGATATCATAGGAAAGCTCACAATATGGTGGGGAGTCTCATGACTAGGGATGTAACAATATCGAAATCTCTCGGTACGATATTTTAATGATATACATCTCACAGTACAATATTTATTGCAATATTTTGTGCAGGCTAACAAAACTGTTAATATGCTACTTTTTCCTCTTAAAATGCCTTGACAAGACTTAATCCAAAGAACTAAGACTTAAAAGTGCTTAGAACTGTTATTTCTTCTTGTAGTTTTCACTGAAATGGAGCAAAGGATCATGGTCTATGTAGTTCCCTCTCTCTGTCTTTTTTTTCTATTGCTGCACCTTAACTCTTAATTTAAACAAAGAGACTTGTAATTCGATATTTTGTGATGGTCCACGATATTATTGTGAGAACTCTGACGATACAATATCACGATTTTTTGTTTATTGTTACATCTCTAGTTTCTACAGATCTAAACTACAGGGTTAGTCAGGAGTTTTTATACAGGATAAAACGATATATTTTGGGGTTTGTGAAGCAAATTATGGCCTTATACTTGGCCTTTGCAGCCATAGTTATTAGGGTATTAAACTTATCTATCACAATGTGTCAAACATTCTCGGCAAAGCAATAACAAGGCAAGCAAATTAGAGGACCCTGAACCAGGACTTTGATCCTAAGTTCCCACTTTGTATCCAGTCCTGTTGTTTTCTGGTCTGCTCCTTCTCTGCTGTTATGCTCTGCTGCTGGCGTAGCAGCATGCTCCAGTGCAAGCCAGTAGCCTCTGTCCAGCCTGTGCTCTGACAAGAACTCCTCCAGACTGAAGTCTCTGGACGTCACCTCTGCACAGGTCAAAGATGAGAACAAGAGATTAAAACACAATTACACAAACAGCACCATAGACTCTTGACTACTGAATTATATCTGAAAACATAACTCAGTCTGAAGCTCTGTTACTCAAGATCAACTGTAATCTGATCTTTATTTTAACACAATCTGATCAGAAAGCGCTGATTTAGTTGAAACTCCAACAGGTGAGATGATTTGTGCTCTTGACCAAGTCTCTCACACACATAATTACACTCACAAGCTACTGAGCACAGACAACATTTTTTCATTTAGTCATTCTCATCTTTTTACTGAAAATGAAACCTTGACAGGACCGTGAACGTTTGTACGCTTGTGATCTCGGGCTCCTCAAAATGTGTTGCTTAAATAGATTTTATATTTTGAATTCAGTTTTCAGGCTGTCTTAAAAAAATTTTAATCTGTGTTTGTTTATGTGTGCTTTGTGCCTTCATGGTAACTGCTGAACATTACGCCAGTAGAAATACACGTACAACACCCCCAGCATAATGTCACTGCAAAGTATCAATTGGAAAGGGCATTTGTATCTTGAAATGGAAGAGAGAGGATACAGACATTGTGACCACATCTCTGACGGTTTTAGATATTACTCAAAACAAGTATGAGCAACACTGCCACCTAGTGCCTCCGCTCAATTTAATTTCTTTCTTGTGACTAGGTCAGGAATCAGAATACACCAGATGGTTTGCAAGAACCCCAGAAGTTGTAGACCGCGCACTGATCAATCAGCGAAGAGCTGTGAAGCCATGACGTCAAACTTAAGCGACTGTCTGGGTCCCTTTTATGGTACAGCACAACAGTAAACAAAGTGGTCGAGATGGATGTAGACGAAGACAGACATTCTGTGTCGGCAACGATTCCCAAGATCGAGGATTTAAAGCCAGAACGAAGAGAACGTTTGGTGAATTTTATTAAGGGGAAAGACGTTATTGCCCTTCTTCCTACGGGATTTGGGAAAAACTAAAAATACCGGTTAGCCCCATTAGCGGCGCATTGCACACGTGACTACCAAATAGCAGCGATTGGTTAAATTAAAAAAAGTACCCACCTACCGTCGAGCGAACAAATTCTAACTCTGCGAGGTCAGACGGTTTTCACAAAGTGAAACAGGCTGATGAATCAGGCTACAATTTTCTACCCCCTGAAGGTTCAGTAAGTTAATCTAGTCTAAACTATTCAAATCAGTGAATATCCTGAATTTAAAATCATGACTTCAAGCCATTGTGAAAGTGTGTATTCTTTTTCCTGTGTGCTTTTGGATGCAATTAATTTAGTAGGTTTAATTTTGTGCATTCATTTGTTGAGTAGTTCTACAGACCCATGTGTGTCGTTAGAGTAATAAACCTCACTGACCCTGAGGAGCACTAATAGTCCTATGGCTCCCTGTGGACAGCACTCTCCTGAATAACCCATGTGCTCTCAGCAAGAGGTGGAGCTGTGTTTGTGCATGTGTTTGTGTGTGTGTGTATGTGTGCATGTGTGCATGTGTGTACCTGTGTTGTAGCTGAAAGGCATGTATCCCAGCCAGGCCTCTCTCAACATGTACTGGCGCAGTCTCTGGCACCAGGCCTCGTGCTCCTCCTTCGGGACACATCCGTCCTCGCAGAAGTACACGGCGGCGCACCGAGAGCTGAGGGGGGCACACAGAGCAGCCGGGGCAGGGGGACAGTGATATGAGTCCACTCTGAGTCATTAGGAGGCACGGACAGGAGAACAAACACTGGCAAACAATATAAGGAAATAGCTGGCATTTCATAAGAAAGATAAGGCTTCTGTATCTGGGCTGTTGCAATTCACTTTTCTGTGGGGGAGAATAGAGAACTTTTGACCTGCTGGTATTTCTATATGACAAAGAGAAGCAAGTAAATCAAATATAAGTACAAATGTATTCACAGAGCACTTTTAAAGATAGTGAAACAGATTTTTACAATACCTTATAACCTTGGACTTAAAGAGTGCATATTAAGCTATTTTCTGATCTACTGTATATTATAATGCTGTTCCCATGTTGTGTTTCATTCACACAGGCTCAAACAGAAAGCACTCGGTTCCACCTTGTGATGTCACGTGGTAATACATGAAGTGCCTGATTGTGTTTTTAAACTTCACACACCTTTACTAGAATCATTTGGATGATTTCAGTCCTGAAATGGCCAATCTCTGCTGAACAAAAGATAAAGGGTAGCTGTAAACTTGAAAACTACTGCCGACATCACAAAGAGGAACGGAGCATTTTGAGTTTTGGAAATGTAGACTAATACAGGATTACTCAAAAAAATGTATGTTTTTGAGGAGGGAGCAGCATTCTAACATGGCTTAAAGCTCACAAGATTCTAATCTAGTGACAATAAGTGACCAGGCCTCCTGTTAAACTGCACTGAGACCTTTGACTGAGACTCAAATGCCACTGAACAGTGCAGTGCAAATGTTGTACCAACAGCAACTGCAACAATTTGCTGCAGTAAAACATGTATTTTCCTTCTTGGGTTCAATAAAGTGTTTCACAAACGTTTTTTGTGGGGACCCATATTTTAAAAGTCACAAACCTTTGCGAATGAAGTCAAGAGACATTATTCATAAATCACTAAATAAAAATGGATTTGACCATTATTGAACATGAGGATATTTTACTGAGTGATCGTATCTCTCTGAACAATTAGTATTACTCAAGTTTATACTATGAAAAACATTGAAGCGTCATAAAAGGATCCATAAGTCGCCTTTTTAGACATTAAATGCCCATTTCTTTTTCTTTTCAACATTCAGTTGGAGAGTGCAGCGCGCATATCAGGGATACAGGCAGAACTGTATATTGCAGACCTACATGCAGATCGTGACAAAGCGACCCCCCAAAAAATCTCTTGCGATCCATCTGAGGGTCACGACCCAGTCTTTAGGAAACAATGCCATAAAGTATCTCTCTCTTATCTCTCTTTTGACTAATATAGGACCTTAATTCATACTCCATACATTCATATCCATATTTTATTTTTTGTAAAGGAGCATGTTACACTACAATAGTTTGTGTATTAGTTAGCATGTTACTTATTGCTGTCAGTAATTGAGCAATCATCCATGTGGTCTGCTTTAGCGACCAATGATTCCTCCAGGCAACATACAGTATGATATTGGATTTGTTGAAAACTATGCACTGGCTTCACAAAAAAAGCAAAATGAGAGCCCTGGGTTCATACCATTCCTTGAGTCGTGTGGGAAAGGACTTGGTTTTACAGGCGTTGCAGTAGTAAACAGGAGGCCAGCGCAGACTTAAGCCTCGGACCCACTGCTGGTTCGGCTTTGGGTTGAATTGTTCATAAAAGGGGCTAGACAAAGACCACTTAGGGCCCTGCAGGCTGTCGCTGAAGACTGAAAACAGACTGTAAATGAACGGAAAAGAAATCATTAATGGTTTGCTAATGAGTTCATTCTAATTCCATTCATTTGTGTGTCTCACCTGTGAATTAACCTGTCCGTGGTCTTTAGTTTGTCAGGTCTGCGGGGCGGACCACCACACATGGGGGCTTCGGTGCACCTCTGCAGCACTTTGACAACAGTGCAGATGATTTGAGTGGCCATCTCGGACTCTCCGCTCGCGTCGTACCAGAACCAGTGCCAGTCCCGGGGCAATACTCCGAACCCAAGAGCCAGTCCTGATGCATCTGTTACCATGACTACACTTTTACCCATGTACTCGTCTGGTCAGGAAAGGAGACAAAAACAAGATTCTTATTATGTGTTGGACAGTCATTCTGATCATATTTTGTAGGTAAAATGTAGGCAATTTGGGTTGAAGTAACCTACAAATGACTAAAGTATCTTAGAGAAAAACAGACTTAGACCTAAATCAGATGCAGTTGCCTTTTTGTAGACTACAAAGTGTTTAACAACCTGAATGAATAAAAGAATTAAATATTTTGAAGAGGCTAATATAATTGTAGATAGGACACTTTTTTGCTTTTAAAATAGCTCAACAAGATTTTGGTGTGAATTATTTCCGTCATAATCTCAAGAATTCAAGTAAAAAACATATCTCTTCATGTTGTCTGCACTGAAATGAATCCTGTGATATGTAGTTTCTGCTGTTCATAAGCTGTATGAATAAAATATCTCACAGTTTAGGCTTATGACGTTCCCTAAGGCCTTTAATAAAATGTATGTTTGCATTAGCCAACATTTTCATTTGTTTTGAAAGACACAGAGCTCTGGAATTAATGAATTATGGATTGAATTTTGTTTAAATTTATATTTTGTCTCTTATACATACAGTAAGTCGTAAGTGAAATTGTAAAAATGCAAACTTGCTGTTCATACGCTGCTTTTCTTCGCTGAATTCTGTCATTGTTTAGGCTTTATAACTACTTTTTACTTCAGACTAAACTCTTTCGGTCATGATCTGTGGAGTTTGTAGTCAATGTTTTGTTTTGTTTATGTTTTGTAGTGCTGCAAAATGACCAAATAAACTACTGCTACTACATTTATGTTTCACACTTTTCTTTAAATGTCTAATGTTGATGTTCAGCCATATTAATATGAACTTATTTTCTTTATTTTCTTTTCTTTATTTATTTTTATGAAGTTAGTTATAGCAGTAAAGAGAGGCATAAATGGTCACTTGTTTAGGTAAAATGCAGAAAAGCAGCTTAAAAATGACCAAAACACAAAGAAAATGTGACTATAATGAATCATGATTGGGCCGAGTGCAGAAAAAATCTCCTTAATTACGCACTCGTTTCACTATTTACGCTTTTTTTTTTTTTTTCCAGAACCGAGGATGTCCCAGTTTTGTTTTTTGTTTTTTTATTTTATTTTGAAAATCTGGTCACCCTATATTTGAAAATAATACATATATTTCACCTGTTTTTAGGGGACTGATGTTTGCCCTGTGCAGTCTTCCCGCTCCAGGCAGACGCTCGGAGCTCTCCAGTACATGTATGATCCAGTAGGGGGAGCTGTCCAGCGGGATCTGTGTCTCCAGGCTCTCCGCGCTGGGGCCCTTGGGTGCGAGACCCTTGGGTGCGGTCTTTGTGCTCGTCTGATAGCTGAGATACCACTGAAACATGGTGTCTGAAAACTCCACCAAAGGGTCACAGTTTCCCGAGATAACTTCCGTCTCATCCATGTCTAAAAGTAGTTGATTTCCTAGTCACGTTATCCAACAAAATATTAAACATGTCATTATAATTAGCCTAAATTATAGTTTATACGAGTGGCTGTTAGTTATTCTTACCTAAATTATCTTTTTCTTTAAATATACCGCCGCTGTAGGACGATCAACAACAGGACAAAGTAATGTAAAACTGTTATTTTACAGAATCGTCCAGGGCAACAGTCGTGATGACAACAATCGCCATGGTAACCGATAGTACTCCAACATCTAGGTCTATTAAAATCGCATGTTCCGTCTGACATAAACATATTCTTGGACTTTTTTTTTTTTATCACTTCACTTTTTTCACATCTTAAATCCTCTTTCTTTTCTTCAATTCTTTTTCATTTTGATTAGCTAATACAAAAAAAGTATGTTATAGCCATTTGTGTGAAGTAAACAGGCTCATTATCAGTGGTTGTGTGTAGGGATGTAACGATATCCAAATCTCTCGGTACGATATTATTTCGATATGCATCTCACCATACGATATTTATTGCGATATTTTGAAGAGGTTGATATAATTGTAGATAGGACACTTTTAAAATACCTTGACAAGTTTTTGGTGTGAATTATTTCCGTCATAATCCCATGAATTCAAGTAAAAAGCATATCTCTTCATGTTGTCTGCGTTGAAATGAATCATGGGATATGTAGTTTACGATGTTCATAAGCTGTTGCTGATGTAAAACCTTGCATTTAAACAAATGAACTTAATTCGATATATTGTGACAGTCCACGATAATATTGTGAAACTTTAGACAATGCGATATCGCAATATTTTGGTTATTGTGACATCTGTAGTTGTGTGTGAATATGGTGTATTACTGCACAAAAGATCGACAAGCACAGTGTTTTAGGGTCAATATTACATTTCATAATTCAGAGAAAGTCTTAACATCTAGAGAACTTACATTATTATGACCAAAAATGGATCATAAATCAATTTAACTTCAATGAATTTCCTGTCATTAAAATTTTGCCACAATAGATACAATAGTTGATAATTATCTCTCTGGTTTTATCATACCTCATTGCAAAATAACACAAAAAATAACAAAAAAAAATATATTTTTTGGAGTTTTTTATTTTAATACACAGAATGAAACTAGAGCTAATCTAACTTCAACTAAAGTGTCTTAATAGTGTTTTTATGTGTTAATAAATAAACAATATATTCAGGGGTGTAGCACAAAATTCAGGGCCATGAGAACAACAATCGTGGCCCGGATTATGATCTCTACATGAAAAATACACATTACAGACTGTGTTTCCCTGGGTAAACAACAAAATTTACCCCTTCAGTTCAAGGCTCCTGCAGATATTTAAGCTCTATGCCATCGTAACAATTGAAAACAATCCTACAAGCAAATATCTTGAAGGCTCTGCGCAGTAAAAGTCGATCAGATGACAGAATTTGATTTCTTGATGTGTTTCTTGGACAGTTCCTCCTTCCTCCTCTTGTTGCTGTAGCTGACTCTGTGAAGTCTGTACGTTTTTCTCGCCTGAATTCTCTCCTTCTCCATCACCTCTGTGTCATCCAAAATCTCCAGCCCTGGGATTTGACTGATCACATATAATCTACAGAACACACAAACACAAGACTAATAATCGTCTCTCTTTGATATGGTGCGTGAGAAATTGGAGATGGGAAAAACTGTAGAATACATTTTGCGTACAACATAATAATTAGTTACCCACAAAGCAATTGGAAATAATTTCATTAGCTGAGCAAATAATCAGCAACAAACCTAATGGAAGAGAATATTATGACAAATGTACACAGCTCACCTCTGCTTCTCAAAACCATTAAACTGACAAATTCACTACAGTGTAAATTCAAAAAGCTAAAAATCTTCAATAATTGTGTCATAAAAAATTGTAATATAGACGAGAAAAGAGTAACAAATTTTAAAAGGTCCTGTATTACGCTATTTTCTGATCTGTGTTGTAATGTTGTTTCCTTGCCAAGAACATCCCTGGAGCTGTGTTTTGTTTCATTCACACACATTCCACACACAAAACACAAAATTTAGGCAGAGTTCTTCTCTCAAACTCTGTTCCACCTTGTGATGTCATGTGGTTATATAGGAAGTAGGGATGTAACGATATGAAAATCCCTCGATATGATGTTTTCGCGATATGCATCTCACGCTTCGATATTTAATTTTACTGTTATGAATTTTTGTGTTTATTTTCTGGTTAAATAATGTTAAAACATTGACCAGAAAAAACATGATAAATGTATACAATCTCACAATCTCATTTATTGAATGAATGAATGAATGAATGATACTGTATTATGTGTTCAAGTTTGTTTAATAAAAATACACAGCAAACAATATTGTGTAATAAGGCAAAACATTACAAATCCAGTGCTGAAAAAATATCTAATATTCATTGTAAATGCTGCATAGAAGCAAACAAGCACTGCCTGTATGATAAAAGGAAGACAGGAAAGTTGGCAAAACATTTAAAAATACAAATAACTTAAACCAGCAATTATATGAAAAACATTTTAACTTATAAAATATTATTAAAATAAGAAATCATTAATGTGCATTGTCATTTTTAGCTTGTTAACATTAAATAAATAATGTTAATGACTATTACTAAGAGCTTGCATATTTTACTGGCTGCATATTGGTTGCATATTGAAAAGTACATTTTATTCACTTACATCTTTAGTTAAATAAAATTACTTTGTCTTACACTGTACATTTTGAAAAAGTGAGATTTAGGCCATGTTATAATGTAACTCAATGTATGTATATATGTAATGTAATAATGCCTAAAAACATACCTAGAGTTGTGTTTTGTTTCATTTTTGAAGAACACTTTATTATTAGTCTGTCAACGTCTTCAAAGCTCAAAATGCTCTGTTCCACCTTGTGATGTCATGAAGCAGAGGTGAGGACTTGTAAGTCGTGACTTGAACTCGAGTCAGACTTGAGTTATTATTTTTAGGACTTGAGACTTGACTTGATAAGATGGACTAAGACTTGGGACTCAACTTGGTCTTGAAGGTCAATGACTTGGGACTTGACTTGGACTTGAGACCTGTGACTTGAGAAGACTTGATGCTTCCACAAAATATACAGTATGTTTTTAGCAAATACTTTTCTGTTTGCAGTTGATAAATGCGGCGCTGAATTTTACAGAAATAAACTGGAGCACGTCTGTCCCACTTCTCTGTTTGGATGCAACTGAAGTACTGTGATATGGCATCATCAAATGTACTACAGTAATATGCAGTACAATACAGTAAAACAGAGGGAACTACAAAGAACATGATGCTTCCATTTCAGTGCAGACTACACGACAAAATAATGAAAAATAATGAATTCTTTCTATTTTGACTGTAATGACTCACACTAAGATTTTGTCAAGACATTTAAAAAGAAATACTAGTATTTCTAAAACTCTTATATAAAATTACATACATATATAAATATACCGTGACAATTTAGTTTAAAATTCATATAAATTGCGAAAACCTAAGCTATATTTGGTACTTTTGTTTAAAGACTTAAAATGACTTGAAGCTCAAAGCAGTCAACTTGAACTTGACATGGACTCATGGGCCAGTGACTCGAGACTCAACTTGGACTTGCCTGTCTTTAACTTGGGACTTGACTTGGACTTGAGGTCAAAGCCTTGAGACTTACTTGAGACTCGCAAAACGACTTGGTCCCACCTCTGTCATAAAGTGGCAGTTTTTCACATCTAAATATGCAGGATTTGCGTGTTAAATATGTAAGAATGAAACAAAAACACAACTCCAGGTGCTGTGCTAAGAATCCAAATTATAACATAGATAAAAAGTGTCATATGGGCCCTTTAAGCATCACTTTTTCTTGCCACCTCAATAGAATCTTCCATCATCGTCGTGTCTGTGCTGGCGTCCACGATCGTCTGCTGCCCTCTTGTGGACGAGCGGATGGCCTGCAGGTGAGACATGGAGATTTGCCTGAGGTCTCTATGATCTACTCGGACTGGAATTAACTTCTCTCCAGACCTGCTCCTCTGAGGACTGTAGCTTTTGAGGAAAACAGCTCTTTCTCCAAATGCTGAAGTCTTTCTTGCATCTTCTGAAGTTCACCGTTAGAGGCCATTTCTGCAAAAAAAAAAAAAAAAAAACAGAAACAGAGCGATGTAAGAAAGAAGATGTAAGATTTGTCCTAAAGTGTTGATCTTGGTACTAAACTCTGTCAAAAAGTTTTAAGAATCGTCTGTAAACTCAAGAAAACAACGCTGACCACTATAAACCTCTGATTGAAATTTTTATAAAGGCATATAAATCAGAAGTTTCAAGGGAAATAATAACCAAATTATATGAATGCATTAATAATCTGGCCAACCATTCTACTAAATATGTTAAAAATAAATGAGAAAGGGAAGGTATTTTGCTCTGACAGATGAAGAATAGAAAATATATATATACATTCGAATGGAGGATCACAAAATCACATGTCTGGAAAGAATCATATTACTCACATCAAATTTGGCGTTTTTATGAGACATTTTATTACTCTTAGATCTACAAACATCGGTGTTATCCTCACCTTTGAGTTGGCTGAGCAGGAGCTGAATTTGTCTCTGGTTGTCTCTGTGCTGTTGCATGAGTCTTCTGTCTGTGTCCAGGGCCAAACGCTGCATGTGCTCTTCCAACGCCCTTAAAGCTCCGTCCTGCTCTGAACTCTGGAGCTTCAGCTTCTCACATCGCCACAGCAGCACGCGCTCTGCCTCACGAAGACGCACCACCTGAACAAGGACATTTCACCACATGAGATATTACATTAGTTAGTTATACTGTTGTTCTCGTATTTCATCGTTTTATAAGTGACCACTCAGTAAAATGTGAGTAAAGGTTTGCTGGTGGCCACATGTCTCACAGTAAGAAGGTTCCGGGTTCAACTCATGGCCGCGTTTGTCTGTTCTCCCTGTGTCTGGATGGGTTTTCTAGCCAGGCTGGCGCCACCTAGTGCCTCTGCTCAATTTCATTTCTCTCCAGCGACTAGATCAGGAATCGGAATACACTAGACGGTTTACAAGAACCCCGGAAGTTGTAGACCGTGCACCGGCCAATCAGCGAAGAGATGTGAAGTCATGACGTCAAACTCAAGCCTCTGTCTGTGTCCCTTTTGTGATACAGCACAACACTAAACAAAGCGGTCGAGATGGATGTAGACGAAGACAGACATTCTGTGTTGGCAACGATTCCCGAGATTGAGGATTTAAAGCTGGAACAAAGAGAATGTTTGGTGAATTTTATCAAGGGGAAAGACGTTATTGCCCTTCTTCCTACAAGATTTGGTGCATTACATATGGCACGACCAAATTGCAGCGATTGGTTAAATAAAAAGAAGTACCTGCCTACCGTTGAGCGAACGAATCCTAATGCTGCAAGGTCAGACGGTTTCCACGATGTGAAACCGGCTGATGAATCAGGCTATTGGTTTCCCCCATCAACCCAAAACATCCACTATAGGTCAAATCCTCCAACTAAAGCTCTGACCAAGACTAACTCAAGATCTGGAGATGGGTCCCACTGCTCCTGACATGTTACCTTGGTTGAATTGAAGGATGGGTCAAACACAGAGGACAAATTTCCCCATGTAGAGAATAAAGTGTTTGCCTGATTCTGATGTTTTTGTTGTCCCTTGTGATTTTTTTTTGGTTTTGTTTTTTTGTTGTAAGCAGCCTTATTTGTTTTGATAAAGATGGACCACGCATGTTCCTGATTGGCTAATCCACCTGTCAATCACATCCATCTGAAAACTGGGAGATTCACCAGTGACCAGACTCACATGTTCATAAATTATTAAAGAAGTATTTATTCTGGATCCCAGGCAAATAAAGTGTACTTTTATGAACTTTTCTGATGGTGGTTAATCACCTGCTCATCTCCATAACTCCATAACAAACATCAAGTCATCTCAACCATTAACATTTTAGCAGCCAGTTAATTAAAACATACATTGATTTAATTCCCCGTGTAGTGTATCCATGTCCCTCCCTCACCTTGTTGAAGTAGATGATGAAGAGCTCTGTGATATCAGGTGGGCTCAGCTCCCTTAGCCTCCTGCGCACACTCCTCATGTTTGCGTCTGTGCTCCGTCTGTGAGAGGAGGGTTCAGGCTCAGACTTAGACAGCCTCTCCTCTTTCCTCTGACTCGACTGAGATTTAAACTTCAGAACAACGTCCAGAGTTTCTATGGCCTCCTCCAGCTCCACGAGGCTCTGCTCCTCCTGAACGTCAGAAAAAACAAACAAAAAGATGAGTTATTTATTTGTCATTATAGAAAACAACATTGGTGTAAACAAGAGCACGTGTGTCACGTGACCTGACTCTGGGGGTGCGTTCAGGGGCAGTACAGTGTCACAGACAGACAAATTACTGCAGATAAATACTGATGCTGTACCACATATTAGGACATTTATCTGTCTGTAAATTAGATTAAATGGACACAATATAGAGTTTAAGCTTTATGATGAGGTATAACACGTCCACGTCGACTATCAGTAATTGTTTAAATTCCAATTTGTGAAAATAAACTTCCTGACACATACAGCAGGAAGAGTAAAGTAATTTTGACTTAAGAATACATTTTTTACTTTCAAACAGACAGAATGTGGAACACAGCTGAGCTTTGAAGACGCAGACAGTCTAATAATCCAGAATCACTCAAACATGTGTGAATGAAACAAAACACCACTCCAGGTCTGTTTTTGAGGAGGTAATAACATTTTAAAATGGCTTAAAGCTCACAAGAGTCAATTTTGCACAGTGGACCTTTAACTGATGTGGAAAATGTTATTGTCTGACACTGACCTTCATCTGGTAGTGTTCTCTCAGGTGAACACTGCAGTCGGGGGACTTCCGGTGGCGCGGTCTGTGCGATGGACGTGTAAAGCGTCGCTCTGATTACAGCCTGGCGTATATCCCCAAAATTCGAGGATTTTTTACCATATATTAGTCATTGAAGTAAAGATGAGTGGGGATAGACAAATGAGGGGAAAGTCCGGGACAAAGGGACCTACGGAGAAGAAATCTTACCCGAGTTCTAATACTGCTAGCCTAGCTAGCTTGAGCGATGCCGAGAGCGAAGCTAATGTTAGCCCTATGGCCACAGACAGCGCTACCATTCGCGCGATTATGAGTGAAGTTATGGCCAAGGGCTTGAACGATCTTAAATTACAGATGGCACAGGATCTGGCGGACCTTCGGGAGGTAATCAAGGGGGATATTAAGAGCCAACTAAATGACATGAGCATCAACATGGACCAGAAGTTACAGACTGCTACCAGCCAGATTGAGGATGCTACACGGCGCTTAGAAGAGGTTGAAAAAAACGTGGCTGGAGCAGAAAAGTGGGACTTGGCCGTGAAGGACACATTGCTTGAACTCTTAAACAACCAGAGGGATTTACAGGCTAAGTTGTCTGACCTGGAAGGGCGCGTCCCGGCGCAATAACATCCGAATTTACGGCGTCCCAGAGAACACCGAGGGTACATCGGTGCAACGGTTCATTGAGAGCTTTATAATGACTGAACTGGGGGAAAGCCTGGGTGTCCAACGGGGCACCGAGCTTGGTATCGAGCGGGCCCACCGAGCGTTGGGTCCACAACCACCACCCGGTGCACCCCCGCGCTCCATCGTTATCCGTTTCCTGAGGTTTACAATAAAAGAGAAAGTTCTTCAATCGGCCTGGAAAAAGCAGATGCATGTTCAAAAGAGACGCGTCTTCTTTGACCACGATTACGCGGCAGATGTGCAGCAGAAGAGAAAAGAATATGCCCCGATAAAAAAGGTGCTGAGAGAAAATCAGATTCGCTTTCAGACACCATTGACGAAGATGCGGATCCATTTTAGCACTGGGGCTGTTACTTGCAATGACCCGGGTGCCGCTGCTGAGGAGTTGGAGAAGCGGGGCTTCTCGGTTGGTCCGATTCGAGTGAAAAAGCCCGGAGAACACACCGCGGACATCCTGACCAAGCTTGTGCCATGGCGCACGGCCGGCTCCCGCCGCGCTGGTCCTGAATACCAGGAGAGCATCAGAGAACGGCTGCGGGGATTTCAGAGGTGAACACTGCAGTCCTGCATCAGTTTGTCCATGTTCTGCTGTAATTGCTGTCTCTCCGCCTCTTTCTCCCGGCTCATCTCCTCTGCGAGTGACAGAGCTTCCTGAAAAATAGACCATATGAATAAAACATATTTGAACTATAGTCTAATGCAGTGTAAAGGCTTTTAGTGCACTCTGTAATTGTTTCTGGTGGAGGATTTACTGTCGGCTTCATGGACATGTTATCGGTATGCTTGAAATTACAACTCTACTGTTGTCAAATCTGTACTTTGTGTACCTGATTTTTCAAAAGTAATTTGTCACATTCCAGTTACCACTACAGCCCAGTGTTGACCTGGAGCATAAAACCAAAACTTCTGCCACCTCCTCTCCCATTCTCTCTCTCTCTCTCTCTCTCTCTCTTTCACACACTCTGTCCTCCAGCCTGCCACCCCACAGCCACCGCTCTTTTCTTTCTTTTTATTTCCACACCTTCACACACTTAAAACATGATCTCACCGAGTATCACACACACACCCACAGCACATGACACACACACACACACACACACACACACACACACACACACACACACACACACACACACACACACACATACACACTGACTACAGCCACACAACTATAAAATAACTATTGTTATTTTTAAAGAAATGCCCTTAACAAGGCTTAAACCTCTGCCGTTTTCACCCTCCCCTTCTTTACTTGAATTCACAGGCATCGACTTTTTGGCCATTTGCAAAGCTTTTGAACAACTTTTTCAGAGAGAGACATGGAGCGGGGAGGACCACCCTCTACATAAACAACCAATCAGCTCTCATCCTCAAAAAGTCATACAGTGACTCACAAGGTAATTTATGAGAAATAAAGTGAGGTACTTCAGCTTTAAGTAAAAGTACAAAGTGAAACAACTCATTCTATACAGTATTTTAACAGTTTGAACTGTTTTTGTGGGTTTAGAAAGGAGCAGAGACAGAGGGGGGACCATATCGTGGGAAAGCTCACGATATGGTGGAGAGGTTCACGATTAGGGATGTAACAATATCCAAATTTCTCCGTACAATATTTTCACGTTATACATCTCACGGTGCAATATTTATTAAAAACTGTTAATATGCTACTTTTTCCCTTTTTCCTCTTAAAATGCCTTGACAAGACTTAATCCAAAGAACTAAGACTTAAAAGTGCTTAGAACTGTTATTTCTTCTTGCAGTCTGCACTGAAATGGAGCAAAGGATCATGGTCTATGTAGTTCCCTCTGTTTGTCTTAGCTGTTGCTACACCATAACCCTTAATTTAAGCAAAGAGACTTGTAATTCGATATATTGTGATGATCCACGATATTATGAGAACTTTGACGATACGATATCACGATATTTCGGTTATTGTTACATCCCTACAGTGAGTATTTGTAATCTCTGTAACACTTCCATTGGAACTAAACACTAAATCCATGTTCTTGCCTTGTCTTGAATGTTTCACAGTGTGGCATTAAACCTTTCTATCTTCATGGAGACCAAACCAGACCGAATTACAGGTCAAATCTGTGGAGAGGCGACCTGGTTCAGTCCTGGTTCAGTCCGCCTTTGCAGTTTAAGTCACGGAAACAGGAAACGGCCGTTATCCGTTTTTTCCATTATTCATTTAAACACAAAATCGAAAAATGAAAAAAACAAAACAATCGTTATCCGTTTTTTCATTTTGGTTTTGGAGACAAATAATGAAGAAAATAGTTGTATTTTTCATTTTCTTATTTTTGGTTTTATATTGAAAAACAAATGAACAAATGATACACGGATTTTTAGGTGTTTAGTCCCACTTGAAGTCGTTTTAGACCAGTACTGTGGGGGACACTGAACAAAACGTAAAATAAGGATCCTCATTTAAGATTATCATCAAAACGTTCATTATTACTCTTTATTGATTCCCCGATACCTTGCATCTGTGCTCCTCACTATGTTTCGTCTCCATAGCTTCCCATCGTGCCGTGCTTCCTTTTTGGTCCGCGCGGTTGGAGGACAGAGGACGGTTTCTCATGTGACGCGCTCTAGAAGCAAACCGCAGCACGCTCAGGGTTTCGGTGAAGTTGCGCTCCGACGGGCTCACGCACGCGATCATCAGCGTGTGAGCTCGTCCTTCCAACGAATCCCGGAGCAAACGCGTGAGCTTGGAGTCTCTGTAGGGCATGTGCTTGGGGTTGGGCTTCGGATCGGTCAGTGTGCGGATGACGTTTCCGAGCGCGAGTAATCCTGTGTTGATGTGCACGGATTCTCTGAGGCGCAGGCCCGTGTTGCCGGTTTTGTCGGCGCGCTCGGACCCGGCCAAGTCGACGAGGTGGAGTTTCGACGTGTGCTCGAACCATTCTGAGGTGGTCGGGTCTTGGACGCGCTGGTGCAGCTGGAGCGTGACGATGGCGTGCGAGCGGCTGGACAGTTTGTTCATGCCGGTGGGGCTCGTGTGGCGGCGGGCGTTTCCAGTGGCCAGGGCGCTGAAGATCTCTACAGCCGAACACACCTGCTGCTCTATGGCCCCGACTACAACTGTGGACACAAACGGGGAAACGGAGCAGGTTAATGATGAGTTCAGAGAAGTTCATTGTTCATTGTTGGAGAACATTTTACTCAGAGCCTCTCCACAGATCTGACCAGCAGAGGTGGGACCAAGTCTGTGTTTTGCCAGTCTCAAGTCTTTGACCTCAAGTCCGAGTCAAGTCCCAAGTCAAATACAGGCAAGTCCAAGTCGAGTCTCGAGTCACTGGCCCATAAGTCCAAGTCAAGTTCAAGTCGTCTGCTTTGAGCTTCAAGTCATTTCAAGTCTTCAAGGGGTAGTAGTGATAAAGTGTTAGTAATCAAAATGGAAAAACAGTTATATTTGTTTCCCGTGTCACCTGCTCAGAGATAACAAACGGAAATTAGGATTTTTGCAATAATCTGATATTTACACTGTAACAGATGTTCATTACTAGGCACTGTCCCTACGAAATAAAGATTAAAGTAAAGTACCAGTATTTCCTCTGTCCTCTCTGATGTACAGGGTCTTGTTGACGGTGGACAGCTCCAGCAGGTCCCTCAGCTCTTCCATGTACAGCTCCAGATATGAGAAGGTCAGCGTGTAGTCCACCACGTCCCGACTCCCATCCAGCAGACAGAAAAGGTCCTGGGCCACACGGTTCGTCAGACCACCCTCCTCTGGTGAAATCACAACAAACGATACATAAACAACTTTATAAGTCTGTATAATTGTACTGCAACTGTATACTGTTCTAGTCATTTACATCAAACTCCTAAACGGGACCACAGACCGCTCGTATTAATCACAGGTTCCTGAAAATGTGCTGTTTAAAACTTATATATTATATAAATACCTTGTTTTTGGTGGTATCTTGTATGGCAGGTAAATAGATTTCCTCAGGAGCAGGCGTTAGCGTGGCTATCATACTAGCGCCAGTCATTGAAGGGGTCCACTGGCATTTCCTCAGTACTAACGTCATCCACAATTAGGTCTAAAACTTCTTGTGCAGACAGGTCCTAGCTAGGATTCCATAATTCCACCGTAAAAACATCCAAATGTTGTCAAAAGTCACCCCGACCCGCACTTTCCTGTGCGTAATGCTCTTACGCACAAAATTGCCTCCCCCTCTGGGCCCCTTACGCAGCGCCTGTACACCCACTAAACTTTGACCAATCACGGTGTTTCATACACCGTTGGAAAGCTCTCATTGGCCAGAACACGATGATACCCACATTTTTCTGATTGACAAAAGCATCAACGAATAAGACGGCGGAGAAATCAGGAGGGTGTGCTTTTACGCACACGGGGCTCTGACGAAAACCTGCCTTCTGTGGAGAGGAGGGAGGAGAGAGAGGGACGAGCGCTGTTGTTTTCGTTTCTATAAGAGCTCCGGGAGCTGACGTCATACGGCACGTCACGCACTAGGTGTCGCCATTTTGGCAGTAATCGGCAGATCGGCAGACTCGCGGTGGTGGAGAAAGCTAAACATGGTTGATAACTGTTGTGCACCAGGTTGCACAAATAAACGAGGGAAAAAGAAAGGTACGTCTTTTTACCGCATTCCTAAAGATGCGGAGAGGCGAGCTAAGTGGATTAGCGCCATTAAAAGAGCCAGGAGCCAGCAAAAGAAGACTGAAAGATGGGACCCCCCAGCTGTTGGATTCCGCTTGTGCAGCGATCACTTCATATCAGGTAAGTTACCGAATAAAAAACTTAGTAACATTAGGGTCTTCATTATTAAATGTGCTATCATTGTGGTTTCTGACCAGTTCAATACTACATAGCTAGTTATTATAGCATGTAATTTATGGGGCTAAGCTAAGCTAGCAAGCGCTAACATAGTAAACAAACCCAGTTGGATACTGAAATGTTTCTATTTATTTTGTAGGGAGAAAGAGTGATAATCCATGGAGTCCAGACTTTATTCCATCTATTTTCAACTACGTCCCATCTCCAGAGAAGAGGAAAATAAAAATGAGACTGGAAGTTTTCAACAGAAGACAGAAAGCAAAGCTACAAAAGATGGAGCAGACAAAGCTATCTGCGGAAGCCATCTCTCCCAGGTGAAGATATCAAAGTACTTCTAGTATTAAGCTGACTCTGAATATATGTTAGGCCTCTTCATCTTCTGTTGCATTTTAGTGGCATTTGATTTGTCTGTTACTGATACTATTGTACTTCAAATAATGTGGAAATTACACAATTCACGGTACGTTGAATAAAAGATAGTATATACTGCAGAAAACAGAGTGATTGACATAAAAATTACAAACTGGCATCAGTAGTGTATACATTAACACATACATTAACTCTCAATATACTACTTTTGTTTTTTCACTAGGGCATCAACCGACTGTCCCCAAGAGAGCAGCAAGGATCCTACCGTACACCAAACTCCCATCACAGAGCCTTTAAATGAATCTACCCATGAAGAACCTGGAAATGATGTCCAGCCTGTTCACCATGATGATCCAACAACTCCACCATGCAGCACTGAAACCTGTAGGAAATACGTCCAATCTCTTGAGCAAGAATGCCAAGCTCTGAGGACTGAAAATATGTTGTTGAAAGAAAAAAATAATAGGATTACAATGAATGAGATGACCTTGCATAACAATGATAAAAGGGTTAATATTCTCACTGGTTTATTGACATATTCAATTCTTATGACAATTTTTCAAATTGTGGCTCCTTTTCTCAAACTTAAATCTGATGTAACATGTTTTCAGCAGTACATATTAACTTTAATGAAGCTTAGAATGAACTTGTCCTTTGACTTTTTGGCTTTTTATTTTGGCGTTGACTCCACCACTGTTTCAAAGCTCTTCAAACACTGTATTAGTGTGATGCATTGTAGACTGGTGCCAAGTCTAGTGTTGTGGCCTGACAGAGAAAGTTTAAGAAAATCTCTTCCATATGCATTTCGAAACAGTAGCTTTGAAAAGACAGTTTGCATTATAGATTGTTTTGAAATATTTCTAGAGAAACCCAGTAGATTGCTAGCCAGTGCTCAGTGTTACTCCTCATACAAATCACATCACACATTGAAATATTTAATTGCAGTTTGCCCTCAAGGTTCCATTTGTTTCATTTCCACTGGATGGGGAGGTCGCACAAGCGATAAGTTAATTACAGAACAAAGTAATTTTTTATCTCATGTGCTCCCAGGAGACATAGTTTTAGCAGACAGAGGTTTCTTGGTTAAACCATCCACCCGCCCGCCGGCGGGCGATTTTCCAATAAAAAATGTTCACTCTGTATATTCACCTTCATTATTGTTTTCACTACTGGCATGCCATACATCGTTTGAAAGCTTAATTTGTCAATAAAAAAAACATATCATTCATTTTATGCCGTACAACGAGCCCAAAACGCTATAACTTAAAAATTCACATCATAAACAAAGAATAAGATACGCGTTTCTTACTTTGAGCCGGTTCTGTCGGTCCAAAACGCGTTCAATCCATGAAAAGTTGTACTCAATAAGTCCGTAATAATCCACAGAAAAAGAATATCAAGTTGTTTTTCCAAAAAATAATTCCATGTGGGGAAATAATCCAGAAAACCGTCGTCCGTATGAGTGGATGAATCCGTGAATGAAAATATTATGTCTCTTCTCCGCCTCTTTCTCCCGCTCTGACTTCCCTTTCTCTCCCGCTCTTGGGTACGCTTGTTTTCCTCACACTCTTAGCTTCAAAATGAGACCCTCCCCGCTGTTGTCGGTGGCGGGTTTAGGTGGGACAAGCCGCTGAAGAAGCTAACGCACTCACGTACTTTCTGGCTTTACGCACGCGTCATCAGTTTGCTTACGGGAAATCTCTTCAGTCATTGGATCTTCCAGAAAGTGATTGACATATTATTTTAGCCTATCACCAGAGCTTTCAAACGGTGGGTGGGACATCCAGATTGTATTGGAAACGGACCCTGTGTTTATAAGCGTAAGGAGAGAGGGAGACAGGGAGCAGTGCGAGCGGTGCTATAGAAGGCAGATCTTCCACTTGGAGGACAATTTTGGCTACTTTTAGTTTTTTTTTCTTGAGAAAACATGCCTAAAGCTCAGAAGAATTAGTATTATAATAATAACAATTATTATTATTTTTATATTATTATTATTTTGGCACAAATTTGGCAATCTTGTGCCGAATTGTCATTTTGTTTACACAAAGGCTCACAGCATCAAAACCCTTTGTCTGAAATTCTACACAGTTGTTGCCAACAACTTGAACAATGAGTGTAGTGAGTCACAAATGCCTAGCATGAAGTATGCCCAAGCTAAGGCCTTTATTTTTTTCTATTTTTTTTTTTTTCGAAGCAAAAAAATTTTTTTTTTTTTCAATTTTAATTGACTGTACTGTAGGTTAGGCAGCACTCACAGTCTTCATGTACATATCTACAGAAACTAGAAGGTCTAAGCTTTAAAATGGTGCCTCACACAAGCATGTGGGTTCTAAGGTTTTCTTTTAATAAGCTATGGCATTTGGGTATGTCTTACCATTGTGCACACACCAAAATGAGGCGGGTGGTAACAGGTTAAAGAGTCCATTCAAAGATGCCAAGCTGAATTAAAGATTCCTGCATTTACTCGTGGAAAGAAACAGTTAGATCCCATTGAATTGGAGAATACCAGATGTCTAGCCTCTCTTAGAATACATATTGAAAGAGTAATAGGAGTTCTCCGTCAAAAGTACACAATCTTGCAAAACACTGTCCCCTTAAGTTTCACAGACATTGAGAGAGAAAATGATGTGACCTACCTCGATAAGATTGTGAGTGTATGTTGTGCACTTACAAATGTGTGTGAATCTGTGGTGCCCTTCGAGTGATGGGGATGTAAATGAAACTAATGTGACTGGCTACAGAGGTAAAACGCCCTAAATTTCACACTGTAATCATCAGAATGATATATGATATACATCAGAATGGTAGAGAATGATAGATGTTTGGGCTCACTTAGAATCACATTCTGTTTCTCTTTACAAATCAATCTGCAAATCCACCCTTTGTAACTGATTTCAACCCAACCAGATACTTGTTGTGGCATGTTTGACATGAATGACGTACCCATATTTCATATCCCTGATTGCTACAAATACTTAGTAATGATGGGGAAGAGAACAACATTGGTTTAACAACTGTTTATTCATAAATAATATTGTACAGTTTCAAATACTACTGTTTACTCATTTCACAGTCTCCTCACAAATTTTTTTTTCTTTTTTGGGCATTGATTACTTTTCGGCAGCTGGGACATACCCACTGTTTAGGGACCCTTTTCATGTGAAGGCAGGTTTGATGAAACTTTTTAACTGAACAAAAACCTGATGCACAGACCAACATGTTTCCTGCCTCTGGCTCACGGCAATAGCACCACTGTTGTTGACTATGATCAGCAATTGCCGCTGCTGCTGGTTTTGGTGCAGAAAAATACTTGGCAAACAGCTCTGGAATGATACATTTTTTAAAGAACTCACAAGCACATTCCAGTTCTTTCTCAAAGAATTCTACATCAGGTGTGACACGTTCAACAAAAGGTGAAGAACTTTCCCTTTCAGTCCATAGAACAAAATCACAGTATGGTTTGTTAGTAACAAATAGCTGCATCTGCACTTGATAATAGTATGCATGGTCCCGCTTCAGTCTAAATTTTTTCTTGTGCATCTTTTTCAAGGCAAAAGTGTGCTACAGAATTTGCTGCCTCATTAACAGAAAGGTCCTTCACAGAAAATGGGCACTTAATTTCTAAGACACCTGAACCACAGCAGCTGCAGGAAACATATCCATCAGGTGAGGCCCCAATAAATGGGTGCAGGGGTGAAATCCTGAATCCAGCTGCTTCTACCAGGACGTCCGTGTGTGAGAGACGATGCTGCATTTCATAGGATTTTCTTGCAAATCCCTCATGCTTACATCCCCATCTTTGAAGAAACAACAGTAACATTAGTTTTGGACAATAGTAACGCCACCCACATTGGTACCTCCCTGTTCTTTCAAAAAGATACTACTTGGTTTTACACTCCTGCTCTTTTAGAATAGTACTTCCTGGATTTACCCTCCCTGTTCTCTGCACATATATCACCCTAAACCTTCCTGTACATACATCACCCTAACCCTCCTAAATTTTACACAATGCATGCCCTATTTTACCCTAACCCTTCTATCCTCATGAATACCTGATAGGCTCATTGGTGAAAGTATGGGACTTTGGGTAGCATATTTGTCTTATCAGAGACACTGCAGGATTTCTGACGTCTGTCTTTGTGGCTGCTCTGAAGGTAGATCCTGTCACCCTACCACTCCTTTGCTCAAACCAGATTCTGGACTTGGACTGGGCTCGGGTCTCCTCCTCTACAATATCACTCTGAAAACATGTCAATCCAAACCGTAACACATTTACATTTTAAGTTAGCACAGACTGTACAAATGGAGTTCATAACAGATTTTAGATTTCAGTTATTAGCTCCTGTTATAATTTTCTGTACCTGTTCTTTGGTCACAATTATGCCTTCAAATAGTGCCTCTGCTCGGTCTTGTAACTCTGCCAGGCTGAGGTCTCTTGCCTGCTTGTCATACAGGTTGGTGAGGGGTTCTGGTATATCCAGCTTGACAGCCTTTGGCATGTAGGATGCTGCGTACTCTCTGACAACAGATAGAACTGCTGGTTTGATGGTCTGTCCCTCTTGTGTGCGGCATTGGGAGAGGTTGTAATAGAGCTGGGCTTGCTCAGCAGTAGTCAGAGGTGGGACAGCTGGGGGAGCAGAATGGACTTTCAAAGATTTCACTTTTTTAGATTGTTGAGAGTTGTTAAAAATTATGTCCTTGCCCTGCTGATATTCCACTTTCTTTAAAGAGTCCTCACTTGGAGTGCCCCACTTACACTTCTTAGATGTAACAGCTATCTCTTCTTTTCTTCTACTGTTATGCTGCCATATGCTAAACAACACAGCTGACACATGGGAGCAGCTCTCACCAAGTCCAGCTGTGCAATTGCAGTGGGCTCCCAACACAACCCCATCATTCCATACCACCATCCATGGCTTTAACTGAGGATCATTAAGCCTTTGGGAATGATTAACCTATAAATACAGTACAAAATGTTAGCTAACTTGGTTGAGTACATGAAAAATACAAACTAGCAACAGATAGCCAGACGCACTGCATCGCGTTAGCCAAGCTAATGTAAACAAACAACCCGAACCTCTACTAGCCATGCTAACGTTACACTGCCTATTAATATGACACTTACCCTTCCAGTAATGATGCAGCAATTTTTTGCTTGAAGATTCCATAGCTGGATGTTCGTTACAAAGCCAGACTGAGTCCATTTGTAACCCTCCAGGCTTTTGTAGGCTTTAAGAGAGTCCCCCGAGTATGACGATGGAAAGTTTACCAAGTAATTATAGATGTCCGGATACTGCAGATCTGGGACGTCTTCTTCAGCGGATATATTCTTAAAAAGCACCCCGGGGGCATTATAAGGGTCAGTAATATTTAATCGATTTAATTTTTTTATATAAAGCTCAATATCCTGTGGATTAAAATGAGCTGAGTACTCCGACGGCTTGAAAGCTTCAGCGGTGGCGCTATCCATGTTTACTGCCAAAATGGCGGCCCGCCCACCGTGAGTCACGTGGGGTCCGGAGCTCTATAGGGTTTGATTACCCACAGAATGGATTTTTACGCAAATGGCAATTATTTCAGATGAGAAGAAGGCAAAGGTAAGACAGAAAAAAATCACTTTGGCTTGATTTGACTGCTACTTTTTTCTGTGTTTCTGGGCTGCTTGCTTGGGGATAGTTTGAGCTAGACGCCAGTGGTTGGTACCGTTGTATTCAGCGCGAAGGCAGCTTTCTGTAGGTATATGGGTTGTTTGCATTGTTTGGAGTCTCGAGTTTGTTTTGAGGCAGAAGTTGTAAGATTGTCAGACAGTAGTTTTTTGATACATGATGATATAGAGGGCTGCTGTTTGAGATGTGAAGTGCTGTGGTGAAAATGAAGTGGATACATTGTTAGCCGTGCTTGTGCTGATTCCAACGGTGTATAACATGATAGCATCGCACTCAGTATGTTGAATCTACACATGTACGAACTTAAAAAACAAGGACTTGCCCCCAAAAATGGGGGCTGTGGAGTTTAAGAGGTTTTTAAATTAACAACAACAACAACAACTGTAGTTTAAAAAAAAACTGTAGTTAATTGAACAAAATTAACTACAGTTGTTTGATTGAATAAAAAAACAAACAAAAACAAATAAATCCTGATTATTTAGTGCCATGGCCCATTATTCTGCTATTATTCCAACAGAATCTGTAATTAAATTAACAACAACTGTAGTAGATCTAAAACATATTGAAGCAACAGTATTATTTTAACTTTTGTTCCAGCTTAATGGAGTCAGGGTTTATTATTCCTACAATATAACTTCTCTGTTCACTTCAAATAACAGGTCCACTCCATACGCACAAAAGGCAAAGGTCAATGGACACTTCTGCCCCGTGTCATCCTCTTAGTTGCCCCACTGTGAGTCAATTCAGCACCATTAGCCCCATAAACGTCCTTTGTATGTTTTTTTTTTTATTTTTATTTTTTACTTATCTACTCACCCTGTCTCCCTCCATTCATCGTGTAGGTCTTCCCGGATCCCGTTTGCCCGTAGCAGAACACGGTCACGTTGAATCCGTCCAGCAGCGCGTCGAGAAGCGGCCGCACGCACTTCTCGTACACCGCGTCCTGGCTCGCCTCGGGTCCGAAGGCGTGGTCGAAGGAGAAGCGTTTGCTGGAGCCGAGCATCACCTGCGAAGACCCGGGAACGACACGCACGCACACCCCGTCGCCGTGGAGCATCTCTTTGCGCTGCAGCGGGCGGATTCGCACGGCGACTTTCACACAGACGTTAGCCATTTACGCCCGATATTTACACTCACCACGCCGACAAATATCACTACCGGCGAGTTTAAAGCGTCGTAAATGTATAAAAATACCCAAAACGACTTTGTATATTCGCGTCGCAAAATCCTCTAAATGACCGTTACCGTCGCTTGGTACAGTTGCTAAGGGAGAAACTTTGAACCAGCTCACGTTTGTTGTTTCCCAAAAGAACAAACGAGAGTACAAACGTAAACTAAAACTACATGTGTGAAAAAGCGACAGCGCCCTCTACCGACGCAACATGGTATGTACAGTTTAGGAATTTTAAAACGAGTTATACAAAGAAGAATGAACTTGGGGTTAACATTGAGCTCAGCCCATTGACTTGAATGGGCGGCCATTTTGGAAGCAAACCGCAGCACGCTCAGGGTTTCGGTGAAGTTGCGCTCCGACGGGCTCACGCACGCGATCATCAGCGTGTGAGCTCGTCCTTCCAACGAATCCCGGAGCAAACGCGTGAGCTTGGAGTCTCTGTAGGGCACGTGCTTGGGGTTGGGCTTCGGATCGGTCAGTGTGCGGATGACGTTTCCGAGCGCGAGTAATCCTGTGTTGATGTGCACGGATTCTCTGAGGCGCAGGCCCGTGTTGCCGGTTTTGTCGGCGCGCTCGGACCCGGCCAAGTCGACGAGGTGGAGTTTCGACGTGTGCTCGAACCATTCTGAGGTGGTCGGGTCTTGGACGCGCTGGTGCAGCTGGAGCGTGACGATGGCGTGCGAGCGGCTGGACAGGTTGTTCATGCCGGTGGGGCTCGTGTGGCGGCGGGCGTTTCCAGTGGCCAGGGCGCTGAAGATCTCTTCAGCCGAACACACCTGCTGCTCTATGGCCCCGACTACGACTGTGGACACAAACGGGGAAACGGAGCAGGTTAATGATGAGTTCAGAGAAGTTCATTGTTCATTGTTGGAGAACATTTTACTCAGAGCCTCTCCACAGATCTGACCAGCAGAGGTGGGACCAAGTCTGTGTTTTGCCAGTCTCAAGTCTTTGACCTCAAGTCCGAGTCAAGTCCCAAGTCAAATACAGGCAAGTCCAAGTCGAGTCTCGAGTCACTGGCCCATAAGTCCAAGTCAAGTTCAAGTCGTCTGCTTTGAGCTTCAAGTCATTTCAAGTCCTCAAGGGGTAGTAGTGATAAAGTGTTAGTAATCAAAATGGAAAAACAGTTATATTTGTTTCCCGTGTCACCTGCTCAGAGATAACAAACGGAAATTAGGATTTTTGCAATAATCTGATATTTACACTGTAACAGATGTTCATTACTAGGCACTGTCCCTACGAAATAAAAAAAGATTAAAGTAAAGTACCAGTATTTCCTCTGTCCTCTCTGATGTACAGGGTCTTGTTGGCGGTGGACAGCTCCAGCAGGTCCCTCAGATCTTCCATGTACAGCTCCAGATATGAGAAGGTCAGCGTGTAGTCCACCACGTCCCGACTCCCATCCAGCAGACAGAAAAGGTCCTGGGCCACACGGTTCGTCAGACCACCGTCCTCTGGTGAAATCACAACAAACGATACATAAACAACTTTATAAGTCTGTATAATTGTACTGTAACTGTATACTGTTCTAGTCATTTACATCAAACTCCTAAACGGACCACAGACCGCTCGTATTAATCACAGGTTCCTGAAAATGTGCTGTTTAAAACTTATATATTATATAAATACCTTGTTTTTGGTGGTATCTTGTATGGCAGGTAAATAGATTTCCTCAGGAGCAGGCGTTAGCGTGGCTATCATACTAGCGCCAGTCATTGAAGGGGTCCACTGGCATTTCCTCAGTACTAATGTCATCCACAATTAGGTCTAAAACTTCTTGTGCAGACAGGTCCTAGCTAGGATTCCATAATTCCACCGTAAAAACATCCAAATGTTGTCAAAAGTCACCCCGACTCGCACTTTCCTGTGCGTAATGCTCTTACGCACAAAATTGCCTCCCCCTCTGGGCCCCTTTTTGACTTTATGTGGAAAAACAGGACACATTATTTGAGAAAGGCTGTTGTTATGAATCCTTACGACAATGGTGGACTTAACTTTTTAGATTTTCAAACTCTAAATAATACATTTAAGATAAATTGGATAAAGCAAGTTTTCAGAAATCCCACTTCTATTTGGAACACTATTCCTTCATATTTATTATCAAAACTAGGAGGCATGAACTTTTTTCTTATCTGTAATTTTGATGTTGATAAGATCCCTGTGAAAATGTCTGCTTTCCATCGTCAGGCTTTTCTCTCATGGTCTCTCATCTACAAGCATAATTTCTCTCCTCACAACTACTTGATTTGGAATAACAAAGACATTTTGTATAAACATAGATCTCTCTTTTTGGATTACTGGTTTCAAAACAACATTATATGGGTTGACCAACTATTTAATGAGGAAGGACTATTGCTTACATATAGAGAATTTCTTGGAAAATATAATATTCCTGTTACTCAGGGTGACTATGCAAAAGTTTTTGGAGCCATTCCCTCAGGTGTGTGTATGTTATTTAAAAATGTAAGTAGGATTGATACTGAAGAGCTAACTCTTTCATCACTTAAAGACTTCCCTGCAGGGAAGGTTTGCCTTACCAATAATCCTATCAATAATAATCGAGCTGTAAGAGCTATGTTTCAAAAAGAGTTATTAGTAAAACCCAAAGTCGTTTCATACTGGAATATGTTTGTGGATGACATACCATGGAAGAAAGTCTGGCTTCTACCCAACAGGTATTTAATTACTAACAAAATAAAAGAAGTATCCTTCAAACTTATCCATAGGTTCTACCCAACTAAAACTTATATCAAAAATAGATTTAAGAAAAATATTGATTCTGAATGTAGCCTTTGTGAAGAATGTCCTGAAACTGTTGTGCATCTGTTCTGGAGTTGTCAAACTGTAGTAATTTTTTGGCAGAAATTGTGTGACTATATTCACAATTACATTGATAAACACTTTATTTTGCATTGGAAGAATGTATTGTTTGGCTTGTTTGATTCTCAATTACAAAAAAATTCGGTCTACCTAATTAATCTATTATTATTAATGTCAAAGTATCATATCCACTCATGTAAATTTTCTGGTAAGAGGCCAACCTTTGTTGCTTTCTACAATAGTTTCAAACAATACATTTCAATTAAATTCTCCAAGAAACAGAAGGCACTCGAGACTGTGGAGATCTGTCAGCTCAGCTCTGAATGTTTTCACTTGAACTCTGACCCCCCTAGTTAGTCTTTTTGTTATTTTACTTTTTATTTTGATTTGTTTGTACATGTTGTACGATGGAATTGTTTGGATGGTAATCACAGGTCTTTGCGCACTGCTGGATGTATACACTTTGTCTTTCAATAAAATAAAAAAAAACTAAAAACCGTCGCTTGGTACAGTTGCTAAGGGAGAAACTTTGAACCAGCTCACGTTTGTTGTTTCCCAAAAGAACAAACGAGAGTACAAACGTAAACTAAAACTACATGTGTGAAAAAGCGACAGCGCCCTCTACCGACGCAACATGGTATGTACAGTTTAGGAATTTTAAAACGAGTTATACAAAGAAGAATGAACTTGGGGTTAACATTGAGCTCAGCCCATTGACTTGAATGGGCGGCCATTTTGGATCCTGGGGGCTTGGGGTGTGAGCCTAAACCCAGTTTTGTAGATATTTCATTAATGAGATAATTATTCTTATTTTGTGTGATTTAATATTTACTTAAAATGCATAATTTTTTGGTATTTTGGTCATTCTTTATGGTTAACATGATTACTTGTTACAAAATAATTTGATCTATTTACATTTTTCTTTCAATTAATTATTGCTAATGTTAATCATAAGTTTACTTAAGTAATGTTTAATTTTTGTATTATTTTGTGGTCTATGGCTCTTTATTTAAGCCGTGTGCAGGTTTTACCATGGGAGGGTGGAGAGGAGCCAAACAGTTTTTGACCTCCTGTCAACTATACGTTAAAGTTCCTCTTTTTTGTTTGTATTTGTATGTCTGTGAATCCTCAGTAAACTGCACTTGGATTGCTCTCCGTGGATTCTTTTATTTTTGAGGCATTTTAAAAGGTGGAACAAGGTGCGCAAAGCGTCAACTATGGCTTCACAATTGTTTGGACCTTACATTAATTGTGTTGAATAAAAAAAAAAAAACATGGACAGATTGTGATTTAAAGCCTAAACATAAAACTAAGCTACAATTTAATTTCTATTTGTATTTGCTCAAACAGTGAGAGGTACAGGACTACATTCATACCATACTCCAGACATGTCAAACTCAGGTCCGCAATATAATTATATTTGGCCCGCGTATTAGAGCTGGCCCACCGGCTACAGATAGAGTATAGAGACATTATGTTATTATTTAATATTCTGCTTGTTCTGGAATCAATATTTAAGCAAAACTATTATTAAACTTTTATTTTAATAAGAAAAGGTTGAACATTACATATCTCGAAAGAAGAGAAAACATGCAGATGTTGTTGAAATTTTTCAATGAATATTTAGTTTCGCCCACAACATAGTCCCAGTTTATAATTTTGGCCCTCGGTGAATTCGAATTTGACACCCCTGCCATACTCCATAAAGATTCACCATTTTGTAACAGATAATACTCCCTACAACTGTACAACAACTCACCCTTATGTAACGGATAACCCCATGTCAGGCGTCTCCAACCTGTATCTTGGGAGCTACCAGTAACTCTCCACTCCATTCCAAGTAGCTCCCCAAAGGGTGAAGGAGTTAAAACATATTACACTGAATAATTCAAATATGATCAATCACATGTCTGTTATCATAGGAAATGCCAAATATTGTGCACTGATATATTGATTTATTGTTTCTGTTTATAAAAAAAAAATGTGTTTCTCACCTTCCACGGTGGTAGGTCTCTCTCACCCTCATTCAGCTCGGGTCCTCTACCAGAGGCCTGGGAGCTTGAGAGTTCTGCGCAGTATCTTTGCTGTTCCCAGTACTGCACTTTTCTGGACTGAGATGTCCATTGTTTTTCCCGGTATCTGTTGTAGCCACTCTTCCAGTTTGGGGGTTACAGCCCCGAGTGCTCCGATCACCACAGGCACCACTGATGCCTTTACTTTCCAGGCTCTCTCCAGCTCTTCCTTGAGCCCCTGGTATTTCTCTAGCTTCTCGTGTTCCTTTTTCCTGATATTACCATCGCTTGGTATTGCGATGTCAACCACCACGGCTCTGCTCTGTTTCTTATCCACCACCACTATGTCTGGTTGGTTCGCCATCACCATTCTGTCAGTCTGTATCTGGAAGTCCCACAGGATCTTGGCTCGGTCATTCTCCACAACCTTTGGAGGTGTTTCCCACCTTGATCCTGGGGTTTCCAGCCCATACTCTGCACAGATGTTTCTGTACACTATGGTTTTATATATATATATATACAGTCTTAATGTGTCCTCACTGCTCTATGCAGTTTTTATATCATATCATATTTGTGTGTGGTGTTTTTGTTAGTTATGTGTGCTCGAGTTTCCTCCTCAGTTGTTCCCCTCCCTCCCATTATTAAATGTTTAATGTCAGATGGTATGTGTTCAAACCAGCGCTAGGGACAAAGGAAAGTAACACAAACAAGATGTGATGTAAGTCAAGTCAAGCTTTTTGTTAAGTAGATGTAAGTAAGTACAATAACAAAAAAGGGGTTTTACGTAAGATAACAAGTGCAATCAGAGATAGCAACCTGGTCCACCATGAGGTGTTATGTGTGTACCAACTTGTGTGATAATTGGGTGAATATTTTAGGCAGATGGTTCAGAAATTGCCGAAATTGCCTATCCTTTATAATGGCGGGACCGTTCAATTGACCCGTGTAACCTCAAATGACCTTAGTCACCAAACATTTTTGCGGCGTCGGGCACGGGGGCTTGACCCACGTACCAAATTTGGTGACAATCGGTCCATAAATGTAATAATGTAATGTGAATTATTGTAGGTGGACGACACACAGAGACGCACACACACACCCACACATACACAGGGTGAATACAAAAGTCGTTAAGCAAAAGATGTTCATTTTGTCTTCTTATATACTTTAACTTCTTGGGTTCTTTTTAAAGACAATGCAGTAAAGTGTATTTACCTTGTTGACATGTTTCGGCTGCTAGCTGCAAGCCATCTTCAGAACTGTCACCGGTGTAGGTGACGTGTCGTATATCAGCTGTTGTTACTTCCTGTAGGCGTGGTCGGCCTGATGGACCTGGCAGGTCGCTCAGACTGACCACGCCTCCCGTCGCCCGGTGGTCTCTGGAGGAGTGTCCCAGGTGTGTGAAAGGAGGAACGCGCCGTCATCACGGTTAATGCTGTCCGTGCCTTGTTTTCTGATTTCAATGGCCTCCTTGATCCAGCGTTTGAACTTGTTGTTTTCCGATCCAATGACCCGAGCCCCGTCCCAATCCAGAATGTGGTTGTTCCACCACATTGTTGAACGTGTGCAATGCGCCGCTAATGGGGCTAACCGGTATTTTTAGCTTTTCCCAAATCTTGTAGGAAGAAGGGCAATAACGTCTTTCCCCTTGATAAAATTCACCAAACATTCTCTTTGTTCCGGCTTTAAATCCTCGATCTTGGGAATCGAAGACACAGAATGTCTGTCTTCGTCTACATCCATCTCGACCGCTTTGTTTACTGTTGTGCTGTACCACAAAAGGGACCCAGACAGTCGCTTAAGTTTGACGTCATGGCTTCACAGCTCTTCGGTGATTGGCCAGTGCACAGTCTACAACTTCTGGGGTTCTTGCAAACAGTCTAGTGTATTCTGATTCCTGACCTAGTCACAAGAGAGAAATTAAATTGAGCGGAGGCACTAGGTGGCAGTGTTGCTCATACTTGTTTTGAGTAATATCTAAAACTGTCAGAGATGTGGTCACAATGTCTGTATCCTCTCTCTTCCATTTCAAGCTACATTTGCCCTTTCCAATTGATACTTTGCAGTGACATTATGCTGGAGGTGTTGTACGTGTATTTCTATTGCTGTAATGTTCAGCAGTTACCATGAAGGCACAAAGCACACATTAGCAAACACAGATAAGATAATTATCTCTCTGGTTTTATCATACCTCATTGCAAAATAACACAAAAAAATAACAAAAAATATATATATTTTTGGAGTTTTTTATTTTAATACACAGAATAAAACTAGAGCTAATCTAAATTCAACTAAAGTGTCTTAATAGTGTTTTTACGTGTTAATAAATAAACAATATATTCAGGGGTGTAGCACAAAATTCTGAATTTAAGAACAACAATCGTGGCCCGGATTATGATCTCTACATGAAAAATACACATTACAGACTGTGTTTCCCTGGGTAAACAACAAAATTTACCCCTTCAGTTCAACGCTCCTGCAGATATTTAAGCTCTATGCCATCGTAACAATTGAAAACAATCCTACAAGCAAATATCTTGAAGGCTGTGCGCATTAAAAGTCGATCAGATGACAGAATTTGATTTCTTGATGCGTTTCTTGGACAGTTCCTCCTTCCTCCTCTTGTTGCTGTAGCTGACTCTGTGAAGTCTGTACGTTTTTCTCGCCTGAATTCTCTCCTTCTCCATCACCTCTGTGTCATCCAAGATCTCCAGCCCTGGGATTTGACTGATCACATATAATCTACGGAACACACAAACACAAGACTAATAATCGTCTCTCTTCGATATGGTGCGTGAGAAATTGGAGATGGGAAAAACTGTAGAACACGTTTTGCATACAACATAATAATTAGTTACCCACAAAGCAATTGGAAAGCATTTCATTAGCTGAGCAAATAATCAGCAACAAACATAATGGAAGAGAATATTATGACAAATGTACACAGATAGGCTCACCTTCTGTGGCTTTGTTTGAGGGTTTGAAAAGCAGAGAGAACAGAACAGCAGAGAACTAGTGAGCTCCGATAAAGCTGCCATGTCACTGTAGTTTTAAAAGACAATAAGTATATGGGTCCAAATCAGAACATGTAATATTTAATCAGGATTAACATTAACGTTCTTTAAGGAGCATCTGTGCACAGCAAAAACTGGAGAGTTAAAATTTCAGGGTAAGAGTTGTTTTTAACGCAAAAAGTATTATTTTAACTATTTGAAAGTTAAATGGAGGTTCAAATTGGCGTTATTTGCCAGAGTTGATATGGTTGAAGTTTATTCAGCTTCCCCTAGTGTTAATTCAGATTTCTCTAGTGTTAATTCAACTTGTCCTAGCATTATGATTTGAAATGTAATTCTTGAATGTATAATTTTGTTTTCTTCTTGTAAAATACACAAATGTAAATAGATTTTTTCCCCTAATTGTATTATATATCACACCCCATACAGAATATATCCTAAAAACTTTTTGCTTTTCTGTAACATGTACTACTGTACTACTTGTAATACTGTATTTAGCCACATGAGGGCGATGGGATATAACACAAACAGTACAATGATAAAAACAGGCACACATACAGCTCTTCCTCACCTGTAGTCTTTGTACTGAGTCAGACTTCCTCCGTTGAAATAACTCGGGGCAGCCTCATTGTTCATCATACTCAATATTCTACATTTAAATTAAAAAAAAAAAAAAAAAAAGATGATGAAAATTGTGAAGAAAAGTACATACACTGGATTTTATTTGCATATTTTGCCCTGGCACGTTTATATATATATACATGTTTTATAATTTTTTACAGTTATCGTGATAATTTTGATAGTATTATGTTTTTTTTTCCACTGTGTATTGTTATTTATACATCTGTCTTGAGTATCTATAGTATCCAAGTAATATTCCTCATGGATCAATAGAGTTGTTGTTTCTTACTTGATGTTTGGGAACTTCTTCCTGACCTCCTCCACAAACACGGGCAGGTTGTTGATCTTGTTCTTGTTGATGCACAGGGTGGTGAGCGTGTCCATGTAGGGGAACTTGACGTGGGACGTGTAGCTGTTGCAGTCCAGGATCAGAGTGCTGAGCTTCTCCAGGCGACCCAGGAGAGCCGGGTTCCAATAGAGACTCAGTGAAGGACAACGCTTTCATACACTTTTACACGTTCAGTTTGATCTTCAGACTTCAGAGAGATGTTATTGCTTTAAAATTTCATTTCATGCCATCTGCGTAGAACACAGGGCTCAAATTTTTTTATTCCGGTGAGCTACCTTTACAAAAAGAAAACGCCAAGGAGCTACTAATTTTAGCGGTCACATAAACCTATAAAACCAAACTTTTATCCATTTATTGTGCACAAAATTAGACACCAAATTTATACTTTTGCAATGGCAGTTCATTAAATTTGAGTCATTCAGCATAATATTTATCATTCAAAAATTCTTTGGGAAGTTACTTGGAATGGGGTGGAGTCCTGATTTAGTGCTGGTTTTAGACTTGGTTCAGTCCTGGTTTAGACCTGGTTTAGACCTGGTTTAGTCCTGGTTTAGTCCTGGTTTAGTCCTGATTTAGTCCTGGTTTTAGACCTGGTTTAGTCCTGGTTTAGTCACGGTTTTAGACCTGGTTTAGTCCTGGTTTTAGACCTGGTTTAGTCCTGGTTTTAGTCCTGATTTAGTCCTGGTTTAGACCTGGTTTACTCCTGGTTTAGTCCTGGTTTAGACCTGATTTAGTCCTGGTTTTAGTCCTGGTTTAGTCCTGGTTTTACTCCTGGTTTAGCCCAAAATGTGAAAACAGGAAAATACCGCCATGTAATCCATTTATTTCAACAAAGTAACTGTAATCCAATTACCACTCATTGAAACAGTAACTGTAACTGAATACAGTTACTCATAATTTCTACTCTGATTACGTAACGCCGGTAAAAGTAATCCGTTACTCCCCAACACTGAGAACATTCCAGGCAACGCAATCATATCGACATGGAGACAAGCAGGTAGGGCACACCCCACCAGGAATGTTACACAGTACTTCTTTATGCTCACAAAATAAATAATCTATAAACATACTATATAATGTAAACTACCGGTCAAAAGTTTTAGAACACCTTAATTTTTCCAGTTATTTATTGCAATTCAAGTCCAGTGAAGAGCTTGAAATGGTACAAAGGTAAGAACTGAACATCTAGAGGTTAAGAAAAAGATAAAAGTTACAAAACATAAGTCCAAGCTCCGCCAAAACTACTTCAGGAAAAAAGAAGAAGATGGTAAAGCTTGAAAACATGGAGTGTCCAGCACAGTCTCCAGACTTAAACCCCATCGAGCTGGTTTGGGGATGAACTGGACAGAAGAGTGAAGCGACCTACAAGTGCCACACATTTATGGGAACTTCTGCAACAGACTTGGGAAGAACTTTTTGAAGAATATTTGATTTCTGTTGTAAAAAGAACAAACCACGAGTGTGTTCAGCTGTTACATCTGCCAAAGGTGACACTTTCATGAATCAAAAGTTTAGAATATGTTTTGGTCTATAAATTGATTCCATGATTTATTTTTCAACTCAAAGTACTTATTTGTTCTATGCTTTAATTCAGAGAGGAATGACACAATAAACAGTAAAAAAGTGGAAAATGTGTGGTGTTTCTAAAACTTTTGACCGGTAGTGTATATAGAATACTTCAAAATATAAAATAGTAAATGATAATCACAGTTTTGTTTAGATGATTCCTTGCAAAATTCAACCTGTTTTGATTTGTTTTACCACATTTGACTAGAGAAATTCAAAAACAGAATAGATAATTTGTCAGGCGTGTACTTAAGTGTAGTAGTGGTGAATTATAAAGGATACTCCTGGAGCAGGTTGTAGCTTAAGTCCAAGACCTCGAGAGTCTCGGTCTGCACGAGGATGGGGTCATAGGGGATCTCTGTGAGGCTCTGATAGGCAAAAGAAAGCCACTGGTAACTGGGCTGAGCCTGCGGCACCGAGCTGCTCTGCTCCATGTCTGACATCGGTCACTCCTCCAGCCCTCCTCCTGGTCAGATGATTATGGCATGACCCAATTCTGTTAAAAATACAGTCAAAATATTATTAAATAGTAACAATAACCAAAATACAGTGATATTGTATCGTCAAAGTTCTCACAATAATATCGTGGACCATCACAATATATCGAATTACAAGTCTCTTTGCTTATTAAGAGTTATGGTGCAGCAATAGCTCAAAAAAACTGTGGGAACTACATAGACCATGATCCTTTGCTCCATTTCAGTGTAGTCTACATTAAGAAATAACAGTTCTAAGCACTTTTAATTCTTAGTTGTTTGGACTAAGTCTTGTCAGAGGAAAAAGTTGAATATTAGCCTCCACAAAATATCGCAATAAATATCGTACAGGGAGATTTGGATATCGTTACACCCCAATTATAAAAACTTAATAACACTTTATATTTTTGGTCCGGTGACGAGCAACTTAAAGATGCACTATGTAACTTCTAGTGGAGAGTAGAAAAGTTAATTGCTTGTCTCCATGGAGATGTTATTGCTTTGTTTAGAATGTTCCACAGAACGGCATTAATTAAACAATAATCTATCACAAATCTGAAAATGTGACGCCTCCAGGTCATAGTTAAGGGTCATATCTGTGGAAAAGCGGGTCTGTGACGGTAAGAATTCCTGTTTTTGCATTTTTTAAGCAATAAATACAAGCGTGATTGAATAAATGATAGATAAATAAATCTAAAGCAATACTGTGGAACATTTCAAAGCAACTATACTTCAGTGACGACAAGCAGGTGGTGGATCTCAACCAGAAATGTTGCATAACTGTGTAAAAGTAGCAGTGCTGTATGAGTAGTGGATATAAGTTATATTATAGCACGAATATTAGTTATAAATACTGCAGTCTATTAAAAAAGCAACAAAACCAACCAAAACATAATACTTTACTTATATACTTACTTAAATTTCATCAAAAACGTCAATTTGTACTTCAAATATCTAACATTTTAACATAAAAACAAGAAACAAAATACTTCAAGTAACACATTTAATGAAAGAAAATGATAAACTGTACAAATATTGAAAACAGTGCTGTGACATTGGCAGCTGGACATCAAATATAAAGACAACTGAAAAATTATTTGCTATTTTTACACAACATTGATTCTAATTTGCTTCAATAATGCCCCATTTTATGTTACAACTTAGATTTTAAAAAAAGTTAACGCAAACATTATATTTCTGATCAGGGTCTGAGCTGTTGATCCAAATTCTTGCGTGACTTACCGAGAGGAGGAGAAGCTGCATGTCTCTCTGCAGAACACAGCGAGTGCGTACAGAGGAAATAAAAAGCCCTCTTTCATACTTGCTGTAGATCACATGATGGGGATAATCACATTGCTACGTAACCCTGTGGATCTCCTGGCCCACATTTGAACAACTGCTCTGCCCTGAACAAGGCCAGGACAAGAAGCAACAGGAAATCTATTTAACTCGACTTTGTGGGAGAAATAAACTTGTTAATAAGCTCATGGAAAACATTACAGAGGGACAGTGGTCTGGTCCAGTTACTGCTCAGTCCCATCGATATCAGACGGACATTTTAGACTTTTTACACACAACTGATTTGGATTTGATGAAGAATCTGTAAAACAAAACTGTAATTGTAGCCTGTTGATCTGATATTTATATTTAACCATTGTCCCACTTTTTTTTTGAGATTCAGACTGATTTCGAAGTGATTAAAAATGAACTGTTGTCATAAAAATTAACAATTCAAAACAATATGAATGGTCCTCAAAACGGAGCAAAGTGAAACCCATAAAAAGTTTGCGCTCTTTTAGAAATGAATAATGGTTTGTGTTTTATAAGCATCGAACTGTCCCTCATCTAAGGCTCGCTGTGGCTCTTATATTTACTCAATTTCTTGTGACTGTTAAAATTAGTAGTTCTCTGGTATTTTTGTTTTATAAAAGTAGCTCACCGTATCATTATATCATGTAATATATGTAGAAAACTTAAAAATATAAATTAGTAAATTATCTCAATTGACAGTTTTGTTTTTTGTTTTGTTTGTGTGTAAGAAAGCAAAGTTAAAAACCGCGAAAAGCTTGCCCTTTTTTAAAAACAAAGCAGCAATACAATATCAACAGACCAATCCCCAAACTTTTCACACAACTTTTCGCAAGTACCACCTAATTTAAGAAAAAAACTGTTTTCCGAGTACCGTCAGATCTAAACTGGTTCTATAACAGGAGTATTCCAGGTCTAAATGGGTTTGTAGTCAGGCAACTACCCATAAAAGAACAAAAGTGGATAAATTAAAGCAAATATTACTTAAAGGTCCCATATCATCAAAAATAGACCTGGGGTTGTGTTATGTTTAAATAATCCTTTTATTTTTAGCAGAGGTGAGGACATGAGTCACTATTTTTAGAACTTGAGACTTAACTTGATAAAATAGACTAAGACTTGGACTCAACTTGGACTTGAAGGTCAATGACTTGGGACTTAACTGGGACTTGAGGCCTGTGACTTGAGAAACACTGATAAATCTGAATTCTTTCTGTTCATTCGTAATGATTCACACTAAGATCTTGTCAAGACATTTAAAAAGGAAAAATGAACATTTCTACATCTCTTACATATTCTATAAAAACTCACATATAGATATACTATGATTTTTTTTAAGTACAATTTATCTTAAAATTCATATACATCGCAAAAACCAAAGCTATACTTGGCACTTTGGTTTAAAGACCTGAAATAACTTGAAGCTCAAAGCAGACAACTTGGACTTGACTTGGACTTATGGACCAGTGACTCGAGACTTGACTTGGACTTGCCCGTCTTTGACTTGTGACTTGACTCGGACTTGAGGTCAAAGACTTGTGACTTACTTGAGACTTGCAAAACAACGACTCGGTCCCACCTCTGATTATTAGTCTTCGTTAACAGCTACCTTTTATCTTTAATTCGAGATGGGCAATTCCAGGGATGATTAATGATTCTGCGAAGGTGTATGGAGTTTAAAAACACAGTGGAGCACTTCCTGTATTGCCACATGAAATTGCAAGGTGGAGCAGTGTGTTTTCTGTTTGAAAGTAGAAGAACTCAACTTAAATATGCAGGATTTGTGAGTTAAACGTGTGTGAATGAAACAAAACACAACTCCAGGTCTATTTCTGATGAGGAAACAACACTTAAAAACCTCATTGTATGATCATTATTACACAGACATTGAAAAAAATATATTTACAGGAGTGGTAATTCATTCATCTGTAAAAGAAAATAGCGAAGTCCAACGTATATCAAACTCATCCACACCCCCACAGTCCTTACGGTCCTTCTCCTCTGTACCTCGTGCTGCTGTCGTTGATATTATATTATGTCGGTGTCTTTACAGAGCAGATGTAGCGGTGGTTTCTGCTCGTCTTGCAGTCCCTGATTTGCCACTTGGCTCGTTTCCACACGAGAACACACTTTTTCTCACTCTTCCTCTTGGATCTGGGAGGCGTTTTCCTCCAGTTGGTGTAGCTCACGGGCTCCCCGCCGCTCCACTCCCAGCGGCCCCTCCCCTCTCTGTCGTTCAGACCTGTCGCACAATCACATAAAACATTATAGAGCTGCACAATATCGATAGCTACGGTTTTTACTGCATATTATATTATTATTATTATATAGGGGTGTAACAATATCCAAATCTCTCAGTGCGCTATATGCTACTTTTCCTCTTAAAATGCCTTGACAAGACTTAATCCAAAGAACTAAGACTTAAAAGTGCTCAGAACTGTTATTTCTTCTTGTAGTCTGCACTGAAATGGAGCAAAGGATCATGGTCTATGTAGTTCTCTCTGTTTTTTTTAGCTATTGCTGCACCATAACTCTTAATTTAAGCAAAGAGACTTGTAATTCAATATATTGTGATGGTCCATGATATTATTGTGAGATTCTGAAGATACGATATCACGATATTTCGGTTATTGTTACATACCTATTATTATATATTATTGCAATGTTTTAATTTGCTTTTTGCCACTAATCTATTTAATTTAGATTAGACTGAACAGGGCTAAAGCTGTGATAAACTATTATAAATTCCTGTCATATGAAGAACTTTGTGTTGTTGCAGTGTGATTAGAGCTTGGCAAAAAAATCTATTAAAATGATTAATCAAATTTGAAGTTCCAGTCGATTTGTTTGGAAGAAAATACAATTTAATTTTCCCACTTTCTTGCATTGGAAATTGCACTGAAAATGCAAGAAAGGAACTGACTGCTTTAAAATCAGTGACAAGGTTAATTTAAATGCTGCAATAGTTTGTTTTATCTCATAAAATATGGGTTAGATATGATCACTGATATATAATCTTAATAGTTTTGACCATTTTCTGTAGTTTGCAGAACATTTTAAATGGAGAGTGGGGAAAAAAAAAAATCGTAAATCAAAATTTTGTAGAAAAAAATCAACAATTTTATTTTCAAGCAAGCCCAGCCCTGAATCTGATATATTTTAAATTTTACAAAATCCATTTGACTTAATAATATTGTTTTGAGTTTTTATTTTGTTGCCATGTTAAATAGTGTGTTAGAAAAATATTGCAATATAGATATTTTTGTAATATATGTGCAGTTGCATAATATGATATCAATGGAAAGTGTAATGTCCTACCGATCCAAAATGGTTTGCGTCCACTGAAATCCCACAGCCAGTCCATGTCTGCTTTGGAGAGCACACTTGCGAGTGTCCCTTTATGTCTAAAAATAAAATCATTGTAAATGTTTAAATGACAGAAGTGCAATGCAGAATGAACAGACCACTGTATTTAGTCGCACCTCTCTTTGCAGGCTCTGTTCGCCGCGGACCATGTGGCTCTCTGCTCCGAGTGCAGGTAACAGTGTCCACCATGAAACGTCCAGCCGCGGGCGCACTTCTGAGCACTCACCATCTGACACAAACAAAACAAGGTCATTTGTTTATTGAAGGGTTTAAAGAGAAAAACTTTTTATGTTACAGGTGCTCAGTGTAGAGTTGACGAGTAATAACTCCATGGAAACAAGCATGTGGTGTACACTTCATCAGGAAATTTACATACTGAATATCTGAGTTTAAGTCAGTATATCTAAAATCTGTTGCAGCGTATGGAACTTCGAGTAAATACCGTTTCTGAAGGAGCCCAGGGTTTCCATGACACTCCGTTGCAGTGATAGAGCTGCCCTGTGCTTTGGTTAAAGTGCAGGAGTCCCATCAGCTCAGGCACACAGACTTTAGGAACGGAGCTTTCAGATTCACTCTGGAGGCAAAAAATTATAAAACTCTATACAGTAATTTACTGTAAATATAAGTCGAAAGGTTTGTAATAAAATGTGGCAAAGTTAAAGGTCCTACATTACTCAAAATGTACTCCTGTGAGCTTTTAGCCAAGACATAATGTTGTTACCTCCTCAAAAACATACGCCGAGTTGTGTTTCATTCACCCATGTTTGAGTAATCCTGCATTATTAAGATGTGTACATCTCTAAAACTTTCAGTGAAGGTGTATAAGGTTTGAAGTGTTTTCTGTCTGAGAAAAGAACTCAGACAGTATTTGTGTGCAAATGAAAATAAAAAGCACAACTCCAGGTATGTTTTTGATGAGGAAACAACATTGTAACTCGGGGTGTGCCCTGCTATGTGTCTGATGATACGATACGATACGTATCGTGCTATGCATGTCACGATACGATATATCCCGATATATCCCAATACTAAAACAAAGGACAGTATATTGTGATTTATCAATAATTACTTCTAATAATAAAGTCATGTACACCTTCACAAACACAAAATTGTATTGCATTAATTAATTCATTTATTTTTAAAACGTGAGAGCAGTAAACAGTAAATTACCCTCTGGATTTTTTGTGAAAAATATGATTTAAAAAAATTTATTCAGACACATTTTGAATCAATTCAAGATTTGTGCAATGTAGTATCATGATATATCACTGAATCGATTTGTTCTTACACCCCTAATTGTAACATAGATTTTAGAAAGTATTGTTTAAAGAAATATGAATCACTGTGAAGTTATACCACAAAACGGTATATGGTATAATAATGTGTACTCACTTGACTCTTGACCAGTTTGACTACACTGCTGCTCTTCTTAGATTTCTTGGTCAGAGCCTGCTGCTGGGCCCCTTGATTGATCACCTGAATACTGGCCTTCCTGCCTTTTCTCGACGGGGCGGACTCGTCTTCTACGTTCATCGTCATTACCCCGTGATACTGAAAAACAACAATAACTTTGGACTGAGTTTGTAATATTTTTGTGACTTATTATATGATTATGATATAAGTGACTGTACTGTGTAAATTGTATCAGTTCCATTGTGAAAAACTGAAGATGGCGCGACCTGGAATAACAAAATAACAATGTATTATAAAAGATTATAAACAATTGTTACAAAATGGATCTTTACTGTTTAATGCATATGGTTTCCTTACAGATTTGGGATTGCCCGTCATTCTGATTTTCTTTTTGTGCTGAATAGACTGAGGTTTCCTGAGGCTGTCCCCGCGAGTCCAGACAACAGACTCTGGGTCCAGGGGGAGTTTCTCCACCGTGATGGTCCCGTGTTCAGGATAAGGCCTGGACTCCACCTCTTTACCTCCTAAAACAGGGGTCAGGGGCTGTTTTCCAGCACATCCTATTTAAACACAATCAAATGTAAAATAAATGATAAGGAATTTATAATTTTATGTTTTCTTACACTACAAAAAAGCTTGGCCAAAATTTAAGATATAAACACTATCTATTCTATCAGAAAACGACTTAAAATTGTGAAATTCTCTGTCCAAGCAGCAAGATCATTTTACTTGACAAGTTATCTTCAGTGTTAGTCCTGGTTTAGACCTGGTTTAGTCCTGGTTTAGACCTGGTTTAGTCCTGGTTTAGACCTGGTTTAGACCTGGTTTAGTCCTGGTTCAGCTCTGGTTTAGTCCTAGTTTAGCGCTCCGGGTTCAGTCCTTTGTTCAAGTCCTTGTTTAGTCCTGGTTCAGATCTAGTTTAGACCTGGTTTAGACCTGGTTCAGTCCTGGTTTAGACCTGGTTTAGTCCTGGTTCAGTCCTCGTTCAGACATGGTTTAGTCCTGGTTCAGCCCTGGGTTAGACCTGGTTTGGACCTGGTTCAGTCCTGGTTCAGTCCTGGTTTAGACCTGGTTTAATCCTGGTTCAGTTCTGGTTTCAAGCTGGTTCATTCCTGGTTCAGCTCTGGTTTAGTCCTGGTTTAGACCTGGTTTAGTCTTGGTTCAGTCCTGCTTCAGTCTTGCTTCAGTTCTGGTTCAGCTCTGGTTTGGTTCAAGTTTAGTCCTGGTTCAGTCCTTTTTCAGTGGTTCATAACACATTACAGTTTTAGAGTAACTTGCCCAACAGTGGTTATCTTAAAATAAACCACCTCTAGACTACAATTAAGCCCTGTCTGGTCTAGTAAACCGATAATAAATCTGAAAACAAGATGAATAGTCTGATGTAAATTGGTAAATCTTGGCCAGATCAGAGAAATTTGCAGTGTACCTCTTCCTGAGTCTCTGATGGTGACCTGGGCTTTGTTGATTCTGCCGATGACACAGGCCTCTGGGGTCACGAGCTGCACCTCAAACACCTCGTCCGCCTCTTCAAGATGATCCTGGATTATTTTTATCTGCCAGGTCCTCTTTGAAACTCCTGCAAATTATAATCCCTTTGATTTATTGAGTCATTTCAGAATTCCAGACCCATTATTGTCCTCCTCTTATTTGATTTGGTGCCCTTATTAGACTGAAATCAAATTTGTTGAAGGGAACATGTTATGTAAAATGAACTTTTACTCAATATTGTTTGATTTATTCGTTCACGTCTGAGTAATCTTGCATTGTCCTACATTTGAGGCTTGAGTGCTCAGATGGGTCAGAAACGTTAAGCAATTTTTGTAAGTTAATTCTAAAAACAAACAGCAATCTGCACACGGCCTGTCAGGTGCTATGTCAGAGGAAGCAAACTGGCTACAACATTCACAATTACATCGTAATATCTCAAAGTCAGTCGGTATGTTTTTCTCCCAAAAAAAACTGGCATAGATACAGATCCGGATGTGTGTGTGCTTGGAACAAAACTAAAACTGGTCCATGAAGTGAAGTATCTGGGAGTCACATTGGACCCACGACTATCGTACAAACAACATGTCAAAAGAACAGTGCATAAAATCAAATATAATTTATCTAATATTCGTCATAAAAGAAATAATCTAACAATCTCGGCAGTTATTTAACTTAATCATTGCATTTATAAAGCACCTTTCAAGATACCCAAAGTGCTTTTGTCAGAGTTCTGCCTTCTTGTTTATATTTTCCCCAGTCCAGCTCCATTTCCCAGTCTGTTCCGGTCCTCCTTTTGCTGCCTCCCTCCTTTTCCTGCAGCTGACTCTCATTCACTAATCAGCCCAGGGTAACCTATATATACTTCTCCTGCTCATTCAGTCTTTGCCTGATTGTTGACTTGTCAAGACACACATTCAACTTTTCCCTGAACCTCTGTATCTCTGTACCCTGTTGTTTGCATTTAGTGCAATTCTGATTTATTCCTTGTTGGTCATACTTGCTTCTGTGGAGTATTTCCCAATTTTTGGATGATATTTTCATTCACGTTTGATAATCATATATTCCTCTGTTGTTGTCAATCTGATTTATTAAATATAATATAAACATATTTATCATTACCTACATAAAGTCCACAAATGATCACTATTGCAGGATACTTGAGAAATACACATTTCTAAATTGGGACAACACAATAAAAGATGCAGATTTAATTTTGGTATACAAAGTTTTTAATAATCTTGCTCCAAATCCTCAGAAAGAGTTTGTGAAAAGAAACTCAAATCACACAAGAGCAGCTCTAGAGGTGGCTGCTCTGTGCTGTTTAGGAAAAGTGCTTTTGAACAGACTCTTTTGGTTATCGAGCAGGTCAAACATGAAATACAGAGCAGCTCATGTACGAGAACTTTCAACACTGCAGCTAAAGCTTTAAAACAGTGGCTGTTCAATGGTCAAATATGTCACCATGTTTAACCAAATTACATTTGTTTTTATATTGAGGGGTTGTTGGTTTAACTCTTAAACTCATGACTTCAAACTTCATATGAACTGTTTGAAATGAATTATATGTATATTGAGTGTACAGTGGGTGTGTTGTATGTATAGTGCATGTGCTGATTTTATGTACTTTTGTGTGATTGTTGTACTTTTTTCAGGCCTGTAGAAGATTTTACATCCACCTGTCGGGACTGAAGATGGAAATTAGCCACGCTGCTATAATCTTTACATATTTACATTTTAAATGATCATTAATATGCGCTGTCCCTTTACATATAAATAAATAACAATAAGACTTCTTCAAAAAAGTTCGCATAATTGAAAATCTGCTGCCTGTTACATTGAAAGTCAGTCAGTGGTCAGTTTGTCTCATTTTTGTTAAGACATTTTACATCAAGCATCACACTGTATGTCATCTTTAAGTGTGTTTGATACATACCAGGATCAAACTGAATTAAGGACGAAGGGTTTATAATGAAATCTTTCCCAGTGGTGGTCGTCACATCCTTCACCTTTAATCAAGAGAAGTGTCATTAAAACCACACAAATAACTCCACTGTATTTACATAGTTGTCACTGTTATCCACCTTGACAGTGACGTAGGAAGACTCTGCTAGGTTCCCCTTTCGTACAATGTCCAGAGAGACTGCCCCCTGCTGCTCACAGACTGAAACGCGCTCCTCTGAGAGCTCCAGTCGGGCCCAGCTCAGTTGAAGTCTGTAACACAAAGCAGATCCTACAGTCATACACATTATAATGACATTATTAGAGGTAGGTCAGGCTTTGGGCCTTACGTGTGAGAGGGCCCAGTGTTCCCCAGAGGATCAGACACACTAAACTCCAGGCTGTCTGACAGAGACTCCATGTCCGGGTTTATGATGTACACAATACTCCTTTTGTTCAGCTCCGTCTGGGCAAAGCGTGGAGGTAAAAACCCCCCTGATAAGAGAGAAAACACAAAAAATACAAGTTTATGTTGAATTTAACTCAAATAAAAGATCTTTGTTACAGTCCCAGGCCTCCAGTTCTGACTTGTTTTGTGTATTTTAATTCTTTTTGCTGGCTGTCCTGATTCCTGCTGTGGAAGCCCTTGTCCGTGATTGGTGGGGCTCGTCTACGCCCACCTCACCTGCAGCCACCACCCTCTATTTAAAGAAATTGCCAGCACCTGTTTGGAGCTGCTGGACTTTGTGACCAGTCTGCCATTTTGTATGTTATTCTGTGTCGCTTTAGTGTCAGTCGCTCGTTTTTGTACTAGTATGTGTCTGATTTTGTTTGTGTTTAGTTTGGTTCTGTTTTGTGCTTTTTTTTATTTTGTCACTTGATTCTGTTTGTGGGTTTATGTGGTTTTACTTTAGGGCACTTGTGTTTTAGTTTTGTTGTGTGTCCCTTAGTTTAATCACTCGTTTTTGTATAGACCTGCTTGAGACGGTTTTTGGCACAAAACTCGTATGTTAATCCTGTTTTGTTTCTTAGTTTATTTTCTCATTTTCTGTACATATTTTACCCTTTTTACATTCCTGTTAATTAAACATTACTTAATTTATTCCATTCTCCACGCTGTTTTTTTTGTTTTTTTTTGTTACTTCCCTAACCCCAGTGAGCTGGGTCGTAACATTCTTAAAGGTGATATATTATGTGAAATCAGTGTTTATGATTTTTAACCATGTCATAATGCTGTTCCAGAGAAATTAACTTACTCACAGTGGTATTTTGATTCATGCATACATGTTTGATTAATCCTGTATTTTCCTGCATATGGGGCTTGAGGCTGATTTGTTATTGCAATTATTACAAAAATTAACTCATAGGGTTAAAAAAATTTACATATCCTCTTTCTGAAATATAAAACTTAACTAGAAATCTGGTGCTTTCTACAATGAAATTCCCCTCTGAAGTTTTGCAGTTTTAAACAGGAAGTCAATGGACCAATATCGATTATTAATCAATTTTAGAATAATATTGCACTTTACAACGTACAAAAAATGTATGTTATGTCATAATTTAATACTAAGCAGCATAAAAAAATCATTATATTCTGAAAACAATTATTCTGCCACACAACAAAATGTAGTTTGAGTAAAAGAACATTTTGGGAATCTTCTAATATTAATAACTATTCCCTAAATATTGAAATCCTCCTCCTTTTTTGTTTAATCTTTGTCATTTGAAAAGTTATTTTTGTGATTTTATATTTGGTCACTTCTGTTCTGAGATCTTGTCACACTTTGTAATAATAACTCTCTATATTTTGATATTTTTACTTGAACAAATGAAGTACAATGAAAACAGACCTGTCGTGATGTTTTCCAGGTATCCAAAGTACGGCTGTCGGACGATGGAGAACATGAGCTCATCATCTCTGCTGTGGTCATCCTGGGCCTTCAGCTCTCGAGAGGACAGGAAGATCCCATAGCGTCCGTCCGGTAACACCTCAGCCTTCCACAGCGGGAGCAGCTTCACCACCTCCGGAGAGGACTGGTCCAAGGATCGGATCTGGAATATATATTTTTATCACAATTATGTATAACGTGCAGTGTGAAAATAAGGGCTGCATAATGTGAGAAAATATAATCAAAGTAACACAAGAAAATTGCTTAGGCCATCCACCCATTTTCTTCCATTTATCAGGGGCCAGGTTGTGGGGACACCAGTCTAAGCATGATCTCCCAGACTTCCTTCTCCACACACACTTCCTCCAGCTCCTCCGGGGGGATCCCAAGGCGTTCTCAGGCCAGCTGAGAGATATAGTCCCTCCAGCGTGTCCTGGTTCTTCCCCGGGGCCTCCTCCCAGTGGGACATTCACGCAACACCTCTCCAGGAAGGCGTCCTGGAGGCATCCGGAACAGACGCTCGAGCCTCCTCAACGGCTCTACTCCGAGCTCCTCCAGTGTGACCGAGCTCCTCAGTCTATTTCTAAGGGAGCGTCCAGCCACCCTGCGGAGGAAACTCATTTCGAGCGCTTGTATCCGTGACCTCATCCTTTCGGTCATTACCCAGAACTCATGACCATAGATGAGGGTAGGAATGTAGACTGACCAGTAAATCGAGAGCTTTGTCTTTTGGCTCAGCTCCCTCTTCACCACAACAGTCCGATACAGCGACCGCATCACTGCCGACGCTGCACCGATCCACCTGTCAATCTCACGCTCCATCCAGGATTGCATAGGCCTTTATTATTTAATGGCATTTCAAACTACAGTTGTTGCCTGACCATGTACTGATCACTCTTTTTGACACAAGCGGCAGTAGAGCCAGAACTCTTTATGTGTTTGCATTAAACCTTGAGAAAACCCTTTTGTGGTCCTCACCTCTTTTCTTATACAGCAACCAGAAACTCATGATTAAGGCTGGGTATCATTAAGAAGTTGCCGATACGATACATACCTCGATACAGTGCACTTTCAATTCGATATGATATATTTCAAATCGATTTGAACTGTAACAAAATAATTTAGTCAAATATATCAAAAAATACTCTTGGTCATATATCGATACAGCAGCCCATGCTATCGATGCTGTATCATCACATTAAATGATACGATATCGATATTCTGATATTTTTGCACACCCTTACTCATATCAACAATTTTGCGATAAATGGCTCACCTGGATAGTGAAGAATTCTGGTTCAGTTTGTAATTTTCCATCCAATAGGAAGCCTCGGTGGGTGCTGTCAGAGGCGGTGAACGCAAATCGATCAATCAGAGCCGGACCTCCATCGTGTTTGTACGTCAGCTCCAAGTCCTGGATGTTCTTCTGTGTGAAGTTTGACCCTGCGCTGAGGGTCACACTATCCAACAGCAGGCGGCCGTACTGTGGAGGCTGCACGAGGGCAAAGGTCACGGCACTGGGAGGGGTGTCTGGGTCGGACATGGAGAGACTGTCCGGGCCCAGGATCATGGAGGACCCCCGGGGGACTATCAGGCCTTTGTTATTGGACAGAGAGGGCAGAATGCGGTCCACCATCTCCACAAATATCTCAAAGCTTCCGTTTCTGTTGGTTTTACCGTTACTCACGACAAACCTGGGAACACACAAGACTGTAATTAATGATAAACATGAACATATCTATCTTAGCATTTATTCAATTAGAGGCATTTTAACCCTTCCAGACCTAAGAGCAATTTTAGATAATTTTTCCTTGCCAGGATTTTTTTCTTAATTTTGCCATTAAAACTCCCCCTTTTTACCCTCTAATGAAGTGTTATATATCTTTTTTTCAGTAAAACCTGTTATTTCACAATCTGCATTCTGTAGTTGTGCCATATGGCTGCAATAAAAGCTACAGGACCAGAAATACAAATGAAGAAAAAAATAAAATAAAATAAATAAAACAGAAAATTTTATAAACTACTTTTTGGACATAAAAAATGCTTAATTTAGGGCCTTAGGTCCAAAGTGCAAAATGTCAAGTCTGTAAGTAAACAAAGTGTCCTTATTGGCTTAATACAAAAAAAAAGTGCAATGGCCCCATGACTTTACAGGTGTCAGTCATGGAAACAGCTCGTGTCAGGTCCAGGGCACAGAGCCACATCACTTCCTGCATTTCCATGGTGTTTATTACATTTGTATTTGAATATTTGGACTGAAAAAAAACTTTAAAAAAAAAAAAATAGCAAGGGATGCGCAATCACACAGACCAAGATGCGTAGTTTGCTATTTATATGAGAAATAACTGCACTTGGAGTATCTTTTTCAATTGTTACGAACACAGACACTCAGAGCAGTCGACCAGTTTGATTCACTTCACTCATTGGCAAAGTTTGAGACGATCAAAATGGATGGAGCGCATGCAGTTAGTGGAAAACAAAGTTCCTATTGGACACTCATTTTCCCAACGTCACGTGTGACATAGGATAATGCTGAAAATATGCTCAGAAAGCTGCAACACTCTAGCCTGATTCGCAGCATTAGGATTCGTTCCTCGACAGTAGGCGGGTACTTTTTAAAATTTTACCAGTCGCAGCTATTTGGTTGTGATGTATGTAATGTGCTGCTAACGGGACTAACTGGTATATTAAGCTTTTCCCAAATCTCATAGGAAGAAGGGCAGTATCGTCTTTCCCCTTGATAAAATTCACCAAACATTCTCTTTGTTCTGGCTTTTAATCCTTGATCCTGGGAATCGTTACCAACACAGGAATGTATGGGTCTTCGCTGATTGGCTGGTGCCTGGACTCGCACTTCCGAGGTTCTTGCAAACCGTCTAATATATTCTGATTCCTGACCCTAGTCGCTGGAGAGAAATGAAATTGAACGGGGGCACTAGGTGGTGGCAGCTTGACTAGCAACTCAACAGAAAGTTTCTATCTGTTATGGTTAGAAAGATATGTGCAGTTAAGTAAAACATATTCCCAGTTACTGTATAAGGTACCATCGGGTTGGAAGAGTTAATTACTAAAAGAAAAGAGACTAGCATTCTTACTGGGATCAGGTTCACTTTCCACAAAACGTACATGTCACTTGGCCTGGTATGGTCACATGCTTGTCTCCGTAAAGAAACATTTATACACATCTATATTTAGTATTTCAGTGTAATTGGTTATGTGGTATGTCAAAGCAAGCATCATGTATCTAATCTAACAACCAGACATTTCAGTTACAGTGTTAAATATGTGTGAAGTGATGCTTTTTATTTCTACATACCACACATTTCTCTGTGAGCAAACACACACTACACACACTGCTGACTCACTGAAACGTCTCCTTTGCGGTGCTTGCACGATTATCATGGACGTAGGCTACAGTGTTCGCCGCTATGTCCATCTGGCTGAAGGTGGTGATGGACATCCCGGGGTGCCTGATGTACTCTACGTGTCCGTGAGTGGGAGGAGTCGTGATCACATACAGAAGCTCTTCAGGCTTGTCTGTCCCGTCTGTGGCCAATAGCGCATTTGTCGTGAGGACCACACGATCTCCACGAGTCACATTCACAGGCTTCACAAAGATGGCTATGTTTCCTAAAAGTCAAAAAGAAAACATTTCTTAAAGGAAACATCATGTAAAATTAAAGTTTTGTGAGCTTAAAATCATGTTATAATAGTGTTCCCTCATTAGGGCTGGGTATCAGTAAGAAGTTGCCAATACGATACATACCTCGATACATAAGCCACGATACGATACATATCTCAATGCAGTGAGCTTTCGATTCTATATGATATATTTCAAATCGATTCAATATGGTTCAATTAAAAAATAAAGGCTAAATCATGGTTGTGATTCTAAAAGTTTTTGTTAAACCAATTCTTGTGCAAAGTTTTTAATGAACACGTCCATGTTTACTCATCAAAACAGTGAAAATGTCAAAAGTGTCGCATAAAAGAATTTCCTTCCTCTAAACCGAACATGTCAAACTCAGTCCCGGGGGCCAAATTTGGCTAAAGATATAATTATATTTGGTCCATGAGATCATAAAACATGTACTAGAGCTGCCTGCTGGCTACAGATAGACTATAGAGACATTATTTATTTAAAATTGTGTTGTTGTTTTTTTTTATATTCTGCTTGTTCTGGATTGGAATGATTAAGCAAAACTATTATTAAACATTTATTTTAATAAGAAAAGGTTTAACATTACATATCTCGAAAGAAGAGGAAACATGCAGAGGTGGTTGAAATTTTTCATTAAATATTTAGTTTGGCCCATGACTTAGACCCAGTTTTTAATTTGAGCCCTCTGTGAATTTGAGTTTGACACCCCTGCTCTAAAACAAACAACAAAACTGTAGCGCTGTAATAAAATAATTTGATAAAATATACCAAAAAATACACTTCGTATATATATCAATACAGCAGCCCACGATATCGATACTGTATCATCACATTAAACTAAACGATATATTGATATTTCAATATTTTTGCACACCCCTATTATATATAAAGTTGTATGTCAGACTAAACAGCTACATAAAGCATAACATGTCCTCTTTAAGTCAGGGGATAAATCTCAAACCTATGTCTAATTGAGCATGTCCGTCCAAAAATATCGGTACCCTTTTCGAGATCCCTGATGGAGATGTGAAAATGCTGAGACGGTGATCGATTCTTTCCGTCTGACAAGTGGAAGACAAAGTGGTCATGTGACTCCTCCTCGTGCACGCCCGTGTGCACATAGTGTAAAAGGTTCATATTGACCATTTCCTGGGTGCAGCTTGTTCCAGGTGTCACTGTCACCCACTCATGTCCTTCCTGGAGAATATAGGAGAATAAAAACTTTCAGAACATACAGTTCATATGCTGAGTGCTATGACTAAACACACATTAGCGAGTTTTGATTTGCCATAACTGTGAAAAAGCAGTTTAACACAGTGTAAAGATCAAAGAAATGTGAGTTAATCTTAAATCAATACAGCATTTTAAGTGTAGTGAAAGTAGTTTTAAAGCTGATGCAACTGGACAAACCTTAATTTGAAGTAAACCTTGACTTGGAGTACTTTCAAAAATGTACTTGACTTCTGAAGAGGGCGTGTCACTGTCCAGAGCAAAGAGCACAACGCTGGATATTAGCCTGGTCTCGCCTGCCTCCACCTCAAGACCGTTGTTCCTAAAAGTTAAAGATCGTCACATTATGTTTACCTAAAAAGATCAACATAAAGGACACATGAGAGTAATGTACCTTATGACTTGAGGCTCTTGATCATTGACCGGCAGCACTTTGACCATCACTTGTTTCTGTAACTTGTGCTTCCCATCTGTCAACTGTATTGTGAAACTGTCCTCCATGTTTTCAGAGTCATCGTGCATGTACATCAGCCCTAACCCTGTAAAAGCAGCATATAAAAACACACTGATTAAAAGTGTCATATTTATATACAAAAAAAAAAATTGTGAGCTTATAGTCTTGTTATGAATTTCCTCACAACACTTATCTACCTTATAACAGTGTTCCCTCAGTTTACTCAGTTGTATTTTGAGTGATCCATGCATGTTTGAGTAATCTTATATTGTTCTGGATATAACGCTTGCTCAAAAAATTGCTGTTTTCACCTACCCCCTATCTACGCTCTCAATTCGATCATTTTTTAAAACATTCTTAATCCAGATCGTACATGTCAGGTTAAAAAATGTCACAAAGCCATTTTCCAGCAATAAAAAAGTAAGCGAACCCTCAAAAAAATAATACAATGTCGTGGTTTACACATCTTCACCATTCCTGCTACATGTGAGTATTAAGTATTTAGGCTTAAATCTACCCATTCCAAGGGCGTAGGTTTGGTCTTAGCGTTTGGTTAATTATATAACGTTTTTTGCTTTTCATATGATGCAAACTGCAAAAACCAAACAGCACATCTTTATAAGAAAGGGTAAAATGGGATAAGAAGTTGCTTTTATGTTTTATGAATTCTTTCCAAAAACACACAGTCTTGGCAGGTCCAATTTAAGTGAGTGGTGGTTTCATTTTTCAGTTTGCAAAATGTACAGTTTGTGTCCATTGTCCTTCTAAGATGATTCTTTAGTGGATAACAGCGAAATAGAAGTTTGGACATTACCTCACAAATATCCCATCACCAACAAGCAAAGGGAAATCTGCTACAAACATTTTTCCATGGAATATTGTCAACTGATTAACTACTTGGGTTCTTTTTAAAGACAATACAGTAAAGTGTATTTTACCTTGCTGACCTGTTTCGGCGGCTGCTGCATCTTCAGAACTATCACCGGTGTTGGTGGTGACATGTTGTATATCAGCTGTTGTTACTTCCTGTCGGCGCGGTCAGCCTGATGGACCTGGCTGGTCGCTCAGGCCTGCCAGGCGGTCCTCCTTTCACACACCTGAGACAACCTCTTCCAGAGAACACCGCGCGATGGGAGGCATGGTCAGGACAGGAAGTAACAACAGCTGATATACGACATGTCACCACCAACACCGGGGACAGTTCTGAAGATGCAGCAGCAGCTGAAACAGGTCAACAAGGTAAATACACTCTACTGTATTGTCTTTAAAAAGAACCCAAGAAGTTAAAGTACATAAGAAGACAAAATGAACATCTTTGGCTTATTGTCAATAGAGTCGGGCTGTTAACAGTGCACGAGTAGGGCTCCGTTTGGGGAGGTGCACTTGTGGCGAAAGTCGCTCTTTTTCCACAGTGACTCATTATAAAGCAAGTTTAATTGAAGATGAAGCCAGGTAAGTTCCTTTCGGAAAGTTTTGGAAAGTTTGGTGTGCAGCGGCTTCACTCACGCCAGCTCATCGCTGCCACCATCTTCGGGTTTAGGCTCCTGGCACCACTAATGACATGACTCTGTTGCAGCCAATGAAATAGCGGCGTAACCCACTGAATATATCTCAGAATGTCTAATAAACAAAATGTGAACTAAAACATGTTCAAATAATACTATTGAGTTTGGAAAAATATCACAATAAATGTATATTTTTGTTTAATAAAATAAAATGTCAAATATTGGTAGGGACTATTTTGTTTTCCCCAAATACTGGTTGTGACATGTCCCAACCGTCCCTAAGCAAACCTACGCCCTTGACCCATTCTGATTTCCATAATTTCCATATAAATAAAGCATTTACCATTTGTTAGCTCGGTCATGGTAAAGTCCACCACTTGAGCTTTGAGGTACGAGTGGTAGGTGTCCCCTCTCCCGTGCGCTGCTCTGTCACTTGCATGCTGCATAATGCTCCCGTGGAGAGGAGGAGAGACCACACTGAACACCAGAGAGTTCTTTGGTACATCCATATCCACTGCGTTTAACACAGATGAGTCCAACGGCTTCATTTCCCCTTCAGTGACCTGGAAACCAAAACATGAATTGACGGTGTAAGCGTAGCAATAGATCGATTATGTCTTTTACATTATAATCTACCTACAGTTATATTGCGGGCCATGAACTCAGGGGTCTCATCATTCGTGGGGTTGATAATTATGTAAAAAGGCACGTGAGCGGAGGTATGTTTCCCATCAGATACACTTAGTATGAACTGGTCAGCTGTGGGCTCCATCCTCTCATGTCTCGACTGGACATAGTTCACATGGCCTGCGATTATATCTTGGTACAAAAAAGAAGCTGGGAACACAAACTGGACATTAAAATTGTGTTGGTTCAGTAGTCGGTCTCAATAGGAGGAGGATTTTAGATTTTAAAGTACAATTACCGATGCTGATGCCCATGTTGCTCTTCTCAAAGCCGGGGCTGGGCAGGACGTTCTCTATGTAGCCAAACTGAGGAGAGGAAACCAGGCTGACGACGAGCTCATCCAGAGGACTGTCCTCATCAGACACTTTCAGATGAGAGGCAGAAATAGAGGCAGACCCACCTTCATCCACCACAAAGATATCTCCTACAAACATATAAAACTGAGATTTAAAACCTTTTTAATTTAACCTTAGTTAACCAGAAAAATACCAGCTGAGACTAAGGGGACCTGGCAACGAGGTCAGCAGTCATTTGGATTGGGAACCTTATTTCATATTGTGACTTGCTGCTCATTGTTAGCCTGATTTGCAGTATTAGGATTCGTTCGCTCAACAATAGGTGGGTACTTTTTTTATTTAACCAATTGCAGCTATTTGGTCATGATGTATGTAATGCGACGCTAACAAGACTAACTGGTATATTAAGCTTTTCCCAAATCCCGTAGGAAGAAGGGCAATAATGTCTTTCCCCTTGATAAAATTCACCAAACATTCTCTTTGTTCTGGCTTTAAATCCTCGATCTTAGGAATCAACACAGGGTGTATGGCTCTTTGCTGATTGGCTGGTGCCCAAACTCACACTTCCAGAGTTTTTGCAAACCGCCTAGTGTATTCCGATTCCTGATCTAGTCGCTGGAGAGAAATGAAATTGATTGGAGGCACTAGCTAGCGCCTGCTTGGCTAGCTCATTGTTACCACCACATAGCAATTTTCACCTAGAAATATATATCTTTGACTCGTGACCATAGTTTGGACACCTCTGACCTAATTATTTATTGCAAAACATAAGAATGAGAGGAAACACCTGTGGTCAGTGTGGGGGGCTGGTTGTCCACAGGGAACACGGTGACGTGCAGGTCATACACGGGCAGACTGTCCCGGATCAGAGCAGAGCCACTGGACCTGCTCCCCCCACCACAGCACACGGAGCTCTCTGTTTCCCCATCAGAAATCACAAAGGTGATGGTGTCTTGGCGAGGCGTGAGTCCAATCTCAAGTCCTAAAACAAACAGAAAAAAACATAAACTTGATAATGTAGTTTTTTTTCTCATAACAATCATACATCTTGCTTACTAACCAGTGTGTCTGTATGTAATAATCCCAGCAGTGATGTCGGCCTGAGAGAAGCGATCCACCACGACCCCGCTCCGCAGCACTACCCCGTGATAGGGCTGCCGGGCGATGAGGAAGGCCAGGCTGCTGTTGTCACTGTCTGCATCTGTAGCGTAGATGTACTCTGCAGTGATCAGTGCCTCATCTCCCTCTGCACAGCTCAGCACAGGCTTCAGACCTGCAGCCAGCACTGGGACCTCATCATTTACAGGGGTCACCTGAGGGAACAGACACGAAGCAGGAAGCTTTTTCACTTTAATTAAAGCATTATTAGGTATTTTATGTTTTACTGACCTTAACAGGCAGAACGAAACTGACTGGATTTGTGCCATCTGTGGCAATCAGCTCAATGTTGTCTTCTAGACTTTCTGAGCCGTCATGAATATACCTTAAACAACAGACAATAAACCAGAAGTAATAAGCCAGCAGCAAAGCAATAAATATCGATTCATTGTGATAACACATTAGGTGATACAGCATTGATCCTGTGGGCTGCTGTATCAATACAATGTCAGGAGTACTTTTAATATATATTCAACAATATATTTTGTGACGGAATTACAATTTTGTGGCTTGTTCAGAGAATAAAATGCAATAAATTTGACATATTCAATGTTTGGATGCTTAAAATGGGTGTATTTCATATTACATTTATGCAAGTGGTGGTTTAACAAAGAATTACAGTTGTTAAAAAGTATTTGTGTTTTAAAAATAGTGAGCTATGGCAAAAAATCATGTTCAATATACTGATTATTGCAAGCATCAGCATCGCATATTGTGAAATGATTGTATTGTGAGCCATTATGTAACGTATCAATTCAAATTGTGAGAGACCCTGTATATTGCTTCAGCCAGTTTATGATGAGAGAGAAAGACTTCTTTCCCGGATAACAAAATGTGGATGTCTAACCTGATGTTGGTGTTTTTCAGGTCCTGCACAGAGAAGCTTTGGCCTGGTCTGAGGGGGGCGCCAGAGAGCTGCAGAGAGCCATGCTGTGGATCCTTCTGCAGCTTCAGCGTTAAAGATTCTATCTTTGAGTCAATATCTGAGAGCAGCAAATGTTCAGGACTGAGCCAGCTCTCCCCTCCCTCATCCACAGACAGGGTCGATGTGACAACCTGCAGCAGCAAAATGTCTAAAGTCGCACTAGAGTCAACACGCTGACGTCTCTTTATACATACTTTTGTTTACCTGTGGCGGCTGATTGTCCACTGGTAAAACTGTGATGTTAAAGCAGATCCCAGTCACAGTTTTGCCCAAACGGTTGGTTACAGACAGAATGAACTGGACATACTGAGGGTAAGGACCAATGTCAACAATTGGAGGCATGTAGGCCACTTTCATGAAGCTCACCGCATGCTGGAAATCAAAGCAAAAAAGGTTTTACCCTGTTTAGTCTCAAATATTTACAGTCTAGCTTCTTTGGTAAGGATTTAGGTTTGCTTAAAATGTTCAACATCACCTGTGTAAAAAGCCTGAGCACTGGTGCATTGGGGTCTTTGGTAAACTTGGGAATGCTGTCCACCAGAAACAAATGTCCGGCGTCCACACTACTGCGTATCACAACACAAATCAGATGAGAAGACGTCCTTCACTTGAGCACACTGTCTGAAAACACTGGCTCTTACTTGTGTGGGCCGGAGTAGAAGGGAGGGGTGGTGACAGTAAACGTCAGCTCGCTGTCAGGGGAGTCCTGGTCGATAAAATGGAGCTGTTGTCGCGTGATATGGACGTCTGTCTCCTTGACGACCAGACAGCGGCTGGTGCCAGGAGCCTCTTTAGGGGGCTGGTCGGGCACACGCTCAACATGGACCATCACAACCTGCAAAATCACAGCATTCTTCAAAAACACTGGATAAAACTGAACAAATAAATCTGAAATGTAAATGTATATGCAAATTTCCTTACAGATAACTTAAATATAATAATCAATAATGTTAATGTTACCTACTTGAGGCTCTGACAGGTTTGGGGGGTCATGAAAATCAGACAGCACCACCTCAAATGAATCGTCAAACACTTCATGTCCCAGGTGTCTGTAGTAAACCAGCGACTGGGACAGGTCCTTCTGCAGAAAATGGTTGACAGGATATCCTAAAGTCAACACAGAGGAATATCGGTATCATCAATATGTCTTGTACTTAAAGCAGCACTATGTCACTGCGAGAGTCTGCCTTATTATCGCCTCCATGGAGATTAATTTTATTGGAAAACGTGCAATCTCGTTTTCAAGGGGGTCCAAAAAACAGAAAATATAAAAAATACAATAGACAGAATACAAAACTTACATTTACTTTACATTTGAAAACACACACACGCACACGCACACGCACACACATACAGATGTTATTGCTTAGCCTGGAATGTTCTCACTTCATGGAAACCGTCTGACCTCACAGAATTAGAATTCGTTCGGTCGACAGTAGGTGGGTACTTTTTTTACTTAACCAATCTCTGCTATTTGGTTTTACATAATGCACCACTAACAAGGCTAACTGGTATATTAAGCTTTTCCTTAATCCAGGAAGAAGGGCAATAACGTCTTTCCCCTTGACAAAATTCACCAAACATTCTTTTGTTCCAGTTTTAAATCCTTGAGCTCAGGAATTGTTGCCAACACAATGTATGACTCTTCACTGATTGGCTGGTGCCTGAACTCACACTTCCGGGATTTTTGCGAACCATCTAGTGTATTCTGATTCCTGTCGCTGGAGAGAAATGAAAGTCAACAGAGGCGGAGCCAGCCTGACTAGGAATGTAGAGGTAGTTCCAAGTTTACAGCTACATTTTACCTTTTGTTCAGTAGAGAATTTAAGAGCTGAAATGATCCAAATGAAAATCTGTATGTTTAAAAACACATTGGAGCACTTCCTGTTTCAACACATGACATCACAAGGTGCAACTGAGAGTTCTTCTTTCAAACAAAAAACAAACAACTGCCTAAATATGCAGGATTTGTGTGCTAAACATCTGCCAGTGAAACAAAACACAACTCCACATAGGTTTATAATGACATTTGAACATAGATCATAAAGCAGCGTAATATGGGCCCTTTAAGTACAGTAGAGAATCTGTGCAGTACCTGTGAGCCCGGGCCCTGGGATCTTCATGAGCTCCCCGGCGTGTGGGAGTCTGGTGATGTTGAAGAGGATGTAGTCGTGGCTGGAGTCCATGTCTGAGGCCTGGAGGGTGGAGCCTGGGAGCAGAGTCGTCTGTCCCTCTGACACCTCCAGGAGCATGTTGGTGATGAGGAACGGGGGGCTGTCGTCTTTGGGCAAGATCTTGATGGGGAACTTGTGGCGGGTCTGGTGCAGGCCGTCCGTGATCCGGAAAATGATGAAGTCTTTGGTGGAGTCGCTGTCGTCATGGTGATAGCAAACCACGCCGTCCTTAATGTCCTGGACCGTGAACATGAAGCCCTTCCCACCTGAAATAAATGTCATTATATTTACTGAAGCCAAACTTTGAACCAGTCTCAAGCAGAGGCATCAAGGCTGGGTGGGTAAAAAGTGTTCCCAAGCCTACATAATAATAGCTTTCTAGGACTTAGTGTCCACATTTTGGGTTGTTCAGGCACTTAATAAATCGTTTTTGCAAATCATTATTCAACTTTGACTTTATTGCATTCCATTGAAATGATTAAAAAATAGAATTAATATTTTGTATTTCATATGTGGACATCATTTTTCTGAGAAACTACATCATGTAAAAATAGAATTTTTTGTTTTTGCACACATCAGGTCCCAATCAGCCCAAATAAAAAAGAGAAATCAAAACAGCATGCCGTGCAAGAGCTCAGGTCCTATGAGGTTAAGGGATTTTGTAATAAAAATAAAGAGGCGGTGTTATGTCCACTCAAGGTAAACATTGTTTGTTTAAGTTGTGTAAACCATCTTTTAGAACAATTGCAACTAAAAATACTAAAAATGCAAATATACATAAGGTTTGGGTTCTCTTAAAGTTCAGAAATAACCTCAGTTAAACTCCTTTACATAAATCTGACAACAGATGTTTAAGTTTGCAAAATGTTGTAGTCTGTAGTCTGATCTATCCAGTATGGGGGAAAGAAACCATGATTTTTTTTTTTTTTTTCTTGCCCAGGTCTAGTTGATCATCATTTGTTCTTAATACTTGTTCCTCTACCTCTGACAGTGAGGCGTCCGTGCAGCAGACCGTCCACTGTGATTATACGAACAGCATTCAGGTTGTTGTTATCCACAATCTGCAGCTGCTCCCACGTTATTGGACGAGACTGACCCTCCAGCAAACTTAGGCCTGCACATTCAGCCACACACAAAGAAGAAATCATGCTTCAGTATTAATGTATTTATTATTTTTAATCAATCATTGCTTACCCATGTTCCAGGACACTCGAGGTGCGTTGGTATCTGCATTCCTAACAGACATGTGGACTGTGATGGGTGGGCTTTTCTCAAAATAAAAATCATGAACTTCAAATTCCACCTGTGGGCAATAATTTTAACCTTTTAACATGACAATAAATAAATAAATAAATAGTAGAGTATAGAAGTAGAATAATAGAGTAAATACTGACAAAAATGCATGTCTTGTTATGACAAATAAATCTAAAATATTTTCATTACAGTTTTTTATCAATGTCATATTTTTGCTGACTAAATCTAATCATAATGACTAAAAATATCACTAAAAGTAGATATTTTGGCCGACTAAAAGTACTGAAATGTTAAAGGTAAATACAAAAAACTAGTGAAAATAATTATTTGACTACATTTTGATTAAAAAATATATATAAATTTCTTGTCAAAATGAGCACTGGCCTCGTAATTCCTTCGCTGGCTGTGGGAGGAGTTTGGAGGTTGGTACCCGATCAGCATGTCATTGAGATCGAGCCAGGTGAAGGAGGAGACGGGCCGGGTGTGGTCGGACAGGTGGGTGATGAAGCCTTCAGAGGGAGGCGAGGTGACGTTGAAGACGAGGAGCTGTTTGGGGGTCTCTTCGTCCTCCGCGTCCAGGGTCCCGGTGGAGAGGGGCGTCAGGATGAACTGGTCCACCTCCAGGATGAACATGGACATGAAGGAGGCTTTGGGCGGCTGGTTGGGCATCGCTCCGAGGATCCGCACGGGAATCCAGGCATGCTCCGTCTACAATGAATTACAATACACAAGTTTTTTGAATATTATCTACAATATGAGCCGATCCAGCTTTTTCAGTTCCAATACTAATTCCAATCCTTTAGTAAGTGTCTGCTGATACCTGATATTAACCAATACCAGTGTAGAAATTGAAAATAGTTGTTTGTTTAGTTTATTTTACTATTTACTATTTAGTGTCATGCATCATTTAGTTGGGGCCTTATAAAACACATGAAACAATAAGCAGACAGATCACACATCAAACATAAAGTGTCTTCTTACGGAAATCCCAGGGTTTCAACACAAACAGAGCCAGCTTGAAAACATTACATTTAAACAAATACTCCAGTCTCTCCTCATCAGACTTCACAAACAAACATTAAAATACATTATACAACAACTGACAGCGCAGGTCATGATACAAAGGACAGTAGTACAGAAAATGCCTTTTATTTTCAATGTCCTTTAAGTCACACTGAGCACATGTGCGCTCCTCCTCTGGGGCTGAGTGGAAGCGTTTCGTCTCCAGAGCCAGAGGCAGAATCCCACACCTCAGCTGGGCACATACGAACATTTATTTCCTTTACACAATGATAAAAAAAGACAAGACTGATCCAAATGTGTAAAGACAGAACACCTAAGTATAAATAGAAACATCAAACATTATGAGACTTTCTGGGCCAACTACACCCAGTAAACAGTAAAATAACAGACATTTGTTTGTTAAACCAGGATATTGGCTAGATCCTATCAAGCAAAACTTTCAGTATCAGTGCAAATATTTGTTACCTGTACCGGATCTGTGCATCCCTATACAATATTATATTAATAAAGATTTTTTTGCATAGATACCACAACTCCATAGAGATGTCTTAGCCAAAAAAATATTAAACTGTAAAGAAAAGAGTCACAGACAAACCCATTAAGGTCTTGGGCCACTGATGGTAAATCGAATTATCACTATATAATGCTATTTAACATCTTGAAATCTCCACTGGATTAACATTAGGCTAATTGAAAATTCTAAGGTGTGACTGTTCTGAAAGGTTTTTATTTTTCATTCCACACTCTTCTCTCTAACTTAATGTCTCTCTCTCTTTCTAATTTGATGATGATTATTTATATTTTAAATTTGTTTTTATTGTGATGTTATAATGTTTTTCTGTGAAGTAAAATGTAAATTCTGTAAAGCTCTTTGAATTACTTTGTGTACAAATTGTGCTTTACAAATAAACTTGCCTTGCCTTGATGACACAATGTCTTGGCCTATTTATAGATTTATATTTTAAAATTTAAATCAAGACAAAAAAAAATGTAGCATAGCTGTAATCAAGTTTACAAATGACCTTTTCTTTTGTAAAGATCATTACAAATTAATTAATCCAGGGTGTCATAAAACATTACATTGACTCTTTCTGATGCCCATATATGAAAATGTATTGGACAAAAACAGTCAAACTCTTTATGAAGACCTACAAATTACAAAAAACTAAAAGCGTACCTTATATATGCTGCCACTGCGTGTGTCCTTGAGGTCCAGTCTGATTTGGATGTAGTCTATGTCGGGAGATGGAGGGTCAATGTGCTGGTACTTGACGCCCATGACCAGGAAGTCATCACAGGGGACTTTCGAGAACTTTACCAGCTTCAGACCCTTCAGGCAGTCTTCAGATTTACACATAGCCCGCTCTTTGTTATCTAAACAACAAATACAACACAGCACATTCAGGATGATTTTTCAAATGGAGTGACAAAAAATACAAAAACTAAATACACAATTTATAACTTACAATTTATAATCCACAAATGTCGAACTTTCTCATTATTTCTATGGCTTAAAGTCATTTTAACAATCACATCTTTGGAGTAAATCTGTGTATCATTAGTTCTTTTGTTTTTTCAAAATAAAACCAAAAATAAGAAATGAAAAATATATTTTCTTCATTATTTGTGTCCAAAACCAAAAGGAAAAAATGGATAATGATTTGTTTTTTTTCAGTTTTCAATTTTGTGTTTAAACAAATAATGGAAAAAAATATATAATAATTTGTTTCTGTGACTTAAACCGCAATGCCGGACTTTTGCACCGCATGTGGACTGAACCAAGACTGAACCAGGACTAAATCAGGACTAAACCAGTTTCAGTCCTGGTCTCAGTCCTGGTCCTGGTCTGGTCCTGGTCTGGTCCCGATCTCAGTCCTGGTCCCGGTCTGGTCCCGGTTTGGTCCCAGTCTCAGTCCTGATCTTGTCCCAGTCTGGTCCAGGTCTGGTCCCGGTTTCAGTACTGGTCTTAGTCCTTGTCTGGTCCCAGTCTCAGTCCTGATCACTCAGCAGTCTACGCGGGTACACCTCTGGGTCCGTCCCGACACTCAGTCCTGGTTCAGTCCTGGTTAGACCTGGTTTAGTTCTGTTTCAGTCCTGGTTCAATCCGGCATCTCAGTTTAAGTCACGTAAACGGAAAACGGCCATTATCCCCATTATTCATTTAAACACAAAATTGAAAACTGAAAAAACCTAATCGTTATCTGGTTTTTCATTTTGGTTTTGGAGACAAATAATGAAGAAAATAGTTGTTTTTTTGTTTTCTTAGTTTTGGTTTTATTTTGAAAAATGAATGAACGAATGATACACGGACTGTGGTTGAATAATGACACCAATTTCTGAAGCTAAAAATAAAAAGATTTAGAATACAGAAATACTAACATAAACCAGGTCAGCAAACCTTCGATCTGACAGCAAATTCTGTCTCAGTATTCTGACCTGTCCTCGTAAATTTGAAACAGTTGGGTTATGGTTATGTCATGTGAACGCAACCTATCAAATATAACAGAAGGACGACAGCAGCATTACCCACTGTGCACAAAAATGATTTAAATTCATCCTGACCTAGTTGCTGGCGAAGGTGAATGAAGCTCTCTGGTTCGTCTCCCCTCTTGGCGGCCTCCTGTAGTTCACCGGTGACCAGTTGTCCGTGAGCGGGCAGGTGGTGTTCATGGTTACTCAGCTGGACCGTGCACTCCAGGCTGGACTTCCTCTCGTAATGGAAGGACACCACGTTCCCATCTACAGGGTTGGAAAGGCTGTAGAACTCCGGCACCTCCAGAGACTTGGGGCCCAGTCGGATGATGCTGCATTCAGGCTCTATGATTTCCACGTGGAGGGTGAAGACCTCGATGTACGTGTGCGTGTCTGTGAACCTTAAACCAAATAATTAAATCGGTTAAACAGAAGTAGAACCAAAAAAGCCATCAGTGTTGTCGCTTGAGTACCTGTATAGTCGCAGATTGACAATGTCCTCCTTCAGTAGTGGACAGCCGTTGTGAACGTACTTCACCTCATCAGTCAGATAGTGACAATCAAACACCTAACAAGGAAAGAATGAGTATATTTATAATTTATATCCACAATAATCAGATAACCCAGTAATGAGATCTGATTTGTGGTGTGTCTATATGTCCAAGAGAAATCTGATTATTAAAACACTTGTTGATACATTTTTTAAGAACAATCATTTTAGTCTTTTTACATTTTCTCTTCACTTTTACCACATCATTTGTCAGTTTTTGCATTTTGTCATTGTCAAAACCTGCACAGATATGAACCAGCAGACAGAAATCACATTACTCACATCAGATCTAACTGTGACATGACATTTTAATAATCTGACAGAAAACAAATCATGATCAGATTTGATTAAAAAAAGCTCTACAAAGTACATGATGAGCTTGTTTAGCCTTTTCAACACATACGCCTGTGACATAAGTATATTTGGTCCGTCCGAGGCATTATTTATTTAAAATGTAGTTATTATTTTATATTATGCTTGTTCTGGATTCAGTGTTAAAGTAAAATTATTACTAAACATTTATTTTAATAAGAAAAGGTTAAGAAAATGCATTACATATCTCAAAAGAAGAGAAAACATTCAGATGTTGTTGAAAATTTTCAGTAAATATTTAGTTTGCCCCACGATTTAGTCCCAGTTTTTAATTTTGGCCTCTGTGAATTTGAGTTTGACACCCCTAATATAGGACATTACACAATAATTAGTGAATGATTAGTGTCTTTTATTGTTCCACATGTTCTTTGTCGCCTAACACCAGAGGGCAGTGCAGCATCGAACACGCAGACAAAGGATCAGCTATGAATCTACAGCAGTTTTACAGCTGAACTGAACTGAACTTTATTTGCTATTTAATGTTTTCATTATTTGTGATGTGCTTTCAGTTACGGCGCAATAAAGGTATTCTGTTTCATGTGTGTCCTCTGTGGGTGAAATGAAAAGACAACATTGCCCTGTTATACGTATAAAACTAGAACTGTGTTTCTCATTAATAAATCATAACATATTACATTATAATTTACTCTGCAAGTCATTTGGAAATTCAGCAAGCGGCAAGATCTGTCAACACGAGGCCATTAGGAGGGAGACAGTGGTCTGGCAGGGAAACAAAGGAAACTCTACAGATGCACCTATGATAAGGCACTACAAAAGACGGTTGACAAAAAGGCTAGTTTCTTAAATTACTGTATCGCTATTAAAATAAACAATAAAAAATAAAATAAAGTACAAAGAGGAAGAGGTCATGGTACAGTTTTGTTTCACATTCAGGTAACTTTTTTGTTCAAGAAGCCAATTTGTTCAGTTTTATGAAAAACTGTCATTGAGCAAATACAATTCAATCTACATACACTGTCCAAATGTTTGTTTTGTATTCCCAAATGTCTATTACAAGTAATAGAGGTCAGCTTAGTCCTAAAGAGAGTTCTTTAGTGTTTCAGTCGTCATGAGATATAACGCTGCAGCTCTGTGTCCCCTGACCCAGCAGATTTATAAAAAACAGTGATTTATCCCAGTTTTATACAAGAAATGTCCAATGTGTCCCTATTTTTGACCAATTTGATCTAAACCAGGACTAAACTAAGATTAAACCGGGACTACATCAGGTCTAAACCATGACTAAAACAGGACTATCACAATTTTTGACGACTCTGATCACTGCCAACAGTAAAGAGGAGCATAAATCGTTATTTGTTTTGCCAAAATACAGAAATCCATGTTTGCGAATGACCATAAAACAACTAAATGCAGCGCCAGAATTCCCTCCCCTTATGACTGACCCAAAAATGCACAATCTTACACGCTCTTTTTACAGTTTTATTTAGACCAACCATCCCAACCCAGCCAGGTGTGTCCCAGTTTAGAATTTTGTAAATCTGGTCACCGTATGTTAACCAGAGGAACTTTGGGTTAACCTTAACAACCATTTCTGTTTGAGTTAAATATTGTCTTTGTGAAATGTGCTCTCGTTTTAATATTTAACTGAAATACACAGGATCAAACGAAAACAAAAACTAGAGTTAAAGTTATAGCACGGGGCTAATGACACACTGCATGCCTTCCTCCACATTAGTGCTTATTATGGAGTGTAATGCGGCGCTTTAAAGCCAACAGAGTGTCGTGTAGCGTGAGGAAATGCTCTGAAACATGCTGTGTGTTCTGTGAGAGGAAAGTTATGGTCTGACCTGAGGCTGCAGCTTCCCCACGCGTTGAGTTATTGGCTCATTTAGCACCACCTCCACCTTACATGCATCTTTGTGACGGGGGATGTGGAACTGCAGGTCTCCATCCTGCAGATAGGCTGACTGACCCCGCTTGACCTTTAGCCCCTTGTTGGTTTTGACTAGAGAGCCCGGAGCTGAGGAGGTTAGTCCCAGCAGAAGAGCAGGGAGCAGGGTCCAGGTCAATGTTTGTCCCAGTGGGTGCATCTTCACGGCTTTCAAAGAATCACTCCAAGTGGAACAGGAATTTTTTCAGTGAGAAATGCTGGAGCTCTCGGTAGCACACATGCTCTTTTGCTTTTGGTTTGTGCTCGTCACATAAAAACCTGTAAAAATCAAACACAATCAGTGAAATTGTTTAGAAAGCAGTAAGGACTGAACTGTACAATATCACAATCAAATCATAACAGCAAACTCTTCAGGCCGTAAGAGTTTCTTGAAGAAGATTGTAGCAGAGTGAAATAGAAAGAGAGAGAGTGGGGAGAGACATCTGGCACATGGTCAAAGCAAAGAGGCAAATTAACAAACCACATTTGTACCTTAAACATTACAAGGCGAGCATCGAAATCGCAATTTGAATGATAAGAAATTACAATATCTGATGTCATTTAGGGCAGTGTTTCCCAAGCTTTTTTCTCAGGACCCATATTTTAAAAGTCACAAACCTTCGTGACCCAAGTTGATAGGAATCATTCGTAAATCACAAAATAAAGTTAGATTTGAGCATTATTGAACATTATTGAGGATATTTTATTGTTGACTGAGTGATCGTGTCTCTCTGAACTATTCGTATTACTCAAGTTTTAAACAATGAAAAACTGAAATTGAGCAATCAAAGGATCCATAAATCGCCTATTTGGACATTAAATGAAGCCCATTTCTTTTTCTTTTCAACATTCAATTGAACCAGCAAACAAAACAGTCAATAAAATAATTACTAAAAGATTAGAAATTACACAAAACATCAATTCAACATTTATAATGAGATAGGTGGGCCTGTCTGTGTTTTTGTAGCTCGTTCCAGTCCGGGTGCAGGAGGAGAGCGCAGCAGCAGCAGATCAGGCGCAGGTTTCAGTCTGTTTCTGTGCTTTGTCTTCATTTTTGTGAGCAGAAAATCCCAATTCACACATATATGTAATAGTGAATAATGAAAGGAACTGTATATTGCAGAGCTACACGCAGATCGTGACAAGGTGACCCCAAAAAAAATCTCTTGCGACCCACCTGAGAATCTGCTTTAAGGAAAATAATACAATCTGAAAAAGTATCTCATATTGAAGTGGCTATACTGTGTACAGCTAAACTATGCGTTTTATTATTTGAGAACCAAAAAGTATGCCATTATCTTGCTAGTAGTTTTTAGCTCTCTTTGCTCTGGTTTCAGAAAGCTGTGAAAAGCCTTTGAAAAGCCCTTATAAACCCTGTGAATTAGGACGCTAGGAATGTGATTTGTGCATTAGTTCAGCAGTTCCTGTTCCAGTTTTCAGTCACCTGGATGTTAGATATAGTTTCAGCTCTACTGTTCAACAAAAGCATAATTAAATCCTAAAACACACTTGCGCTTGTTAAGTTGTGTGTGTTTTTACTGTATCTCTATAAACTCAACAAAGTCATCTCATAAAAACAATACATGAGAACGCATTATTGTTTTGCTCTCCAGCTGCTGGCAGTTTTTGTTACACTGCGATGGAAAACCACAAGAGCAAACATCTACACCAGCAGATGCATAAAAACACAGTTAAATCTGGACCAAACCCGCACTGGTGGCTTATGACGACCGCCAGCCCGTAAACCACTTCATTAGAGCGCCATTAAACGCCACAAGAGGAATAATTGGAGTTTTGAAGTGGCTTGAGGCGTTAGAGACCTCATGGGGGATCGAGAATTCGCTCTTCTCAGCTTGTCAGGAAATCTGCTTATGAAAAACAAATGCGGGTCTTTCCCTGAAGCAAAACAAGCTCCGTGGTTGCAACATGTCGTTTCCCAGTGACCTCTGACTTTATAGACTCACCCCAATCATGTCGGCTGGTACTGCGGAAGGATTTTAGTGTCTACTCTGATCACTAACAGACCTGCAGAGTGTGTGTTTTGGTTAAGCTACAACTATAAAGATCAAATGTCTTGTACTTGTAGTTTAAAAATCCACAAACATGTTCTGAAGTTAAGTCTTGTCACGATACTAAAATTTTAAACAAAAATTTCAAAACTAAGGCTCAATACTCAATAGCAATTCCAATACCACAATGAAAAAAAAAACACTCTTTTTAGACAATTTAATGTCATTTTCAATCATAAATAATAGTACTTTACTTTATATTATCATGTGGTGTGACATCTACGTCTATGTGTCTATGTCAGACTAAATCAAACTCAGGCCCAGGGGCCAAATTTGGTCTGCAATATAATTATATTTGGCCCGTGTGATCATATTGAATATGTATTAGAGCTGGCCCACCGGTTACAGATAGAATATAGAAACATTATTTATTTAAAATTGTGTTATTATTTTATATTTTGCTTGTTCTGGATTCAATGTTTAAGCAAACTATTATTAAACATTTATTTTAATAAGAAAAGGTTTAACATTACATATATCGAAAGAAGAGAAAACATGCAGGTGTTGAAATTTTTCAATAAATATTTAGTTTGACCCACGATTTTGTCCCGGTTTTTAATTTTGGAATTTGAGTTTAACACCCCTGCTCTATGTGGTCTTGACTTGTACTTTTTCTGAGCACAAGATCATTCAAAAGCTATTTTGGAAAGGTCCATTTCTGTCCTATAAATGTGATTTTTTTTTTTTTTTAGTATCGATACTTGTTTAAATGAGCATACTAGTTTTAGTATTAATATCTGATTGCTGAGTCTATCTTTTTAGAAAAATGTCATTGTATCTGTAGTTTAAACATCTATAAACATGTTCTGAAATACATGAGATTCAGTTCATATTTCAGTCTTCTCTCAAATGTTAACACTCCTAAAGTTGTTGACAATATGTATTCCGACTTCAAAACATACCGTTTATTGCAAATTTAATCGCAATACTTATCAGAAAAAAATGTATTATCTGTTTTTTTCCCTTTATTTGTGTGACATTAACCTTTATGTATCTGTTTGCAGTTTTGATTGGATTCTTGGCGTATGTTTTGTGTTGGGCTTCCGATGTCATTCCGCGGCATTCCTCCTCCGACATGTGGACAACTGGGAGAGACCTCACAGAAAGCACCTTATAATCAGGCTGTGTGCGGATCGGGCAGAGCGTGTTTTAGCTTGTCGCCGTGAACAATGCCTGTGTACACGGAGCTCCAGAGATCATGTTCAAGGAGCAAAAACAGGAACCCGATGGTCAGAGCACATCCCGGCGGTGACGAGGTGCTTCAGACCTTCAGACCGTCCTGGGACATGTCAAGGAGCTCATTAACCTGTCAAACGAATGAGTGGACCATTAGGGAAATTATCTATGTTTTTTGGACAGACAGTTTGGCCCATAGCAGCAGAATCTACAATCCACTGTCCAGACATGGAAATATAACCATAGTTTTATTGCCCCTCCTCTGTAAAGTACAATAATGAAGTACTTAGTATACTTCAGAGTTTATATCAGTTGCTTTTGTGTCTGATTGCTCATGAAGTCTAACCCTGCACACTACAGCAAGATGGATGAAACAAAACATACATGGCGAAGGTAAACGCTTTGTGCATTTGAGGACAGGGAAGATGTGTGTGCTTTTCTCTCAAGTAAAGTTTGATTTTTCATCTTGTTCTTGTTGTGACGCTTTGACAAATCAGATTCAAATAGTTGTCGTGACTGATAATTGTAGAACACGATTCAGAGTGATACACATATCAATCTGGCATGAATCAGGTTATATCTTTGTATTATTTATTGTGCTACTCTAGAATGTTCTAGACAGTCTGGCGTCACCTAGTGCCTCCTCTCAATTTCATTTCTCTCCAGCGACTAGGTCAGGAATCAGAATACACTAGACGGTTTGCAAGAACCCTGGAAGTGCGAGTTCGGGCACCAGCCAATCAGCGAAGAGACAGACATTCTGTGTTGGCAACGATTCCCGAGATCAAGGATTTATAGCCGGAACAAAGAGAATGTTTGGTGAATTTTATCAACCGGAAAGATGTTATTGCCCTTCTTCCTACAGGATTTGGGAAAAGCTTAATATACCAGTTCGCCTCATTAGCGGCGCATTACATACGTGACTACCAAATAGCAGCGATTTTTTAAATGATAAAAAGTACCTGCCTGTACCTGTCGAGCGAACAAATTCTAACACTGCGAGGTCAGGTGCTTTGTACGAAGTGAAACGAATTAAAAAATGGCTGATGAATCAGGCTAAGAATGTTCCACAGAGGATGGTAATAAATATATCTCCATTGAGAAATGCAGGTGATGCTGCGAGGCCATGTTACCGGTCAATTACCCTGCGCTCAGTAAGAATACATGATTTTTAAGATGTTTTGAGCACTCGTAATGAAACAAAGGATAAATAGTTCATTCTTACACTGTGAAACATTTGAGGCATAACATCTCCATCTTAATTCCTGAATATATATAGATGTATATTAAAAAATGCCTTTAAGAAGAATGTAAATTAAGTTGAGATTATTCATTTGACTATAGCAAAAAAATAAATATATAGAAATTTGGGTCTTGCCAAAGGTTCCTAGGAAGGTCCTGCATATGCTCTAACCGGTATTGGGGGAATGCAGCTCCTATCTCAGCTTATATCTTGATCCAAATGTTTTGTCGCATATTTGTGACAGTCGGCATCAAGGGGTTATGTTTTAAAATGGTAAGATCTGTCCCTTTGACTGTAGATAATGCTCGCAGGTCATGGATTACATTAGCAGACACAGCACAGAGAGGTACCAACACTAACCCCTCTGATTAAGTTGCCAGGAGCACTCTGGGGTTCTGTCAATGTTTGCAGTGGATCCTCTTCCTGTTTTGCTTTAGTTTCACATTACAGTCAAACATCACCACCACTACTACTATTATTATTACAGTCCTTTCATTTTTAGCTCAAAGAATGGTATCCAGATAAGGAAGTGAACCAGGCACAAACAACCACCACTAAGCTCACCTCAAATTAACCTTTGCTGTCCAGGGAGGTTTTATATTTCCTCCCTGACATGTCATTCACCTGAACATGAGCGTCTGTTGAGTGAGAGCCAGCAGGTCTAATAACAGGTTGTCCTAACATTTCTACAAACACGCCAGAGGTTCTAGTACGCACTAAATATAAACATGCACTGAAGTATAACTCTATTCTCACTTATTTAAGACATTCTCAGGTTAAATCACATCACAAGGTGGAAAAGGGCATGTTAAACTTTGGAGATGCAGGCGATTAAAAGTTAGAAAGATTGTTTTTAGCAATAGAAACCCCTGTAATTGAATAAATGCAAGATACATAAGTTTACTGACAAAGTGAGGAGCGTCCCAGGCAAAACATAAACATCTCCACAGTAAACAGAAGGTGCAGGACCCTCCACCAAAAAAGTTACTTAGTGCACCTGTAAAATAAGGTTAAGGTCTTTATTGTCTCAGTGGGGAAATGTATCCTCTGCATTTGACGCATCCTTCAATGTTTAGGATCATTTTCTCTCTCCCTGTATTAAAAGGCAAAGAATCAGCACAGTTTTACGTTGTGGTGCATTAAAAAGGAAAAAATTACTAAATTAATTTCTATAACTCTTATATACTATATAGATACTCAAATATAAATATATTATGATTTTTTTAAAGTACAATTTATCTTTCATATAAATTGCAAAAATTGAAACTATATTTGGTAGTTTGGTTTAAAGCAGGGGTGTCAAACTCATTTTGGTCCAGGGGCCGTATCCAACCTACTTTGATCCCAAAAGGGCTGGATCAGAAAACTCATGGCATATAAACCCCAAAAATGGCAATAAGTTCAAATATTTGTGCAGAGAAACACAAATCTATTACAGAAATCTTTTTTAATTGATGAACTCTTTGTTTTACAAAATATTATATTATGAACAACCTGAAACTTTAAGAAAAATGCAATTTCAACACAATGTTTTAATATTAACTTGTATGCAAATAGGAATAAGTCAATTTTTCTTGGAAAATCCTGCACTCAGCTCCACTTTTCTCATTTTTGACATTTTGTTGATGAGGGTGTCACGGTCAACAGTCAAAACGATCGTCCTTTAAGAGCGTTTGGAAAGAGCCAAGTCTTCATTTGTGCTGCTCTGGTGGGAGGGGCCACGTACAGAGACGCTGCTATGATAAGCACCACAGAAAATTACCAACATTTTAATAGAAAATATAATTAAAATATTTTAGTAGAAAATCAGACGAGGGCCAGATTAAAGGTTTTGGAGGGCCGGATTCAGCCCCCGGGTCATATGTTTGACACCCCTGGTTTAAAGCCTTGAAATGACTTGAAGCTCAAATCAAACGACTTGGACTTGACTTGGACTTATGGGCCAGTGACTCGAGACTCGGCTTGGACTTGCCTGTATTTGATTTGGAACTTGACTCGGACTTGAGGTCAAAGACTTGAGACTTACTTGAGACTTGCAAAACAAAGACGAAGAAGAGAAGAGGAGAAATCCTGCTTTAGGGTTTTCTGTCAGTGTCGATATATTTTCTTGAGCGATATGTGGTACTTAAAATGTTGTTATCGTGGCAGACCGAGGTGGCGTTACTGATAGTTACACATCTGTTTGCGGGTTGACGTTTCATCATACCTTTCCCCGAAAACTCAAACCACAAATCAGTGCGTGTCGGTGTCCACTTGGCGGTGCGGAGAATGTGATGTGTCATGTAACAAGTGCCTATAGTTGCTCCACAGCTGGGAATGCCTGCACCATCCACTCACAGCGCGGCCTCCTCTTCTAATCTTAATAATGACAGGGTCTCCAGCCAGCAGCCAGCAATTTTCAACAAGGGAAGAGGCAACAGGAAAGACCATGACATACGGCTGGCTACGGTCCAGAGGCCTTGTTCTGGATGGGAAACAGTACCTCAGTATGTCTAACTAAATCTGTGTATCGTTCGTTCATTTTTCAAAATAAAAGCAAAAATAAGAACATGAAGAAACAACTATTTTCTTCATTATTTGTCTCCAAAATCAAAATGAAAAAACGGATCATGATTTGTTTTTTCATTTTTGAGTTTAAATGAAGAATGGAAAAAAAAAGGATAACGACCGTTTCCCGTTAACGTGACTTAAACTGACATGCCGGACTGAACCAGGACTCAACCAGGTCCGGGACCAGACCAGGACCAGACAAGGACTGGGTCTGGGATCAGGACCGGGACTGAGACCGGGACTGAGACCAGGATCAGACCAGAACGGAGATCAAGACGAAGACCGCGAACAGGACCAGGACTGAGACCGGGACCAGCCCGGGACCGACCAGCCCGGGACCAGCCCGGGACCAGCCCGGGACCAAGACCGGGACCGAGACCGGGACTGACACTGGGACCAGACAGTGACTGAGGCCAGGATTAGACCAGAACTGAGACCAAGACTGACACCGGGAACAGGACCAGGACTGAAACCGGGACTGAGACCGGCACCAGACCAGGACCACACCGTGATTGAGACCGCGATCGGACCGGGACTGAGACAGAGACTGAGACAGGGACCCGACCGGCACTGAAACCGGGACCAGACCGGGACTAAGATCGGGACTGAGACCGGGACTGAGACAGGGACCAGACAGGGACCAAACCAGGACTAGACCGTTACCAGACCAGGACTGAAAACGGTTTAGTCCTGGTTTAGTCCTGTTTCAGTCCCGATTCAGTCCGGCATCGCAGTCACAGAAGTCACGTAAACTGTAAACAGCCGTTATCCGTATTTTCCATTCTTCATTTAAACACAAAAATCGAAAACTGAAAAAACAAATCATTATCCAGTTTTTCATTTTAATTTTGGAGACAAATAATGAAGAAAATAGTTGTTTTTTCGTTTTCTTATTTTTGGTTTTATTTTGAAAAACAAATGAATGAACGATACACAAATTTTACTACTATACTCCAAAGAGCAGCCTAGTCGATTTCAGAAAAGGTCAAAGCGCGTTACGAAATAATACTAGAATATAAAATAATTATAGCCTCATGGCCTTTACATTAAAATTAAGTATAATTATTAACTGTTAAAAGTGCACTACGTAATTTTCTGGAAATCCATGGAGATGTTATTACTTGTAATTTTCCACATTAAACATAAATATCTTAATTAGTGCTGTTTTTATTGCTTGAAATACTTTTACTATGTGTTTTGTTGTCTCCTCTCCACAGATCAGACCTGTAAGTTGACCCTGTGGAGTCACCTGCTTCTGTCTGTGTTGATATACAAGTTTTAATACTATATTGCGGAACATTCCAGCCAAATAACACACGTCCAAGGAGACAAACAGATGGCTTTAGAAAATACAGAGTGCACTTTTAACATCGGGATTGCAGAGCGTTAAAGTTGAGGAACAAAAACAAAAACATGTCTTGACAGAATGAAGAGTTTTTCAGCTTTTCTCATAAAAGGTATTATGCAAATAACAAAACAGCGTGTGAATAGGTGGGACATGTCCTTACCTGATTCGCTCACATCTGGATCGGTGGTTGCCTCTCTCTCCTCTACCTGCCCGCTCCTCTCAGCTTTCAAACGCCAACTAGCTCATTGACAAAGTTTGTGCACAGATCTGTCCTTCGGTGACTCCTCCCACAGGCCCGGGATAAGAGCCGGAGCAGCAGGGGAGACAGGACACGGGACGCCTTCCTCTGCTTGTTTCTCTTCTGGGATTGGAAGGAGGAAAAAAAGCACAAAAATCCTTAGACAAACACAGGGCTGTAAGATCAAAGTCTGGACCAAAGTGCCTGGTGGTTTTAGTAGCAGCTTTGTCATTATTGAACGCCAGATAAAAGGCTAAAGGTACAGAAAAGTAAAGAAAAGACAAGGAGGAAGGCAGACTTTATCTTTGTTTAAAATGCTTCTGATTGGTCACAGTGCTCTGCTCCACTCTGTTTCCAAACAGAATTTCCAAACACACTGTATATACTGTACTGTATAAACCCTTTTTCTCCAGTGAGCTACCTTTACAAAACGAAAATGCCAGAGAGCTACCAATCTCAGCAGTCACAAACAAACTATAAAAGCCATGGCAAGCCTTAGATGGGGAACAGTTAGATGCGTTTAAAACATAAACCATTATCTATTTATTGGTGCAACAAGTTAGGCATCAAAATCAGACATCAACAATGGTAATTTATCACGTTATGAACCTCAGGGTACGATATTTATTGCGATATCGTTGGAAAGCTCACGATACGATGGGGAGGCTCACGATTATGGATGTAACAATATCCAAATCTCTCTCTACGATATTTTCACGATACACATCTCACGGTACGATATTTATTGCGATATTTTGTGGAGGCAAAACTGTTAATCTGCTACTTTTTCCTCTTAAAATGCCTTGACAAGACTTAATCCAAAGAACTAAAACTTAAAAGTGCTTAGAACTGTTATTTCTTTACGTAGTCTGCACTGAAACGGAGCAAAGGATCATGGTCTATGTAGTTCTCTGTCTTTTTTAAAGCTATTGCTGCACCATAACTCTTAATTTAAACAAAGACACCTGTAATTCGATATATTGTGATGGTCCACGATATTATTGTGAGAACTTTACTTTATACGATATCACGATATTTTGGTTATTGTTACATCCCTAGTCAGAACTATGAAAAATTTGGCAAAAATACCCAACAAAACTTACATAAACATCCTTAATACAGGTCTTTATCACACAATACAGTTGGGAATAACACATACAAAACAATTCAATTAAAACAAGCTGCTCTGTGCATCCACCCCACTCCTAATAATGGGTAATAATTAACTTGCACGTAGACGTCCCTATTTACCAGGGACAATCCAGGTTTTGAGCCCTGTGTCCCCTGTCCCAGCAGATTTATCCAAAACCACTGATTTGTCCCAGTTTTATACAAGAAATATCCCAGGTGATTCGATTTTTGACCAACCAAACAGTAAAGAGAGGTATTAATTGTCATTTGTTTAGCTAAAATACAAAAAATCTGCTTGAAAATGACCAAAACACAAAGAAAATGTGACTATACTGCTTCACATGTTAGTCATGAATGGTCTCTGCGTAATAATTTTTCTTCATTACGCACTCGTTTCACAATTATATTATTACCAACTACAAAAAAAAAAAAAAAAAAAAAAAAAAAAGTGAAATAAAACAAATGTCCCAGTTTTTTATTTTGAAATTCTGGTCACACTAACATAAAGTCATGCAGCTTAAACTTGCTCACAACCAAAAACAACCAGGAAAATGCAAAAAAAAAATTACCTTATCGGCCACCACATCAACTCAAAGGGAATAAACGACACACTGCACAAAATCCTCCGCAAAAACCTTCAACACTGGCATCATGTTGGCACTTTCCTCAGCCGCCAGCGCACCTCGTGTCTCCCGCAGATGGACCGTGGGAATGTGCGCTCGGTTCATAGTCTGTGTCCTTAAACTGTAAATATCGGACTTCACGTGTTTTTTTTAGAACAGGCAGGACGTGGTTTATTACTGTTTTAGAAGTTTGTCGATAGAAAGTTCCTCCATATGCTCCGTTGCGTCCATGCGTCCTGACAGTTTCTTCACACAAAGGTGTTTTATTACCTCCAATCAGCCACACTTCTGAAAAACTACTTTTTACAGCAACAATGCACACACGACGAGGAATTTACACCTGATTTTTAAGTTGTTATGGCTCTATTTTTGTACTTTTTGTCTACCTGGAGTGTGATTTATTTTATTTTTTGTAATAATCGCAGTACAGAGATGTGAGCAGGGATAGTGTGTAGCTGAAAACAGATATTTTTGTGCACTCAAGCCTTGAATGCAGAAAAATGCAGCTCTTGGCTTGAACATGAAGGACAAACTTGGAATCAAAATCACGTCTTGCGCAAACCGATTCAAGCTGTTAATGAGAAATGTGTGGCTCCCTCTGGTGGACAGGCTTAAGAATTACAAGTTGCAGATTGTGTTTATAAAAGGAGCAGAGCGGAAGTGACCCATCTTCTCTTCCATCTGATTGGCTGCTCTTTCAGTCTTTCAAGTCTTTCAACAACCAATCACTGACGAGCGTTGGGAGCAGCAGATGCCTCTTCTTCAGTGGGCGCAATTTTCTCGCAGTTTTAAGTAATTTAGCATTTTTTCTTGAGCGGACGTCGTCTCTCCTCGTCCGTAGGAGTTGGTGTATGTGTTTTTAACCGCGCTCCACCCGCTGTGGGCTCGAAGGGGCTTGGGATCGGGAGTGAAATGCATCCCCGGGGCGCTGAACCTGCTCCATCCACCGCACAAAGCCTGTGAAGCAGGCCGTGTTTTCCTCCTTGGTCCAACGCGCTGACGATGAGCAAACATGTCGGGGAACCACTACAAAGGCCACGAAGTCAGCTGCTGCATCAAGTACTTTATTTTTGGATTCAACATCCTTTTCTGGGTAAGCCCTTTCCGCTCTATTCACTGCGCCTCGGCCACAGTTATGCGTCCGTGTGCCAAAAGGGAGGGGGAGGCCCTGAACTGTGGCCCGTGATCTTTCGTTCCAAGTTCATTTGTTCCTATTCTGCTGTGCGTTTCTTACATTTTTACTCCTTTTATACAGCTATATTTGCGTGGGAATAACACAGAGGAACGGAAACAGCTGCGGTCGCTCCTCAGCTGAGAGCTAATCGGCTTTTTGTAGTGAAGTAATGACAGCTCAGCGCCTCTCTTATCAGCTGCTGCTTTCATATTGGATACACACAATAATATATAGAGAAGTGTACAGATAGAGACACGGAAACACAGACAGACTACAGCCCAACCAAAAGCGTGCAGACCCGAGATAACTTATCTTAAAGGAACAAGAGCGTGGGAAAGAGATGCGTCTGAAATGCGTCATTACGCACTCGGACTGTGGCCAAAATAAGAGAAAAGAATGAGTAAATTAAATACCAAATGTGATTTAATGACACATGAAATCCAGTTTTAATGTTTTTATTTATATGCTTCATATAACATTTAATGCCGCTGCCTGTAGATGTTTGTGCTGAAAGGATCAGGATCAGTGTGATTTTTTCTGTACGTAAACAAAGGAAATTGCCTTGTGTTTGCAGAGAGAGCGACATAAGCCCTTGAAAATACAAACTTATACTTGTTTACCCAAGCAATAAGATTCTAATCTATCTATTGTATTACATATTTAACATATTTAATGTAATGATGTCTTTCATTCAACCACAATAAACATTACTGGAAAATTACACGTAACCTGACTACCTTGACCTAAGAGACAATGCCCTTGTTGGAACAATGCCTCTCTCTTCATGTCATTTCACATCAACATATGTGTCACATGTATGATCTGATGGGGCTGTTGTTTTACAGCTCCTGGGCATGGCCTTGGTTGGAATTGGACTGTGGGCATGGAGTGAGAAGGTATGCAGTACAATATTTACTGCAGTATAACTCTTGTATTATATAATTGTATATATTTCAAGGGACCAGCTGTGCTCTAGCAGCTAAATTAAGACTCTGTGTTTTGTCCTCTTCTTTAGGGTGTTCTGTCCAACATCTCATCCATCACCGACCTGGGGGGCCTGGACCCGGTGTGGCTCTTCATGGTGGTGGGAGGGGTCATGTTCATTTTGGGTTTTGCTGGTTGTATCGGCGCACTGCGGGAGAATACTTTCCTACTCAAGTTTGTAAGTTCAAGTTATTGTCTTTTTGTCAAATTAAGGATCTAAATGAAAAATAATAGGAATCATTACTTGTGGTGGCAGTTTTCCGTGTTCCTGGGAATCATCTTCTTCTTGGAGTTGACAACCGGAGTCCTGGCGTTCGTCTTTAAGGATTGGATTAAAGATCAGCTCAATCTCTTCATCAACAATAACATCCGCGCCTATCGAGATGACATAGACCTACAGAACCTCATCGACTTCACTCAGGAATATGTAAGTCCAGGAAACAGTACAGAAATTTGGTAACTTAGAAACTGGGTAACTATATTTATTTACGTCATGTTATAGATTGAATTACTGTTGTTTTTTTCACAGTGGAGGAATTCACTTGTGACTTCTGACACTTATGACAGCTCTTAATAGACAATGAATTATGAATTATTAATGAGTTATATTATATTAAAAAGATTTAAAAGTAGGCAAGGCAAGTTTGTTTGTATAGCACAGTTCATACACAAATTATTTCAAAGTGCTTTACAGAATAAGAAATACATTTAAAAAAAGAAAGAAATCAAAACATAAATAATCATCATTAAATTAAAAAGAGAGAGAGACATTCAATTAGAAAGAAGAGTACGGAAAATATAGCTTTTATACTGCTTTTTTTTTTTACAGTTAAATTACGTTCAGTAGTCTTTTGTTTCTTTTGTTTCTATATTCAATTTAATGTCTTTTTTAGGCTTTTATGGGAGAATAATTTTGTGTAAGGATGCACCGATACAGCCTTTTCAGTTCTGATACTGATACAAATAATTTAACTTTAAGTATCTGCCTGATATTACCGTATTTTTCTGACTATAAGTCGCCGGAGTATAAATCGCACCAGCCAAAAAATGCGTAATGAAGAAGAAAAAAACATATATAAGTTGCACCGGACTATAAGTTGCACTTTTTGGGGGAAATTTATTTTATAAAGTCAGGGACCAGGAACTGACATTTCATTTTGAAAGGCAAGTTGTAGTTATAACAATAGAACCGAACAACAGGCTGGATAGACGTCTGGTATGTTAACGTAACATATTAAGAGTTATTCAGTTAACTATAACATAAACAACATAACATAATAAGTTTACCAAACTCTCAATTTCACTCCAAATCCCTAAAACCATTGAATTCTTCATCCTCAGTGTCACTTCTGAGCGACTCCCATAGAATTATAATACATTATTATAGATCCATGGCAATTCCACAACCTCTGGAGTTAAACGGAGTGCCGCTTTCCGCCAGTACCTCACAAGTTTCTCGCTCACTCCAAACTTTCTTTCTGTTGCTTGATTACTGTTTTTGGCTGAATATTTCACTACTTGCAGCTAAACAACAGCTTTTTCTGCAGGAGACGTGCAGTAGAGCGAAGTGACAGTGGTACAGGAGTAATAAGAGCAGCAGATTCTGACACACAAGCCTAGAGTGCTCTTTTACGGCTGTCAGTGTAAACATTTTAATATAAGTCGCACTGGAGTATAAGTCGCAGGACCACCCAAACCATGAAAAAAGTGCAACTTATAGTCAGAAAAATACGGTAACCGATACCAGCGTGTTTATTTCTTTAAAACACAGTTAACTTATTACACAGAGATCCAGTCGTGTTCTGTAACTGTTATTTCACCTTAAAATAACTCCTGAACACATTTGTATGAATAAAAGTCTGAACTTTCCGAGCTGTTTTGTGTGTATTCTGGGAAATGCCCTTTGCAAGTCCCTGTATGCACCAAGACCTCTATTTAAAACACAATTAAAGTACAAAAGAATGTGAAATAGTTTGAGGGCTTGACAGACCACAGAGAATAAGTTGGCATGGTTACAGTTTTGTCTTTATAAATAACATTGTACATGGTTTGATTGTTTAGTGGGAGTGCTGTGGGGCTTTTGGAGCCGACGACTGGAACCTGAACATTTACTTTAACTGCACCGACGGAAACCCCAGCCGAGAGCGGTGTGGAGTCCCCTTCTCCTGCTGCACCAAGGACCCTGCTGTAAGACCCCGCACATTCTGTCTGTGTTACTGTAAAATGTGGGATAAGTTCCATTAATTTAGCTGCCAAAAATATTGTTAATGGGGATGTTAAAATTATTCAGTTTGTAAAGTCATTAAGTAGGTTACTATAAAACCATAACAACCAAAAAGACCTTATTTTAATGGTGCTGTACCTTATTTTTTCTGTCTCAAAAGTGTGAAAAACAGAAATTGTTCCTTTTAAATGGCCTGGTACTGGTACGGAAAGCACGACACCCCCACGTACATTGCGTGGGCCGTGCCTCCTCCCGTACGTCTCTAAACCAGAACTAAAGCAGGACTAAACCAGGACTAAACCAGGACTAAACCAGGTCTAAAACAGGTCTAAAACAGGTCTAAAAACAGGAATAAACCAGGTCTAAACCAGGACTAAAACAGGATTTAAACCAAGACTAAGACAGGTATAAAACAGGTCTAAACCAGGTCTGAAACAGGTCTAAAACAAGAACTAAAACCAGGACTAAACCAGGACTAAGCCAGGTCTAAACCAGCACTAAACCAGGTCTAAACAAGGTCTGAAACAGGTCTAAACCAGGACTAAAACAGGATTTAACCAGGACTTAACCATGCCTCACCTCCTCTCCATACGGCCCTTCTCCCAGTTATTGGATATAAAACTGGTCCGTGGCGCAAAAAAGGTTGGGAAATATGATTATGTTGACACTCATGATGGTAAAGCTAACAATAATAAAATGATTTATAATTAGATGTAGGATGCACAGAACCGATACTGGCATCCGATGTCTGCGCCGATACTGATAGACTTGTTGTTAGACCAGCCTCCAAATATCGGTTCAGTCGATATCCAAGTTGAACATATAAACTGATGTAATAAAACTGGTGCACACAGCATCCAGCAGATATATTTTGACCTCATAAGCTGTTTATATGACATATCTGTACTGGGGCAAGATGACTTTTGCTCAAATATATGGGAAAAATCAAGTACAGGACCTTTAAGTCAATCTAGTCAACAAAGTAAACCTGAAGCTACCGGTAAATGCTTTATATTTGATGGTTTATGTTGCGTTAATTTATTTACTTGGTCACAAGGACACACTCTGGAACAATGGTAGACACTGGAAACGTGAAAGAAATATGCAATGTATTAAATGTTTTTACTCTCACAATAATCACAACACTAAAACTTTATATTCTGACATCCCTTTTTGTAAGGACGATTTTAACGATTTCACTGTTACAAGGACACTGGTCACAAGGACACACTCTGGAAGAATGGTAATCTAATCTATCAGACACTGCAAACATGAACAAAATATGTGATATATACAGGGTGTCGTGGGTGTGGTACGCGGGGGTACGGCGTCCACCCACTTCTCCTGACGTGAGATATAAAAAAAAATAAACAAATATAAAATAGCTGCAACTTAAATGTCAAACCGGAGCTACTGGCAATGGTGAAAACAAACTGCATAGACTCATGATATCTGCACTACTGTCCTATAGTGACCTGAGACATGAGGGACCAGGACTGAACCAGGACTGAACCAGGACTGAGTGTTGGGACGGGCCTGGAGGTGCCCCCGCATAGACTGTCGGGTGACCACAGGAGAAAGGACCGGCCCATGAGGTTAAGCGCAGCCGTCACCCAATAACACTTTGTGGACCCTCTGCTCCGTGGGCTCGGGGTTCTGCCTCTCTCCCAAGTCCAAGATTAGTCTGGGAGTCCTGTTTTAGACCTGGTTTAGACTTGGTTTATTTCTGGTTTAGTCCTGGTTTAGACCTGGTTCAGTCCTGTTTTAGTCCTGTTTTAGTCCTGGTTTATTGCTTGTTCAGTCCTGATTTAGTCCTGTTTTATTTCTGGTTTTGTCCTGTTTTAGACCTGGTTTAGTCCTGGTTTAGCTCTGGTTTATTCCTGATTCAGTCCTGGTTTAGTCCTAGTTTAGACCTGGTTTATTTCTGGTTCAGTCCTGTTTTAGTCCTGGATCAGTCGTGGTTCAGTCCTGGTTCAGTCTTGGTTCAGTCCTGGTTTAGTTCTGGTTTATTCCTGGTTCACTCCTGGTTTAGATCTGGTTTAGTCCTGGTTTAGTCCTGGTTTAGACCTGGTTTAGTAGTGGTTTATTCCTGTTTTAATCCTGTTTTATTCCTGGTTCACTCCTGGTTTAGACCTGGTTTATTCCGGGTTTAGTCCTGGTTTATTCCTGGTTTATTCCTGGTTTAGTCCTGCCTGGTTTAGTCCTGTTTTAGTCTTGTTTTAGTCCTGGTTCAGTCCTGGTTCATGTGTTGTAGCCTATGATTTTTGTTCCGTAGGAGATTATGAATGGTGTTAATGTTAATTTAAAAAACTGATATTCTGACACTCCTTTTTGTGAGGACAATTTTAACGATTTCGCTGTATTATGTAACGTATCATATTTCTTTCCAGGAGGATGTAATAAACACCCAGTGCGGATATGACATTCGTGCTAAACCAGTGAGTAATAATTCACTTCACTTTTAAGACGATAATAGGCTGCTTGAAAGTTGATTCTACTTAAAAAGATTTACTTCACGGCTGGAGGATATGACAGAGAAATTAGTCAGATTTTCTTCCTCACACTGATCGATCATGAGTCACGATTACATTTGTTTTCGTCTCATCATAATCAAATAAAATAACTTTCATTATTAATTTCCTGAACATAAACAAGACGATTAGAAATGTCTGAATCCTGATCTGGCTTAAAATGTGATTATTATTGCTCAGCTATAACGGACTTTGTGTGGACAGGACTCGGAGCAGAAGGACTACATAAATGTGAAAGGATGTGTACCTCAGTTTGAGAAGTGGCTGCAGGAAAACCTCACACTGGTGGCTGGGATCTTCATTGGAGTAGCATTACTGCAGGTGAGATCTGTTAACACACAGATTTAAACTCCATACACCTTTACTAGAATAATTTGGATACTTTAAGGGCTAGAACTGGCTATTTCTACTGAACTTAAGGTAAAAGGCAGCTGTTAACTTAGATATAGATATATAATAGGCAGATAATAATAAAGGGATCTTCAAACATGACTCCAGGTATGTTTTTGCGGAGGTAACAACATTCTAACATGGCTTAAAGCTCACAATAGTCAATTTTGCATAATATAGGACCAGGCTGGTGCCATCTAGTGTCTCCGCTCAATTTAATTTCTCTCCAGCGACTAAGTCAGGAATCGGAATACACTAAACATTTGCAAGAGCCTCGGAAGTTGTAGAGCGCCTGTCTGGGTCCCTTTTGTGGTTCAGTAACAGTAAACAAAGCAGTCGAGATGTAGACGAAGACATAAATTCTGTGTTCGCAACGAGTCCCGAGATTGAGGATTTAAAGCTGGAGCAAAGAGAATATTTGGTGAATTTTATCAAGGGGAAAGACGTTATTGCCCCGGGATTTGGTGCATTACATACGTCACGACCAAATAGCAGCGATTGGTTAAATAAAAAAAGTACCCGTCTACTGTCGAGTGAACAAATCCTAATGTTGGGAGGTCAGACGGTTTCCACAAAGTGAAACCGGCTGATGAATCAGGCTACCTTTAACCTAGGTCTGTAACGATAACAGATTTTGCTGGACGATTAACTGACCAAGAAATTTTTACGATAAACGATAATGTTGATATTTTGAGACCAATTTCAACTATTATAATGACCATGGAATAAAAATGCAAACACACACTTTCAAAGATCAGTCAATTTACTTTCGAAAGAACATTTAACACAACCAAAATCTGCAAGGCAACCAAAAACAATAGGCCTAAATAAAACAGACTTGTTAACATAGAATTAGCCTAATGTGTCTGGTTTACAGCAAAGACTTGTTAACAAAAATGCACTTGAATAAACCATTGTTGAACCAAACACAACCAAAGCAATAAATAAAATGCATTAGTAAGTCTCTGTAACATAATTGCCCTTAAAAGTTATTTTAGGAATATTGTGGTCCCTATTTCTGTGGTTGCTGCTGTGAACCTCTTCATTTTGGTCTTAAATGTTCGTATTAACCCGCTCAACATGATCCTATTTCACTATTTTGTCTGTCAAAAAAATCCTATCCCGAAATCCCATCAGCATCCCGAGCTTTATTTGAGTGGTGCTGAACTTTATGGGTGACATCTAGGAGTGTGCAAAAATAAAATATCTAAATATCGTCATATTTTATTATTTACTGTGATAATACAGTATCAATATTGTGGGCCGCTGTATCGATATATCGCCAAGAGTATTTTTTGGTATATTTTACAAATTTATTTTGTTACAGAGCTACAGTTTTGTTGCTTGTTTAGAGGAAGGAAACTCTTTTATGCATCACATGATGACTAAAATGGGCATGTTTCATATTAACTTTGCACAAGAAGTGGTTTAACAAAGACTTTTTTTATTGAACCATATTGAATTGATTTGAAATATATCGTATCAAATCGAAAGCTCACTGAATCGAGATATGTTATGTGTATCGAGGTATGTATTGTATCGGCAACTTCTTAGAGACGAAGAAAACAAACAAGCATGCAAATAGAAATGATCGCAGCCAGAAAAGTGATCAAGCTTGTTAAAAGTTTTGATCTGATTAACTGATTTATTGATTATAAATTACAGGCCTGTTTTAATCTTAACTTAACCAATGCTGTGATGTCAGACTCATTCACTTCTGACCTTATGTATTTTTATTATCCAGATTTTTGGGATCTGTTTGGCCCAAAACCTCGTGAGTGACATAGAAGCAGTGCGGGCGAGCTGGTAAGTTCTACTCATATTTCCATTTATTTCACACCATCCATGAATGTACTTAATATTTGTGTATCATGTGTACTTTATGCAGTATCAGAAAGTGTGTTATAAAATACACCTGCAATCTATTGTAACATGTTACTTACAACTAGGAGTGGGAGGCATTTTTTGGAAAATCAAGATAATTATGTTAAAACGTGTCTTTAAATGTGAAAGGACTAAGATTACAACATAAATTTGTTCCATATTTACCTTTAGCTCTTTTTGCAGCAGGTTGGAAATGTATTTTTATACTGAACAATACATCTAGTATTCACATTCTGCATATCTTCAAAACAACATTCACAATTATTCTTATTATTATATAAATATTGGCCACGCACCTCAACATCCAATGGTATTTTTGTTTTTAAGAGGATTCTGAAAGTACATTTATATTCTGAAAATACATTTATGCTTAATTTCTGCTCTAATAATCCCCCAAAGCAGATCAGTTTTAGTAGTTTTCAAATACTGGGGTCATCACAAATAAACAATCTCATATTACCTACTTTTATCATGTACACATATTACAAAAAGTGGTAAAACTCTATTGTATTTTCAGATTATAAAAATAATTTATTACTTCAACATCTGTTAACAGAGGTGGGGACTTGCGAGTCGTGACTTGGACTTGAGTCAAATTTGAGTCACCATTTTTAGGACTTGAGACTTGACTTGATAAAATGGACTAAGACTTGGGACTCGACTTGGACTTGAAGGTCAATGACTTGGGACTTGACTCGGACTTGAAGCCTGTGACTTGAGAAGACTTGATGCTTCTGCTAAAAAAATACATGCTTTTAAAAAATACTTTTCTCTTTACAGTTGATAAATGAATTTAACAGAAACAAACTGAAACATGTACGTCCCACTTCTGTTTGTTACTGTGGATGTAACTGAAGTACTGTGATATGGTATCTTCAAATGTACTACAGTAATACACAGTACAATACAGTAAAAAAGAGTCTATATTTACACTGAAACGAATCACTGTATCACGGTATCGAAAACGATCTGCGTCCAGACACGTTGTTTCTGTGTCCACAAGCCTTCTCTATCCACACAGCTTTGAACATATTTGTTTACGTTTTACTGAAAAGAAACTTAAAACCACATGGCTAATTGCATAAACTAAGCGCTCAAAAAACAGCTCGCTATTATGAGCTGATGCGGTTCAGCTTCTGTCAGACTAAAGGACACAACTCAATGGAATATGAGTGTTCTTTCTGTGACAGAGGGATGTTCTGCTAATGGTGAGTTTGTTCTGTGCTTTTATCGCGTTGGAGATGGTTCATGTTAAACTCTTTCAGAGATTATACGTCTGCAGGTCATAAACTTAGACCGTATGTATGAATATATTCTGGCCTCTTAGCGTTTTGGCGGTGAATTACTTTGCGGCGCATAGACCTACATCAGTGTTTTCAGGCGTCCACACAGTGCCTGCTCAGATCCGTACTCAGATGAATTCATGGGAGCTGGCGGCACCAGATCGTTCCGTCTCTGGCGCCGTTTTCAATCGGATTAGTGTGAACGAACACCGCATCTGCAACGAAAACGACTTGAATATGTACTAGTGTGGACGGGGCTTAAGATCTTGACAAGACATTTCTTATATAAATCAAAATTCTTGTATAAATATTAAGTACAATTTACTTTAAAAGTCATATAATCTGCAAAAATCTAAGATACATTTGGTTTAAAGACTTGAAATGACTTGAAGCTCAAAGCAGACGACTTGGACCTGACGTGGACTTATGGGCCAGTGACTCAAGACTCGACTTGGACTTGCCTGTGTTTGACTTCGGACTTGACTCGGACTTGAGACTTACTTGAGACTCGCAAAACAACGACTTGGTCCCACCTCTGTCCGTTAACCTCAGCGCTTCCATTTGTGCCGTACGGTCGAAGCTTCTGTCACCATCACCACATGCCTAACCTGCGCTCACCCGTCATTCTTCCCCCTCCTCCTCCTCGCCTTAGGGTGCCCCCCCCTCTCTCCATGCGCCGACTCCCTCCTCACTACAGCAAGAAAGCGGCGGCATACTACAAATGAGACTATTTCACTCATGCTGTCTGTGATACCGCCGGTGGGTCTGTGTGCTCATGTCTACTTTTCCTTCTTTTAGCTGTGTACTGTGATGGATCTGTAGTTTTCTTTTTTCTGTGTTTGTGTGTGTGTTTTTTCTCAAGGCAAGTGTGGCAAAAAGAGCGAATCATTTCCCAGTTTGATTATGTTTGTTAATTGCAAATGAGGTGGGGTTGGGAACTTAATTCGGAGTAATCAAAATCGACATGGGTGGAAGGACGCAGATGGATCGTGTTGCTACAGTCAATTAAAACTCTTATTGAATTCACAAACAAGAATTATCTTTATATAGTATGGTAGATTGCGTTAAATTTGTGCGCTGATTACATAAAATAGGTTATACTGGGCAATTAAATCAGAATAATTAAAATGGACAAGCGTGCAAAGACTGTTCGTGGATGCACTTCTTAAAATATTACATTAAATTCAATTTACTCTTGTTTTTTTATATATATAATGAAAAACTAGCTACACTACTGGTCAAAAGTTTTAAAACACACACATTTTTCCAGTTTTTTTTATTGCAATTCAACTCATGCAAGTCCAATGAAGAGCTTGAAATGGTACAAAGGTAAGAACTGAACAGCCAGAGGTTTAAAAAAAAAAAGATAAAACATAACAAAACACGAGTCCAAGCTCTGCCAAAACTACCTCAGGAAAAAAAGAACAAGATGGTAAAGCTTGAAAACATGGAGTGTCCAGCACAGTGTCCAGACTTAAACCCCATGGAGCTGGTTTGGGATGAACTGGACAGAAGAGTGAAAGTGAAAAAACCTACAAGTGCCACACATTTATGGGAACTTCTGCAACAGACTTGGGGAGAACTTTCTGAAGAATATTTGATTTCTGTTGTAAAAAGAACGAGCCACGAGTGTGTTCAGCTGTTATATCTGCCAAAGGTGGACACTTTCATCAATCAAAAGTTTAGAATATGTTTTAGTCAACATTGAACAGTAAAAAACTGTAAAAAGTGTGGTGTTCTAAAACCTTTGACCGGTAGTGTATGAAATTTAAGCAGAGGCATTTTGAAAGATGTGCATTAGTCATGTTTAGAGATATATCGGTTCAATATTTGACCTTTTTACTGAATCGCTATTGGCCTTAAATCTCCAGCATAGACCGATCTGTTGTTTTGGCTGAGAAGAATACACAAAAAGCTTTATTTGAACACGTCAGTGCAAAGAAATAACACAAAACGTGACTACACAGCTCTCTTATAGGCTTATGGTAAAACAGGGCTGTGGGTAAGGTTGTAGTTTGTTTAAATAATAGAATTTGGGGACGATAATCAAAAACAGCTTTTCATAATCAGCCCAAAAGTATCAGCAGAGCTTATCAACCATTGGTTTCTCTGGATGATATAAACATATAAAAATAGAAATCAGTATCGGCATTGACCATGATAAAAAGATCTCTGATTATAATGTCCCACAATAAAACCCACAGAAATTTTTGTTAAATCTAGTTTACCAAAAAACAGATATATGGTTTTCAATGTGAATTCATGTAAAAGTTTTATTAAAATGTATCTAAAGTGCAAGCAAATTTTGACAAAGTTCAGATACCTGTTGTCATGATGCTAAAATTTCAAAATCAATATTCTTATCAGATTTTTTAACGATCCTAGTACCTACGTATCCGTGTATCATTCGTTCATTCGTTTTTCAAAACAAAACCAAAAATGAGAAAACGAAAAAATAACTGTTTTCTTCATTATTTGTCTGCAAAACAAAAATGAAAAAACAGATAATGATTTGTTTTTCCCAGTTTTTGATTTTGTGTTTAAATGAATAATGGAAAAAAACGGATCATTTACTTTTTCCGTGACTTAAACTGTGATGCCAGACCGAACCAGGACTGAAACAGGACTGAAACAAGACTAAAGCAGGACTAAACCGTTTTCAGTCCTGGTCTGGTCCCAATCTCAGTCCTGGTCTTGGTCCTGGTCTGGTCCTGGTTTCAGTTCTGGTTTCAGTCCCAGTCTGGTCCCAGTTTTGGTCCCAGTTTTGGTCCCGGTCTAGTCCTGGTCTTGTCTCGGTCTGGTCCTGGTCTTGTCTCGGTCTGGTCCTGGTCTTGTCTCGGTCTGGTCCTGGTCTTGTCTCAGTCTGGTCCCAGTCTGGTCCCAGTTTCAGTCCCAGTCTGGTCCCGGTTTCAGTCCTGGTCTCAGTCCCAATCTGGTCCTGGTCTCACTTCCGGTCTGGTCCCGGTTTCAGTCTTGGTCTCAGTCCTGGTCCTGTTCCCAGTCTGGTTCTGGTCTGGTCCCGGACCTGGTTCGGTCCTGGTTCAGTCTCAAGGCAGCGCAAAAGTGCAGCATTGCAGTTTAAGTCACAGAAACGGGAAACTGAAAAAACAAATCATTATCAGTTTTTTTTTAAATTTTGGTTTTAGAGACAAATAATGAAGAAAATAGTTGTTTTATCGGGTTTTTTTGTTTGTTTGTTTGTTTGTTTTTATCATTTTATGGTTTTATTTTGAAAAATGAATGAATGAATGATACACGGATTCCTACAGATGCACATTCCCTTTATAATATTCAGAACAAATTGTCGAGCACGCTTAAAGGTGTTTCTAAAATTTGAGTCACATTTTCGGTCAGTTTTGAAAGTGACAGTGTAAATGACTAATTGTCCTGCCATGTGATTTCCTCTCCCACACGCGCTGAAGTGCCTAGTATGAGACATAGAACAATACTGTCTTTCACTGTGGTCTTGTGTTCTTCTGTTTTGTATTGCGTCCAGCTGACAACATTTTTTTCCATCGTCACTAAATCTTCTCTCTTCTCTTTTCTCTCCTTAGTGTAGACTGCTGCAGAATCCCTAAACACTTCTACTAATTCTCCTCTAGCATCCTAACTGGCTTCAAATCCTGCACAATTTTCATTTCTAACTGTTAATGTATGTTCACTTTTTCAGCTTTTTTACCTAAGAAAGCAGCATCCAGATTCTGACAGGTATTTATTTTAAACTTTTACCTAATTTTTACCTCATTTTAAATGTCCTATATTACTCAAATTGACCATTGTGAGCTTTAAATCATGTTATAATGTTGTTGGAGTTGTGTTTTGTTTGATTCACACGTTTTAGTAACCTTTTATTATTAGTCTGTCAACATCTCTAAAGCGTAAAATGCTCTTTTCCACCTTGTGATGTCATGAAGCAGCTGTTTTCAAGTTAAAACATCTACACTTTTACCTTTAGTTCAGCACACAGTAAAAAGTGGAGTGTTACAATTGACTCTCACAGAATCAACTTTAACATTTTCTCAGAGTTTATATGAGTCCAATCTGTTCTAGAGTTAATTTAACATTTTTGGAAATGTTAATTAAGTAACACTGGACCAAAGTTCTTGTTTAACCCCAAAATCCAGAGTTTTGGAGAGTAACGTTTTGAGAGTAAACAGATAACACTTTGTGGAGTTATTCTGATTTAGTTAAACAACACACAGAGGTGTTTTATTTTATTTTTTACTTTTTTTTTTGTTAATTTAAGAAGAAATTATGTTCAAAACTGGTTCAAACTGGTTCAAACTGGTCTTCTCTCACAAGAGTTTGAAGTGGTGAACGGGAGGAGCCAAATTAACACTAAGGGAAGATGAATTAACTCTAGAGGAAGTTGAATTAACACTTAGAGAAGTTGAATTAACACTAAGGGAAGTTTAATTAACACTAGAGGAAGTTGAATTAACCTCAACCACATCAACTCTGACAAATAACCCCAACTCGAACCCCCATTTAACTTTCAAATAATTAAAATAACACTTTTGGTGTTAAAAACAACTCTGAAATATTTTACCCTAAAATTTTAACCCTCCAGTTTTTGCTGTGTAGAGACTGGCAATTCCAGAGCTGAAATTATCCAAAAAATTCTGTTGTGGAAAAATTATATACATCCCTCTAATCCATTTGCAAAGCTCAGTGAGTGTCTTATTTTCTTATTTATTTATTTATTTGTAAAGGAACAGCACATATTAATGAACATTTAAACTGTAAATATGTAAAGATCATAGTCAGCGTGGCTAATTTCCATCTTTAGTCCCTCGGCAGGTTGATGTCAAATTGCCTATAGGACGTGGAAAAGTACAGCAACAATCACACAAAAGTACATCAAACCAGCACACTCACTATACATACAAATTAATTTCAAACAGTGCAGAGTTTAAGAGTTAAACCAACAATCCCTCAGTATAAAAGAAAACGTAATTTGGTTAAACCTGGTGACATATTTGACAATTGATCAACCACTGTTTTAAAGCTTTAAAGTTTTTGGAATACAGACATAAGTTTATTCTTGTTGCAGCAGATATGGTCAAAGCCTAAAGACCATCAGCCTCTCCTCCCCAGCAGCATCTCCCTCCCACGTTAGACCCCCCAATGTTACAAAGCACCAAGTTTTTATCATTTAAAAGTGAGAAGGTGACGACTCCTGCTGAGGTTTGACCAGATGTGTTTGATCTGAGTTGCATCCATATTCACGCATTTGTCACTTCCAGACAAAATTAGCAAGCAAAAGGGAACAGAAGTGTTTACACTGAAGGGTTTTTAACTACCAAAGTTTAGTTACAAGTTTTAGTTTTAGTTACAAGACCAAATGTGTTTCCAAAAGATAAACTAATCACTATTTTAATCATGCACGTTAATCATGTTAATGACTGGTGTGAGTCTCAGGTAGAAATCAAATTCTTTTACATAAAAACAGACTGATAGAAATCTTTCCACAATATAAATTTCCATCACAATTCTAGTGAAGGTGTGTGGAGCACTTCCTGTATTACCACATCCTAAATATTCAGGATTTGTGTGTTAAACATGTGTGAATGAAACAAAAAAACACAACTCCAGGTCTGTTTTTGATGAGGAAACAACATTATAACACACTGTAGATCAGAAATAAGCGTATTATGGGTGCTTTTGAGCAATTTTCAAACCACTAATCTTCGTTTTTGTGTCCTATTTTCCAGCGACGGATCACAGCGACTTCACAGAGCCAGCACCTTCTTACGAGCACTAAAGGGTCACACTAACACTTTTGTATATAACATTGTGTGGCTTATGTAAAAAGGTAATCGTCACAGATCAGTGCACTACATTCAGACTGTCACTATTGCTCTGTTTTGATAGCTATGTGTAAAAATTAGCAGTTTTTTGATACATTTTTTGATATTAGATCAGTATTTTTCACTGCAACACAGCCTCGTCGCACAGGCTATAAACTAGTTGTATACAAGAAATGTGTTTGCAATGTTAAAGTGCTTGCATTGTTCCACGCATTAGCAGAAATGAAGGGAAAACTATGTCACGTTTGCATCATGGTGTAAATTTAATGAAGTGCAAGGGGACTAAATAATTATGAAATCAAAATAACGTTTTGTATATGTGAATGTGAATGAACATTTAGCCTAGACAGTGCTAAAAGTCGATCGCAATGTTCGCCGCACCCAGTTCCGTTGTGTTATGTACAGCAGAGATGCGACGCCAAGTGCTCACGAAGACTACTGAGAATATTAGTTGTAAAATTGTTTGAAAATTAAAATGCCAAAATATATTTCAGGGTGCATTGTGTAGCTTTCTTGTGCTTGGAAATGTTATTGCTTTGTCTAGAACAAGAGTCTCCAACCTGTAGCTCGGGAGATACCAGTAACTCTCCAGCCTCTTCCAAGGAGCTCGCCAAGGGATTTCTGAATTATGCATATTGTGCTGAATGGCTCAGATTTGATGAACTACAATTGTGACTTCTATTTACCCAGGATATTCCCAGTTTTGAGCCCTGTGTCCCCTGTCCCAGCAGATTTATCTAAAACCAGTGATTTGTCCCAGTTTTATACAAGAAATGTCCCTATTTTGACCAATTTGATCCCTGCCAGCAGTAAAGAGAGGCATAAATTGTCATTTGTTCAGGTAAAATACAGAAAAGCTGCTTAAAAATGACCAAAACACAAAGAAAATGTGACTATACTGACTCACGTGTTAGTCATGAATGGGTGGGCGCAGTCTGAGTTTTGAGCCCTGTGTCCCCTGTCCCAGCAGATCTATCCAAAACCATTGATGTCGAAGTTTTACATGAGAAATGTCCCAGGTGTCCCTATTTTTGACCAATTTGATCCCTGCCAATAGTAAAGAGAGTCATAAATTGTCATTTGTCCAGGTAAAATACAGAAAAGCTGCTTAAAAATCACCCAAACACAAAGAAAATGTGATCATACTGACTCACATGTTCGTCATGAATGATCTCTACATCAAGATTTTCGTTTTATTATTACTAGTCACCAAAAAAATGGGGATGTCCCAGTTTTTTATTTTGAAAATCTGGTCACCCTAATCTTTGTGCACTAATACATTTATAAATGTTAATATTTTATAGTTATATAGACGGTTCCCCATTTAAGGTTTTCCTATGCTCAATTTCTTGGGACTGCTAAAATAAGTCACTTTTTGGCGTTTTCTTTTTGTTAAAGTAGCTCACCAGAAGAAAAAGGGTGGAGACACCTGGTCTAGAATGTCCCTTGTTAAACTCATCCATCTACAAAAAACAACAAAGATAACAGAGTTTAATTACAAACTTTCAGGCAAAACAATAATATCTCCATGGAAAAGAGTTTGGTGACGCAGAAAAGTTACACAGTGCACCTTTAATAAAGCTATAAAATTCATGCAAAGCGTCGCATTCAATCTTAAAACAGTTTTCTAATGATGCAAAGGAAATTAAATTCAATATAAAATTATGAACAGATGTTTTTATGTGTGTTGGGTCCATGTACCAGAGGTGGGGATTTGCAAGTCGTGACTTGGACTCGAGTCAGACTTGAGTCACTATTTTTAGGACTTGAGACTTGATTTGATAAAATAGACAAAGATTTGGGACTTGACTTGGACTTGAAGGTCAGTGACTTGAGAAGACTTGATGTTTAGACTAGTTGACAAATTAACAGTTATTAAACACTCTTAAATCTTAATTCTTTCTGTTCTGGCTGTAATAATTCACACTTTTGTCAAGACATTTAAAAAGGAAAAAATAACTCTTATATAAATACTCATGTACCGTGACTTTTTAAGTACAATTTAGTTTAAAAATTATATAAACATCAAAAATCTAACGCTAAGCTATATTTGGTACTTTGGTTTAAAGACTTGAAATGAATTGAAGCTCAAAGCAGACGACTTGGACTTGACTTGGACTTATGGGCCAGTGACTCGAGACTTGACTTGGACTTGCCTGTTTTTGACTTGGGACTTGACTTGGACTTGAGGTCAAAGACTTGAGACTTACTTGAGATTTGTAGAACAACGACTTGGTCCCACCTCTGGCGTGTACCATTTGTTTTTTTGAATTTCACTTAAAAACAAAAAACAATAAAATGGAAAAGCAATTTGTTATTTTTTTATTCCATTTTAGTGTCAACCTCTACCTGACCTTTCCAGTATTTAATTTAAAGTTTATTTCTAATAACACCAATCAAAAACAGTTATCGTGCCTACCGGTATTTCAGTTTTGATATTTTATTCTCTTCTAGCAGCAAAACTAAACATAAACAAAATAAAAGAATAAAATATCAAAACTGAAATAACCACTGAGACTGTTGGTGTTAAATATTGGAAACAGAGGTCGAAATTAGTTTATTTAATTTTATTTTTTTGACACTAAAGCGGAATAATTAAATAAACGGTTTTCCCATTTTATTGTTTTTCCTTCTTAATTAAAATCCAAAAGAACGAATATTAGACGAACCATTTTGAAGTATTCTCATCTTCTTGCCTGACCAGCCACGAGTATTTTTGCAAAACAGTATTCACTTGTGGATTTTGAATTGGACCACACTGAAAAAAAATGAAAAAGCACTTACTTGAATCATCACCGTGTCTTCAAATATTTGTTTACAATTGAAGTAAATACAATAAGTACTCGAGTAAGTGTTAAAAATGTCCCTGTTTACATAATGCATCCTACAGCGTGTGCGTATTAAGATGGCTTTTGATACTTTTGTTTGTACACTGGACTGGGTTTTATACAGTAACTTTATGTACTACTGATTTGAAGGCTACTGTCATAAAAGTATAAAAACCTGCACTCATCATTGTACCATTTCTATCGATTGTACTCCACATCGTCATGTTCTACCTCCTCGTCTCCTCTCATCCGGATGCATTTGAATATCGAGTCATATTAATTAATAAAGGTAACAAAAGTGTGATCTGTTTGTGTGTTTGTGTGTGTTTTGGCAACAAATGTGCAGTGACACCTCCCACTCGTGGTCTGTCGGGTTTTCTCTGGAGTCTGACTGTTGCTAGTTTGTTTACTTGGTTCGCTCACATAACAGCAGTAGTAACAGCGCAGTGTGATTTCAAGAACTGCACCCGAGAAAATACAAAAAAATAACAAAAAACTGGGACAGCAAATGGATCGATCTTAACTCCCCAAGCGTCTCAACTGTCCTGTTACAGATTGTGGTAGATTTGAGACAATGAGACAGAGGAATATCACATGTAATCAGTATAAATCATTTTATAAATACTTTTTATTATCATTTTTGTCTGAGACCACATTTAGAAAGTATTCAGCCATGTCTTGTTCTCACTGTTGTAGTAGTAATAGTATTAGTAGTATTAGTATTCCTAGTATTAGTATTTGTACTGTTAGTATTCGTAGTAGTATTAGAATTCATAGTAGTATTAGAATTCATAGTAGTCGTAGTATTAGTATTTATAGTATTAGTATTCGTTGCATTAGTATTTGTAGTAGTAATAGCATTCGTAGTATTAGTATTCATAACATTAGTATTCGTATTAATATCAGTAGTATTAGTATTCATAGTATTAATATTCGTAGTAGTATTAGAATTCATAGTAGTATTCATAGTATTAGTAATAGTATTCGTAGTATTAGAATTCATAGTAGTATTAGAATTCGTATTAGTAGTAGTAATTGTATTTGTAGTATTCGTATTAGTATTCATAGTAGTAGTAGTAATAGTATTCGTAGTAGTAGTAATAGTATTCATAGTAGTAGTAATAGTATTAGTATTAGTAGTAGTAGTAGTAGTAGTAGTCGTCGTATTAGTAGTAGTATTAGTAATAGTCGTAGTAGTAGTAATAATTCATTTTTAATATAAACATGCACAATACTTAGTGGTAATTTAGGTTCTCTGTTCTAAAGATTTGGATCAATAACTGCACTGGATAAAATACAAAAAAATAACAAAAACTGTGACAGTAAACAGAGCGATCTTAGAAGAATAAACAGAATATCTGAAGGTGTTTAATCATAATTGTGTTGATAATAATGTTCAGCTTAGTCACAGAGTGAAATGTTTAGTAAGTGTGTAATTATATCTGTTGGTATTTATAAAGTACTTGTCAATGTTTATTTTAGTCTAAGGCCACATTTAGAAAGTATTCAGCCATGTCTTGTTCTCACTCTTGTAGTAGTATTAGTATTAGTAATGGTATTCATAGTATTAGAATTCATAGTTGTTGTAATAGTATTCGTAGTATAAGTAACAGTATTCATAGTATTAGTATTCGTAGTAGTAGTATTTATATTCATGGTAGTATTAGTATTCGTAGTAGTAGTAATAGTATTCTTAGTATTAGTAATAGTATTTGTAGTATTAGTATTCATAGTAGCATTACAGTTCGTAGTAGTATTAATATTTGTAGTAATAACAGTATTCATAGTAATAGTAGTAGTAGTATTAGAATTTGTAGTAGTGATAGTATTTGTAGTATTAGTATTAGTAATAGGAGCAGCAGTAGTATTAGTAGTAGTATTAGCATTAGTAGTAGTAGGAGTATTAGTATTGGTAGTATTAAGTAATGTAGTAGTAAGATTAATAGTTGTAGTAGTAATAGTATTTGTAGTTTTAGTATTAGTAGTAGTATTAGCACTAGTAGTGACAGTAGAAGCAGTAGCAGGAGCATTAGTATTAGTAGTATTATTAGTATTGGTAGGAGTAGTAATAGTTGTAGTATGAGTAATAGTTGTAGTAGTAGTAGTAGTAATAGTATTGGTTATAGTTGTAGTAATAATATTTGCAGTATTAGTAGTAGTATTAGCATTAGTAGTATTAGAAGTAGTAGTAGTATTGGTAGTAGTATTATTATTATCATTATCATCATTAGTAGTAGTAGAAGTGTTATGATTTGTAGTATTAGTCGTAGTAGTAGTATTAATAGTTGTAGTAGTAGCAATAATTTGCTTTTAATATGAACATGTATAATATTTAATTTAAGTACTCTGTTCTGAAAATCTGGCAAATTGATAATTGATAATTTCTTTAGTTTGCCCCTGACAGATCAATAACTTTTTGATTTTCAACAATAAAACGAGTCTTTCCCTGTGAATCTTTCATAAAACAGCAGTACACACTTGAAGTATTATTGTACCATCAGTAACCACAAAGGTCTCAAATAGAAAACACAAGATACTGTAGATGACCAGCTATTATCTTTTAATTATCTGTTGAGTTACAATCTTTCAAATGTACAACTCATGACATTTACAACAAACATTTACGTTTATAGTTCTTGATGCAGTTACTATGGTTACATCTCCACTGGCATGTGTCTTGATAAGAGCACGGATCCGATAAATAACCATTCATATCATAAAAAAAACAAAACAAAACAAAACAAATACAGTGGACGTGGAACACACCGCGGCGCGTTCACGATGTTTACAGTGATTCTGATCCAAGAGACGGACAAACCCGCGAACAGAAGAGTGGCGTTGGGTTCGCTCCCGTCTGCTCCTGAAAACCCCGGGAAAATCGGCAAAAACGAGAGGCCACTTTATTAGGTACAGCTATTCGATTCACCGGCTTGTAATGAGCGTTAGATGGCTTATCACAAGGTAGTTTCGCAAATTTAAACGATAAAAATATGAGTGAAGTTAATATGGCTTGGTTGGAAATCTCGTCAACATCGGTCAATCCTGGAGGCAAAAAATAAGGCAAGGTTTTTGGGCTTTGTATCAGAAACTTAAATCTCTCTTTCAGTCTTTAGAAGTAATCCGTGTATCATTCATTCATTCGTTTTTCAAAATAAAACAAAAAATAAGAAAATGAAAAAACAACTATTTTCTTCATTATATGTCTTCAAAACCAGATGAAAAAAAAGATAACGATTCTTTTTTTTTTTTTTTTTTCAGTTTTCGATTTTGTGTTTAAATGAATAATGGAATAAAAACAATAATGGCTGTTTTTCTGTTTCTGTGATTTAAACTGTGACACCGGACTGAACAGGGACTGAACCAGGACTGAAGCAGGACTGAAGCAGGACTGAAGCAGGACTAAAGCAGGACTAAAGCAGGACTAAAGCAGGACTAAACCGTTTTCAGTCCCAGCCTCAGTCCCGAGACCGGGACTGAGACAGGGAACAGGACCGGGAACAGGACCGGGAACAGGACCGGGAACTTGACCGGGAACTTGACCGGGAACTTGACCGGGAACAGGACCGAGAACAGGACCGGTCAGCTTCCGGACCTGGTTCAGTCCTGGTTCAGTCCGGCATCTCACTTCAGCATCTCATGTAAACGGGAAACGTTCTCCGTTTTTTTCCATTCTTCATTTAAACACAAAATCGAAAACTGAAAAAAAAAAAACCCCGAATCATTATTAGTTTTTCCATTTTGGTTTTTAAGACATATAATGAAGAAAATTGTTGTTTTTTTGTTTTCTTATTTTTGGTTTTACATTGTCCTACATCATTTTGAGATATTCCGACAAGAAAACCCTCCTTAAAAACTCCTTCTCCACGTTAATTCTTCGCAACTTTGCATGTCAAGAAAAGCATTTAATCGTACCTAATAATGTGGCCAGTGATTTAAAGTTCAAACCTTTCATTTTCTTACAGTGGACACCAGCGTTTTGGGTCACGCTCGGGGCTGGCGATTCAGGGGCGGAGGAGCAGCTGTGTGGCGAGACAGTGTCTATGTAAAGTCAAGTAAAAATAGATCTTCCTTCAAGTTGCATGATTTCAGATTCATAAAAACGGCCTTGTTTCTGCCCGGGACAATACGGACGTCTCCGAGTGTGAACTTTAAAATCTGAATAAAACCCCTCGAATCTTAAAGAATGACAAAGGAGAGTACGAGAGCGAAAGTGAAGCTGTATTTTGACTTGGTGAGCTGCAAAACACTGGACTAAAACATGCACAGTCTCTAGGCAGTTTAATATTGTAGCTACATGTGACACAACTCGCATGGCGTGGATGGCTGCTGTAGAAAAAAGTGGAACCAAAAGTCTGGTCTGGCGTTATTTTTGTTCTTTTGTGCACAATTTGACGGGCGTGGTACCTGCAGATGAGTTCACAGCTATGGTCGTTAAGGATCTATTGCAGTACGATGCTGTCTGATGGCCGATGCATGCAGAAAATCATGGCATAAAGTCACATCACGGAACAATGGGAGAGTCTGTGTGAACCGTTTTGAAAATTACTCACTAATAATATGGCTTTCAGGGGACAACTTCAAACCCCAAAGTCTAAAAACACTTCAAGTTTGGCTTTAATGACTCAGAACTAAAGGAATCCAAAGCCAGTTTCACAAAGATATGGAACGTTTTGAGCAGCTTTCAGAGATTGTTCGGCTCAAGCTTTAAATCTACAGACTAATCCAGGACTATAAAATATTTGTCAGTTCTACATACACTGTGGTTAATGGAGAATATACAGGACTGTCTATCACAACAGCAAACAGTTCAAGGCCTGCAGTGAACCCGAAACAAAGTGCAAATAATCCTTGTTCTAATATCCAAAGTCTGGCTTAAAACAATCTAAAGACATTTGCGTCCCTAGTTGTTTAGTCGTAACTTTAGTAGCTCGTTTCAACAATACTCGATTACCTTTGTCAAACTGGCCTGTGTGTAAAATCCAGACATATGCACAAGAGTAGAGCTGCAGAGGGACCCTTGTGTGGCGCTAAGCAGAGGAGAGGATGCAGTGTTGTGATTGGACGAGGGGCTGGCAGTAAACGACATGGTACCTTGGCACGTGACGGGGGGGTGATGGGGGTGGTCAGGCAGGCGTCTCATGTACATGTGCGTGTGTTTGTGTAGTATGTGTGGGTGGGTGTGCATGTGTGTGTAGAGGGAGAGGGGGTGTGACGGGGGAAGGGCGCACAGTCCTTTAGCTCTGGGCCGTTAGTCGCTGCTCCGTGAGCGAGGCCTGGTGAGACACTGTCTTGTTTTCGTGAGCGCGCAGTTTGGACACGACGTCGATGAACGCCAGGCTCTGGACTTCTTTGTGGAGGGGCTCTGAGGACACAAAGAAAAATAAGTTAGGTTATGTTGCTTTATTTGTACCCATAGATAAATTTGTTTTGCAGATTTGAGGCTGTTCCCACATTTCATTCATCCACATTATATCCAATAACACGTATAAAACCACAATCACAAAATAAAGTGTTACAGTGCTCCAGTGCAGAATGGTTTGTTCCATAAACAATTACCGTATTTTCCGCACTATTAGGCGCTCTGGATTATAAGGCGCACTGTCATTAAATGGTCTATTTTCGAACTTTTTTTCACAAATGAACCGCAACGAACTTTAAAGGAAACACAACAGTTAGAAGGGTCAGTGGGACTTTGTTTGGCGCGTTCACGGTGACCCTGGGCTTTGTTCAGTTGTGGCGTCTAGAGAGGGTGTTCACAGTGACTCAGTTGTTCAGTTGTGTCTAGAAGTGGCACATTGCACTCGCTTTTTCAGTTCATTCCTTCGTTCCGTTCCTCGTCCGCGTGGAGTGATGAGTGTGGCTGTGGGTGTTTTTCGCTGTGCGGTCGCTGTCTGCTCCGTGTGTGTTTGCGTGCGCTGTGGGTGGTGCGGCTTTGTAGTTTACTGAAGTCGTGCTGGGACACCCGAGTGGATTCGTGTATAGGGTGCTCTGGATTGTGGCGCGCAGCAGTTTTTTGATGGGGTTGGAGTCTTAAGAGCGCGCCCTATAGCCTGGAAAATACGGTAGTTAAATTCATCCATCAGGCTTGGTTAAAATCACAATAAATATTAAATTTATTTTTTTTAAAAAAAAACAACACATAATTTTTCCAAGGCTAAAATCTAAAGTACTAAATCGATCTAAATCTAAAGTATTATCTAAAGTAAATCTAAAGTACTAAAATCGATTACAGTTTATCCATAAATATGACAGCAGCTGGAACAAAGCTCCTTTTAAAACAATTCGTTCCAGATCTTGTGACTAAAAGCCTTTGACCTGAGGGAAGCAGCTGAAACTCTGAATTTAGTGGATGTTGCACGTCTTTTAAAATACTCTGGGACATCCTTTGTAACTGTCTTGAGTACAGGGAGTCTTGACGAGTGACCAAACACGAGTGAGAGCTTGACTAAAGGTGTGTAGTCCTCACCAGAGCCCATAACAGCACAGATGAGGATCATAGAGTTGTACTTGATCTCTGGCGCGCTCCTCTCGTCTGACAGCAGTTTGTGAAGCACGGACACCAGACTGGAGCCCACAAAGTCCTTCTCTGCAGCCACTGGAACAGCAGAGCCCATCGTTACAATCCACGCACTTTAAACCTGTTATTTTACTTTTGTTTATTTCCCTTTTGAATTTCTTACCCAGATCCAGCGCTGCTATGAGACCCAACGCCACCAGTGCTTCATTCTGCATGATCATATGCTCACTCGTAGCCATGGTAACTAAATGTTTGACTCCTCCACACTGGATGACTGATCGGACCACTTCCTGTTACACATAAACAAGTACAGAGGAGACGTATAAGCTAATGGTACATGTCAGGCTCAGCGGACGTGAGGTCATGGCTGTGCTTGGACCTTGGACTTGCTGTGTCGGATGAGAGCAGACAGCAGGCGGTTGGACTCGCCCATCACTCCAGCGTGGTCTTTGGCTTCACACCACTCCACCAGGCGCTCCACCAGCTTCACATTGGTCCCCAGCTGCTCCGCCGCTTCAGCTGTGGTCGACATAGAAGCAACATCAGTCTGAAGTGACCACATTATACTTGTTCAGACAATAAAGGTGCACTGTGTCACTTTTCTGGTGGAGGGTTCGCTGTCTTTGTCTCCATGGAAATGTTATGACATGGCCCCAATTGCCACAATGTTTCAGGTTAAAAATACCTCAAAAATCATTGTTGCACTGTCTTTTTATGACCTCTTCTAAATAGCTGAGATTTTATATTTTATTACTTATTTTTCCATTTTATTTTGACTTGTACATGTACATTTATATAATTATGTTCTATTTATCTCTTTCTATCTTTTTGCTACTTATTTAGAATTTATTATTACCATTTATATTTTTGCTCTTTGTTATTATAAAATATTGTGATGTGTGAGCCTCTGTGTCCAAATAATTTCCCTTGTGGATCAATAAAGTTTGTCTAAATCTAAGTCTAAAATCACCTCACACAGATACGGGCTGTTCTTTGCTTGATCACTTTCTGCTAGACTCCAGAAGGCTCTGGAATTGGACCATAGAGCGTGAAAAACATCCGTCCAAACTTGAGACGGTCCAACCACAGCCACTAATTTGTAGCAAAAGACATCTCCTTTCTAAAAATCTAGTATCATTAAGAATAAAATCCTTATCTGAGGTAAAAGAAGTTATAATAATTTAGTGCTTCACTTGTTGATCCTGCAGAAATCTACGTTGTTTCTGAGTCCTCTGAGCCTAGGGTGTTCATTTTTACCCCAAAACAGCAGGCATAACTCTGACCTCTGGTTAATCCACACGTCAGTCACGCCTTTTGGAATCAGGATACAGCTCCAGACCGACTTGTCTTTGTAAAAATTTTGTCACCGCGTGTGGTTCTGGCAAGGTAAGCCTGTTGCACCACTTGTTAATTTATATCAGACCTGGGCAATGTTCAGCTCCCGGGTCACGTATGGTTCAATTCAATTCAAGTTTATTTATATAGTACAGGGGTCTCCAAATGTAGCTCGGAAGCTACCAGTAGCTCTCCACCCCCTCCCAAGTAGCTCGCCAAGGGATTTCTGAATTATACGTATTGAGCTGAATAACTAAGATCTGATGAATTAAATGCTTATTATCATTGTAAATGCATGCTTTTAATTCTTAATTTGTGCATTAATACATGGATAATGGTTTATGCTTTATAGGCATCTAACTGTCCTCATCTAAGGCTCGCTGTGGCTCTTATATTTACTCCATTTCTTCCAACCTCTAAAATGAGTAGCTCTCTGGCATTTTTGTTTTTTAAAAGTAGCTCACCAATGGAAAAAGGTGGGATACCCCTGATATAACACATCTGAAACAACTTCAGCTGACCAAAGTGCTTCACATACAAGTCCACAAAATAGAAGAAACAATTACATATACATATATACAGATAACATGTGAAAACTACAATAAAAACACCAAGATAACCTGACTAGCTCGTACTAAATGCCAGAGAGAAAAGATGAGTTTTCAGTCTAGTCTTTGGTTGACTCTGATGGGCCCTCCACCATATTTTCTGTTTCTCTCATGGCCCCATGCAAAAAATAATTGCCCACCCCTGACTTATATGGAGATGGATACATTTAATGCTATACTATGGAACATTCCAAGCAAAGCAATAACATTTCCATACAGACAGCAGGAAATTGGACCCTCCAACAGAAGTTACAGTGAACTTTTAAATAAATAAAGTGACTATACATGAATTATATAAAGTTTATGATGAAATTATGCATTATTTGAAAAGAGTTTTGCTTTAACCGTTTTTAAATCTCTGTCTGAATAATAAAAGGTGAGCTGCCAAAAGAAGTCTATTTCTGCTGCCAACTGCTTTACATAACTTCAATACAGACTGTAATAAGGCAGATCTCTCCGGTGAGTGACAGAATGGGATTAGCTCATAGAATGGAAAAGACTATAATGTACCTTGTGTATCGATGAGCATCCGTAATGTTCCCAGCAGTTTGAACTGGACCGGAGGCATCTCGGAAGGCAAGAACTTCAAAACCACGTCCGCCACACCAGCAGACAGCATCTTGGATTTGTTCACCACTGGGCAGAAAAGTTTGAAAATGTATGATAAGAGTTAATTCCAGTTAAAACACAGCTCAGTCCAGTCTATCTTGTTGTGTCCTTGGGCAAGACACTTCACACACACGGCAGCTACAGCTAAAACAGAGTACCGCCAAAGAGTCTGGAGTGAATTATGCTCAAAACTGTAAAGCGACTTTGAGTGCCTATATAAAGTAGGGGTGTAACGGTACATGTATTTGTGCCAAACAGTTTTGGTACAGGACGTTTGCTTCGGTGCAGGGCAGTGCACGAGTGAATTCTAACAATTTATGGGTGTTTATATTCCACCATTACATGTGCAGCCACACGAAAGGCTCGGTTCTTTCATATTCACAAGGGAACTCGTTCGTGATTGGGGTGGCAGTGTTTCCCGCAGCGCTTTATAGTTAGGGCATCCTCCTTGACAACAATTGCCCCCCACCTTGACTACGTTCCTCCAAACCACATGATTCCTCCCAAAACTACAGTTGTTGCGCCCCGGTCCTCATGTTCGCCTTTCATCGGTACTGAATCTCCTCCCCACCCACCTCCCCACACCAGCGACCTCTGTCTCTAGCGAAAGGGTATTTTCAACCTCTGGGGACGTTGTAACTGCCCGCAGATCTGCACTTACTGTAGACAATGTGGACAAGTTGTTTAGTTCCGATCTTTACTGTTTGAAAAGCTTTGTTTACTGTTTACAAGGAATTTATTTTTTATAATATTTCATACATTTGTTGCTTATTTGAGAATATTTTATTTAATTTATAAATATTGTCAAGCAGCACTTTGCATAATTTTATTTTCCTGTTTGTATAATGTTAAAACAAATTGTTGGTTTAATAAAAACTCAATTAAACAACAAGCAAATGGTTTTACATTTTGTTCCCATACTTTACCGAAAATCAACCGAACCTCAAAACTGGGGTATGTACCGTGATTTTTGTGTACCGTTACAGCCCTAATATAAAGGCATTTTTATGTCATCTTTGCTCTACAGATGAACAGTATTCATTTGTGATGTCTTCTCACCAGGTATGGCCAGGTTTCTCAGGGCGCTCAGGGCGGCATGTTGTACCGTCACGTTTCCTTCTTCAACGTGTCTGTCCAACAGCTCCAGAAGCTTCTGCACAATCCCCGTGTCCACCATGTGAATACAATTCCCATCTGTGTAAAAACAACACACCACAACAACTCAGTGAAAGGAATATGCAACATGAGCAGAGCTGCAGTTGACTCAAGACATGCCCTGTGCATTAATTATTAAACTAAAAGGGGACGTGGTGTAGCTCCGACAAAAGCTCTCCAAATTGTTAGGATCTTGTGCAAAAAGTGCTATGCGTAACTGTCCAGTCTCTCCCAAAACTCCAGGTAACTCACTCCAAGCATTCTTTCTTACCAAAAGACGTTAAGGCTGAGCAATTCATTTAATTTTGATCGCGATATTGATTTGTGTGCATTTTTAAACTCATATAATCGAGTTGAAACGACTCAAGCTTAACAAAGTTTAATACAAATAAGTATATTTAATATTTTTTTAAACATAGAGATTGTAGAACCGCTGGATATTTAGTTTATTTTGGATACATTTATGTTTTTCTATGCCTTATTTCATGTTCAAAGTATATTTTATTCATTTTATGTTTTATACATTGCAAAACTGCTCTAAGGTACATATTTGTAGCCTATATTTATTTTCAATTTGAAAGTTTTGCGTAAATTATCAATAACAAAGTGTTTTGGGGGGTTTTTTTGAGAAAGAAAATTGCTGAAGAAATGCATCGTGTTACTAAAAAATATTCATTTGAAAAATCGTGATTTCAATATTGGCCAAAATAATCATGATAATGATTTTTTCCATAATCCAAAGCTCAAAAAGACGTCTTTGTATTATTACCGTGTAGTGTGAAGTCTAAAATTAACATAATGTATTCCTTTAATTTTATTAACGTAAAATGTGGAAAACGCAAAATGTGGACTCTATCTACATGTTTGGTACTTTTAGTTACTTCCCAACACTGTAAACAAACAAAAATGTATCTGAGGTCATAAAATATTGCAAGAATAGCCAGTCAAAAGAAAATTATCTTTGTGTATTTACTATATGAAACCATTACAAACCGTTTCGAGCAAAGTTGGCAATGGCTAGTGCCCCGGCGAGCTGCAGCTGGTGGTTGTGTGAGGGGATCCAGGACAGAACTCTTTGGAAGACACTGCCCTTTCCTCCTTCAAACAGCTTCTGCATCGACTCATCTGCACAGCAAAAAAGAAAAAGCCTCAAAATATGTCCCACCATTTGTCAAACACTAATGATGCCGGTCAATGCTTCATGACTGACCCAAGGGAGAACATCAATCCATCAAGTCACAGCTCATTTGGGTCTAAAAATAGCCCCCATGTCCAGGTCTATTGAGGCGCAATGAAATTTTAAAACCACAAGTGAATTATTTATTAGCCCTGGTATTATTGGACATAGTCCGCTTATTTTAAAATGTGTTGGTGAAGGGGATATATTTAGCACAGAAAAACTTTTGTGATTTTAGATAGTAGCTGAAACATGCAGAGCTGGCATGCCATTAGTTTTATACTGAAGACAGATCTTAGAAAGTCTGTTTGGGTCTACTGTTTTAGTTTTAGGATCTGGCAACCCAAAGCTCGTTATACTTTTTGATTGAATTATTGTTTTGAGAACCAAAACACAAAATGTAAACAAACAACATTTACATCAAGCATGCTTTTTAAGCTTATAAATTGTTGAGTCAAATCAGCAATTAAAAGCAATTTTGCAGTATCCAATTCTCATGTTATGATATTAAAGATGTGCTAGAATGAAATTTTTTTTGATAATTCTCTGCTTGGAATGTTCCACTCTAAGGCTCTAAATGTATCAATCAAGCACTCATTTCATTACAGGTATTTTATTGCTTAAAAATATATTTAATACATACATTCTTTATTGTGAGCTGCGTATTTCCATGGGGAGATAAATAGATAGATAGACAGATATAGGCCTGTCACGATAACAAATTTTAAAGTTTGATATATTGCTGAAGAAAATATAAATGATAAACGATAATACTGAGTGCCCTTAATCCCCTGATAGAAAAACCCTAAAGCCACCCAAAAAACAACTCTATATGTACAGTACTGTTAATTAACATGAGTTAAAATACATAAATTAAACACAAGTTATGCTTTTAACCCTCTACAGCTCAAATCTAATCATAATTCAGAAACATAACAAACAGTTCTTCTGTAGTACAAAGAAAACATAACCACAATAAATATAGGCTCTATTCATGCTTTTGTCAAACCAGGAAGACGTTTGGAAACATGCGATGAGGACTTCCAATGTAGTTACCGACACTGGGCTCGCCGACCGACTGTGATAAAACCCACTGAAGTAAATGTGCTCAGCGGAAAAATGAAGACAGTATATGTATGTGCTGTTTGGAATCATCTTGAATTTGGCACCTCATCTCTTCTAATTGCATGTACCCAGTGCGTTCGGAGTTGTGCGTCAGTGGGGAAATTATGAAAACTGAGGTTTGGTTGTAACTGTTGATTAGCCGAACATAACGGAACGCTACAATGACATGGAGATGAAGAAAACTGGGACAATTTCTAATTTTTCCTAGATTTTGTCAGACTTACTACCTCGAACAGAACCCATCCGGAAGTGGTCATTGCATGTTTCCAAAGCGAGAACAGAGCCTGTTGATTATCATGTATTGAATGTGAGATCATTAATAAAACGTTATAGTAATTGTGGCCATACCAGTTTGTCAAAGTCTGATCTTGTGACAGAAGCTAAGCAAGGCCAGGCCTGGTTAGTACTTGGATGCTGTTGTGTCGTTAGGCAAGACACTTTGGTTGTTGACACGCACATTGGCTAGAATGTATGTGATGTGTGTGTGAGTGTTGGTGGTGGTGGTAGGTGGAGCTAATGGTGCAGATTGGCAGCCTTGCCTGGGACAGCTGTGGCTACAATAATAGCCTCACCACCACCAAGTATAACGTGAATAAATAATGCTCTGTAAAGCACTTGAAATGCACTATATAAATCTGATGGTTAATTAATTATCATGCCTAGGGAGATATACAAGTTAAATGTCATACTATGGAACATATAAGCAAAGCAAAAAGCAGGTGGGGGACTCTGCAGCACAAAAGTTACATAGCGCATCTTAACCAGACACAGTGCGTAAGCTCACAACACTCTTGTAATAATAGCCGTGGTTTATTTTTGTCCTGACCTCCGAGCAGCAGCAGCACCATGAGGTCTGAGGCGGTCTTGAGCTGAGCGATGTCCTCCTCTCGCTCTCCGTCCACTGTCTGAGCCACCACCTGCAGCAGGCACTCCACCAGCCCCGCCTCCACCAGCTGCAGCTTAATCACATCTGCACACACAAAACAACACTCCATCTCAATTATATTAACTATGTATCCAAAATATAAAAGGCTCAACACAAAGGCCTACGACTAGAATTAAATAGCTGTTAGGTAGTTCAGTCTGACAATGCAGGTGATGTAATATATTTTAATGGGATGTTGAACATGATTAGAACTGTAAAGAAAACGGTGCAATTACTTTGGAGGACAAAAGCTGTAAGATGTAATGTAAATGTATATAATGAAGGCCATACGTGACAAGCCATCATCATAAACACGTCCTGCAATATGTTTTGTATTCAATGTTAATAGGGCGTAGAAGTAGGTAGCCAACAAATTAACTCAACTATGAAAACCTTTGCAAACAACAATGAATAGAAGTAAAACATAGTGGTTCGAGAAATTTCTTAAGTAAGAGAAAGTTCAGAGTAACTGTCATTCAGGGTATCATTAAGAAGTTGCTGATACGATACATACCTCGATACAGTGAGCTTTCCATTCGATATGGTTCAGTAAAAAGAACAACAAAATCATGGCTGTGATACTAAACATCTTTGTTAAACCACTTCTTGTGCAAAGTTAATATGAAACACAAACATTTTAATCCTCAAAACAGTGAAATGTCCAATGTGTCGCATAAACAAGTTTCCGTCCTCTAAACAAGCAACAAAATTGTAGCTCTGTAACAAAATAATTTAGTAAAATATACCAAAAAATACTCTTGGTGATATATCGATACAGCGGCCCACAATATCGATACTGTATCATCACATTAAATGATACGATATATCGATATTTCAATATTTCTGCACACCCCTATTAAAAAAATATATGCAAAATCTGGTATGTTTTTTACTTTAAAAAATAAAACAAATCATAAATAGTTTCTGAAGAAGCAGCGCAAGAAACACAATTATTTAAATCATTTCATATTGTCAGTATATTGACACTTGTTGCTTAATCACAGCAGGAAGAGTAACAACAACTTAATTGAGTAAGAGCATTAGTGTTTATTCAACGGAAATATATTTCAAGTAGAAGTAAAATGTATCTTGCTACAAAACTATTCTCAGAAGTACTATTAACTTTAAGTTATTCAAGTTTATGTATTGTTGTAGTGAGGGATGTAACAATAACCAAAATATCATGATATTGTATCATCAAAAGTCTCACAATAATATCAAAGGCCATCACAATATATCAAATTATAGTCTCTGTGTTTAAATTAATAGTTATGGTTATTTCTTTCTATTTCTTGGGTCTTTCTTTGTAATTTTATTGTCCTTCTTATTCTGTAAAGCACTTTGAATTACTAAAAACAGAGGGACCTACATAGACCATGATCCTTTGGCGTTGTCAGTGCAGAGTGCATGAAAAAATAATGGTTGCTAAGCACTTTAAAGTCTTAATTCTTCGTATTATAACAGTATCAAATGCTCTTCAAGGAGTTTAAAAGTAAAAAGTAGCCTCCCCAAAATACCGCAATAAATATCAAACCGTAAAATGCTTATTGTGAAAATATCGTATCGAGGGATTTTGATAGTGTTATGTCCCTAGTTGTAGTACTCCACACCTATGATTTGAAAGGTCCTCCATTACACAAAATTCCCTCTTGTGAATTTTAAGCCATGTTATAATGCAGTTAATGTTTGTGATGAGGAAACATTACTACATAGATCAGAAAATAGTGTAATATGAACTTTTAAGTAAGATCTCCCCCCAGTTCTGTTGCTATATATGGCATTGTCTATTAAAATGTGAAATGTATCAACTCTTACTGGCCCATTATCCAGGGAGTTTTTGTTTCAGAGTAAGTGGTGTAGGTTTCAGCCACCCAAGCTCACTAATGGGAATAAGCTGCTGAAGTAAAATGAATGAATTCCATCCCAGCCACAGACAAATACAAGTTTCTACACCCAAATTTAAAATAAAAAGACTTAAATGTAAATATAGCATTGCACCAACCAATCAACACCCTTTCAGACTGACATACTGAAGATTAGATTTCCCCAAAGTTTTGTCCAGAAAGTCAGAAACGATTTAATTAAGTACATAAAAGCCTCATTGCAAGTTTGAGCTCCCGTCATCGTCTCGTTTCGAATGTTTAAGACAGTCTGGTGTGAAAGTTGTGTGCGTTTGTGTAGTGCCTGAGCAGCTGATGTTGTGTAATTATAATAACCGCCCGCTGTGTAAACCTGATGAAGAGGTGGACAGCGGCTCACAGAGGCGCAGAGGCAGTTAAGTGGGACGTTGTCGTGGAGACTGACGAGGCGGGAGATAAGAGTCCATACACACACGAGACAGAGTGAGTTAGAGACGGAGACAGAGAGACAGAAAGAGGGGGGAAAGAGAGGGAAAAGGAGATGGAGAGAGCGGGAAAGCGTGAAAGTGAGAGGGAGAGAAACAAAGAGACAGTGAGACAGAGAGGGAGGATGAGGGGGAGGTTTGGAGGGAAGAAGAGCAAGAGAGAGAAAAAGAAACAGAGAGGGAGATAGAGAGCGAGAGGGAAAGGGAGAGAGGGGGGCTGAGGAAGTGCAGAAGCTGTCTGCCATGACTGTGCAGTTAGCAGTTAGTCTGGAACGCGTGACTCACACTGAGAGCACCATTTACTGTGTACAGCGGGAGGACAGGGTTTGATCTGGACCTCAGAGAAGAAAGGCCTGCTGTTAGATTGGAATAATAATACAGGTACCAATTATGTAAAGTTTATTCAGATTTCAGGTGTTTCCGTATTTGTGTAGTCAAGTTTTACTTCCAAGAGATTCAATCAAAGGGATATTGTGGAGTACCTGATTTTTACCTGTGAAATACGGAAGTACTATGTATTTAGCACTAGGGGTGGGCAAAAATATCAAAATATCGACATATGGTATATTAGGTATATTTTACTCAATTATTTTGTTACAGTGCTAGTTTTGTTGCTTGTTTGGAGGAAGGAAACTCATTTATGCGACACATTTAACATTTTCACTGTTCTGAGGATTAAAAAGTTTGTGTTTCATATGAATTTCACATGAGAAATGGTTTAACAAAGACTTTTAGTATCACAGCCATGATTGAGCCTTGATTTTTATTGAATCTAATTGTTTTGAAATATATCGTATTGAATCGAAAGTGCACTGTATTGAGATATGATCGTATCGAGGCCTATGTATCAACGTATGTATCGTATCGGCAACTTCTTAATGATTCCCAGCCTTATTTAGCACATCACTACTATTCACATTCACAGTTTTTGGCCACAGTTGCACAGCAGATCAGCTGTCATCCCAAAGAGTCATATAGTGGGTCTTTCTTACAAGTTTGCTAAAGACATAACACTTTCTAATTAGAAGAAAACAGTGTGTAGAAATCTGATTGTGTCACAAAGTTCTGCTTTTACGATACAATTTCTGGGTGGAAAAAAGTTGGACAATGCAGCTTATAAGGGATACATTTTACATTAATTAAATTCACTTTCAGATGAACAAAAATTACTTTTGTTGATGTGTTTGTGGGAGTCTAAACCCAGTTTTGTATTTTTTCATTACTGAGATAATTATTCTTATTTTGTTTGATTGAATATTTACTTAAAATGCATGATTTTTGCTAATTTTGGTCATTCTTTATGGTTAACATAATTATTTGTTTATTATTTGCTTAAGAATAATAATTTACAGTTTTCTTTCAATTAATTATTGCTAATGTAAGTTTATTGAAGTAATGTTTATTTTTTTTTATTATTTTGTGGGTTTTTTTTTTGACCTCCTGTCACCTATATGTTAAAGTTCCTCTTTTTTGTATGTCCCAATTATGTGAATACTCAGTAAAGAGTTTTTAACTGCACTTGGATCGCGCTCCGTGCATTTTTTTTCAGTTTTGGGGCATTTTAAAAGATGGAACAAGGGGCGCAAAGTGTCAACTATGTCTTCACAAATGTTTGGACCTTACACTGTTATTTTGTTTAATTTTATCAAACGCACCATTTTCTGCCAGTGGGGCCAGCACTTCGAAGACCATCTCCTTCTTCTCGTGCTCCGTCTGCTTCTGGAAGAGTCTCACCAGCTCCTCTGCGATGTTGGTGGAGGCAAACTGCTCTTTACTGGACTCTGCAAAACAAACATCATACCCTCCCATTCATGAGGATTTACACAGGATTTATAGTGTGTCCTTATAGAGCCGCGGCCAGCTGCAAATCTCTGTCATATGCCACGGCTTAAGCTAAAAGACCATGTTTAGTGACTCGAAAGGCTAAAAATAAAGAAGTGTTGACTCACCAAGCTCGGCCAAGTTGCCAAACGCAATAAGACACATCTCCGTCAGGGCTGTGTTGTGGGAATGGACACCCAGCAGCTTGACCAGAGTTGGGATGACGCCCATATTGATCAGCTGGGCTTGTAGGGAATCTGCAAAACACAGAAAGCACAGAAAGACAACATTTATCTGCTGTTCAGGATTGCATTTGAGATTTATGGACTTCATTTGATCTTATAGAACTAACTAAAACCATCCCCAAATTTATCATCAATTGGAATCAGAAATATGAATAACCTGAATGAGAAATGAGAATGAATGAGTAGGTTTTGAAGAAAAGCTGGCACCACATCTTGCTAGAAAACAATCATAGTTCCTTATAGTTTACAATGAAGTTGAAGGACAGGTCAGAATTTACGGTTAAAGAGTCAGATTGCAGATTTGTTGGCCCTGTTTAATAATTGTGCCAGTTTTTGTTTCATGTGTATAAGCCAAGTAATTACAAAGTTCAGTATCAGCATAAAAAAAACATGAAATACTTTATTGTTGTCAGTTGAAAGAACTTAAAAGAAAAGATTAATAAGACCAGGTATTGTCAAACTAATTGCAATAAAATATTTTAGTTTGACATCTGTGACTCATACATTATGAAATTGTGAAAGCAGCCTATATTTGTTGAAACTTGTAATTTCAAAGTATCTCAAAATCTGTATGACAAATCTAAAGAAGTAATTGAAAAGTTAGAAAAGGTAAATGAGACCCAAGAAGAAATGCAGACATTAAAGTGATTCAAAAGTGATTCAAAAGTGATTCAACAGATCCTCCAACCAGCTCAAGAAGCAGTAGTCACCAAAACAAGAAACCAGAACATTGAATACAAACACGTGAAGAAGAAGAAACCTGAAAAGAACCTAGCTCTTGTGTCCTAGTGCTGCTCCTCCTATTAAACCCTTTGAATCCTGCGGTGATGAAGCCGGGTTCCTCTTTATAAGCTGCGTCTCTCCCTGCGGGGCACTGCCTGAGCACGCCGTTAGTCCATTAGCTCAATGTGAAGAGTCAGCCCCGGCTATGAAGAGGCACGCTCAATGCATCATCGCTCAGACTGATCCAACAGGCCTTCACTGCCAAAGCACACCTTGGCAGGAGGTCCAGCCGCGCTCAGCAACAAGGATTAGTGCGCAGGAAAAGTGACTCTGGCGTCGGGCTTTCAGAACTTACAAGTTTACCTCTGTTATTTCGTTTGTTTCTTTATACGGAGAATGGGCAGATACAGTAAGGCTCGTATATCACGCATTTTCCAGGCAACATCTTCACAGTGATGCCTTAGGTTTTCATTTTTCATTTTCATAATTTAATGTCTCTCTCTTTTTAATTTTATGATGATGATTTATGTTTTGATTTGTTTTTATTGTGATTTTAATGTATTTCTTATTCTGTAAAGCGATTTGAATTACTTTGTGTACGAACTGAGCTATACAAATAAACTTGCCTTGCCTTTAAGAAAATTGCTCCCTCTCAAAAGAAACTGACTTAAGATATTAAAAAGAAACTGCTCTGTGTCATGTTATAAAAATTAAAATGTATACAATATTTAAAAACACAACTTATTAAACTTAGAGAGAGAGAGAGCTACTATTTTTAGAGGTCACAAGAAATTTAGTATAGTAAAAAGAGCCTTACATGAGGTACAGTTGCCTCCAAACCATTATCTATTTATTAGTATACAAAGTTACATGTACAATGGTAATAAGCATTTAATCAATACAATTTTACTTATTCAGTACATGTAATTCAGAAATCCTTTGGTGAGCTACTTGGAAAGGGGTGGGGAGCTACTGGTTGGAGACTCCTGATTTTGCCTATGAAACTAATCTTTGAGTATCTTTGCTATATAAAACCAATTTATTAGAAGAATTTACGTGGATATCAACGCTCGTCTACGCTCCATCGGGTGCCTCACATGAATTAATAAAGAAAAACATTGTAAACCCAGTTTCTCTTCAAGGCTGACGTAACATTTGCATCCACAAACTGTGACCATAACCACCAGTGCATAATAATCTATTATCTTACGTCACGCTACAGCTGTACCGACTATTCAATATAGCCATTATTCTAAGCTAAATATCTGTTACATAAAGGATGAAAAATGCACCTTTTTTTTTTCCACCAGGGGCTTCTAACGTTGTCAATAAAACCAATCCATCAGTGTGACAATGGAACTAGCAGCTAAGCAGAGTCATCAGAGGCTATTTCTACAATGGAAACTAGTTCTATACAATGGTGCTACAAAGCTAAGATAAAACACTTACACATCTACAGATTACCTTCAAGATGAAAGTTGAAACAGAAGAGGAGCATGTAGGAAAGACCACAGATATCAGACCCGTATAAAAGAATATAGTAGAAGTTCTTATAAAAGCAGTACTGGCTGATTAGTGGAGAGATTAGTCTAATTCGGTGGTAAGTGGGTCATTACCATTCTCATTGCTATAGTTCATCAGCATGCCAACAAAGACAGTCAAGAGCTTCTCACTGTCCGGCTCAGTGTTTGGGGAGAGGGACTTAATGTGGTCAACTACTAAGAGAGCGCCTCCTGCCTGGTCAACTGCTCTCCTGCCCTCATCTGGAAAACAAAGAGCCGGGACACAGGTCAACCACACACAACGCAGCAAAGGAAATGACAAAAACAACATAGCTCTTACACTTTTCCTTGTTTTAAACGTTTCAGAATGAGTGTAGCAGTTATTTTAGTAAGTTTTTTGACGATACTATGACATGGACTAAAGCTAGGCCTGTCACGATAGTTATTAAATCGACTTATCGTTCAATATTTTGGATCTCAATATTTATCGTGTGAGTAATTTCTTTGCAAAAGTGGGGAGAGTTTTACCGTTTTTTATGTAATAAGGTTAAATTTGAGCTGAAGAGAGTAGAATAAATAACTCTTATGGCTCATAATTATTTGATTCTGCCGTTTATTTGTTGTAGCTCAGGCCTTATTATGATACTGTCTATTTAAAAATGGGTTTACTGAGATTATCCTTGGTGTCAGTGGCATAAAGTAGTTTCAATATTATCATTTATCGCAATATTTCTCTGTGTAAATGAGATCGTGCTTCAAAATGTGCCATCGTGACAGGCCTAACTAAAACTACAAAGCAATTAATTCATTAAAAAGTAAATACTGAATAAAAATGACATCTAGTGATTTTAGATATGACTACAAAAGTAATAATTGCTTTTTTAAAACTGTTTTCAAATCAGGATCGAGTTCACAGTGAAATATGAACTGCTACCTGAGAAAAAAAATGTAAAAAAATAAAAATATGTTATCATAAACATACAGAAGTAACAAATTTCAATGTGTAATTAGTTCCTTTCGTTAAGTAGAGGCAGTAAGTGACATTTATACAACTAAATTTTGTATTAAATAAAATAAAATTCAACAATGGATCGCTCATGCCCCCATAGTCTTAGTATAAACCTGTGAGAAATACTGTAACCCAAAACACGAATGATGCAAACTCCGATACATGAATGATGCAAACTACAGTGCACACTCTTATTACCTCAATCCAGGGTTTCCACTCTTTTTCACTGACAAAATTTCTAAACTTTTCCATGACTTTTTCATGACCTAAAGTGAATTTTCCACGACTTTACAGCACCTACATGTGTAGAACTGATCAGACTTTTAGGGCTAAATATGAAATGTTAACCCTTTCCACTCACCTTATGGTTTGGGATGATAGTTTTTTAACATTCAAAATACTGTTAAATGTTCAATATACTGTCAGAAATAATCATAATAGCCTAATGATAACTTAACAGAACGCTGTAGTTGCGTGAAAGAGATACAAAAATTCCATGACTTATCCAGGATTTCCATGACCGTGGGAACCCTGTCAATCATTTCAATCAAATAGCTGTTTTATATGTTTTATATGGGCTCCCCCAAGTAAAAAAATAAAAATTAAAGGGATAGTCCAGAATTTTGGACATAGGACCTCATTTCCTAGTGAGCTAGAGTGTTGGAGACGTGTGGAGATACTTTTTAAATATTCCATCCAGTCCTTGTATTTGCAGAGGTCGCTGGTGCTAGGCTAGTGCATGTCAATGGCCATAGTTAGCTTGCAACTAAAAACAGCCTTACCCACTATGCAAAACACTTGAAGAAAACCTATTATTACGCCAGACTGTCGATATAAATGTCTGTGTTGATATAAAAAGTAAAACCAACTTTACATTTGAAGGATTTATGTCTGAGTAGCAGCAGTGAGTTGTACTTCCTGATAGAAAGCTTGGCAGCGGTGGACTGATATATGAGAAAATAGTCCCTCAACATGCGACGATTCATGCGATGCAAGGTTAGTTTTATTTCAAACATTATTCTATCAACACAGACATTTACATCGACAGTCTGGCGTAATAATAGATTTGCTTCGGGTGCTTTGTGGAGTGTTTTTAGTGGCAGGCCTAGCACCAGTGACCTCTGCAAATACAAGGACTGGATGGAATATTTAAAAAAGTGTCTCCACTCGTCTCCAACACTCTGGCTCACTAACAAATGAGGTCCTATGTCCAAAATTCCAGACTGTCCCTTTAAAATCTTAAAATAACCCATATGTTTACTACTTTACATACAGTCTAAAACAGCTTTGGATTAAAATACAGATCTAACCAAAAATAACACAACAAGTTGCGAAGGCCTAATTAAGACATTTCATTTTGTGGGAACTATGACAGTAAAGTCAGCGAGTGCACACCACAACAACACAGAGCTTGGTTTTGTTTGTCAGTTCCCACATGGCCGTGCTGTGAGCCCAAATCTGTTCACCACTTTTATTATTTGTTCACTGTGTTCACTAATTAATACTTACAGGAGCGCCACATATTCAGCTGGGAGACAGAAGACACGGCGCGCAAACAAACATACTGTACTGCATTCGTCCTGGGAGATTTCACGGGAGTTTCAATGCCAGGAACCACGGGATGAGTCAGCTTCTGTAGCACCTCCCGCTGACGATAACGACAAGCCGTTCCTATTACTATTTGAACGGACCTCGACTCTACACGCCCAAAGATGTGTGCCTCTTCATCTCTGTCAGAAATCTGTTGGCTCATCCCGTTTTTGTGCCTTTAATAAAACCTTATATCTCACAGCTGAATCAATAGATCATAAATTCAGCTACGGTCTAGAACTTTCCACTGCTCCGTTGTAATAGCAGTGGGAAAAACAATAGTGCGTGTCGCTTTAAAGACAAACGCAGTCCCAGAGAGATTTTGCAGAAGTGATTAAAATGCATGAAAACCAAATGTCCTCATGTCAATCCTGACCTCTGCGTCGTTGGTTGTGTTTTTGGCTCCGTTCTGCGTAACCATTTCGCATTGAATATTAGAATGTAGAACCTACTGGGACCGTGCTTCTTGTTTTAACCATGATCTGACAATTATTAATGAAATGGTGGAACAGAAATGCAAAAAATTTGGCTCTTGTTGTGCCCATTCAAAAATACAAACCACCAAACATTAACAATAGTCTAAAAACAAAGCTATACTTGTGTTACAGGTAAACAAAGTATATAAATGATAATTCCAAAAAGGGTTGTCAAGATCAGATGCAATTTGTACGCATTTTAATAACAAAAACAAAAACAAAAACAAATCATGATAAATTTAAAGACTCTAGCTCTAAGCCACATTAGAAAGTGACAAAATTTCAAAACTTTTCCACGAATTTTCCATGACTTTACAGCACCCTACATGTGTAGAATTGATCAAACTTTTAGGGCTAAATATGAAATGTTAACCCTTTCCACTCACCTTATGGTTAGGGATTATAGTTTTTTAACATTCAAAATACTGTCAGTGCATTTATTGTTGTTTATTTTAAACAAAAGGTGCATATGTTCAAAAATAATCATAATAGCCTAATGATAACTTAACAAAATGCTGTAGTTGTGTGAAAGAGATAATAAAATTCCATACTAAAATCACATGATTTTTCAAGGTCCTGGCAAATGACATTTTCAGTTTCTATGACTTTTCGAGAATTTCCATGACCGGGGGAGCCCTGATCAACAGACCTGGAACTGTGTTTTCTTTCATTCACATGTTTGCGTAATCCTTTATTATTAGTCTGTCTACATCTTTGAAGCTCAAATTGCTCTGTTCCACCTTGTGATGTTATGAAACTGTAGTTTTCAAGTCACACAGAATCTTTTGTTCAGCAGAAATGGTCTGAAATAATCTCAGTGATTGCAGTGAAGAAGTATAGAGTTTAAAAACACAGTGAAGCACTTACCACATGACATCACAAGGTGGAACGGCGTGTTTTCAGTTTTAGAGAAAAATGCAAATATACACAGGGTTCCCACTCTTTTTCACTGACAAAATTTCTAAACTTTTCCATGAATTTTTCATGACGTAAAGTGAATTTTCCATGACTTTACAGCCACCTACATGTGTACTTTTAGGGCTAAATATGAAATGTTAACTCTTTCCACTCACCTTACGGTTTGGTATTATAGTTTTTTAACATTCAAAATACTGTCAGTGTATTTACTGTTGTTTCTTTTAAACAAAAGGTGCATACATTTGGAAATAATCATAATAGACTAATGATAACTTAACAGCTGTAGTTGCATGAAAGGATACTAAAATTCCATGACTTTTCCAGGCCTGGAAAATGACATTTTCAATTTCCATGACTTTGTTTATCAGGGTTCCCATGATCATGGAAATCTTCATACTTGGACATGTGTTTTGTTTCATTCACACATTTGCGTAATCCTTTATTATTAGTCTGTCTACATCTTTGAAGCTCAAATTACTTTGTTCCACCTTATGATGTCATGTTTTCAAGTCACACAGGATCTTTTGTTTAGTAGAGATGGGCAATTCCAGGGCTGAAATAATCTCAGTGACTCCAGGGAAGGAGCATAGAGTTTAAAAACACAATGGAGCACTTCCTGTTTTACTACATGACATCACAAGGTGGAACAATGGTTTCTTTTTAAGAGAAGAATGCAAATATACAGGATTTGTGTGTTAAACGTGTGAATGAAACAAAACACAACTCCAAGTGTGTTTTTGACAAGGAAACAACATTATTAACATAAATCAGAAAATAGACTTTAATATTTAATCTACATTCCCAAAAAGTGAATGTAATTGTAATTTAGAAAAGAAATGAAACCATACATTCCCTAATCCCTCGTTCATCCAGGCGTGTTCCAGTGTAGAGAAGCTTTCAGCGGTCGTCATCTGGACACTGTTTTTGCAATCAAGATGTTTTTTCTTTTCGGATTTATACTACACAGTGCCTCCAACCAGCAACATCACTGAAAAGGGCTTCTGGATACGAGCCGAAAAGTCTTTGATTGCAAAAACAGTGTCCAGAAGACTACCGCTGAAAGCTTCTCTACACTAAATGTGATTACTATTTTTTTTATGTTGCCAATTATGTCACATTAACTTTACTTTATCATTCAGAAAGTTGGATTTCATAAAGCTGGTCACGTACTAAGAGAATGGAGTTCTATTAAACAATGGGAATAATAAAAATGACATTATTGCCCGAATCCTTGTTAATTATCCTTGGTACATCAGAAGTATTTCATAATCTGACACCAGTCACCAACCTTGGCGTCACCTTACACAGTGATTTTAATTTGACAAGCAGATCAATGGTCTTTTAAAGTAAAGTTTTTATAGCTTTTATCTACGGTCAAACCTTTTTTCTTTTAAACTTTTTCAACAAGTCATGCACGCTTTTATTTCATCACGCCTGGACGACTGTAACGCACTTTATTCCGGCATCTCACAAAACGCATTTTACCGACCACAGTTAGTCCAAAACTCTGCAGCATGACTTTTAACAAGAACAAAAAGGAGAGAGCACATTACCCCAATCCTTGCGTCTTTGCACTGGCTTCCTGTTAATTTGAGAATTGATTTTAAGATTTTATTGGTGTTTTTAAAGCTTTGAATGGACTGGCCCCACAATACGTCTCGGACCTCATCCAAATTTACACCCCCGCACGCGCTCTGAGGTGCGAGGGCCATGGTGCCTAGGACGAGACTTAAAACCAGGAGGGACAGGACTCAAAGATCTGGAGCGTTCTGCCCCCGCAGCCCCCAGTCTCGTCTTAAGACCCACTTTTATTCTCTGGCTTTTAACACCGCATGAGTTGTGTGGTCCTCTGTGTGTTTTATTTATTGCTATTCTATGATTTTGCTCTTATTTTATTTTACTGGTTTTATTATTTTAAGACTAGTATGATTAAATCTGAGCGTTTATTTTATCATTTTATTATTGTTGTTGGGTGGGGTTAAATAAGTACTTAACTTCCCCCCACTCCTTTTTCGGACACAAGTAAAATCTGCGTGACATTTATTTTTGCTTATTATTATGGAAAAGATAAATTTACTTTTTGTGTTATATCTATGTATTTACGTTTTCTGTGCATTACTGTCCAAATGAACAGTCATTCATTCATTCATTACGTATTTGTGCAGCATTTTGGAAACTGTTTGTGAAATGTGCTGTATAAATAAAGTGGATTGGATTGGATCAGCCCAAAAGCAGTTCATTTTCTATTGTCTTATTAATGCAAAGAAACTTCTCTTAATGTCACGGAAGGAGCCGTCAGCACCAAGCTCTAAAATGTGGCTATGAGACCTTTCTAATATTTTACATCTAGAGAGAATACAATATTTGTTAAAGGATAAACTAATGTCATTTAAGAAAGTGTGGCAACCTCTTATTGATTTTTTTTTTTAACAATCTGTAACTACGTGAGAAACATCTCCAAATTCACTTCAGATATATGAACCTCTGCAGGCTGTTGTTTTGTTCTCAGTTTTGTGCAATTTATATTTATTTTAACTTTTATATACCAAAAAGCATTGAGCGCTATTGATCCTGTACAATTTGAGTTCTAAACGTTTTTTGGCTCAGTAAAATGTTATGCCTAAACAATGGGAATAATAAACAAATTTGAAAATAGGTCCTGTTTGGTCATGGTGTCAAGAATTGTTAAAACTCTTTTTCTCACAATAATATTTGCATTACCTTATTTCTATTTACTTGTGCATCTACTTATTTGACACCGGTCTCTTACTGTTTTCAAAATTATTATTTACTATTATTTACTACCAAGTAATCTACAAAGTTTGTTCAAAATGAGAGAAAGAACTCATAATTTTAGAGGGAAACTTCAAATTGCCCAATGTTTGAACTACCCATAAAAGTTTCTGTGTGTCTGTATGTGGTGTAAAACTCTGGAACAGTCTGGATACACGTCTCAAGCAACGCCAAAAAATCCATAAATTCAAGTTGTTCTATAAACATAAGGTGTGGTCACAGCATAAAGAGTGTGTCTTAATTTTAGAACAATACTGCCTCTGTAATGCTGCTTTATGCTTGTTGTTTCCGCACCATTGCTGGTTTGTGCCGTCTGTTACCATTGTTGGTATCCTAACGTATTATTGCGGCAACACTTTAGTTTAGGGTACACTTATTAACATCTAACTACCTGCTCATTAACGTAGTTGTAAATGGTTTTAGTTGTCATTCATTAGTATTTATTCAGCCCTTATTAATGTCTAATTCTAGGGGTGTAATGATATCCAAGTCTCACGATACGATATCGTCACAGTATGAACCTCACGGTACGATATTTATTGTGATATCGTGGGAAAACTCACGATATGTGGGAAGGCTCACAATTAGGAAAGTAACAATATCCAAATCTCTCAGTACGATGTTTTCGTGATATACATCTCACATTATATTTATTGCGATGTTTTGTGGAGGCTAACAAAACTGTTAGAACTAGACAAAGAACTAAGACTTGAAAGTGCTTAGAAATGTTATTTCTTCATGTAGTCTACCTGAAATGGAGCAAAGAATCATGGTCTGTGTAGTTCTCTCTGTCTATTGCTGCACCATAATTCTTAATTTAAGCAAAGAGACTTGTAATTCGATATAATGTGATGGTCCACGATATTATTGTGAGAACCCTGACAATACAATATCATGATATTTCGGTTATTGTTACATCCCTACCTAATTCCCTATAAGCTTATTCTGTTTTGTAAAAGTCTAACTAATAGCAGAATAAACTTATGGGGAATTGGACATTAATAAAGGCTGAATAAAAACTAATTAATGACAAATTAACCATTTACAACCACTGTATGCTAATTAGTGGGTAGTTAGATGCTAATAAGTGCACCCTAAAATAAAGCGTTACCATTATTGCAATACTTTACAATTATGTTACCAAACTATAACAGTGACTCTTTGTCCGTACTTGTAAATAGTTCATATAGTTTAATGTAAAATGTCTGAAAAATTTGAAAGAAAGCTCATTGTGTTAGATTAGAAGAGGGGGGTGGTATTAAATTAAAAGTTTTCTTCTTCCCACTCTTTTTTGGGCCAATTTTTTAAAATTTTATTTATTTTTTGTTATTTGATTATTGATATGCTGTGATTTCATTAATGTTATATGTTCCATTGTAAAAGAATGTAAATTTCTTAGTTGCCCAAAATAAATACATAAATCAAAATCAAATCAAATCAAAAATCAATTATTACCATTCATATTTTTTCCTCTTTGTTATTATATTATATTGTGACATCTGAGCTACAGTGTCTAAGTAATTTCCTTTGTGGATCAATCAAGTTTGTCTAAGTCTAATAATAGTAACACAAAAATTATATACGTAGTTACAAAAAACCTGCTTGCACAAATCCTTTACAGTCTTGACACATGTAACGACACTTTCCTCTCCACTGTAGACCACAGTGAAAGTACATATGGCTCTAAGGTGGTAGCAGCTGTGCGTCTCTTCTCTCCCGGTGGCTCTATCAAAAAGCAGCAGCAGCTTTGCCCAGACCTCCCTCCACTCCGACAAATGTCACCTCCCTCTGGACCCCTTAGATATCCTCCTCCTCGACAAGACCACGCAAAACTATGTGCTACCCCTGACAGCTGGGACTAAAGCCGCTAAAGCTGAACGTCAAATCCCCACATCTCAACTCAAATGCTCCCCAACAATAACCCAGAAAAATGAAATATTGGAATTGGACTGAGCATACATTTACATATTACGTAACACAAATAATACGCACACACATCTGTATTTTTGGATTTCAGGAATGCACTAAATTGTAGCTTCAACATTATTCTTTGCATAGTCTCTTCGATTCCTTAAGAGAGATATAGACATTTGTATAATTAGAATATAAAAAGTATTGTTAATAATAAAACAAAGTATTACAAACAAGATTATAAGGTGATTTTCTCTGGAGATTTGTGTTTAATTTTACAGTTGATTCACTGAACTTATACCTTACCAAAACATTTTCAGGTCAACTTCAGCACATTTCTGATGGACTGGAAAATATTTGAAAAATAAAATGAGAATCAGGCTGGATAATAGATCAAATATTTCAGTATTAGAATCGAAGGGAAGGTTTCACGAAATCCTTATTGGTCTGTAAAGGAAATTAAAATATTGTGTGATTATTTTATCTTTCAGAAACACATTTGGTCTTGTAACTAAAACTAAGACTTGTGGTCCAACTTTGAATATTTTACTGATTCAGTTTCGGCACCAAGATTTTTTAGGCAAAAAATATGTCACAAGTTTTTGTTTTTGTTTTTAAATTTGTTATAATTGTCAAAGTTAAAAAAAAATTGTGATAACATAGATTTGCTGGCCTTGCTATGGATTCTAAAATCTTAATACCTGTAACTATCGGTCAAACCAATGAGACACAAATATCAGATATCAGCATTTGTACGAAACAAATTTATACCATCCCTAATTAAGAATGTAAATTTTTGTCAACACCGCCAACCCCCAACATACTTGTGGTGTGGAGAGAATAAACAAATGGCTTTCAAAGTGAGTAGCACAAGGCGGATTCCTACTCACGGCTGTCGTAGCAGATGTTGCCGAGAGCGCGGCCGGTCTGCAGTAGAACCTCCTGGTCTGTAGAGGTCAGCAGCTGAATGAGGGGAGGGATGAGGCCCGCTTCGACACAAGGGGTCCGCATGAACTCTAAGAACAAGAACACAGCAATCGTTTATTTTTCACACAATGCCTTTAGTAAAGCTTTAGTAATGCTTTAGTAAAATACACAACAAAACTCTTCCGGTAGAGGGTATAAGAATGGATAAGCCTTATGGCATACTCTGGAACGTTATATAACATCAGACGAGCAGATGGCATACCCTCAACCAGAAAAAGTTACACAATGCCTCTTTAACAAGACTTGTGTAGTTTGTTATTTGTAACCAATAAAAATAAATACTTGAAATGTATTGAAAAAGCTAACTGCAGTACTAAGTATAAAGTGTCTGTGGTGGTTTAAAGCACTCAGAAATAACCTTTAACCACAAAAAAATTATAACTTTACATAATATTAACCTGTGAGCTATGCAATCACAGACATATATTTATAATTCTTGGTTATAAATATGATTATAAATAATTCAGTGCAACATTTTGCCATCATCCCCTGGTCTCACTTGGCGTTAAACCACAACACGTCCAGGTGCCAAGGGTCCTTTGGTTGACCTGACCACCATCTGTTGTCATGGTATTTTTTGGGTGAGCTGCAGTCAGGATTCATTTCTGGGACATTTCACGACTTTGGAAGTTTTAATTTTAATTTTAAAGTTTTTTTGGTAGAGATCAGTCCTACTAGTCTGATTCATCAGCCGGTTTCACATTGTAGAAACCGTCTGAGCTTGCAGCGTTAGAATTCATTCACTCGACAGGAGGCGGGTAGCTTTTTTTATTTAACCTGTTATTTGGTCGTGATGGATGTAATGCGCCGCTAACGGGGATAACTCGTATATTAAGCTTTTCCCAAATCCTGTAGGAAGAAGGGCAATAACATCTTTCCCCTTGATAAAATTCACCAAACATTCTCTTTGTTCCGGCTTTAAATCCTTGATCTCGGGAATCGTTGCCAACACAGAATGTATGACTCTTCACTGATTGGCTGGTGCCCAAACTCGCACTTTCGGGATTTTTGCGAACCGTCTAGTGTATTCCGATTCCTGACATAGTGGCTGGAAAAAAATGAAATTGAGCGGAGGCACTAGGCGGTGCCAGCCTGTCTCCAGTCCTACAGCTCGGAACAAGAAAAGATTTTGACTCGTGTTTACCTTAATTAATGTTGGTTCAAGTTTGTTGTCTTAAATAAATAACTTTTTAAAGATGTAATGGCTTGTTTTGAGAGAGAATTTGCTCAACAACATCTAGTTCTGGTAAAAAACTGTGCAGAAATTCTCTCCTTTAATGCACTCTTAATGCAGATCCCTCTTTGACCACATCCATCCTTCTCCTGTTTCAGCTCGACGCACTCGGGCCAGTCTGCTGTGCCACACGGGGAGGGCATCAGACAGTTTCCGGAGGCCGTGACAGATAAATGCCAGCGGGCCATTGCCAAGCTCGGTCGACCGCTGTGTAGTGATCATTAGCGGCAGTCTTGAGCGCGCCTGTAAACCTATTCATTATCCTAACCTTTTCATGCCACTTGTGCTTTTTCGACTTTAAAAGCTTCTCCTGGGCTCTGGCGGAGAGACGCGAGAGAACGCCAGCTCTCACACAAAGTGCTTATACAAGATTTGATAAGCTCAGATAGACAGCGCTTTAGTTAAAAGGACACCAAGGCTGACTTTGGTTTGGACACTTTCACTGTTAAGGTGATGTAGTTAGATAATGCAGCAAAGAACAAACGATTAAGAACGGGGTCCACTCTTTCTATGCACATTTGACATGTTTTATTTTAACCTAGTACTGGGAAAGTAAATGTATATGTTTAGATCTTTAACATTGTGAAGCTGAGATGTTTTGTCACATTAAAAAAGGGTCTGTACCCATTTTTTGTCCATCTTTTGTCTCATTTTTGATATATTGTAAAATATAAAAGCTCTTTGGATCAAAAAAAGATGCTCTGTGTGTGGTAGGGATGTAACAATAGCAGAAATATCATGATATCGTATCGTTAAAGTTCTCACAATAATATTGTGGACCATCACAATATATTGAATTACAAGTCTCTTTGCTTAAATTAAGACTTATGGTGCAGCAATAGCTAAAAAAACAGAGAGAACTACATAGACCATGATCCTTTGCTCCATTTTAGTGTAGACAACAAGAAGAAATAGCAGTTCTAAGCACTTTTAAGTCTTAGTTCTTTGGATTAATCTTGTCAAGGCATTTGAAGAGGAAAAATTAGCATATTCAGGTTTGTTAGCCTCCATGAAATATTGCAAAAATATTGTATCGTGAAATTTATATCGTGAAAATATCATAGAGTGAGATTTGGATACTGTTACATCCCTAATCGTGAGACTCCCCACCATATAGTGAACTTTTCCACGATATCACAATAAATATATTACCATGAGGTTCATACAGTGATGATATCGTATCTTGAGACTTTGATATCATTACACCCCTAATGTGTGGTCTTCTGCATGTAATCATAAAGCTTTTTCATAGTTATTTATTGGCTACGAACCAGGAAAGAATGCTAGTCTACTGTCAGCATGCTAGTACTGTGATGGCAAAACTTTGCTCTGGTCTCTAAAAGTAAACTATTTAAAATTAACTAGTTCTGTTTTTCTTCAATACAGTAAGGTCTACAGCAGGGGTGGGCAAACTTTTTGACTCAAGGGCCTCAAAGAGTTCTAAAATTTGATGGAAGGGCCGGACCAGGAGCAGATGGATGGAGTTTTTTGGTAATCCACCTCATAAGAGAAAAAAATAACATGGGATATGTAGAAAACAGACCCCATGTTACTGGAATATCTCATCATTGAAAATCATTACAAAGCATTACAACAAAATATCTGTCTTTCAAGTCTCACAGTATATTAACTATTTATTGAAATGACTTTTAAAACACTGGCCGTAGTTTGCCCACCCCTGGTCTACAGTCTTTAACTACGTCAGTTTAGTCAAGTTAATTTCTGTTTTTGTCTTGCAATTTAAAGTTTGGGCTTGTTAGAACACTTGTATATTTATGTTTATATGCCTGAAAAATACAGTTTAATTAATTCAACCCACACATTCTCCGGAGTTATTATTATTTATAGCAACTCTTTGAATACCACAAAGATCCTTTTGTGTAGTCACAGGAGACTGTTTCTTTATCTTGACCTTGGGAGAAGAATCTTACCATTTTTGGCCACCTCTGCGATGATGTTGGCTACTTTGGGGGTGCAGGAAGACTGGGGGGTGAGCAGGGAGGGGAGCAGGGGCAGCACTCCCATTTCCTGGATCTTCATACTGGCTTCGGTGTCTACAAACACAAACGTGACGCATTTGTACACAGGAGGATTGAATGAAAACCACACAGCATATCATAGATGCCATCCACAGCTCTATGTGTATTTACAGTAGAGGTGAAAAGCACTGTCAGCAGGAATAGTGTGGCCTGCATTACTCAGCTGTCTGGCTATGTGGCTTTAATCAGTCACACATGAGAGACCCTATAGACTGTATGTGCACTGGCGGGACAGCGCTGGCAATCAGATACACGAGTTGAATTAGGTTTAACATGGCATGACTCTAGGAAGAACTTAATTTTTATGTCATTTTGTACAGTAATGCAGCAAAAATGACAGTTTTTTTTTGCCCAAAGGACTTCCTCCGTACTGCAACTACAGCCCAGTATGCACCAATCCACCAAGCCTGATTCATCAGCCGGTTTCACTTTTAGTTTAATCAGTTGCTGCTATTTGGTTGTGACGTATGTAATGCACCGCTAACGAAGATAACTGGTATATTAAGCTTTTCCCAAATCCCGTAGCAAGAAGGACAATAATGTCTTTCCCCTTGAAAACATTCTCTTTGTTCTGGCTTTTAATTCTCGATGTCGGGAATCATTGCCAACACTGAAATGTATGGGTCTTCGCTGATTGGCTGGTGCCCGGACTCGCACTTCTGGGTTTCTTGCAAACCGTCTAGTGTATTCCGATTCCTGACCTAGTCGCTGGAGAGAAATTAAATTGAGTGGAGGCACTAGGTGGCACCAGCCTGGCTACAATTCACCCTCCGCCACCAAAACTTTCTTTCTTTATTTATTAATTTGAGACAGGGACAGCGCACAATTTACATACATTAATACATTAACCTTAACAGGAGAGATGCATTGTACCAGGTTGTAGCATCAGTGCTAATTTCCACCTGTAGTCCCTGGGCAGGTTCATTGATTGATTGCATTTAACTGACCGGTGAACTATCAGCTGTTCTTGGAGACCTATGTAGCATGTTTTGCTGTCAAAACTTACAAAATTAGAACCATTTTATCATTCTGGTAAAAGCAGCAACACAGTAATCATTTGTAAATAGTGTTTTTCTTGTGTTATTTGGCATTTAAACATATTTATTTAAAATCAGTTCTTCAAATATCCACTTTTATTTATAATAGGCCATTGTTACCAGCATCAGCATACACTAAATACTGAAATACGTAAGTAATACTGAAATATGTTTACATTTTTGTGTGGTCACATTAACTTAACTGAATCATTCATAAAGTTTAATTTCATAAAGTTGAATAATTATAGCTTATAAGTTCATAGTTCAAAATAGTTTATTGTCAATTCTTCATATAAGAATCAAAATTGTGTTTCTCACTTTCATGCGTATAAATAAATAATAATAAATGTATAGATGTGAGGTTTATAGATTGTTTGATAATGATAGTTTTGTAGATGTAAGATTTACATAAAGCTTGGATCAGTTGTAGTGAAATGTCTTGTTCTCTTTTTTCCTATTTTTTAAGAGAATATATGTCTGCATTGTTTAACTAAGCTGGTCTTGTTACTGATTTGTATTTTATGTCTATTGTGTGTCTGACACTGCTGCACAACAGTTTCTCTCTGGGACAATAAAGTGGAAAGTTAAAATTGAAAGTTGATTTACAGATTGTTTGGTCATAGTGTCAATAATTGTGAATAATCATAAAATCCTGATGTTTCTTCTCATAAAACTGAAATCTGATATTATGACGTACTGTATTTTATTACTACACCATAGAATACACTGATCTGAGTTCAACTGAGGTAACCCCATTACCCACAAGACCTATTCCCTTTTAAACAAATGGATGGGCCAGCTCTCCCCTAAATCCATTGTACCTGATTTATCTTAGCAGTTTATATAGAATAGCCTCAGTGACTGGCATTGTTTATTCTGCTTATTCTGCAGCGCGGCTCGAGTCTGAATTGCTATTGGTTGTTTGTGTAGATGACTCACTGTTATTGGCCAGCGCTTTGAGCAGACAGTCCACACAGCTCTCCACGCTGTCTGTAGAGCTGTCTGAAGAAGCCAGCTTCAGCTTCTCCAGGGCCTCGCTCAGATTGTCTGCAGAGAAACAAGCAAAAGAAAACGTTCATCAAAATGGCAGAGTCTTGTAAAGCGCTTGAAGCTTTGTTTGTCTCTGTGAAATCCACTTTTCTTTTTGATAATTACCGGTACTTCATTCATTCGTTCAATGCAGGGTTGGCCAGAAAGAAATCAATACCAAGAGAGAGCGATCAATATGTATCAACAACAAGATGGTCATTTGAACAGGTTTGATATTGAATAAAATCACAAAACAAATTTAACTTTAACTAGATTTTATAATAATCTGGGTTTACTACTATTATTTTGAGAATTTGTATTAAAAATGAAATTCTGATTTATTTATTTAAAGACAAAAGAGTGGTTTTCATTATTAGTGTGGTATTAAAAACAGTAAATCAGTACTTTGAAATTTTAGTATCATGACAAAGCTACTTCTGTGTGCCATTCGAAGTTGAATTTGTCTTTGCAAAATACGAAAGATTGTCCAAAGATTGTCTAAAATATGGAAAAATGTCGCAAACAGTTTTTTTGTCATATCATACCATTGCAAAATAAACGTTTATAAGCCAGTTTCTTTAAATAAAGTCTGAAATATTGTCCAAAATATGGAAAAATGTTGCAAACTTTATTTTTGTCGTATTATACCATCATAAAATAAAGGTTTATAAGCCAGTTTGTTTAAATAAACTCTGTTGTTATATTTGTCTTTGCGAAACATGAAAGAGCATGCATTCTCCATAAATTAGAAAATGTTGCAAACCATTTTTTGTCATATTTTACCATCGCAAAAAATGACATTCTGATTTATTTATGTAAAGACAAAAGAGTGGTTTTCATTATTAGTGTGGTATTAAAATCAGTAAATCAGTAGTTTGAAATTTTAGTATCATGACAAAGCTACTTCTGTGCGACTTTCAAAGTAGAATTTGTCTTTGCAACATTTTTCCATATTTTAGACAATCTCTGGACAATCTTTCATATTTTGCACGCATTCTCCAAAAATTGGAAAACGACGCAAACCGTTTTTGTTGCATTTTACCATCGCAAAATAAACGTTTATAAGCCAGTTTCTTTACATAAACTCTGTTGCCAGGTCCGGACCTTATCATCTTTGGACTTGCAGACTAAACTCAAGACAACAGAGGAAGAGGAGGAAGTCGACTCGACCCAGACATGAAACAAGGACAAGGAGGAGTCGGACAAACGCATGGAGTCTGAATTTTAAGAGAGGCCTTCATATGTGAGAGACGCAGTTTGCATATTAAACGTTTAAGACTATAATTCTTGTTTTATTTATGTAGCCGTGCATTTTCGCGTACTGTTTCAAGCCATATAGTTCAATAAGGAGAATTTCATTATAGTCCTTATTGGTTCCAGAGTTGGGAATTTTAATGGACTTAGAGAGGTAGTTTTTTTTCCATTAGCTGCTTCCTCTATTTAAGCACTTCAAATTACCACCACATGTTCAATAAAGCAGAACTCCTCTTTATAACAGCATCCATCTCAAATAAATCCGGTCTCCAAGTCTCTAAAATGTATTTTCAAAGTGTATTGTTTACCTAACGTTGAGCCATAAATTTCTCAACATGTGGCGTCAGAATTAGCCTTGAGTTAAGTTTTTTTTTTTAAACTGAAAAATCATAGTGTTATATAGTTCAATTCAAGCAAGTAACCTGAAAATAAAATCTGACAACACCAAAAAAAAGTTTAAGGGGAAAATGCTACATTGATTGACCGAAATATCAACTGTCTGGTCCTAATTTCCTGATTGTCTCTCCCCACTCTTCACCCCATGTCACTTTAAAACCTGTTATATAAAAAAACAACATGCAAAACTATATTACAATAAAATTCATGGGTTAATTGTAGGGGTGTAACGATATCAAAGTCTCACGATACGATATCGTGACGGTATGAATCTCACAGGACGATATTTATTGCGGTATGGTGGGGAGGCTCACGATTAGGGATGTTACAATATCCAAATCTCACAGTACGATATTTTCATGATATACAGCTCACGATATGATATTTATTGCGATATTTTGTGGAGGCTAATATACTACTTTTTCCTCTGACAAGACTTAATCCAAAGAACTAAGACTTAAAAGTGCTTAGAACTGTTATTACCTCCGCCAAGGAGGTTATGTTTTTGCCGGCGTTTGTCTGTTCGTTTGTTTGTTTGTTTTGTCTGTTAGCAACATAACTCAAAAAGTTATGGACCGATTTTGATTAAATTTTCAGGATTTGTTGGAAATGTGAAAAGGAAGAACTGATTTCATTTTGGGGGTGATCCGGAAGAAATCCTGGATTCTGGATCACTTTGAATTTTTAGTTAACATTGTGGTAAATGGGGCCAAAAATTTTGTTTCTCAATATCTCGGTTAATTATTGACCAAACCCCATGAAATTTGACTCAGGGATGGACAATGGGATCCTCTTTCATATTCCAAAGGCTGATCCGGATCTGATCCAGAAGACTGATTTTATCGCAATTTATATAAAAAATTGGGGTAGTCCTTGGCGGAGGTCTGCGCTCTCTGAGTGCTTTTCTAGTTTCTTCATGTAGTCTACACTAAAATGGAGCAAAGGATCATGGTCTATGTAGTTCCCTCTGTTTTTTTTTTTTTAGCTATTGCTGCACCATAACTCTTAATTTAAGCAAAGAAACTTGTAATTCGATATATTGTGATGGCCCACGATATTATTGTAAGAACTTTGACGATACGATATCACGATATTTCAGTTATTGTTACATCCCTAGTTAATTGATTGATGGATAATTATTTTTTCTGCGCTTGTCTTGTCACCACATTGATGTTTCTATCCTCTCTCCATTCCCAACTCTTACTGTTTAAAGTTTTTTTTTAAAGAGATTGAAGATTATTTCAAATTTAATGGGCCCTAAAACTGAATATTTGGAGGATTATTTACCATAGTTAAGCAATAAAGAAAAACCAAAAGGATAGAAAATAGCACAAATATTAAGCATGCCGGTTGAACGCACATCACCCTCGTATGATTCACTTATTACAATCCTTCTTCTCGGTTCCTCCATGACCTTAGAACATTGCAGCTACATTTTTCTGTCCTATTTACAGCCAGCTCTGCATTAATCTCAGAGCGCACCGCGAGTCACAGCACACCGTCGCTGCTGAGCCATATAAACCAGGACGCTTAATTCCGGCACACGTTTTATTAGAGATGCTTATTCACCGTACGCTGCTGTCTTCTGAATCACGCTGAAATGTGATTAGGCTGGAGCTGGCTGCCTGAGGAGAAGAAAAGAGTCCCACACGCACAACACTTCCATTTAATACAGCTGAGAACACTGACACGTACTCAACTGAATACTTGTTGCGTTAATGGTTTCTAGTTTGCGAGTATGACGGCTGAGGTGTCGACACAGGGTGGTGGGGAATTTGAAATGTTTTGGTGGAGCATTTGCATAATACTCATCTAATCTGTTGACGTACCTGTATTTAGGGTTTTGGTGGATTGGAGTATAAGCCAGCTACTTTAATAGCTGCCCAAAATACACATTTTTGGGTGAATTTTTTTATTCTAAACAACTAATTTTGGATTAGTATGTGTATATTGTTGCAGATGGTGTCGTAGCCTTTTTATAAACATGTGGTGACGCTGTGCAGAATGTAGAACAGCGCTTTTTTGATCACTTTGTATTCAGTCTGGCCAATTATAAACTATGATATTCAGTGTATTCAATAATATCTATATGTATTACATGTTATATCTGTTTACAAGTACTAAACATAGCCTGATATTGTAATTATTGGCTTCAAAATCTACTATTTAATGAAAAACACTGACTGTTATTAGTGGCTTGCGTAATAATAGTCAGTGTTATTCATTTGAGGCAGATGATATGGATATCTGCTTGTCTTTAGTGATCAATGACAGCTTCATTGTTGGATTTTCTAACTTTCTATTTTGTGTGGTTATTGCCCTGTGTGGTTATTGCTGCTGTGATTTTAGGCTCAACAAAAACAAATAGAAACGTAATTGAATAGGGTAGTAGTAGTATTATAGCGAGAAGTATCCCAGTGTTTTAAGGGGTCTCTCCTTGATTTCCATTTATAGTGGGCAGTGCTGCAGAAGGCATATCACAGCTGCATAAATAATAACAGGGTTGAGCCTCCAGCAGAACCAAACCTACGCCGTGGATCTGCGAGCATCCCCAGCAGCAGCAGCAGCAGCAGCGGCAGCAGCAGGAGCCGCCACAGTCAGAGTGGGCTGATGGCTCCTATTGCATAACAGCTGTGGAGATGGAGGAGTGCCACGGACCATCACAGCGGCTCTGCCATGTCAGGACTGCGCGCTCATCATGTCGTCCTCGGGGGAAAGTGCCACCCAATACGAGCAGAACGAGCAGCGCCAGCCACAAATGCTCCGAGTCCGCTGTGGACCATCGGACAGGGGGATGGAGAGAGACACGGGCTACCCCACCCGAGTGCACGAACGCGCGTACACGACTCTACCAGCAGGCACAAGCTCTTACGAGTACCTCAAATAAAACTGTTTTGCAGAATGAATGGCCCCACCTTTACTTTGGAAAATAAGCCATGTGTTGTGATGTTCCTATTAAGCATTTATAGATCCATGCAGTAAAAGCAGGAACTAGCCAACAGTTAGCTGGTAGTGTGCTCCGTGACCACTCACCCATCTCGGCAGGATGTGGCTTCGGAAAACCAGCCGACGTGTAGCGCTCCCCAGTGCAGCAGAAAGCCCAGTGACCGGAGGTAGCCCGCTTCCCCGCACGGCTCCTTCCCTAAAACCGCAGCGTCAAACCGGTGAAGTTGGGGAGGGTGGAGATTAGCACTAGCTCGCCCCGGGGGCCGGTTCGTCCCGCGCTGAAGATGCTGCTGGTGTCTACAGGCTTCCGCTCATGTCCACTCACCGACACCGGGGCTGGACCTGCTGCCTGCGCTCCGCCGGAGAGAGAGGACCGAGAGGACGGGCTCCGTAATGACCCGCACACACACGCACACACACGCACTCTTACGCACACACGCACGCAGCGCCTCAACTGTTTCCGGTCACGAGCTTCAAAATAAAACACGCGCTGTACTCAGAAATGCACTACTGTGATCAAACCGACAGGGGGCAGTGTTTCATAGATCAAGTAGCAAGAAAAACCGGAGAGACTTTTTTGTTTGTTTTTATTCATTATTATTATTATTATTATTATTATTATTATTATTATTATTATTATTATTATTATTATTATTATTATTATTATTATTCAGATACAAAACGGCACCTTATTTACCATAAAGTGGGGTCACATTTTATTATTACAATAAAATTCATGGGTTAATTGTAGGGGTGTAACGATATCCAAGTCTCACGATATGATATTGTCACGGTATGAACCTCACGGTACGATATTTATTGCGATATGGTGAGGAGGCTCGTGATTAAGGATGTAACAATATCCAAATCGCACAGTTTTCACAATATACATCTCACGGTACGATATTTATTGTGATATTTTGTGGAGGCTAAAAAAAACTGTTAATATGCTACTTTTTCCTCTTAAAATGCGAACTAAGACTTAAAAGCGCTTAGAACAGTTATTTCTTCTTGTAGTCTATTATTTTATTCAGATATTCAGATGCAAAACAGCACCTTATTTACAATAAAATAGGATCACATTTTTATATTGTGCTTTTAGACTTAAACTTACACAAACAAACTTTATTGATCCAGTTGATCTACAAGGTAAATTATTTGGGCACAGTAGCTCACACAAGAGAAAAAAATACATAAATGGTAATAATAAATTCTAAATAAGTAGCAAAAAAGAGACAGGTGTCAAATAAGGCGTAATTGTGTAAATGTATGTGTACAAGTAAAAAAAAAAAAAAAAAAGGGGTCACAGGAAGACAGCGCAACAATGATGTGATTATTGACAGGACATAGGGTTATCTGTTACATAAGGGTGAGTTGTTGTACAGTTGTAGGGAGTGTGGTATGAATGCAGAGACCCGTACAAAGAAAAATGGCACCTTAAAAAAGTATACAGTTCATGTGAAAATAAAATAAATGCATAAAAACACAACATCTTAAACAATCTTTAAAAAAATACATTTGTGAATAAAATGTTAGACCAGAGAGACTTGAGTAAAATCCTCCTTGTCACTTTGATTTAGTTTATGAAAATTATCAGTAAATATAATCAGTGTGTGCTTAGGCCATGGCACTTAATCCATGTTCATGTGAAAATTGCTTGCTTAATTTTGATAGATGCCTGCAGGATAAATAGACTACAGTAAGGTTTCTGCTGACAGAGAAAGTGTCACAATAATGCAAACTTCTGAAAGCGAATGCGTTTTTGTATATTGATCATGGTCTGTATGAAACACGTAGGCCTTGGCTGGCTGTTAAGTAAGCAGTATTATGATGATGATGATACAGTATTAATATCATGGGCTGCTGTAGTGATAAATATCAACGTATCAGGGTATTTTTTGGTATATTTTACTAAGTTATTTTGATACAGCGCTATAGTTGTGTTGCTTGTTCAGTGGAAGGAAATGTGTTTACTCAGCACATTTGACATATTCACAGTTTTAATGATTAAAATGGATGTTTTTCATATTAACTTTAGACGAGAAGTGGTTTAACAAAGACTTTTAGTATCACAGCCATGATTTAGACATTATTTTTTTGAATCATATTGAATCCATTTGAAATATATATTGTATTGAATCATGTCAAATCAAAAGCTCACTGTATCAAGGTACGTATCATATAGGCAACTTCTTAATGATACCCGGTCCTAGTCAGCAGTATAACTAACCCTTCAATTTGGCTACACTAACCCTTCTATTAAAACGTATTTGTGTGTCTAATATATTCAGCAGCATGTGTTAATTGTGCAATAAAGTTGTACCGTTTAGCTTAGTTAATTCAGTTCAGTGTTGTTGTTTTTTTACCTAACCTTGTGATCAAGTAACACAGATGACGTTCTGCTGATTGTTGTTATACTGTATCTGTACTATAGACAGTATGCTGCAGAAAACAGTAAAGTACATGCAGTACACCGTAACAGCAAATAAACATGTGAAGTAAACACTAATAAAAAAAAATTGTAATTGTGCTGCTTAATTTCTACCTGTATTTTATTACAGGTTTGGAAACTGCAAAACTGGACTGAAAAAAAAGATTTATAAAACGTGTATTAAGTAGGCATATAAATAATCCAGTGTTGATGTTGTTAACAGCGGCTGGACCCAATATATTTATAAAACTTTAACGCAATTTTAATGACACAACACTGAGCGCAATAAATAAGGTTAATGCTGTGTAGGCAATTAAGCTCGGGCTTTAATTCAACCAGTATAGAGCTGAAGTTGTTAAATTCTTTGCCAGCATTTGTAGCTAAAATGTATTTTAGCTACAAATGCTGAACTGATGAATGAATGAAAAAGAAATACAGCTTTTGTTTGCATAAGGCTGTGTGAGGAAAAACAGGTTTGACACCAAAAAAAGCCTATTTGCACTTCACATTTGAGAAGTTACTCATTCATCATTCCCTGTGTGTCTGTCCTCTGGATTAATTATTATTCTGTTCATTTGCTTACGTTTCAGGTCATAAAAGGAGCACATCAGAAACACCTTGCATGGGGGAGGGGTGCCCTAGACCCCCCCTCCTCTCCTCCATCTCCTCTCTCTCTCCTCCTCCTCCTCCTCTCCATCCCCTCCTCCTCCTCCTCCTCCTCTCCCTCTCTCCCTCCTCCTCCGCCTCCCTCCCACCTTGCCTCCATGTCTCTGTGGCGCACACATTCCCTGGCTCACTCGGACACCGGCTATCGGCACCTCCTGACAGCCACCTCCTCACCACAGTCTGCGTCTGACAGCAGCGGTAGCCTCTTTTCATTTTCTTGTCGCCATTGTGTTGTGCCCTGCAAGAGAAGAACCATGAACATAATGGAGGACAAAGAGGAGCGAGGGCTGGACTTCAAACGCCTGCTGAAGAAGAACTGGCTGCTGATAGCTACAGTTGTGTCAGTGATGCTCGGTATGTATAAAATTAATTCATAAAACGCAGAGTGATGCTGTCATTGAGGGTGCTTTTTATGTGTTTGCTGTGGCGTCTTTGCTTTACCAGGGTTGTTGTCATAAATCATTACCTCCTATGCTTGACTGGGCTGCGAAAACACATTGGGAAACATAAAATTTTCCTAGCAACATTGCATGGAGCAGAATGTTTAGGAGCAGAGAGCACGTCCCCTCACAGTCTGGAGGTGTCTCAGTCAAACGTGACCAGACTAGGGTGATAGGGTCTCCCCCCTGTGTCGCTAGACCATAAGAGTCCCATACACTGCTTACAAGACCCGACCATATGTCAAAATGTTATATCCATAGTTTGTTTTACCGCTTTATCTGGTGGTGATGCATTTGCAGCTCATTATATTTAATTTTGCTTTGTTTAATTAGCACTGGACTATGGAACCTATGGAATGGAAGCCGGGGTTATACTGTTGCTATCCATTTTTTGGCAAATAGGATTCACTCCCTCACAAGCATGTGCACACAGTCTGCCCTATAGCGAGAGGTTGGTGTCTTTCCAGGAAAAATTTACAATATTCACAACCTCTAATAATGATATAATCACAACAACTCATATTAGTAGTTCTTAAATATGCACTCGAAACATGTCAAGGTTTGAAAGAAACACCACACTGGTCTGTTTATGAGAAAATATATTTAAGAATCATCTTGGAGAACCAAACAAACCTTTCGGAAGTCATATTATTATTCATTACAGTGTTGAAAATGTAATAAAAGTTGGAAAATTTGACTTATATATCAACAGTTTGCTGCAGTAACAAGCCAAGTTATGTGTTCTTTGGTTTTCTGCAAGTTTATAGTTCAATATATTTTAGCTATTTTGCATAATTAATACCTTATCAACATAATTTAACAAGATGTCTAGTTGAAAAGAAGGAGGAGTTTTTGAATATCAATAGTTTAGACTACACATTACATGTTTATTTATGACATTGTTGTGAAGTAGCCAGATCCCCAGGCATAAATATTGTCATTGTAAACCCAAGTATTTTTATTAATTTTCAGACCAAAACTGTTTACAACAATTGACTACGTTAACATAGGTCAATATTTAACAAAAAAAAGAAAAAGAAAAGAAAAGCAGGCCAATTCACACACACACGTGCGCATTCACGTGTTTAGCAACAATGCTTGCGCAATACAATTTACTAGTTGCAGGTAAGTCAAAAATCCATATTCAGTGAAGATATAACTTTTAAAAAGGGAAAATGGGTAGAAGAGAAAGAAGAAGCAAAATAAAAAAAATAAAATAAGATAAAATAAAATAAAATAAATAAATAAAATAGAATAAAATAAAATAAATAAATAAAGATAATAATGACAACAATAAAAATAAATAACATATTCAAAGAAGGTTCCCATAATTTTGCAAAATCTTTTCGTTTTCCCTTTGCGATAAATCATGTCAATCTGATACACTCTGAAAGTTCCTTAATCCACTGTTTTGTTGAAAGGGCTTCCATATTTTTCCAATTCAAAACCACTACTTTTATAATGTAGTGTTAGATATATTATTAAAAACATCTAACATAGGTTTATTTATTAAACATTTTTGCTTATATTCTACTCATTCTGTAATAACCTGGCGTACACATAATAATTTAATCTTATCATAACATTTTCTAAGGCTTGATATTTTATTATTGCAGTACGGGTTGTCATGATGATCCAATCGATGCAACGTTTGCCCATTTTTTTATGTTATTGGTGAACCATCGTGCGAGATATCCATTCCACATCAGCAAATTCATTTTTACAAGCATTTTAACTGTGGTCTGTTCAGTCCGATAACACGTTAGACTCCACGGTGTATGTCACTAAAACCATCTCACTGGAATACATGTGGCCGGAAAGCAGTTAATTTGCCTCATCTTTTAATTGTGCTTCATGGAATTAACTACAGATTAGAAAAGGCTGAGTCAGTAAAAGCAGCTCCTTCAAACTGTATTCTGCAAAGTAAACGTGCTCTAATACGTAAGTTTGTTTTGTTTTTCTAATAGAAGATGCAACTATGTCACTTTTTGGTGGAGAGTCAGACACTTTTTGTTGTCTAAAATGTAACTGCTTTACCCAGAATCTCCATCAAACCAAGTCACAGGTCAGATTTATGAAGAGGTGACCCAGCTCAGAGTAAAAATGCTAAAAGCTCAGAGTAAAAATGCAAAACACAAAACACAAAAGAAATTATTTGGGCACAGTAGCTCTAACATCACAATATAATATAAGAAGCAAAAATATAAATGGGAATAATACATAAAAAATAAAACTAAGTAGATTTTTTTTTAAATTTGTTTTATTTATATTTGTTTATTTATTTCATTCATAAAGTATAAAAAGACATCAACAGTGTCACAACCTCAAACATACAAGAAATTAATGAAAAGGAGCAGAAATAAAAGTAATCTTATGTTTTCTGCCAATTTTCTCTTCTCCAGACAAAGCATCAACACCGATGGTCACTTTAAAACATTTTAGATCAGTACATTTCAGTTCAGGCATTAATTATTAATCAATTGCAAACAGAAATCTGCACCACAACTTAGTTTCCTTTTTCATACATACTAGGGATGTAACAAAAAACAAAATATTGTGATATCGTATTGTCAGATTCTCACAATAATATAATTGAGCATCACAATATATCGAATTACAAGGCTCTTTGCTTAAATTAAGAGTTATGGTGCAGAAATAGCTAAAAAAACAGTGGGAACTACATAGACCATGATCCTTTGCTCCATTTCAGTGTAGACTGCAAGAAGAAATAACAATTCTAAGCACTTTTAAGTCTTTGGATTAAGTCTAGTCAAAGCATTTTAAGAGGAAAAAGTGGGATATTCACAGTTTTGTTAGCCTCCACAAAATATCGCAATAAATATCGTACCTTGAGATTTATATCGTGAAAGTATCGATATCGTATCATGAGACTTGGATATACATACACATTGCACTGGATTTTATGTGTTTTTTTTAAATGCCATCATCAAAAATACTAATGATCTGGTGTCAAATAAGGTTTTTCGAGGTATTTTTGAGCAATAAACCGTGGAATATTCAAGGCAAAGCAATAATATCTCCATGGAAACAAGTCGGTGACAGACAATCCACTGGAAAAGCTACACGGTGCAGCTTTAATCTACTACCCTAACACTGTTTATCCTCTGTGTGTGGTCTCCAGGGATCAGCTTGGGTCTCGTGGTCAGAGAATACACCTCGCTGTCTCACCTCGACAAACAGTATTTCGGCTTTCCCGGAGAGATCCTCATGAGGATGCTGAAGCTGGTCATTCTTCCTCTCATCATATCCAGCATGATAACAGGTGCCTCCGCTTTTTACAAATTACATCACGGCAAATCAAACCATCCGATACAGTTATTCTGGCTGATTTGCTGAGTCATGTTGACAGCTACACTTCCATCTTGTTCTAATAGGTGTTGCTGCTCTGGACTCGGAGGTGTCAGGGAAAATCGGTCTGCGCGCTGTCATTTATTACTTCTCAACAACAATCATCGCAGTTGTCTTGGGTAAGTTTCTTGACTAAATTTATTACCCCAACTAGCCATGCCAAAGTATTAAAGGGACAGTCCAGATTTTTTTTTGGACATAAAGCCTCATTTCCTATTGAGCCAGAGTGTTGTAGACATTTGGAGACACTTTTTTAAAAATTCCATCCAATCCTTGTATTTGTAGAGGTCGCTGGTGCTAGGCTAGTGCATGTCAATCATGGGTCTATTAAAATAACTGGAGAGGGTATTTCTTTTTGTTGTTGGGTCCGGTCAAGCAGTAACGGACGGAAACAGGGGAAGATTTTTTACATTCAAATAGCTCTTATTCAAAAACTAGAGGGACTATTGAAATAAGTAAAGTATCAGAATGTAGAATAGAGTTACACTCCAACAGGGTAAAGTAAAACCTGTGATATTCTTTCAAGTTGTTGACAAAAAATTAAAAAACTCATGTCGGTAACGGAGGGAATAAAATATGCAGCACTTTTTGGGCAATAAATACAAACAGTGATAACTAGCAGGTTCTCACTTACATATCCTTAACAAACTGGTTTGAATATTTGCTTCATATAGTTTTCTACCATATGGTACAAGATTAGGTTGAAAAAACTCTTTTGAGTAATGAGATTTTTTATTAAGAAAGGTCATGGTAACGGAGGGAAAAGTAACAGAGGGAAAATTGTGCAAGCAAGTAGAAGGTGCATGATTTTGCATAATTTGTCGCTTTTTTCTTCTGAATACTTTAATATTACTTCAAAATGAAAGAAACTATTTCTATAAAATATGTCAGTCCTTCCAAGCAAATTTTTATCATTTTAAATACATAAAAAAAAAAAAAAAAAAATCATGTACCTTCATCAACAGTTCAAAGATCGAAAAACACAAGATATGATGAAATACATCCATTTATTTACATGATTTGCAGGTCTTTGAAATTTGGGAAATAATTTTTGTTCCATGTTTCATACATGGTCTGTTTAAAACGCATCTAACTTTAGAACCAAAAATGGTACAGAAAAAAGGTAAACAGTTTCATAAACTAGAGTACATATGCTATCTGTTGAATACATTTTTATATCAGATGCATTAACTTGAATTTTTGGCCTTGCTGTTTACTTCTGCTTGACCAGGCCCAGTTGCCTCCAGTTGGCGTAGTAGTCACTCACTGGAACTTCAGTGGAAAAAATACCATGGGCTGAGACAGGATTTTTCTCATAGAGCGCAATGTAATCACAAACTGCTTGTGTTCGTCTGACAGGGCACCTACAACTTTCAAAAATGTTGGTGATTATTACCTATTTTTAGATCATAAACTTTTTCTCAGCTCAAAACCCTTCAGTTGTCTTAAAAAACGCTTTATAGTCGATGCATTCTCGTGTGCCTGTGGGAGAAATGAGCACTACTGCACATGCTCGGTCGGCCCACAGCCACCTGAAGACCCTCGCCGGGCTAAAGGTGAATCTGGAGTCATGCGCCACTGAGCTCAGCCCACTGACTTGAATGGACGGCCATTTTGAAACCCCAGGGCTTGATTTCAATGGCCATAGTTATCCTGCCACTAAAAACAGTCTTACCCACTCCACAAAACACCTGAAGCAAAACTATTATTACACCAGACTGTCGATGTGAATGTCTGTGTTGATAGAATAATGTTTGAAATAAAACTAACCTTGCATCACATGAATCGTCACATGTTGAGGGACTATTTTCTCATATATCAGTCCTCCGCTGTCAAGCTTTCTATCAGGAAGTACACCTCGCTGCTGCTGCTCAGACATAAATCCTTCAAATGCAACGTTGGTTTTCAAGCATGAAAATCTCTCACCTTTTGGCAAAACTTTCCTTTTTGAAGCCAAAATAGGTGACCTGTGTGAACCGTATAGATTAGATGAGAAAAGTTTTCAAATAAATAAATGTAGAAAATGACAAAGATGGTTTCAATTTGGTCTTGAGGGCAGTGGTCTCGGTCTTGTCTTGGTCTTGACCTTTAAAAGTCTTAGTCTTGTCTCGGTCTGGACCCTCAGAGGTCTTGGTTTGTCCTGGTCTCAGGACCTCTCAGTCAGGTCTTGGTCTCGATTAGTGCGGTCTTGACTACAACACTCATGCATGTACTGGTGTATCGCCCTTCGTCTTTTTCATCCTTGAACCGTTTTCATGCCTGGGTTTTACTTCTAAAATTATTCTATCGACACATTCACATCAACATTCAGTCTGTGGAGTGGGTAAGACTGTTTTTAGTGGCAGAATAACTATAGCCATTGACATGCACTAGCCTAGCACCAGTGACCTCTGCAAATACAAGGACTGGATGGAATATTTAAAAAAGTGTCTCCACACATCTACAACACTCTGGCTCACTAGGAAATGAGGCCCTATGTCCAAAATTCCGAACTATCCCTTTAAGGATTAAAGGAGAAATATTGAGTAAATTGTACTTTTAACATGTTTGAGCACTGTATTTTGATCCATACATGTTTAAGTAATTCTGTTTTTGAGGCATGTGTAATCGGAAAACTTCATTTTTCACCTACCTCCTATCTCCGCCCACTTCTCTGTACTTGATATTAGTTTTTAAAATCATAGCTAAAAAACATACACAAGGGACTACAGGTGGAAATAAGCTCTAGTGCTACAACCTGGCACAATCCTTCTCTCCTGTTAAGGTTAATGTACATTGTGCACTGTCCCTGTCTCATAAATAAACTAAAATAAATAAATACAGACTCTGGGTGGAACATGTAGGTTTCAAAAATGCTTCTTGCTACAGTAAAATGTCGCTATGAAGAGGCGGGTCTATCAGTTTTTAACAGAAAATCAGTTGACCCTTTTCTGTTATTAAGCTGTTTTATATCAATATTACAGTTTACATTGACCAATATGTAAAGTAATAATCTACCTATGCTTCATACCAAATACCCCAAACAGTTTAACATATTTTCTTTATAACAGTTCACTGTGAAGTCAAGAGGTTTTGGTTGTGTAGGCAAAATCAATACACAAATCAACTAACAGAGTGGCAGAGGTTAATACATTACCAATTGTAGAAGCATGACTTTACTATAAAAACATTATTTGTACTGGACTGTGTAGTATTTCCAGACTCAAAAGACTCTGGAGCGACCGGGCTTTTTCTGTGGTTCGCCCCAAACTTTGGAACGCTCTCCCCCCTCACATTAAGAGCGCCCCCTTCAGTCGATTCTTTTAAAAACACACTTTTGCTCACTGGCTTTTAACACTGCGTGAGAATCGTGTGGTCCTCTGACTGTCTTTTATTGATTTTATTTGTTATTTTTCTATTTGCTAATTTTTGTATTTTTTATCAACATTTTCAGTTTAGAACAAACACTCCAAAACAACAACAACAACAACAACAACAACAAAACCCGACAAGGACAAGCTCATCGTTGGTGCCATATAATCATTAAAATACACTGTAAGCATAAAATACAATAAAATAAAATTTTAAATATATATAAATTAAATAAACAAAATTAAATCAGTAAGTTTAAATTCACATTCTATATGATTTACATAACAGAAACATATGTAAATAAAATAGCCAAATAATAACAACAAAAATAAATATACATATAATAAGATAAAATAAAATAAAATAAAATATAAGATTAAAGATAAAATAGATATACAATTAAAAAAAAGAAAAAAAAAAAAAAAGAAAGGAAAACACACACAAACACACAATGGGGCACAAACATACAAAAAAGCACAGAGTACAAATGTCCACAACTACATCATATAATAATGTTGTCACCTTCTTCTTCACGAATCCACTACAAATTCAGATGCTCCAGAGTATTATATTGTATTAAGTATTATTACAAGAGACCATACTGAGACAAAATACAATGGAAGTACTACACAATCCAATCCAGCTTTATTTGTATAGCACATTTTACCAACACAAACTCTCCAAAGTGCTGCACAGAGTAGGCATAGTATAAATCAACACATTAAATAAAGTAAAGCATAAAATAAATAAATGAGCAAGTCAATAAAACTCATAAAAAAAATAAAAAAAAAATTCAGAAAGGTCTCCATACCTTCTGACATTTTTGAGGGTTGCCTGACACCTTATACCTCAATCTTTCAATATGCAGCACTCCCAAACTAATTTTAGTATTTTTTTATGTTTTGTATTGACTTGCTCATTTATTTATTTTAAACTTTATTTTATTTAATGTGTTGATTTATATTGTGCCTACTCTGTGCAGCACTTTGGAGACTTTGTGTTGATAAAATGTGCTATATAAATAAAATTGAATTGGATTGTGTGGTATTTCCATTGTATTTTGTCTCAGTGATCAAACCATGAAAATTTTAAAAGCATAGAGTATGTTTTTTTTTTTTTTCTTTTTCCAGGGATCCTTCTAGTGATGACCATAAAACCAGGAGTCTCTCAAACCGCGGACCACATCGACAGAGCTGGGACCACGCCTGATGTCACCACAGTGGACACACTACTGGACCTCATCAGGTAAACCGCAACGCAAAAGTCAACAAATTACTTTACGTGTTTTTTTAAATGCCCCTTTCTTTTGCACAGAAACATGTTCCCGGAGAATCTGGTGCAGGCGTGTTTCCAGCAGGTACAGTGTGCATTCATTTCCTCAGTTGACCTGATTTAAGCTGGTTTAAAATTGGTTAAACTTTATCTATTTGTAACAACTGTGCTGAATGTACATTACATTGACCACCTGCCCTACACTCCCATTTAAGTCCCTGCCTCTTGACCTACATATTTAAAGAATGTCCTACTTTTTCACTGACGTATGAATTGTCTTTAAGGTCGAAAATTTACTCCCGTGAGCTTTATGGCTTGTTAAAATGTTGTTACCTCATTAAAACCTACCCAGAGTTGTGTTTTTTTTTTTTTTTGCACACATGTCCAAAGTTCAAAATATTCTGCTCCACCTTATGATATCATGAAATGTTTTAGTAGACCTGGGAAAAGTCCATGGCTGAAATTTTGCAAATGATTCTAGTGAAGGTGGAGCACTTTCTGTATTACCACATGACATCACAAGAAGGAACAGATTGTTTTCAGTTTGAGGGAAAAACTCAGCTTAAATATGTAAGGTTTGTGTGTTAAATGTGAGAATGAAACAAAACATAACTCCAGGAATCAAATACAAAGTAAAAAAAAAAAAAACTGAGGCACTCAAAAAGGACAAAATAAAGTGCCTCACTTTTTTTTTTACTTTGTATTTGAGTCCCTACACTGATGATCACCAAAAGGACAATTCTACACAATTTTTGTATTTGCAAGTAGCACTCCTGTTCCCAAAGTTTTGCACAACTCCAGGAATGTTTGTGATGAGGAAACAACATTACTGTAGATCAGAAAATAGCGTTATATAGGTCCTTCAAAAGTGAGATTGGCATTTAAAGCATTTTTCTCACAAAGAAATCAGTATTTTTGGGGTATATATGGTTTTAATATAGTACTTTTCTAATATATCTGTGCATTATAATAGATAAAAACAAAAAATCATGTGGTGTTTTGGCTGTTATCATCTATGAGCTTAAATTTCCTGAGTTTGTCCCAGCACATTATTTAACAATGTGCCCCTTTTTTTTCTACAATTCACCTTTCTACAGTCGTCCTACTAAACAGTTTATACATCTCACTTGTTTTCTTTTACAGTACAAGACCAAACGTAAAGAGCTGGAGATGACCAAAGCAGAGACAAATTCTTCCACTACGATACCTCCTCTGGCCAATGCCATCTTGGCCGCTGTCCAGGTAACACACCTCCAAATACACACTCACTTGCACTAATGATAAAAGCCTAACTGTCAACAAAAGATCAGATTTCTTTGAGTTATAAAACTATTACAACTATTTATTTCTGATCATGGGCTCATTCACATCATATTTTGCAGTTAGCCTGTCATTTAAATCATCTTAAAGGGCCAGAAATCCAGTTATAATCAGATTTTGGTGTGCATGTAAACAGCCATTTAGATCTGATGTGAGTTTTGACAAAGAAAATATCCTAAAAGTTCAAATAAAAAATTAAAGAGGAAATGGTAAATACTGAAGAAGTCGTTTTAAAACATTGAAAACTGTTCCTTAAAAAATCATTAATTAACTGACACATGTCGCTGGATGTTTGTGATAATCAGATTTCATTTGTGCATGTAAACCCACACTAAAAATCTGACCTAACTACTGGTTTAACTGATTATTCCTGTCTATGTGAATGAACCTACTTATCCAACAGTCAATCATGCATATTTTAAAAGTCCTTTATTACACCAAACTGACTCTTGTAAGCTTTAAGCCATGTTATAATGTTTTTACCTTATCAAAAACAGACTTGGAGTTGTGTTTGTTATTAGAGATGTAACAATAACCGAAATATCGCGATATTGTATCGTCAAAGTTCTCACAATAATATCATAGATCATCACAATATATCAAATTACAAGTCTCTTTGCTTAAATTAAGAGTTATGGTGCAGCAGTAGCTAAAAAACCAGAGGGAACTACATAGACCATGATCCTTTGCTCCATTTCAGTGTAGAATACAAAAAGAAATAACAGTTTTAAGCACTTTTAAGTCTTAGTCCTTTGGATTAAGTCTTGTCAAGGCATTTTATGAAGAAAAAGTAGCAATAAATATCATACCATGAGATGTGGATATTACATGTTACATTCCTAATCGTGAGCCTCCCCACCATATCGTGAGTTTTCCCTCAATATCGCAATAAATATCGTACCGTAATGTTCATACCGTGACGATATTGTATCGTGAGACTCGGATATCGTTACACCCCTATTTGTTATTAATCTGTCTGCATCTAGAAAGCTTAAAATGCTCTGTCCCCCCTTATGATGGCAATTTAAGAGCTGAAATGATCCAAATGATTCTAGTGAAGGTGCATGAAGTTTAAAAACACAGTGTAGCACTTCCTGTATAACTCATGATATCGTGTTTTCTATTTGAGAAAAGAACTCAGCCTAAATTTGTAGGATTGCTGTGTTAAACATGCGTGAATGAAACAAAACACCAGGTATGTTTTGATGAGGAAACAACATTTTAACATCAATAAAAACAGTATAATATGAGCTCTTTAATGGGATGTGTGTACTCTTACATTTAGAAAACAACACTGCCCTTTCAGCGTGCACAAATACAATAGTTTGCTGTGTGGAGTTTGGGTTTTACCACAACAACATGCCTTAGATCCACGTGCACTCAGGCTTCACATTTCTGCACCTGGCCACGGCTCCTGGTGCGTCCCTCCGCCGTCATGGATCAGTGGACGGTTCTCCTCAAAGGCTCTTTAGACTCACTAATGTGTTGTGAAGGAGCTTCCCGAGTCCTTCAATCGCCTCCTTGTTCTCTGTGCGCAGAATATCACCAAGGACTACAAGCTGGTGGGCTCCTACTCAGACGGCATCAACGTTCTGGGCCTTATCGTGTTCTGCGTGGCGTTCGGGCTGGTGATCGGAAAGATGGGGGAGAAGGGGAGGATCCTGCTGGAGTTTTTTGACGCTCTCAACGAAGCCACAATGAAACTGGTGCATATTATTATGTGGTATGTATCACACACAACAGGGAAATTAATCCAGTCTAATCCACTTTATTTATATAGCACATTTCATAAACAAAATAGCTCAAAGTGCTGCACAACACAAATAAAACATATCCAGTAGAAAAATAAAATAAAGCTCTACTTAACTCCACTAGTCCTCGTTAAGACAATAAAACTAGTAAAATAAGACCACTTGCATGGCATGGTTTAGATCTGATTTAGACCTGGTTTTGGCCTATTTTTGGCCCGGTTTAGTCCTGGTTTAGTCCTGGTTTAGTCCTGGTTTCAGTTCTGGTTTAGTTGTGGTTTTAGTCATGGTTTTAGACCTGGTTTAGTCCTGGTTAAATTCTGGTTAAATCTTGGTTTAGCTCTGGTTTAGGCCTTGTTTTAGTCCTGGTTTTAGTCCTGGTTATAGTCCTGATTTTAGTCCTGGTTTAGACCTAGTTTAGACCTGGTTTTAGTTCTGATTTTAGTCCTTGTAAAGTCCTGGTTTAGTCCTGGTTTAGACCTGGTTTAGACCTGGTTTAGACCTGGTTTTAGACCTAGTTTTAGTCCTGATTTTAGTCCTAATTTTAGACCTGGTTTAGACCTGGTTTTAGTCCTGATTTTAGTCCTGGTTTAATGCTGGTTAAATCTGGGTTTAGATCTGGTTTAGACCTGGTTTTAGTCCTGATTTTAGACTTGGTTTTAGTTCTGGTTTAGTTCTGGTTTTAGTCCTGGCTTTAGTGCTGAGTTTAGTCCTGATTTTAGTCCTGGTTTAGTCCTGGTTTAGAACAGGTTTAGTCCTGATTTTAGTCCTGGTTTAGTCCTGGTTTTAGTTCTCTTTGGCACCCTCCAGGAGAGACAGACCTCACCTACTGAAAATCTCTGCCATAGACTGTTTATATAAATGGACATAGCGACCCCACTAGCAGCCGCTTTACAGATAAGAAGTGAACATGGCGGTGCTTCCGGCTCCATCGACTCTGGCTCCAATTGGCTTTACATTGAAAAACTGTCACCCCTCTTTCTGTAACTGCAGCAGTGAGCCTCATCATTTTGGTCTTAAGACATCTGTATTAACCCGCTCTACATGATCCTGGTGTTTTTATTTTGTCATTTTCTCTATAAATAAATTCCTCTTTCTAAAATGGCACTCGGCTCCAAATTCGCCCCATAACTGCCAGCCGCGGTGAGCCTCATTTGACTGGAGCTGAATGCTGTTGTTGACGTCACACTCACTTAGTCCACTTCTGTAAACGGTCTATGCTCATTATCTGTATTTTGATTGATTCATGTTTGAGTGATCTGGAATTGTCAATCATTCATGACTTGAGTGCCCAAAGTGCTTCTTGATGTCTCACGGCCAATTTCAACAATAAAAACGTAAATGAAAATCCACTGAAATGCCACTATTTCTATTATTAAAGCTTTGATATAGAGGTTTATGTTGCAGAAATGTTGATAATCTATGTTCAACTGGTTATAATTTCACTTTTCCTCTGTCTGGAAAGAGACAATGGAGATTTTACGCACCACTTTTGTGTCAGCTTATCTGTGTTCCTCTCTTATCGATTCTTGGAAGTGGACAATGGATAACTGGACCTGTTCTAAGAAGTTCTTGGCTTGGTTTACCAGTGGGTGGATCTCACAGATACTGGTTGAGGTGCAATGAGGAAATATCTAAGTAGACAAATCACATCATCAGTAATGTTATCAAATCTTTAATTGATCTGTGACTGTGGCTACAAACAAAAACAAGCCAAACAGTATTTAAACTTTAAACTTAACATTTATTTTAATTAGCAATGAAAAAAATGTTCATGTATCAGGGATTTTGGCTCCAATATCCATCCATCCATTTTCTTATGCTTGTCCGAGGCCAGGTCGTGGAGGCAAGCAGCGACACTTCCTTCAGCTCCTTCAATGGGACCCCAAGGCGTTCCCAGGCCAGCTGAGAGACATAGTCCCTCTGGCTCTAGAGGTCTGCGTGGGACAGAATTTTCAGTCCCGTTCCCGCCCGCTCCCGCACTGTGCAGTCCCGGTCCCACCTGCTCTAGCAAAGAATTGTAATTTTCAGTCCCGCATCTGAGACATTTTGTCCCGCGCCCACCCGCAAGTCCCGCATGATGGGAACCTTTGCTTTCTTAAGCTCTATCAGACAGGGAGAAGTGAAAGGAATTAGGCTGCATATGGGAGGAGGCGCGGTGGGCAGTCCGGTGGCATGGTTAAGTCCTGGCTAAATCCTGTTTAAGGCCTGTTTTAGTCCTGGTTTTAGACCTGGTTTAGTCCTGGTTTAGTTCTGGTTTAGTTAGTTCTGGACGGTCTACATGGCGTACATGGGGACTCTCTGCGCGGTGTACGGGAAGGGGACAGTCTGCTGCTTTAAATGTTTTTATTAATGCCAAATAAAATATCCAGCACAAATGATGCATGATATGCTTACGTTCATCATTTGTGTATTTTACTTTACACTCGCATTTAGTTTGTGGGACTGCAGTTCATCATCCCAACCGCCCACTCCCGCGTTGTGCAGTCCCGCTCCCGCCCGCTCCCGCAGTGAGCTTTCAAAATGTATCCCGCTCCTCACTGTTTTGCGTTGAGTGCAGAGCTCTACTTGGCTCTTCCCTGGGGTCTCCTCCCGGTAGGAGATGCCCCGAACCTCCCGAGAGAAGCGCATAGGAGGCATTCAGAACAAATTCCCAAGCCACCTCAGCTGCTCCTCTCGACGTGAAGGAGCAGCGGCTCTACTCCGAGCTCCTCCTGTGTGACTGAGCTCCTCACCCTATCTCTAAGGCAGCGCCCAGCCACAATGCGGAGGAAACTAATTTCGGTCGCTTGTATCCATGATCTTGTCCTTTCGGTCATTACCCAAAGCTCATGACCATAGATGAGAGCAGAAATGTAGATTGAGCGGTAAATTGAGAGCTTTGCCTTTCAACTCCACTCCCTCTTCACCACAAGGGTCCGATATGGCAACCACATCACTGCCGACACTGCACCGATCCACCTGTCAATCTCACGCAAAGCCACCTTTTTCCGGTCGAGAACCAGTGGCCTCGAATTTGGAGGAGCTGATCTTGCTGCTGCTGCTCCTTGGCTTCAATACTAGAACAATATTAGCACAAACATGTTGTCTAGCCCTGCAATAAATAATATGCATCTAACATATTCTATTTTCATTATTATTCTTCCAGCTACATGCCAGTCGGGATCATGTTCCTCATTGCGGCGAAGATCATCGAAGTGGAAGACTGGGAGATCTTCAGGAAGATGGGGCTGTACATGGTGACTGTGCTGAGCGGGTAAGCCCACCCAGTTACTCCCACCTGCTCCACTAGTTCAGATTTACGACTGGCATTTGGGCTCATCCTGCCTCCAATGATACAGTAAAAGCTAAGGACTGTGTGCGCGCTGATAAGGGCCAAGGACATTTAAAAGTGGCCAACCTGCAGATGCAGCAGTCAGCGCCTCATTCACGGCTCTAAATCTCAATAGCCACATTAAAGAGGGTGTAGTAAATGTCTTCCAGCGGGTCAGCGGGCCACGCCAAGGCTCCTGTCGTGACTTTGGGCTTTTTGCAGCGAGCACAATGTACCCAGTCTATTATAGTGTTACCAGTACAAGATAAATAGCTCTACAGTTACCTCTTGATAAACTATTCGGGTAAAGATAATCTAATCTAATGTCAATAATCAATAAAATCAAACTGTAATATAAGGCAATGGCTTTTACAGTGATATAAACAATTGCTAAACGTCTGACGAGCAATTTTAGCCATTTCAAAGGTCCTGTATTTCGCAGATTTGATTATTGTGAGCGTTGGGGCAAAAGCAGTTGTGTTTTGTTTCATTCACACAGGTTTGAGTAATCTTTTATTAGTCTGTCTACATTCCCAGAAGCTCAAAATGTTCTGTTCCACCTTGTGATGTAATGTAGTACTTCGTTGACAGCTACCTTCTCTCTTTTCTTCAGTAGAGACAGGCAGTTCAAGAGTGTAAATCATCCACATTATTCTAGTGCAGGTTTATGGAGTGTGAAAACACAGTGGAGCAGTTTCTGTATTACCACGACTTCACAAGGTGGAACCGAATGTTTTCTGTTTGAGAGAAGAACAGTTTGAATGAAACAAAAAAATAAAAAATTCCAGGTATGTTTTTGTTGAGGAAACAACATTATAACATAGATCAGAAAGCAGCATAATATGGGCCCTTTAAAACAACAACTTAATCAGAAAACTCGTTAGAACTGAAGTCTGTCTTTTAGAGATGCTCGATTATGGAAAAAATCATTATCACGATTATTTTGGTCAATATTGAAATCACGATTATTCAATGATTATTTTTTAGTTACACGATGCATTTATTCAGCATTTCTCCCAACTTTGTTATTGAGAATTTACGCAAAACTTTCAAATTGAAAATAAATATAGGCTACAAATCTGTACCTTAGAGCAGTTTTGCGATGTATAAAACATAAAATGAATAAAATATACTTTGAACAGGAAATAAGGCATAGAAAAACATAAATGTATCCAAAATAAACTATATATCCAGCTGTTCTACAATAAATAAAATAAATATACTTATTCATATAAAAAAATATTCCAAAATAAACTTTGTTAAGCTTTATCGTTTCAACTTGATTATGAGTTTGGAGATCGTTTGACACGCAAATCGAAATCATGATCAAAATTCAGTTAATTGCACAGCTTTACTGTCTTTGTTACTAAAGAGTTGCACAGTGAAAACAGCCTTTTTTTTTCCAATGGTGCCATGTCAACACAATGTTCATAGTTCTAAAAGGAAACTCCAGACATAATGAGAAGGGTTTAATCAAAATTAATGATCAAATAAATAAATAACATAACTTGTTTTTGTTTTTTAGCCTGGCCATCCATGCCTTGTTCTGCCTGCCTCTCATCTACTTCATCATCGTGAGGAAGAACCCGTTCACATTTACTCTGGGCATGGCTCAAGCTCTGGTCACAGCACTGATGATCTCCTCCAGGTCAGATAATATCATATAATCAAGTCTTTTATACTGCATTATATTTAAATTTGTGGTTGAAGTAACAAAGTAATAAAGTACTGTAATTAAGTGTTTAGGTATCTGTACTTTACTTAAATACATTTTACAGTGGATACTTTTAACTTTTATTTCACTACATTTGAAAGCAGATGTCTATACTTTCTACTCCACTACATTTTTAAACTAGACTGAAAAGTAAGAAGTACTTTTCAAATGATTTTAGGGGTTATTACATCACATTATTACATTTATGTTTGTGGTAACTTGAAAAAAAATGTTTAATTTAAGCTTCAGCTTTGAGCAAACAAAAATAAATACACAAAATTAATGAGAAAAATTAAGAAATTGCTATGTATATGTGTATAATTTTTTAATCAATATCACCTCATTTTAACAAATTAACAACACTTGTGAGAAATACTTTTATATTTTTTTATGAGTACCAAAATGCTTTTACTTAAGTAGATTTTTTTCAGGTGATAGTTATACTTTTACTTGAGTAAGTTTTTACATTTGTGTCTGTACTTTAACTTAAGTAACAACATTGAGTACTTCATCCACCACTGATTTAATGTGTACATCCATGAATATTTTGTATGTTACTTTTACTTCACTACATTTGAAAGCAAGTACCTGTACTTTTTTCTCTACTACATTTTTTTTACTGGACTGAAAAGTAAAAAGTACTGTACAAATTTTACCATCTTTGTGGTAACCTGACAAAATTATGTAATTTAAGATTCAGCTTTGAGCAAACAAAAATAAATACACAAAATTCATAAGACAAATTAAGAAATAGCTATGTATATTTATATATATATGTATATTTTTTATGAATATCACTACATGTTATTAAGTTAGAAACACTTGTGAGAAATACTTTTACTTTTTACTCTTAAAGTATATTTTTAACTGAGTACTTAAATACTGCTGCTTTTTTAAAGGTGATAGTTATATTTTTACTTTATTGTACTTACTTTGCAAAATTGAGTACTTTATCCACCGTTGATTTAGATAGTACATCCATTAATATTTTGTATGTTTTTAAAAATACTTAATGATTTTCACGTTATTCACTGTGCCAGTTCTGCCACGCTGCCTGTCACCTTCCGATGTGCCGAAGAGAACAACCAAATAGACAAGCGCATCACTCGCTTCGTTCTCCCAGTGGGCGCCACCATAAACATGGACGGGACGGCGCTGTACGAGGCTGTGGCGGCCATCTTCATCGCGCAGCTCAATGACTACCCCCTGGACGTGGGTCAGATCGTCACCATCAGGTACAGATTTACTTATACAATGATACTTCAGGCTACTATTATTGAAAAAAAAGCAGTAATGGAAATGCCGGATTTAAGCCAAGAAACCATATCAAACACTGAAAATAGAAGATTGAACTGCCAACACTCACATCACCTTAAATAAAATATAATCTATTTTAACCACTTTAACCTGGCCTTTCACTCACAGGAATATTAATAAGTTTAGCACTAGGCAACACATTCAGATATCACCATCCATTCACACTTTAATTAGTCAAAATATGTATAAACAAGTACTTAAAGGTCCTATAGTATTATGCAGTTGTGTTTTGTTTCATTCACACGTTGTTTGAGTAACGTTTTATTATTAGTCTGTCTATATCTCCAAAGCTCAAAATGCTCTGAAATTATCCAAATCTTTCTAGTGAAGATGTGTAGAGTGGAGCACTTCCTGTACTACTACATGACATCACAAGGTGGAACAGAGTGTTTTCTGTTTGAGGAAGCCTAAATATGCAGGGTTTGTGTGTTAAACGTGTGTGAATGAAACAAAGCACAACTCCAGGTCTGTTTCTGATGAGGAAACAACATAACATACAGTAGATCAGAAAATAGTGTATGGTCACTTTAAGTCAATAATTAATAGTTTATTAAGACTTTTTCAAGCTTAAGTGAGTAAGTTTTCATTTATATAGCTCTTTTCACAGACGTATTCACAAAGATGCTTTATAGAGCATTATTCATTCACTCTATACCCGGTGGTGGTAAGATACTACTGTAGCCACAGCTGCCCTTGGGCAGACTGACTGAAGCGCAACTGCCAATTGGCGCCATCGGTTCCTCCGACCACACACCTCTTTCATACGAGGCATTAGGCAATGTGGGTGAAGTGCATGCATAAGGACACAGTGGCAGTTTTTGTGACTGACGCCCCCCTGTGGCATCTGATTTTCTTAATGGTCTCCCATCCAAGTCCTAACCAGACCCGGCCTGTTTAGCTTCTGAGATCTGACGGATCAGGCTTTGACCAGCCGGTATGGCCACATAGTAACTAATTAGACCCTCACTGCTAATCCCTTAATGAAGTAGTTACTAAACCTGAGTTTAATAATTATTAATTCATAAACTATTGGTTCATTATGAATTATGTCATTATTAGACTTAGACAAACTTTATTGATCCACAAGGGAAATTATTTTGACAGAGTAGCTCACATATCACATTATATTACAATAACAAAGAGTAAAAAAAGTATACAATATATGTATATAAAAATGATCATAAACTTCTAAATAAGTAGCAATAAAAAAAGAACAAGAGACTCGAATTAATAAGACATAAATTATATACATTTCTGTACAATAAGTAAAACACAAATATCATAATATAAATACATTATATCACAGTTATATACAAGAGGTCATTCAGTCATTGTTCAGTCTTTATTAAGGCTTGTTAAGGTATAGTTTCCTTTTTTGTTTTTACCAACAAGAGCAAAGTTATTATAGCTTCAGATTTACATTACAGACAATAGGTGACCTGGAAATACAAGCAAATTCTAAATACCAATCTCCAACAGATAAGATACTTTGTTATGTATTTACTTACACTTTATTTTTACATGTAATAACTAACAGTGGATATCCGTGTGTCCTTTGTCTTCCAGTATAACAGCTACAGTGGCGAGTATCGGAGCAGCTGGAGTTCCTAATGCCGGCCTTGTCACCATGGTGATAGTCCTGACCGCTGTGGGGCTGCCCGCGAGCGACGTCACTCTAATCGTAGCTGTGGATTGGCTGCTGTAAGTCCCCTTCATTATTCATTCGGTGCCTTGAGGGAACAACTACTCAGTAAATGTATTTATGGTTGCAGGGACCGCTTCCGCACGATGATAAACGTGTTGGGCGACGCTTACGGAGCCGGTATTGTCCAGAAGCTGTCCAAGAGAGAGCTGGAGAGGATGGACCTGGTGTCAGACGTGGATGTGGCTAACCCTTTCGCCCTGGAGACCACTTTAGACGACGAAGAGTGCGAGAAGAAATCATATGTCAACGGAGGATTCACAGTGGACAAAACTGATGCGATCTCCTTCACTGAAACATCCCAGTTTTAGACTCTGTGGTGGGCTCAGACAAGCAAGAAAGTGCCATATTTCTTTAGAAGCAAAACATCTGTCGGGCAACTACAGCACTGACAATAAAAGCAGTGGCGCTCTTACTGTAACGTGCTAACTGCGTCCGCTGTCGTTTATTGTGAGTGATGTAGCGTAGCCAGACAAGTCCGCCAACATCAGCAATAGAAGCCTCCATGAAGTTAAAATGAACCGACAAACGTATTAGACGGAGAGCGGGACGAGATGATGAGCTTCCTTCTTCCAAAAGAGTGCCAAGAAGAAGAATAAGGACTTTTACACAAGTGTTCTTTGTTTGAAAATGCAGAAACATTTCCTGATTGTATGTGATTGCGTTGTTTTTAATTTGAACATAGTTTGCGGATATGTTGTGTTTCTGTCCCATGATGCACTGCTTGTACAGCTCTATTTATATTTAAGCCTTTTTTCACTGATTTGCATGAAGCAATAAGGACTGCTACTTGCATAGTCACACATCGAGACCTTACAAAGACTACAAATGAAAGCTAGTGAAGTCATCTTACACTGTGAAATTCAAGGACATTTTTAAACAAGCCAAATCTCACCCCTGATTGTACCGCGCTCAGACAGAGGAGTGTCTTTTTTACATGTACATGCTAATAATGAGATATTTATCATTTCAATCGCAATGTTGCTACTGTATTTAGCGTGATGTAGCGTAGGGGCTCTGGTCAAGTGCATGGCAGCCTTCTACAAGCGTTTATTGAACCTAAATCAAGGCACACACAACATAAACGGCAACTCAGTATAATAACACTGTTTTTATTATGATAATTATGCGTGATAAGATAAACCCAAATGCTAGCTTCAGAGACACTGTTTAAACTGTAATTCAATAACGCTTTAAAATATTTATTTAACCAACACCTCCAGTGATTTATTTGTACTGCAGAGGCACAGAAGAAGACCTCAGACAAGGCATTGCCGTAACAATAATGGATCTATTTACTGAGTTAGAAAGGCCTTAGATTTGAACGGTCATACCACAACTAACGTAATTAATCCGTGTAACATGAGTTTATTCGTTTTTCAAAATAAAACCAAAAATAAGAAAATGAAAAAAACAACTATTTTCTGCCTTATTTGTCTCCAAAACCAAAATGAAAAAATGGATAATGATTTGTTTTTTTCAGTTTTTGATTTTATGTTTAAATGAATAATGAAAAAACGAATAACGGCCGTTTCCCGTTTACGTGACTTAAACTGTAATGCCGGACTTCTGTGCCGCATACAGACTGAACCGGGACTAAAACAGGACTAAAACAGGTCTAAACCAAGTCTTAACCAGGTCTAAACCAGGTCTAAATCGGGACTAAAAAAGGACTGAACCAGGACTGAACCAAGATTGAGTGTTGGGATGGGCCTGGAGGTGCGCCAGCCTAGATTGTCGGGTGATCATGACTGAGGCCGAGACCAGACCAAGGCCAGACTGGGACCAGACTGGGACTGAGACTGGGAACAGACTAGGCCTGAGACCGGGACTCAGACTGGGTCGAGGACCGTGACTGAGATCGGTTTAGTCCGGGTTCAGTCCTAGTTCAGTCCTGGTTTAGACCTTGTTTAGTCCTGGTTCAGTCCTAGTTTAGACCTGGTTTAGACCTGTTTTAGACCTGGTTCAGTCCGTATGCGGCACAAAAGTCCAGCATTGCAGTTTAAGTCATGGAAACGGGAAATGGTCGTTATCCGTTTTTTTTGTTTTGTTTTTTTTTTTGTTTTTTTTTATTAATTTAAATCCAAAATCGAAAACTGAAAAAACAAATCATTATCTTTTTTTTTTCATTTTTGTTTTGGGCACAAATAAGGAAGAAAATAATCATTTTTTCATTTTCTTATTTTCTTATTTTTGGTTTTATTTTGAAAAACAAATGAACAAATGCGAATTGCAATTTATTCTTTTAGAGGATGATTGATAGTACGCACAAATAAACCAAACCTTTTCCTTAATATTTTGGGAAAAGATAACAAAAATAACACATGAGAATCTAAAATATTACATTGAAATCATTTCCGCCTGATACAATGGCTTAGTAGTGGTCGGCAGTTCTGGATTTCAAGGTTTACAATGTTGGAGCCATGAGGTACAATATAAAAAATGCTTGGTTTTTGCATCATAATGAACAGTACTCTTAGTGTTATTGGGTTAATGCTCTGGGGAGCTTTCTGATATGCCTTGCCATGCTTATTGGACTGTTTGCACTTACTCTGGCCTAGCTGTGCCCAGGATGTGGAGTATTTGATGGAGAACAAGCTTTTGTCCACATCTGTTTGTCTGCCCACATATAGTTGCTGCTGTTTACTTTTTAAATAATATATATAAAATTACGTCTGAGATCTTATAATTACAGGAATATAATATTTCTATTCCTATCTTCATGTTTACACCTCTGTATTTAACAAATCAATTTCAACACCATTTGTATCATTAAACCAATGTTTGCATTTACCCAAAGTTCTTTTTAAAAACTAATCACGTGCCTAACCGTTGCTTTGCTAATACAACTATTTACCAGTTATCATGCTAATAAAATAAAATTGCCAAATCCTCGCAAAGGAGCATACGCATATTTGTTTCCACACATATGAACAGCATTTAAACTTTTAACTGTACTGCCATGTTTTTGAAGGGAACTGGGTCAAACCAAGCTCGTTTGTATTTGAATATATAGACTAACATTTGAGTACAGTATGTGGCAGGTTGTAAGCCCATGTCAAAAGCACACTTACGCAGCTCGGTTCAATCTCTGTACAGACCGTAACAATCTGTGTATCTGCAATCTAATAAAGGACTGCCCATTCATTATTGTCTGCTGTTGATAGTATGTTTTTTTCTCCAGTGTATGTGCAAAAGACTTCGTGAACAGGGTTTAGAGGCCTTCTTAAAGCCCACTAAGTTTACTAAGTTTTCCAGTGGACGGTCCGGCTGCTCATCTCTATGAAAATGTTATTGCTTTGTTAAGAATGTTCAACAGTATGGCATTTACTAAAACATACACCTGCTTCAAGTGGAGGAGTTCAAGTATCTCGGGGTCTTGTTCACAAGTGAGGGGAGGATGGAGCGTGAGATTGACAGGCGGATCGGTGCAGCGTCGGCAGTGATGCGGTCGCTGTATCGGACTGTTGTGGTGAAGAGGGAGCTGAGTTAAAAGGCAAAGCTCTCGATTTACCGTTCCTCCCCTCATCTATGGTCATGAGCTCTGGGTAATGGCCAAAAGGACGAGATCACAGATACAAGCGGCTGAAATGAAATTGCTCCGCAGGGTAATAATACTAATAATAATAATACACTGGACTTATATAGTGCTTTTTTGGACACTCAAAGATGCTTTACAAACAAATAAGATGTAGAAAATGGCGGGAATCATGGAGGGAATGCCAGTTTAAACAGGTGAGTTTTTAGAAATGGGGAGTTTTTAAAAGTGAGTGGCTGGGCACTCCCATAGAGATAGGGTGAAGAGCTTGGTCACATGGGAGGAGCTCGGAGTAGAGCCGCTGTTCCTCCATGTCAAGAGGAGCAGCTGAGGTGGCTCGGGCATCTGTTCCCGATGCCTCCTGGGCGCCTCACTTGTGAGGTGTTCCAGGCATGTCCCACTGGGAGGAAGACCCAGGACACACTGGAGGGACTATGTCTCTTGGCTGGCTTGGGAACACCTTGGGGTCCTCCTGAAGGAGCTGGAGGAAGTGTCCAGGGTGAAGGAAGTCTGAGTCCCTGCTTAGACTGCTGCCCCTGCAACCCGGCCCTGGATAAGCGAAAGAAAATGGATGGATAGATGGATGTATAAAACGTATATCTCCTTGGAAACGCAGGTGACACCTCCAGGCAAAGTCATATATATATATTTTTATTATTTTATCAATAAAAATGCCTGTAATTGAATAAATGCAAACCAGATATGTACCATAATGAATATTCTAAGCAAAGCAATAACATCATGGAGACAAGCTAGTGGCAAACCTTAAACAAATAGTTCCACAGAGCATCTTTGGACTTGTCAGTAATGGCCCTTGAATTCTGATCGGCTAATTTAACCCGTTTCCTTCTAGTCTATTCCAATCTTTGAACACTTTTGTCATTGCAACCCCCGCGCTTCTATTTCTGCATCTCCAATACATCACAATGTTCCTAACTTCCTCCCAGAGCCTGAGCCCAATCCCTCACAGACGGAGAGCGCGGCCATTTCTGTGATAAACGTCAGCAGTTTGCACCGAGCGCCTCGCCAAAGACACCATTTGCTTTTAATGACTTTTGGGGTGATTTAGCAGAGGACTTCACAATGTCAGTTCAGCAGTGACAATGCCCATAATACAATACACACATCTGACATAACGTTGTGTGTTGAATATTTTAATGCTTTTTAAAAAGTTGAGAGGAGATGATTTGGACAGATGTATAAATCCACTGCAATGACCTAACCATACAACGAATACACTCTTTTCTGAGCACATACAGTTCACACCGGTGGAGTCTTGGCAAGATGACCTCTGCAAAGAATCATACACAAAATAATGCAAGTTAATGATGCTAAAAATCATAAGTTTTAAATTCAATGTGAGCAAATTGGTTGGTTCTGAGCATTTTCTCCCTTTAGAACCAATGACTTTAGTTCATTTATTTATTTATCTATCAGGGACAAAGCCCATTCAAAAAAACATGGGCAGACAAGAATATTTTTTGTATTCATCTGAACAATTTCAATGTAATAAAAGACAAAAATGAGTACTAATCAATTCAACAAATATCACTGTTATTATTAGTGCCACAGATCTGGTTTGTGGAGGTTAAATTACAGATTCATGTAAATTTGTGCCTGCTCTAATGAAAAAAAAACAAAACAAAAAAACAGACTGGGCGCATGCACACGCAGCGACTAGCAGTTTTCTGTCATTATGAGCTTGCTCCAGAAAAATGAAAACCAACATGGGTCCGTTGTTGATGAGTTTGTAAAATGGCGTGAAGAGTCATATCTACTCATAAATGTGTCCAAAACGAAAGATGTGATTATTGACTTTTGAAAAAATGCGCCTCAGAATAACACATATATAAAGGGGCAGTCAGTTGTGTGTCTGGACTCCTATAAGTATCTTGGAACACTGTTGGATTCTAAATTTGAGTTTTGATGATAATTGTACTGCTGTGTGTAAAAGAGGCCCCCAGCACCTTTATTGTCTGAGGAAATTGTCCTTTTACCATGTAGACAGAACGACAATAACACTGTTCTATAAAACGTTTATCGCAAGCATGTTCAGACAACTTTTTCTTGGCCCTCAGACTTCCAAGTGAATTGACCCAAATTACCTTGCATCAATCAAAAATAAAATTTTTACTGCAAGATTTTTTAAAATCTACCTTGATAAAGCTAATGTTCAATGTTTAATGTGCAGGTTTAAGGATCTTTGCCTGAATAAAAGGTCATTCTAACGTGTTAAACATGCATATATTTTAATTATTCACTGTAAGGAGCACCAGTCTATCGGCCCTCTGCTTCATCTGTGTTTGATATGTGGCCCTTGATGAAAAAAGTTTGGACACCCTGGTTTATGGAATCAGTTTTAACGTTTTCATTGGTCTCATGGCTTGGGAGTGTCTCTGCTAAAAAACAAGAACTCGCTGAATCAGTTGGTTAAATGGGCGAGTGAGGTGATTGTCCAACCTCAGAGAAGGCTGAACTCTCTGGACTCAAGACACTTACAGAGGATGTCCCAAAGGATTTTTAAAGACGTGCAACATCCACGAAATTCAGAGTTTCAGCTGCTTCCCTTTGGTCAGGTTTTAAAAGGAGCTTCGTTCCAGCTGCTCTCATATTTATGAATGGTAAGTATAGTAAGTGTAATCTATTTATCTATAAATTTTAGTATGTTTGTACCTTTGAATTTAGCTAATTGTTTATGGAACAAACCATTCAGCACTGGAGCACTGTAACACTTTATTTTGGAATTGTGTTTTTATACGTGTTATTGTGCATAATGTGGATGAATGAAAGATGAAATGTGGGATCAGTCTCTCAAATCTGCAAAACAAATTTACCTACGGGTACAAATAAAGCAACCTAACCTATGGATGACTGGCGTTATATCGGAGGACCAGGAGAGATCGATCTTCGTGCCAAAACTTCATCTACTTCTCGGTTTGTGACTCCCTGGAAGAAATGAAAGAAAAAAGGTTGTGTTCACGTGACATCGTTCTTGAATCTTTAATTAATAGTTTAAAATAAAACAAGAACAAGAGGACAGGTCTACTATGGAATTTGCTTTTTAACTGTGAGATGATTTGGTGAATATCTGTGTATATCTATCTATATCTCTCTCGGTGGAGGCAGAATGACAGCAACATCTGCAGTCAGACTTCCTCAGGACAGTATCCCAGGTGTGTGAGAGCAAAAAAGCCCCCTCATCCCGGTTTATCGTCCAGTGGGCACGTTTCTGTATTTCAATTGCCTCTTTAATCCAGCGACGGTGTTTATTTTCCTCTGTTCCAATGATGTTTGCTCTGTCCCAGTCCATAATATGGTTCTCTCTTGTACAGTGCTCAGAGACGGCTGATTTGAGTTGTTCCTGTTCTGCTTAGTGTTTTGTTGCTCGTGTGCAAGCCTTTGCTGCTTCCTTCTGGCATTCTGTTCTGTGTTCATTCTTTCCTGTACTGATCGCCCTCCCTGTTTCCCCGATGTATGTTTTGTTCCAGGACATGCAGGGTATTTCGTATATGACATTACATTTATGCTCCGTTTCTATTTTGTCTTTCGGGTGGATGAGTAGTTGCCTGAGTTTTCTGTACGGTTTCACTGGTGTGTTGATATTGTTGCCCTCTGCACTTTTTCTGTTATGCCCCTGATGTACGGTAAAGTTACAATGCCTGTGCTCTTTTTTTCTGTTGTATTTTTGTTTTCCTGGTTCTGTTTTTATTTCTCTCTAACCTGTTGTTTTCCTTTGTTTATTGCCCAGGGTAACTTCCTGTTAAGTATAACCCCCATAAAGCACTTGTACTGCTATTTTTAACTTTTTTATGACCCAGTGACCTCTTTTCTTCAGCTAAAACTGGCACAAAGTTCATGGTTCCACCGTGATTTTTTTTTATAAACGCTTCAGAAAGTTTGGATATTTCATTGAAAAACAGTGGATCTCCTATGTTTTATAAGCCCCTGCAATCCATTTGAAAATAAAAACGTGGACACCACCTTTGAAATACATGCACATCTTATTTACTTCTTTGAGTTACGTACAAAGGTAAGTCGGCGCACAGCTTTGGGGGTAGTGAGAAGACCACGCACTCGCTCTTGGACCTCCTCCCACATTAAGTGAGTGCTTGATGTAGATCTACACAGAGGAATAAGAAGGATGAAAGCAGATACAGGCAAAAATCCAAGTCTTTAAACCTGCCAGACGTGACCACTTTAAAAATTCCCTTCCATATAACAAAGTGCCCTCGTTATGCAGAAGTGGTCACTGGGTACAGGTTGTAACTGTTGCTGTACTTTTTTATCTGGCAACATTAAATAAAAAACAGGCACTTCGAGTACAATAGTCTTTTATAGAGTTAAAAATGTGCACGTACCTTCTAGGTGTAGCAGACTGACGCAGAGGAGAAAGGTCAGTACTCTGGAATGAATCTTGTAGATTTAGGTCATTGACTGTCTCCTCAACCTATAAAACCAAAAAGTGCAGTTGAAATAAACTTTTCATTTAATTTAATTTCATTTTACTTTATTTAATTTTACTTTATTTAATTTATTTTTATTTTATTTTATTTCATTTTATTTTGTTTCATATAATTTCATTTCATTTTGTTTTATTTTATTTATATTATTTATTAACAATTTATTCACAAAAGTATTTATTAACAACACAGTTTATTTATTTTTCATGTTTATATTCTTTAATAACTAAGACTAAAATACCAATGCCACCGGAATAACTTTTGCTCAAATTTAACACAAAATGTAAAAACAGAAAAGCTGCGTACCTGACCATTAGATAAGGACTGTCTGGGCTCTGGTGATGCAAATCTCACTAAAACAGAAAATAGGCAAAAGTTCACCATGTTGGAAGTACAGCAGGTCATGTGCACAGAGTCATATAGCAATAAACAAGTTTTACAGGACAATTTGTAGAAGTACTAAAATGAATCATTGACTATTTAAGAAGCTCAAAATTGTTGACAACAAAGTCAGTTAATGGCATCAAACATTTTCGAGTTTAAATAAGGTTCACAACAGAATTCAAACTAAGCCAGATATGAATAAACAAAATCTAAATTAAATCAAAATTTGAACAATGCCACAATATCAAATTATGTGAGAAGAAACATCATATAACAATTATTTACGATTATTGACACTCTGACCAAACAACTGGAACTGGAAAATTCTTAACTCGTTTTTATCCACATTGCTTAAAGGGACAGTCTCCACACGTCTCCAACACTCTGACTCACAAGGAAATGAGGTCCTATGTCCAAAATTCCGAACTGTCTCTTTACATTGTCATTCAAAAACTTCAAGCATTATTACAGTTAATGATACATAAATAATCAGATAAAATAAAAAAAACACTTCTTTAAAAAAAAAAACTTTCCATGTGTTTAAGGATGATGAAAAGTTAGGATTGTTGCTATAGCAATTAACAACTAAAAACAAATTATTATACCTTCTGAGCGTGAAAAAGTCTCAATTTTGCACACAACAGGAATCTTAAACACATGAATAGACTGAATATATATATTTATTTTGCTTCTAAAATGGTCACAGTTATTATATTATTAATCTTATAATCATGTCATCAAATGTATAATCAGGATTATCAATTAACCAATTAATTTCAACATATTTTGAATAGGCCCGTGCACCTGCAGAGGGAGACCTGCTCACTGCTGGACTGCTGAGTGTTGATGTCAGATGGGGCGATGCAGATCTGGCTCCAGCCCTTAAGGACAAACCCTGTGAATATGACACGGAGTACAATCAGTGAGTTTATGTGTTAGTGACCGGAACTGTTTGTACTTGTTTCCTCAAATTGTTGTGTAAAGAAACAAGACTATAAAGCAGTAATCCAATAAAACTGGATTGTCGCAACTACAACTAGAAAAGCACTCAGAGAGCGCAGACCTCCGCCAAGGACTACCCCCATTTTTTATATAAATTGCGATAAAATCAGTCTTCTGGATCAGATCCGGATCAGACTTTGGAATATGAAAGAGGATCCCATTGTCCATCCCTGAGTCAAATTTCATGGGGTTTGGTCAATAATTAACCGAGATATTGAGAAACAAAATTTTTGGCCCCATTTACCACAATGTTAACTAAAATTTCAAAGTGATCCAGAATCCAGGATTTCTTCCGGATCACCTCCAAAATGAAATCAGTTCTTCCTTTTCACATTTCCAACAAATCCTGAAAATTTCATCAAAATCGGTCCATAACTTTTTGAGTTATGTTGCTAACAGACAAACAAACAAACAAACAAACAGACAAACGCCGGCAAAAACATAACCTCCTTGGCGGAGGTAATAATTTTGGCATCTTTAGTGTGTAGAATGTAGTTTTACGCTTATCATCAAAGGTAGTATTTTAGGACCTATTTTATTTAGTTTATATAATGATCTAGCTGAAATGTGTCCAAATGTCAATGTTCAGCTGTATGCTGATGATGCTGTAATCTTTACACATGCCAAAACTGTACAAGAAGCTTCAGAAAAGTTAACATCAGCCAAGATTCATGTCCAAAAGTGGGTCAAGAACTCATGCTTGCAACTCAATATAAAGAAAACTGTCTGCATGATGTTCAGTAAAAATCAACTGAGTTACAGTTGTCCAGTGTCTTTCTGGACAGGGTAGAACTCAGCCACGTCAAAGAGTTTAAATACCCAGGACTGCCGTTGGACCCAAGATTGACATTTAAGAAACACATTAATCACCTCACGAAAACTGCTAATTTTAACTTTGTGAATTTTAGACAGGTAAGATCCTTCATGACTTTATATGCAGCACAAACGTTTTTACACTCCATGATTCTGTCTCATACAGAGAATTGCAGAACCACATGGTCACTTGCTGCTGGCTCAAAACTCAAACCAGTCGAATCACTTTTTTAAAAACCTGTAAAAATACTGGACCAGAAACCATTCTCATTTCATCCCTGCACTATTTTAGACAAGTAAAACTTGCTTAATTTTAATAATTTTGTTGATTTTAGATATAGATGTTTTATATATAAAATTTTGTATGGACTTGCCCTCCCTCCCGTTACAGGATTTTATTAAAGTAAAGACTGTCAGTGGGATGGGAGCTGGGGCCACAATCCAGGGGAACTGTGAGCTCCCACACAGACACACCACATTTGGACAAAGTGTGTCAATGTCAGTCAGAGGCACTAAGTTATGGAACAGTCACTGGACACTTTCAAATCCCACTTGAAACAGCGGCTAAAGGAAAAACAGACTTGTGGACACTTTTAGTTTAGAACTATCACTTGTTATTGTTGTTTTTTTCTGTTAAATTTGTGGTGTTACCTGCCGAGGGACTACAGATGGAAATGAGCTTTTTTGCTATAATCTGGCTCATTTACACTGCAATGCTGTAGATGTTCATTAATGTGCACTCTCCCTATTAAATAAATAAGTAAATAAATACATAAATAAATAAATGATATTGCTCCATAGCATTGAAAACATTCTTACAGTAAGTGGTAGGTCACCTCTCCTGCTTGTTTCTATGGAGAATCAAGATAGATAAATTTAATCTCAAAGTACACTTTTAAGTGCTAACACAGAATAAATGTTTGTAGAAAATTTCTGTAACTATTTGACCATCTCTATGAAAAAACACCTGGGTCAGTGTAGCCAATAGCATTACGAATAAGTATGAGGCTGAACAAGTATACGTTAGATTAACAAGTAAAAAAGTTGAATGTGCTCTATGTATTGTACCATTAAACATACCTGGAGTTGTTTTGTTTAATTCACACATGTTTAAAACACAAATCCTGCATATTCAGACTGAGTTCTTCAAATTGAAAACACTCCACTGAAAGTACTCCACTGTGTCTCTAGAATCATTTGGATTATTTCAGCCTTGGAAATGCCGATCTCTACTGAACTAAAGGTAAAAGACAGCTGTTAACTTGAAAACTAGTGCTTCATGACATCTCAAATTGGGATTTTGGGCTTTGGAGATGTAGACAGATTAATAATAAAGGGTAACTCAGATTTATGTAACGTATGAATAAAACAAAACACAACTCCAGGTCTGTTTTTGAGGAGGTAAAAACATTATAACATGACTTAAACCTCTCAAGAGTCAATTTTGTGCAATATATGACCTGTAATAAACACAAAACTCAACATATGGCACATTCTGTTTTGCTCATTGTGTTTTGAAATGAGAAACAAAGTATTATGAAAAGCAAAAAAACAAAAAAAAAAGAGAAACATCAGCACAAATATGTACATTTTGCTCTCTGCCTCCTCCTGCTGGTGTATGGTGGTACTTACATGTGTTGGACTGCTGGCTGGATCCTGGTGGTCTGAGTCCAGGCTGAGCTGGCGCTGGTTATTGCCGCCCCTCACAGGAGACATGGAGCGGGCCCTGGAGATGCCCCGGTCTCCCCTGGCACTCCTCCTCCTCCCCACACTGACAGGTTTTCTCTGAGGGGAGGAGGTCCCGGGTCTGCTACAGCGTCTTGGTCTCTTCACCAATGGCCTCTGGATTAAAGATTTAAAAAGTACTATGCTGGTTTGTTATAATCAGGAAAAATGACCAGTTTATATAATTACCATTGGTACATTTGGGTAATCAGTGATCTCTGCATTTGCTGCACACTCAAAGATGGATGTTGAAGTTGAGAATTCCAATCTTGGACAAATAATACCCTGTCAAAATATGAAGTATAATATTCTTTAATTTATATTTTTAGATCTATGTTATATTATTTCCTCATCACAAACATGCCTGGAGTTGTGTTTTGTTTCATTGACACATGTTTAACACACAAATGCTGCACAGGTTGTTCTTCTCTCAAACAGAAAACACTCTGTTCCACCTTGTGATGTCATATGATAATACTAGAACTGCACCACTGTGTTTTTAAACTCCATACACCTTCACTAGAATCGTTTGGATGATTTCAGACTCTCTACTGAAAGGTAAAAGGAGCTGTCAACTGTAAACTACTACTACAGGACATTTGGAGATGTAGAAAGCCTTACAAAATGTGTGAATGAAACAAAACACAACTCCAGGTCTGTTCTGAGGAGTTGACAACATTATAAACATGACTTAAAGGTCACAAGAGTGAATTTTGTTTAATATAGGACCTTTAAAGGAGCATTATGTATTTTTTAGAGAAGCTGCCACCAAGGAGATGTTATTTTTTGCCTGTTATTTTCTACAGAATGGCATTAAATGTACCTCACATTTATTCAACTATGAGCATTTATATTGCTCAATAATATGTCTACTGCTTGTCTCTTTGTAGACATCATCTCCATTATGATGAGGTGGTGGGCAGTTCACCAGAAAATGTTTCATAGGGCACTTTTAATGAACATAACACCCACATACATTGAATAGTTAACAAAAATAACACTGGACTCACAGGAAAATTCTCCGATTGTATCATCAAAACCGCCTGCTCAGTTCCAGAAAATGGAGGAACGAGCTTTGGTTCTGGGAAGAGGAATCTGCGAGCATCATTTGCGTAGTAGGCCAAAGTCATTCCCACTGTCAGAAGGCAATAAACAAGACTTGTGTAATGTTTACATTTCCAGATCACACAAGCTGCATGTGGTGGTACAAAACACTAAAGGTGCATGACTTTTTTCCCCACAATCGAGAAATAAGCAAAAGAATGTAAAAAATGTATATCCTAATAGGTTGTTTTTTTAGATTCTTTAGATTAGAACGCTGCATTTGGGTCCATATTTTATGCAAATTACTTAATATTTAGAGGTGGCTCAAAACACTTGCCCGATAGGGCCTATACAATAACATAGAGAACCAAATAAATAAGGCGTATTCGAATAATTTGTCATTTTATCTGCAAACACAAACTGAAACTTGCATAAATGTTGCTTAGAAAGCACATGAAGTCCATAAAAAGTTACTTAGAAAGTCCAGCAACCACTGTGGTTTTGTTGGCGTCACAAAAGCTGTGCCTGTGTTCTGCAGTATATACAGTTAAAATATTTTATAAACTTCACCCCCTTTTCAGCAACGTCATTGACAACTTTCCTAGAATGCACAGTTTTATCAGCCTTCTGAAAGTCTGCATCATCAGCCCAGTCTACTGGGAAAGCTCTTGATCTGCCAAATGTTTTTGGCAGATCAAGATCAAGTTTTATCTCCACCAACCTCTTGCTGGTGGAGATAAAATCACTGATCTACTTCCCTTCATAATCTTCTTGATTAAGGGCTTCACAGTGCTTTGGTGGAACCTCTGAACCGTCCTTTTCCATAATATTGTGAACCATCAACTTCTTCTGTTCAACAGTGTGTTACCAGCTTGTCAAATCCTGATCCCGTCAGATCTCAGAAGTTAATCAAGGCTGGGCCTGGGTATTACATGGATGGAAGACCACTGGGAATTCCATGTGCCATAAGGGGGCGCCAGTGACAAAAACTGTTGTTGTGTTCTTAGGCAAGACACTTCACCCACAGTGCCTAGTATGAAAGTGGTGAGTTGGAGAGGCTGATGGTGCAGCTGTGGCTACAGTAGTAGCTTACCACCACTCAGTGTTGAGTGAATGAATGAACTGTAAAGTGCTTTGGGTATCTTGAAAGGCACTATATAAATGCAATGATTAATTAATTAATTAATTAATTAATTAGTCGAAAAATGCCAGGCAAACATTTCCTCACTCAAGTACCAAAGATGTCGACCAAAAGCTGTTAAGACTGCTTTCTTGACAACTGAATGTTTATACTGTGACAGCTTCTGAAGGAAAACTAAATCATTTGCAGGAGCTTCAAAACTTCATGCATCATGAGTAACCTGCAAACCATCCCGTTTTTCTTTCAAATTTCTTCCTAAATCATCTTTTGGATGCTAAAACCTCATGCAGGCTTCTAATCGAGGTTATCTGAAACTTTATTTTTTATCATGCTTTGAAGGACCACCCTAGTATGCTCAGCAACACTATATACATGTTTATTTACCCATTATTGCTGATAATAATACTTACTTGGTGGTATGAGTTGCACAAGTTCAATTCGGACTGTCTCATCTGAAAGAAAAAACTTGGTTAAAATACAAACAAAAGGATGGGGCCACGATTAAGTGTCTTACATTGAAGCATCACTGCAATATCCCCTGGGTCAAGTGCATACCTGTAAATCTGAACAAATCCAAAAAAATTGAACAAACAAAAACAAAACAAGATTGTACATTATATGAACTTGCCTTTTCAAATGTCATCTTCTCGTGAAAAAGCAGAGGGAACACAGCGGGCAGGCACTGGGACTGTCTGAATTGGCCCATGAAACACACACTGAGGTAGATGTCTTCATACGCCATGAGCCGAACTCCAGGACATGACACCTGACACAGAAATGTAAGAATGTAAGATCAGTAGCATTTACAGTACTGCATTTCCACTGTAGTGCAGCAGGGGGAGACAAAGACACACAAGTGCATCTGGTGTGTCCTGCTGGTGGTTTGATGTGAAGGCTGCAGGGTTAATAGCTTCTAGTTTGTAATTTTTGAAACAGAAAACAGATAAATATCGTTATTGCAAGAGATTAATTTAGAAGAAAAAAAAAAAAAGGAATGGAACTACCTAAGCAAAAACATGCAGACAGTTTTTTCTGTAGCTCCTTTTTGCAGTTTCTACTTTAAAACTATCACAGCAACAGCAAACTAGTGCATATATACTGACCTAAAAAGCTTTATTAAAAGAAGAAATTATCTTAAAAGAAGCCAGTATCAACATAACAATGCCAATGTTTTATTCTTGACTTTGACGTCTTGCTTTTACAGCTCTGCAACTTCAAGCACAAAATGTCTTCCTCATTATTTACAAACTGCAAAGATGGAAAATGCATCTTACCGCCCGAATATTTATTTCCACTAGCACTTTGAGGGCTTTTCGAGACATTGTACTATTCTGCAGAGTAATATCTTCTTCTATGAACTCCGCGAGCGCAAAGCGTCACCTTACTCGTGTTACCAAGGATACCACAACTTCCGGCGGCACGAGTGACCCAGTGTAGGAACTATTTGCTTATTTTGTTTATTCTAAGATTAGTTTAATGATTTTGTTCGTCAGTTATTTTACCAATTTACTTTTGTTAATTTGTAGAATATATTTTTGCCATGTTAAAATTATGTTTTTAGTTTAGTCTAATTTGCTATTATTTACGTTAGCACTAGGGGTGTTACAATAACCAAAATATCGTGAGATCGTATCGACAAAAGTTCTTACAATAATATCGTGGACCATCACAATATATCGAATTACAAGTCTCTTTGCTTAAATTAAGAGTTATGGTACAGCAATAGCTAAAAAAAAATAGAAGGAACTACATAGACCATGATCCTTTGCTCCATTTCAGTGCAGACTACAAGAAGAAATAACAGTTCTAAGCACTTTTAGGTCATAGTTCTTTGGATTAAGTCTTGTCAAGGTGTTTTAAGAGGAAAAAGTAGCATATTCACAATTTTGTTAACCTCCAGAAAATATAATAAATATTGTACCGTGAGATTTGGATATCATTACATCCCTAGTTAGCACCTTTTCTGTTTTTGGTTTAATCTGTGGGGCACCTAGGGGATAAAAGAAGAGTTACAGCAGGACTAAAGTGCATTTAGGTGGGCCTTTTTTTTTTTTATCAGTCCACAGGAGAGGCAGCAAGTAGGTCTGGATCATGTACCCTTTGTTGTTTGCCTGCAAAACTGGAATAAATCTTCGAAATGCAGTTCTGGTCATGGACATGGTTTTAATTTCACTACGTAAACCACATACCCATGATGCCCAAAAGTGATTATTTGAGTTATGTTTAGTTCTGAGTTTACTCACTGCTTTTGTTAATTTTCTTTGACACATAATTACTACAAAATTTATGGGGAAAAAAAACAAGAAATATCTAGTTGTTAAGTATCTAGTCTTAGGCTGAAAAAAAAAAGGTGCCACAAGCTCTCACGTATAAGCCTCCTTTTATTCTGATAACCCCTGAAAATGATTTCACAATGAATAATGATCCAAAATATTGAACACTGTTTTATGAAAAGTGCTTATTCAACTAAGCATCAGAAAATGGGGTGTGAACTGATTTGTTGCTGCTCAGGTCAAGCTGAACATTTAAAATAAATAAGAGTGTAAAAAATAAAGTTCAATATCCAAGAAAAGCCATCAATCTTCTTAATTTAACCCAAAATGCTTCAGTCAAAGTCCACTTTTTCATTTTGTTTATTTGGTTAGCTCGATGTGCCCTCTGTGTTTTTCTCTGTCTGTAGAGGTGCCTCTTCATCAGAATCTGAGTCCGATTCTTGTTCCTCTTCCTCTGCTTGCTCATCTTGGTCCTGGGCTCCTGTTCCGTCCTGGTCCAGAGCCACAGCTCCTTTCCTCTGTGGTAGGACTGTAAAGAAGGCGTCTTGCCAGTTACCCTTCTCCAAATACGACAGGATGATCTCAAACACTGCAATTTTAAGAAGATACAGGTACAGAAGAACTGACGATTAGATATGAAAATGGCTTTTTAACAGATAATTAAAACCTATAAAGTCTGTTAAACACATTTTAGTAGCACACTTTCATTTTTTAACCACTGATTCCCAAAGACTTGGTCACAGGAGATTTTTTTTGGGTCACCTTGTCACAATCTACATAATATACTTTTACATATACAGTTGTATACACGGATCTGTGACGTTATCGTCATTCTGGATAAGCATTTTGTCAGAATATCCTGTCCTCAATAGGGCCAGTATTTCTATGTTTATTTCTTTCACTACTACATATATGTGTGAACTGGGATTTTCTGTGCTCACAAAAATAAAGACAAAGCACAGAAACAGACTGAATGCTGCGTCTGATCTGCTGCTGCGGTCTCCTCCTGCACCCAGACTGGAATAAGTTACAAAAATGCAGACAGGTACACCTATCTCATTAGAAATGTTGAAATGTTAAGACCTGTTTTGTATAATTTCTACTCTTTTTGTAAGTATTTTATTGACTATTTTGTTCCAATATTGCTGGTTTAATTGAATGTTGAAAAGAAAAAGAAATGGGCTAAATTTAATGTCCAAATAGGCAATTTATGGATCCTTTCATTACTGGTTATTGTTTTTCATTGTTTAAAACTTGAGTAATACTAATTGTTCAGAGAGACACGATCACTCAGTCAACAATAAAATATCCTTATTAATATTTAATAATGGTTAAATCTACTTTTAGTTTGTGATTTACAAATAATGTCTATTGACTTGGGTCGCGTTGTGACTTTTAAAATATGGGTCCCCAAAAAAAAAGTTTGGGAAACACTGTTTTAAATGATAGGTCTTAAATATTCTAGTGAAATACAGACAACAATTTTGCAACTTTTCTGGTTCAGGGTCCATCGCCTGCTTGTCTCCATGTAGATCTTATTGTTTTGTCTAAATTGTTCTATGGTGATGCACATATTCAACTGCATGTTTTTTTGGGCGTGTGCAAACATGTACTCTTATGGTGACTGTGGTTGCCTCTTCACATTTCTGACCTGTACCTGCCCTCTTGTGGTCTCACCTTGTGGTCTCCATAAAGACAGAAGAGTTTAATGCCATATGGTTGAACATTTGGGGGAAAAAAAAAAAAACACCTACATGAAAGCGAGCAGGTAACTACACACTCCACCAGAAAAGTTACATCGTGAACTTAATGTTTAACACTAATGGATTCACGCTGCTTTATTTCCAGACTAATAAGAATCATACCATGGTTGACAGCCAGGACTTTGCGGCTGTTCATCTTTACAAAACTGCTGAGTGGAAGCTGAGCATGAGCAATCCCAAGCTCCTTTGCCTTCTCAAAAGTAATACCCTGGAAACGAAAAAAAAAAAAAAAACATCAGTAAAGTTTGTAGTACTCAATCCAAACCAAAATGACACAAGACAGTCAGACCTTATGGTGGTTGTGGTCCACCAGGCCTCCTATGACATAGGCCTTGTTTTGGTCCAGTTCTGTCAACACGTTTGGAGAGTCTGAAGTGAGGTACACCAGGTCCTCTTTGGCCACAACTTCACTGTAGTGCTCTGATTTGAAAGAGATGTCCTAATCACAGCAAAAACAAAAGCTTAATGTTAAAGAGTTTAAAAGTGCTGTATATATGCTTCTTTGTCTTATTGTTATCAAAGGGTATTCAAGGACACATCACATGGGACAACCAGTTCCTCATTATCTGTCCCTTCCCACGCACAGTCCACCAGCACCCACACTGATACAAACCACTCAGCAGCTGACACACACACCACACTCTTATTTGATATTAAACTGTTGCTCAGTACTTTTCCACTGTGATAGAAAAAAGTAACCATCCATTTGTCTTGTAACCTGTGTGATTCAATAAATACGGAGCGAGGGAAAGTGAGCCTCTGACAGTTTAAGGGAGCTGTAGTAGGCGCCACTGTCCCTCGCTGTGAGTAAAAACCTGAATTCTGCCTTCTGAGTTTCGTTGTGTTAATATCTCTGTTATTTTCTGACACTTAAGACAATGCTAAATAAAATATTTCAGTGGCAAAAAAGGGCTCATCATTTTTAGTTTATGCCTCACCTTCCAGTTGACCCATCCTTTGTCCTTTTCGTCCATGCTCTGTTTCAGCTGTCCACCCAAGCTTGTCACTATGAACTGATGAATTGACAGGACACATTATATCACATATAATGACATCTTACCATCTGTGTGGGATTTGGAAAGTCAAGTTACCGTATTTTCCGGGCTATTAGGTGTGCTCTTAAGCCTCCAACCCCATCAAAAAACGACTGCACCCCACAATCCAGAGCGACCTATACACGAATCTACTCGGGTGTCCCAGCACGACTTCAGTAAACTACAAAGCCGCACCACCCGCAGCGCACGCAAACACACACGGAGCAGACAGTGACCGCGCAGCGATAAACACACACAGCCACACTCATCACTCCACGCCGACGAGGAACGGAGGAACGAACTGAAAAAGTGAGTGCAATGTGCCACTTCTAGACACAACTGAACAACTGAGTCACTGCGAACATGCCGACAATCCAGCGGTCCCAGACAGCACCCTCCCTACACGCCACAACTGAACAAAGCCCAGAGTCACTGTGCACGCACAAAACAAAGTCCCACTGACCCATCCAACTGTTGTGTTTCATTTAAAATCAGGTGCGGTTTATTTGTGAAAAAGTTCGAAAATAGACCATTTAATGACAGTGCGTCTTATAATCCAGAGCGCCTAATAGCCCAGAAAATACGGTAAGTGGAAACTAACTTGGACTGGATGTGGGGCTCGTCTGTTCGTAGCGTAACACCGCTGGATCTGTTTGTGAAGTTTTCTGACATCCTTAAAAAAAAAAAGAAGACAAACATAAATGTGACTTAGATAACAGTGAGAGATGACAGTGGTGGTTGGATTTCACTGCATAAAAACAAATATTACAACTAAAACTCAAACTGTGAAAATGTTAAACCTTGTTTAGTAAAAGCTTTATAACCACTGATTACATTGAGAAAAAGTGTAATTCAAAGATTAAATTTGATAAAGTACCAAATGTGATCCGATTATTTTATGAAAGTGACTGCATTCTGAAAGCCATGAAATGAAAAAGAAACTGTACTTTTTCTCAGTACATGTAGTTAGTTCCCCAACACTGATTATTCTCTTCTTGTTCTTCTTCCAAGACTGAGCCTTGAAACTATAACATAATATAGAAATTATGGCTGTACCTTCAAAAGCATCAGACTGTCAAAGCTGCAGTCCACCACCAGCCTGACAGAGCTGCGGGTCACTTCTTTTCGCAGCCTTTTCCTGGGATTTCTGTCAGCGTCTGTCCTCTCCTCATCCTGATTGTTTTGCCTTTGGAGCCGACGCTGTTGCTTTCTGTCCTTTCTCTTTTGTCTGCAACACCGATCAACCAGATGTATAACACAAATTTCATCACATATATACCACCATATACAAGTCAATACAAAATATACCACCATCCAACTGCAAATGATGAATGGTTGCAGGTAATATTGTACACTGGTACACCTATGATTATTTCTACTGCAGCTGGATCAGTGAGATGCAAAACTGTATTTCCTTGTCAACTATAATAAATCTATTTTACCATGTCTTCTCCAACAAACATGTTTCCAATAAAAGACGTTTAGAGCAAGTCCATAATCTTGTTATCATATATAATGTTAAAGGTAAGCAGAGGTTAAGTTCTCTACTACAGGAGTCTTCAACCTGTAGCTTGGAGCTACCAGAAACTCTTCACCTTCTTCCAAGTAGCTCGCCAAAGAATTTCTGAATAACTAAAATGTAATTTATTAAATGCCTATTAATACTGTAAATGTCTCATTTTGATGCCTGGCTTTGTGCCCTAGTAAATTAATAATGGTTTATGTTTTACAGACATCCAAGGCCATACCTCTTTATTTACTCAATTTCTTATGGTCCATAAATGAGTTTTGTAAAGCTACTTTACAAAACAACAACTCTGGCACTGTCGTTTTGTAAAAGTAGCTCACCAGTGGAAAAAGGTTGGAGACCCCTGCTCTATTACAACATTTTGTACAGCACATTACAAATGTAATACAACTTACTTTCGCAGTTCTCTCTCTTCTTCCCATTTCTTTTGTCTCAGAAGTTTCTTTCTTTGCCTTTTAGACAGACATTGGGTCTCTGAGGAGGCGTTTTTAATTGTTTCTACCGTGCTTTCACTGTCCTCCTTCTGCTCTTTATTTTCAGCCGGTGAAACAATAATCACATTCTCATTAGCCATGATGATGAAGTGTTTTGGTGGCTGTTGGGGTTAGCAAGTTAGCATGGCAAGAAAGAAAAGTCATATAAAAAGCACGTACGCCAGGTTCCTCCTGTATTAGATACGGTTTATAGGTTGTTCGTTTCTGTGAGGACGCAAGTTGTTCAAGAACAAAATCAAGCAAAAAAAAAAAAAAAAAAAAGCAGGAAAAAGCAGAATTAGTTTGTATTGAAAACTCTGCACATGTTGACGGCGGCGCTTTTAAATGACGTCATAAATCAGCGTTTAAAAAAACATTTCGCAAGCATGAACCATGGATCTATAATAAAAACGTATTAATATTGATTTTATAATAATTCTATGGCATGGACCAGATGGATGTGGTTATTCAGAGTTTACGAGTCTTGTACGTGTGAAAAACAGCCACACTTTTAATGCAGAGTAGAATCATCAGGGCCTTCAAGGTAATCAGTAAAGGCCAAAGAAAAAAATATTGAAAGAATGTTTGCACTACTAATATATTTTTTTTGAATGGCCAAAGCCAACATGTTTGGCAACATGGGGCTTACACTGTTGCATCCTTAGCTTCAATATCACACAGTCTATTTATTTATCTATTTAATTTACTTACTTATTTTTCCATTTAAATAGAACCAGGAAAAAAAAGTGATATTTATTCACAGCGGGTTTGTCTGACTGTGTAATAAACTGGTGGGGGAAAAAATGACTGTTCATTCATATGTGTTTTTAAATTGAAAAAGAAGCCTAAATTTATGTGTTCAAATGTCCAACATACTGAGTCCAAGATTCATTCAGGAGGCAATTTGGCATTTTAATTGGACATATTATAATAATATAGGCCTAAGCTATACATTGTGACTGTGCCGATATTGTGGGAGACCAAATATGCTAGGCTTCACAGGATTTAGATTTATCTGTACAGTACAAATACAAATGTGTGATTTATCAGTTTACTTGATGTGCACAGGCCTATTTCAATGTGATTGAATCTCTGGCTGGAGAAAGATGTTAGAATACTCAGCATCTGAAGTAAACTGTGAATGTGAGTAAAGTTTTAAAACTAATGACTTTCAGAATTGTTAGATGTGTTTTGTGATTATTGATAAAAGTATTTTTCTTGTTAAATTAAATTTAAAACAGTACAGGCTTAGGTGGTCACTGAAATGTAGTAGTGTTATAAAGCAGCAGTGGACAACAGGCTTCTCTTTTTCATCTTCCACATCTCGCATCAGCACGACGACACTACAGGACTGAGAGTGAAGCCTAAAGGAGCTGGGGAGTCACGTCTGTGGTACAAGGGGTGGCCCCACAGCACAAGGGTCACAGTGAAATGAAGAAGAGTCACATTCAAACTGTGGCCCTGGCTAATGGAAGCATTTAAGTTAAGAAAAAGCTTAACAGCTGTCAAATATCACATTATTCTTACAGTAACTCAGCTGATTGAGCAAGTGGTGGTGAAGGGCAAGGACCAAGTGTTTGCATTTATTATGGCTGTAGATGGAAGGGGCCAAAGACCAGGTCTGCCTCACATCCTCTTGCTTCCTTGTCAGAAGAGTGTAAGAGGACTGTGAAACAATAGATAGATGGGTAGATATAGATACTTTATTGATCCCAATGAAAATTCAAAACAATCCCAGTGCTACAAACAGTGAACACAAAACTGATTAAGATACAAATTGGAGATTAGATTATGAGTTAGAGCAAGATCCCTGTGTTCACAAATAATATAAATAAATAAATTAGGCCATGATGCAGACTGACAGTAAATGAGAGAACTGCGTGACTGTTTATCTCTGTTTATTCATTTTAGTTTAATCATGTAATGTATATACAGTGTTGATGCTTGCTCTTGGTTTTAAAATTTAACATCATTACTTTTTTTCTTGCTATTTGTTTTTAGTGTTCTGAAACGTGGCAAATAAATTAAGAAATTAAAATTTATATAATCATTAGTTTTGCAGTCAGTGGTTTTTATAGAGCTTTATAAATACAAATTACATAAAGGTACAAACAATATACATAAAATATCTATGGTCAAATATATTAAATAAAGAATAGGAAAGGTTTAAATGTGATGTTACAAGTAAAGAACAAGCTCATGCAGTAATACATTTCAGTGGTTTCAGTTTGTTTATTTATCAACAAAATTACAAAATAATCAATCAAATATTATATCTGATTCAAAATTATTGTACAAAGAAAGATTTCTATTGATAAAATACAATATGGACCTCCTGCTGGTGCCCAGAGTCAGGACTAAACATGGCGAGACAGTGTTTCAGTTTTATGCAGCTAAAACCTGGATCAGTCTTTCTGAACATGTGAGACAGGCCTCTACTTTGATGCTGTTTAAATCCAGACTCAAAACAGTTCTGTTAAGCTGTGCATATGACTGAAAGGTTTTTATTCCACACTCTTCTCTTTTAATGTAAATTTTATGATGATCATTTATGTTTTGATTGATTGTTTGTATTGTGATTTTAATGTCATTCTTATTCTGTAAAGCACTTTCAATCGCTTTGTGTATGAATTATGCTTTACAAATAAACTTGCCTTGCCTTAAAGCAATTGTAAAGTGAAATTTGATGAACATATTTTAACTTTGTTTACATATGCTGTGTTAATAAAAGGAAACACCTTGCCGGTGAAAGTTAAAAGAAAAGTGTGAATGAGTGCGTGCGTTTGAGCATCTGAGAAAGAGAGTTTTTTTCTGGCTATGTCCAGGTCCACCCTGATCCTCTGAAGGCGGTGTTTCAATTGCAGAACCTTGTCTACGTGTGGTGGAGCATATGCTGTGTAGTGATCATCTTGGAACCAAATTTCCCAGTATCCAGAAGTTATTTCTCCTTTCCGAGGGGCAGATTCAGCTATAACACCAACTGCCCAGCGCCCTTCTTCCTGAACATCCGCCTCCCAACTGTGTAGTCCAGTCGTGAATCCTTCAGCCGCCAGCACTGTGACATAGTCAGTGAACCTCTCAGGATTGTCTGGGACCCATGGGAGGTCTGAAGCATCAGCTGTTTCTGTGGTAGCGCAGTGCACGCTGCACAGGTCATCAGACACGACCAAGGGTCTGTTAGCAGTATTTGGGTCCAGGAGCACTGGAGTATAGGACACCAGATCCTTCATCTTCTTCCAGATGTTGAAGCCCAGATTGCCCAGATGTTTAGCCACATCCAGCAGACATCCAGAGGGCAGTTGTGGGACACTCTTTAAGGGTGCCTGCTGCACTTGTCTCACTGTAGTGCTGTACTTCTGAAGGAACATAACATCCTGAGACTTGAGCTCTTCCTCTGTTTGCCTGATGCTTTTTGACAGAGCGTCCATCTCTTGTGTCAAAGCAGCCACTCTCTGCTCCATCAGGCTGCTCTTCTGTTGCACCTCAGTTCTCAGAGCCCTGATGCGGTCCTGCTCTTCCTTCTGCAGAAAACTTCTCATTTTGTCAAACTCCTCCCGGATCAGCCTCTCTGTGCGCTGGCCCTGCTGCTGTATGTATTCACTGGTCTTGCCCCAGTGCTGTCTCACATCGCTGCACCTCTTTAGTCTGTCCTGTAGAGGCTCCAGACTGTGTTGGAGCTGCTCCTTATATTCCTGTGCTACTTCATCAATGGGGCTGAATCTGTGGTTGTTGTGTGCTCTGGAATCTCGACACACCAGACAGACAGGCTGCTTGTGATCCACACAGAAGAGCTGCAGTTTCTCTTTGTGCTGAGGGCAGAGGGGAGCAGGGGAGGGGGGCTGACTATGGAGCTGCCCCACACGCAGCTGATGAGAAAAGGTCTCACACAGGTTCTTTAGGACCAGGTTACAGGGAGGATCTGTCCGTGATGAGCGCCTCTTACAGACAGGACACTCCCGGGTCACCTTCTGTGTCCACCAGTTCTGCAGACACGCCTTACAGAAGCTGTGGCTGCACGACAGCACCACAGGGTTCTTGTAGACCTCTAGGCACACAGGACAGTTGAAGTCCATGTCTGGACATAAATACAGAAGTATATTTAGGAATCACACACAAAACTACAGTATGATGTAATTCAAACTTACCTTCACTTTGTCTTAGCTCTTCTATTTCTTGATAGATTTGGTTTTAATCTCCTAAGACTTTTGGTCAAAAAGTATTTTGCCTTTATGCTGCTTTGCTTTGCTTTGTTTTGCCTCTGTCACTTCCCTCTTCTGCTTCCTTGTTTTATGTCTGAGTTTCTATTTGATGGAGAAAACAGAGGTGGAGCCTAAGGTGCTCACTGTACTTCCTGATTAGAGTAACAGCTCATTGTTACTAAAGGATGTTGTCTGTACTGAATGGCAGGTAACAGGAATTAAGCAAATCTGTTATTTTTAGTAAAGGTTAAAGTTGACCCAGGCTTTTAAGAAAATCAAGAACTGGAGCTCCACTGACCTTCAGTCACTCACATTAGTCTGTAAAATGGAAGAGGTCCCCAAACATACTCCTGACCGTGTGAAAAATATTTCTCCCAAAGTTATTTGAATATACTTTACATAATCAAATTTGCTACTAGTAACCTCTTTATGAATGATATTAATAATATTGATGAGTCATGAGTCATGCGTGCTCTGTGTATGTACTGTAAATACAGACCTGTGTAACCAGACACTTCCCCCTCACACTTCCATACCCCCATAACCTAGTTTCAGATGGGCCTCAGCCAGAGGGAAGCTTTTAACTCTAGCCCTGAGCCAGCAGGCATTCCAGTCTGATCCACGGTGAGCCATGCAGTTGTCCATATAAAAAATACAAATACTTGACTGAAACTTGGGATATTTAATAATCCTTACTGCATTGGCAACAAAATATATTTTGAAATTGCAAAAGTTTTGATTTGCTGTATTCTTGTAGCGCACAAAAGGCTTCAGTGTGAAACATCCCTGAAGTTTGATTAATTAAAAAATGCAAAATATTCATTATTACATTATTGCACTGTCTAAATTCACATAAAGCAGTATGTATTGTACTCAATGCCTAACTGCCTAACCTTATATCCAGTGACATGCTGTATAAACATACTCAAACCCTCATCTACAGTCAAGAGGCCCTGTGTATAACCTTCCAGTGAACCATCACCTTTTAGGCACAGATAGTATAAAACAAACGTTAATATTCTTACAAAGGGTTGCACAAAAAAAAAAAAAAGCAAAACAAAACAACCATAACATGAAATAACATCAGTACAGTCAAGTAAAACATTTTAAACTGTTTCCATCTCAGATGCATATAATAATAATTATCTGGAATACAAATAAAAGCCATTACATTATTCCATTACAAAATTTATAAAACTCAGTATTACTACTTACATTTCTACTAAATCTCTTTTGAAATACAAACTGACCCCAATGACTGGGTTTGCACTGAGATCCATTCACAAACGTAGACGATCTATAATAAGACTTTATGAGACTATGCAATACACATAAATTCTTTATTACTTTATATTAAGTAGTGTCAAATGTGAGTTATGGACTGGCCAGCAGATCCAAGGTCAGCTAAATCACACAAAGCAGTTGTCACCATGGTAATGGTAGTTTCTGTAGTTCAAATATCTCCCATCCAAAAGCTTCAATTGTCTGCAGAGTAAACACTGCGGTTGCCTCATTCATGGTTTCATCAGCTTGTTTTAATAAAGCAAAAGTAGATGTAAATCCATTTATTTTGAAGTTCATACCTGTCAAAAACAAAAAACAATTTCAGTAATGTAACCAATCACAGTGAGCCTTTGTCAAGCAAAGACTCTTCTTCTATGTCATTGAACATCTAGTCTATTAACAAACTACAAAGGTGTACTGCAGAGCGCTGACTATCTCATTTCTCCTCTGATCCATATCTGTTTACTTTACAAATAAAAGTGACCAGTACAGTGTGCATGCTGTGTTTATGTAATTTCACCTCTTGGGCCATGTGAACCTGACTTCTCACTCTGGCTTTAAATGACAGGTCCTATAAAAAGCTCCTGACCCTGCTGCCACAGCGACCCAACTCCTGAAGACCAGTAACAGCTGAGGCTCACCACTGTACACTGGGCACACTGAACCACGTCCATACAAATCACAGCATCTGAGTCCATCATTAACAAAACACAGGTCTATGCTTGTTCTATTTATTTCTATTTTTGTGTATGTTTTTGCTTAATATATAGATGTCACAGCATTTTCTCAAACTATAGATACTGATGGTTTAAGTGACATGCAAATATTCAGAAAACCTTGTTATTTCAAATGCCATTCAGGATGCATCTGGCTTCATAACTGTAACAAAAGTGGTAAAGTCTAATTCACATGACAGCAACCCTCTGGCGAAAGCACAAATGCTTATTGGCACCACTGCACCAAAGCTGCATTTAGTTTCTATTTTTCCATCAGTTTATAATGATATAAATATGCCTAACACTAGCATATTTTTAATTTTCCATAAAGATGTTTTGCCTGGAGTTCAGATGAGTGCGACCGACAGGTGGATTTGCCAATCAGGGACACACATGGTCCATTCATCTACAAATATGTTCATGCGAGGAAAAGACAGGGACTAAATTTCTGCAGAATTATTAAGCGAAGCACTAAACTCTGTTCATCTGAGGTGAGAGATGTCACTTTGTTTGTAAATCACAGATGATCCAATGAGCTCCTTCATTTTGCATGTGTCACTGAAAAATACAAATCTGACTGCATGATCAAGATTCATCATAACGTTTATGTCTTCAAGTATTGCTGCATTTCATACAGCTTCAAGTTAAAGCTTTAAATTAAATTAACAGGTTAATTTATATTTAGTGATGACAATTTTTATGGGTAATTTTAACCTCTGACATCTTCCCACTGTGACTTATTGACACGTCCTAATAATGAATGAGTCTGTATGTTTTTCCTGAACAGTCTATAACACAAGGGACCCCAAATCACCACAAGACACAATATCACCCTCACCTCTTCATCTGTGCTCCACCACAAAGCTCATGGTGGTCCCGTCGAAGGAGGGTGGGGCGATGATGCGGGGGCCTTGCTGGTGGGACGAGATGCTGATGAAGGGCTGCTTGAGGGCGGCGTAACCCTGAGACGTCCGGTTGGCGGGGGCTGGAGCCGTTTGTGGAGACTTGCCTGTGGCCATGTAGTACGGGCTCTCCATGTAAGGGGCCTCACTTTGTTGAGGTGGGGTCTTATCCGGCGGGTCTGAATGCACCGACATCTGCGAAGGGACCAAGGTGCGGGCTGGGATGACCGTGGGATGCATAAACCCGGGATAGATCATGTAGGTGTGTGCGTACGCCCCAGGACTTATGGCCAGAGGGGACATAGGAACCGGTGTCATAGGAGCTGGGGGTAGTGGTACGTCCACATATTGTCCTGTTTCTGGGTCAAATAAGCGCTTGCTAGAGGGCTGCATGGGAGTCTCAACTAAGTAGTAGTTCCCCGTGGTAGGGTCAAGCAGCATTTTCCTTTGGGTGGGCTGAAAATGATCCAGAGATGGAGCTGGGGTAACTGCTGGGGAGAAGCAATACAGTTGATTAGTCGTGATGCCCAGTGGTAATGAATGGTATATGGCTGCCGTTGGTGTTTCGGGAGTTTCCATGACGATGCTGGTGGGGGGGTTGTCCTGAACAGAGGTCTGGGCCGGTCCAGGTGGGGTACGAGATTTCAAGGTGTACACTGAGGATGTTTCAGGAGGCTGGACTTGTTTTGTCACAGGTTTGACAGGTATAGTTAAATAGTTCTCGTGGTCGGACATGGTTTGTTCCTGGTTGGAGTGCTCTTCTTCTTTAGAGTCGGCTCTGTCCTGTCCACTGAGTCGTCCTGCAGTGGTCCTCCGTGATGTTGGCAGCTTTGGGGACTTTGGGGTGAAGGTCTTTGTGCCATAAGAGGATTTAGTGGCTTGGTTTTCAGATTTCATAGTCTTCATAATAAACCTGTCATCATGGCTGCTGCTGCTGTGGGCTACCTGCTCCTCACGTCTCACTAATGACTCCATCTTTTCACTGCTGGGCTCTTTAGCTGGAGGTTTATCCCGTTCTTCATTAATAAAGGGCAGTACATGACTGTCCGTCACTGGGTTTGGCTCACTTTTCCGTTTCCACTCATTCTTTTCAAAAACGTACAGTTGCTCCATTGTTTTCACAGCTGCTTGTAACTTCTCCAGAGCCACTTGGTTGGTTATTTTGTCTGTCTTTTTCTCTAAGTTGTCCTTGTCTTGTTTCCAAGCAGCCACTTTACTTTCAATTTTAGATCCATTCAATCCATCAGCGGAATTAGACTTTCCACTTGTTCTAAACTGAGTCCCTTTAGCGCCCTCTGGCGATGACCTTTCAAAGTCCTCCCTTTTGCACAAATCATTAACATTATCTGCAGTTTTCCCGTTATTATTAGTGTTCACAGATTGACATTTGATCACTATAGGTGAGACGGAGGTTGAATTTCTACCTGATGTTTGCTTTTTAGTCTCTGTTTGGTTGTCAGAAGTGGCCAAAGTTGTTTTATTGTCGTTGTTATCCAAAGATACAAAGTGATAAGAGCTTTTCACAAGCTTTCTCACGTCCCTAACCTGATGTATGGGCGTCTGCAGCTTGCCTTTATTATCTCGTATATCTCTAACCATAAAATGTGGAACTTTATCTGAGCACTCACCCTTCAGAGCCGCAGCGAGAGTCAGGGATTTGTAGTCCTCGGTCCTGTTGCAGCCTATATTCGGAGCACGTAATCGAGTCACACCAAAAGGCTCGTTTTTACCACTTCTCAGATTGATTTTAATCTCAGGAGATTTTGCAGTGACACCTTTGGTGTCTGGCACGAGCAGCGCATTGTCTGGGCGCGCTTTGACGCTCTCTTCGTGAGCCAAAACAGGACTGTTTTGCCGCTGCTCTTCGCTGGACAGCTGCTGGATATTCGGCAAAAACAAACTAGACATTTTCGTGAGTTTAACTCCACTCTGATCCGAGTCGTTCGCCTCAAGCGCGTTCTCTCGAACGCTTTTACGATCCTTTTGAAACTCTAGCTCGTCGTCCTTCCAGCATCTGAATGCGCTATTTTGGCTATGAAGCAGCGTGCTTTTAGACGCTTCCAATGCGCCCTTTTTAGTATCGATTCCAGCTTCATTCGCATGCTCCAAATTGGTTTCTAACGCGACAGAGGCTTGTCTGTGCGTCCTGTCACTCTTAGTATCACACGAGCCGCTGTCCACCAAGTCTCCCAATTCATCCACGCACATTATTGCGAGGTCAGAGCTGCTCTCTGAAAACTTAGAGCTCTGCCTGACCAGTTCCCTGCCTCCTTTACTCGCTTTGGTGTCCTCTTGTGTGTTGGGCTCGCTAATCTCCCCTCTTTCCATTTTGCGCTCTTGCTCAAACTGCATCTTCTTTGAAATAACATTTTTAATCAGGCTGGACGCGAATATGGCTTTCTTATGCTCCATGGTTTTTTGACAGGGTGGCTTGGTGGCGGCTCCTAATCGCCACTGCCTGCTGCCTGCCACTGCGTTGGTAACTTCATCCTTGGAACGTGATCCGGCTGCTGTTGCGCTTTGGGCAAACATCGGGGGTCTCTCAGCCCCGGCCACTCCAACATTGCAGCGGAAATTGAGCGTCTCTGTGAGCCTGATCACTCCGCTGTGACCCTGTCCCAGTTTCCCCATGAACCCCAGCTGCGTTTGCGGATTCCCATTCAGGGTAAACCCGGTGAAACTTCTGTTCTCCAAACTCTGTCGAGACAGCACTCCCTTATCCACGTTGCCGTATTTTAGGTCAACAAAAGACCACTTCTCTGATGCAGATGATTCACTTGACGTGCTAAAGTTAATAGTATCAAAATAAGGATATGCTAAACTTTTAAAAGCCTTGGCAGTGAGGTTGCGCACTTCCTTGTCTGCGTCGTCGAGCTCACTCACAGCACTGGACGTGCCACTGGAGTCGGTCACTTCTCTACCGCGTAATTTGGCGCCAAAGTGAACCCTTCCCGGTGCTGCTATAAAGCACTTGGCCGCGTCCCCATCCACTCCCCTGAAAAGGTATCCACTCACGTCTCCATGGTAGACCAGGTTGTCCCCCCCGGCCCGGGAAGTGGTTCTGATTGACAGGTGGATCTGCTGTTGTGGCTGAGATTGACTACTGGACACATGTGGGTTGCTCTGTTTCTCATTCACATCTTTGCTTCCGTTCTGCTCAAATGCGTCATAGTCCACAAAGGAAAACACCTGATTGTCCTCCCAGCCCACACTCACATCGTTATCCCCCTCGTGATCAGACAGTTCTGTCAATTGAATCTCATGCGTGGTAATGTAGTGGGACTCGTCCTCTGCGACGCAAGGTACGCCAAAAAGCAGCAAACTTACGTCGTCATCTTCTTCATCCTCTACGTCATCCTCCTCAGCCCTCTTCTCCACACTCCTTTCCTCCTTTATCTCGCCATCTTCCTCATCCTCTTCCTGCCCCATGTTCCTCTCTTCTCTGGAGTCCACATCCACGTACGTGCTCTCGTCTGGGTTGTCGCCCCTCGCACAGCTTTGGAGTGTCCTCATAGCTGGACTAGCATTTGTTGCGCGCACCGCGGAGTCCTAGACCAGGCAGTGATGACACGCTCCAAACATTCCCCCCTCAGCGCCACCAGTCCAGGGCTAAAAAGAGAAAGAGACATTACTAAGGAGGCCACGCGCGTCAAGCTGTGGTTCACTGACCATTATGGCACACCACTTTTACGCACCATCTTTACGCACTTGTTTATGTTATCCCTCCTCCTTATAATGATGTAATCTGCTCATCAGTGGTGAATCAAATAGTAGACATAACATTTTTGTCCCCACCATTTGACGACAATATCATCTGTGCTGTGACCAAAGGCTAAAGTTTGCATCAGCTGCAAAATGTTTCTATGCAGCGAGGTGTCCATAAATCAGAACTGCCCCGTAAATGCACTGCTGACATATGTGTATTTATAGTTTACTGTACACGACTGTGATTCAGTCCTAGTACTTTGGGGTCAGACAGCCTTCAGGAGTAAAGCCACAGTATGCACCAAAGCACCCAGGTGTTACAGAGGAGGGACATGGCTTGGAATTTGGACTTAAGCTAAACAAAATATAGGAACATATTGCAATACAGTATCACTGCAGTAACCACCACACCAAAATAGAGCATGTACCAAGGAAGAGTTTTTAATCTTGTGTATTTATGTATGCCCAAATAATGTTGATGGCAGTGCTAACAGTTGTAGTGGAGTCTCCTGAGACTGGTCCTGGGCCCACTCCTCAGCAGCTGGTTTTAAAAATACACAAGCGCCTGACAAGACGCGTGAGTGGACTATATGTTACTGTTAACACTGCATGTATGGGCCATTGTGACGCCTCGCACATTAACGCCTTCTTGTCATATGGCGTCCTGTACAATCCTCCTGTGGCACTGACCTGACCACCCAGGCTGGTCACGGGTTATTTTAGGGGAAAGGTGTAATGGTTTAATCCTGGCTATAGACCATTTGATCTTAATAGTCGCCTTGGATACTTACAGGTCCCATATTGCGCAAAAAAGCTCAAAATGCTCTTTTCCACTTTGTGATGTGATGAAGTTAGTGTTGTCGAAGTTTTCAGCTTGTCCAAGAAAGGGTGGAAGTAAAAGGCTGGAGACCAACTGGACGTCTTATACAGGAGTTTATTTACCATCAATAAAATGGGCCAGGTGGGTCTTAAAGAGTGAACATAGTATGATTTCAAAAGAGAACATAGTATGATCTTTGAGTGTTCAAGCCCCTTGACTTTGCTTCTGGAGGAGGAGGTTTATAAAATGAGTGGTGAGACTTTGAAGGCCAGTAGGCACCGGTTAGACAGCAATATACCACAATTTAGAAAGTGGTATGCCAATGGTATGTCAAGGGAAGATCATGGTGTAAATATAGCTTTGGTGTCAACGTTAAACTGAGATGTACGTGGAAGATAAATTACTTAAATTCTAGTAGTAGTTAGCAGCTACTTTTAACTTTTCATTCAGTAGAGATTGGCAATTCCAGCGCTAAAATGATCTAAATGATTCTAGTGGAGGTCTGGAGTTTAAAACGCAGTGGATCACTTCCTGTATTGCCACATGACGTCACAAGGTGGAACAGAAAAAAAGAGAGATATGTGTGAATGAAAGAAAACACAACTCCAGGTGTGTTTTTGATGAGGAAACAACATTATAACATTCTAACTATCTATAAAAGCACTTAAGGTATTAGACAAAAAACCCACACATGATCACTACTGCAGAATACTTGACAAATACAAATTTCTAAATTGGGACAACACAATCAAATATGCAGATTTAATTTTGGTATACAAAGTTTTTAATAATCTTGCTCCACCTCCTCTAAAGGAGTTGGAAAAGAAATTCAAATTGCACAAGAGCCGCTTTAGAAGTGACTGCTCTGTGCTGTTTAGGAGAAGTACTTTTGGACGGCTCTCTTTTGCTTATCGAGCAGGAAAACATGGAAAACAGAGCAGCTCATTCACGAGAACTTTCAACACTGGCAGCATTTTCTAAAGCTTTAAAATAGTGTTGTTCAGTGGCCAAATATGTCACCATGTTTAACCAAATTACATTTTCTTTTATTTTGAGGAGTTGTTGATTTAACTCTTGGTTTAACTCTTGGTTTAACTCTTGGTTTAACTCTTAAACTCTTGACTTTGAACTTCAAATTGAACTGTTTGAAATTAATTTGTATGTACAGTGAGTGTGTTGTTTGTATAGTGAGTGTGCTGTTGTTATGTATTTTTCTGTGATTGTTGTTGTACTTTTCTCTGTCCTGTAGATGATTTTACATCAACCTGCCCAGGGACTGAAGAATGAAATTAACCACGCTGGCTATAATCTTTACATATTTATATTTTAAATGTTCATTAATATGTGCTGTCCCTTTACAAATAAATAAATAAATAAGAAAAATAATTTAGATCAGAAACAGCTTGAAAGGTGTGCCTTTAGCCTTCTAGTCCAATGTTGAATACAGGTTATTGTATTATTTCAACTTATTAACAACTTTGCATTTCAGTTGTGTTTGGTCTGTTTAGCAATACGAGCAAATCCCATTAATGATGTCATCTGTCCTGTCTGTCAATGTTGACCAAAAATACCCTCAGTGATTTCAGGTAGAATGATTCAGCACCACGGACAGCTCACTTTGTTATCACGATCTTTTCACATACCACTGAGAGGAAGGGTATTAGGTGGCAGTCTCCAGCATCCTATGAAGCATCCACAATTTGTGTAGGTTTTGAATAATTTCTGCTTCTCTCCCTCTTTTACTAACATGAGTTTAGAATTTAGAATCTGACAACATTATATCCTCTGGCTGAGAATGAGAATTGAAACTGTAACAATTTTAGTCGCCTATGCACAACCTGTTGCTCCTCTTTTTATCATTTGGGTCATACTATTTGGCTGTAATCAAGTACGACGAATCCTGAATATTTTTATGGATAGTTTGATATGGATTTGTTGAGCTAATAACAGTATTTAGGGTAATATGTCTTGCTGCTTTGGTTGATAACCCTTATTTGCCAATACAACATAAAAAAAATCAATAGTAAAGATCATAAAAGTTACAATAAAGTTCACAAATTATCTTTTCACTTTAGTAAAAATAATAAGATGGTGTATATACCAATTTGTTGCACAATTATGTAAGCATACAGCCATATTTGTAGCCTGATTCTGCTTATATTTCTAAGTACATCATCTGAGACACTGAGGACAAACTGGAAACGGACACACAGAGAATCATGTTAGAAATATATTGGTGCAAATATGGTCAAACAAACGGCCCAGGGGCCGGATCCGGCCCTCCAAGACCTTTAATCTGGACCTTGGCTGATTTTCTACTAAAATATTTTAATTATATTTTCTATTAAAATATTGGTAATTTTCTGTGCCGCTTAGCATAGCAGCGTCTCCCACCAGAGCAGCACAAATGAAGACGTGTCTCTTTCCAAACGCTCTTAAAAGACGATCGTTTTGACTGTTGCCCGTGACACCCTCATCAGTAAAATGTCAAAAATTAGAAAATATTCCTATTTGCATACAAGTGGAAATTGCATTTTTCTTAAAGTTTCAGGTTGTTCAAATATAATATTTTGTAAAAGACAGAGTTCATCAATTAAAAAAGATTTCTGTAATAGATTTGCATTTCTCTGCACAAATATTTTAACTTATTACTATTTTTGGGGTATATATGCCATGAGTTTTCTGATCCAGCCTCTTTGGGATCAAAGTAGGTTGGATATGGCCCCAGACCAAAATGAGTTTGACATGTCTGGTCTAAATGTTATTGGAACTGATATTCTGCCCATTATATATATTATATATGTATTACTTAGATATTATATTTTATTACTTTATTACTTTATATTTTATTTTGACTTGTGCATTTATATAATTATGTCTTATCTGACACTTGTCTCTTGCTATCTTTTTTGCTACTTATTTAGAATTTATTATTACCATATATTATTACCATTTATAGTTTTGCTCTTTGTTATTATATTTATTGTGACATGTGAGCTACATGTCCAAATAATTTCCCTTGTGGATCAATAAAGTTTGTCTAAAAAGTCTACGTCTAAGTCCATCTCTAACTATTCCAGCACTCAAATTGTTTTTAGGGCCGAATTACATTGATATAAGCAGCAAATAATGAGACCCCCAGAGCTTAAGTGTCTAAACTCTAAAAGGTTTCATCTTATAGGATCCAGACCAGGGCCAGTCCGGACACGCCAACATCCCGGCCTCTTCACTGTCCGGTCTGACTGAAATTAATAACTGGGCTTGGTTTGACTTCCACTCAGTATCTATGGGGGGTCCGCAGATTCCCTCTTTCACCCCCACCTCTCAGGCCGGTGCCGGGGGGCGGTGTAATCTGGTAGACCCAGACCGAGCAACCCGAGCTGCTCCGAGCCTGCATGAGTGACACCTTGCTCTGCTTGTGTCAATAGATCGTGACAGCAGCCGCATGCTCAACCGACACCTCTACGTATTTTAATATCCGGAATGCAGTTTAGAAAATAGCACATTTCAGTAGACGATCTCTGACCTAATTATGAGGACAGAAATCAGACTATATGCATGTACGCAATTTTAATCCCCATGGTGATAGATACACTAATCGTAAAACCATGTTCAAAATGCCGTTTATGAGCGTTATCATTTCAGGAGTAGAGAAATGAGATCTGCTGTGATTAGTTACACTTCTGCCCCTAGTCTAAAATATTTTAAACACCTGCTTCATTGCATTAAGCTGCCAATAGACACTGACACTGACCTGTATAACCTGTTGCTGCTGCAAAATTTAAAAATATGACATTTAGTTTATTAGTTAAAGGTGCAATATCATTTCTCCTGTACGTGCTTAGAGATGTTACTGCTGTGCCATGAATGTCTCATCTTGTATTTATTAAATTACTCATGGTTTATTGCTAAAAAGAATGCCATGAAAAACTTGCATAAATGTGATGAGTGGGGTTCTCCTTTCCGCAGAACTGACCTGTAACTTGGC